TTATATCAAAGAGCAAATTTGGGAATAGGGGAGAGGATTGCCTGGGTGTACTGTACTGTATTAGGTAGGTAGGTAGGTATATGCATGTAGGTATATATGTATATATCTGTATATAGATTATCTGCATTTTATGTAGTATGTTTATTGTCTATAACTCCTCAGTGCAAGAATAAATAACGAAGAATGAAGAATGAAATCTTTTTTTTTCGGGTATATGTAGTTGGGGATTGAAGCGTGAGGTTGATTTGTTTGAATGAAGATTGGGATGGGGATGGGGATTGAGAGGTGAGGTGAGGTAGTTGGATATTTTGAATTACCTAGTATGTTAGGTTAGATTAGATTACTAAAGGATATGTTGAGTTGAAATCATATCATTAAGCAGATGGGAGGTTTTGTATAATGGGTTTAGTGTAGTGTAGTTTGGTGTGGTATATATAGTATGGGGATAGGGGATCTAGGTTATAATATCTAGGAGGAGGTTTAAAAACTTGTAGCAAGATAATAAATAGTTGGAGTGTTGTGATTTTGGGAATCTAGTGAGTGAGTGAGCAAGGTAATATTTGGATTTCTTATGGGCTGGTTGAAGTGTTCTGCAGGTTTCTTTTGCTTTTTGGGTGAGATTTTGTGACGTGAGATGTTGGGTTTCTGAGTTTGGTGGTTGGATGTTCTTTATTGTTCGCTAGAATCAGAGGATACGAGTAGATGTTGTAGTTGTAGAATGTAGTTGTAAAATGCACATCTCTTCTCACGATCACAACGCCTCACACTAGTGATACTCAGTTCTTCACACTACCTATGTAAAGAGTAGAGTGACTTTTGTTTTTGAATTGATGATCATAGTTATAGAGTACAGGGCATCATCTCTCAATGCTTTGGCCCCATCCTCTAAAATTCCATCCCTCCACTCCCAAATATACATATCCAGCACGCCACCTAATCCTATGCTTCTCCCTTACTTCTTGGTAATGGTCAAGGACTCCAAATCAGCACGTTCCTTGGCTTCTGCTGCAATTTCTGCAATGATAGGTGAAAGGTATAGGTAATCCTATAAGTTCATTTGTTAGAGTGCTATTGAAGTGCAGGAATTAGGAAAGCTGCTCACTTCTTCTGGCCTGGTGTGTTGTTCTTTTGGCAAAAGTTGATGTTGAACGGAGCACTATACATAATGTCATTATGCGTCCAATTACTCAATTTCCCGTACAAGAAGGTAACGAACCTGAACAGCTCTTCTCAAACGGAAAACACGATCATAAGCTTCCTTTTGCGGTAAACGTTTAAGCGCAAGAAGGACCTCTTCGGATTCCTCAGGGATCAAATCATCCGCTCTATAAATTGACTAATATCAGTATCCATATCCTCTCTTTCCGTCTCCCAATCTCCCCTCGTTCGATTCCCGGAAGTAAAATCTCGCATACCTCAATCCCAACTGACGGTATCCAGCAGCATTAGCATACCATGAAGCCAACGGCTTCATCATCTTCAAAAGTCCAGGCTTCTTGGAGATCCAGCTTGCTAACGATGGTGCAGACATGATGGGCGATTTATGGGGTGTGTAATGGGGAAAGACGGCGGTATTGGTGGTGTTACTGAGGATTGAAGTTCAAAAGTTATGATGATATTAGGTAAGCGAGTCAGCGTTGTTTGAGGAACTTGTGATTGGTTGGAGTGAGAGAGGAACGGAACGGAATAAATCGGTGGGGAAGATATTGCGATATAAAGTTATGTGATAGATCATTATAACTTTTGGGAATACTCGGTAGGCACGTGGAGGGGATGGAATTATTTCTTTGTTTGAGATGAGAAGCAATGTTCTCTTTCCAATTCATATTTGAAGTTATTCAGTGCAGGTAGTCTGGTAGAGTATTAGACAAGACACTATACTGTCCTTAAGGCTAGAATATGCCTAAATGTTGTATTCTTCTATCTTACCTATTAAAATTAGCACATTTAACATTCACTAACATTTTTGGGCATTTATCCATTAGTTTATGGCTACTACTAGATGCTAAAGAGCTAAAAATGCTAATTAGTAGCAAGATAGCTATAAACACCTACCAACTATACCCAATTGTTGATATTATTACAACAATAACAATAGGTAGCTGTTAGAATCAAGCTTTCTCTGTCTTGAACAAAAAGGACGGATTCACCCCACTTTGTTGAATTGTGAGATTCTAGTCCTTTTCTCGCATTTCTCATGCAAATCCAAATTGTTACCCTTTTCTCTTTTGATATCCGAAGTCCCTACTCGAGTAAAGGCCATTTTGATGACCACAAGTAACCTCAAGTTAATCAAATCATAAGCTCAACCATACTTACGACTCAACCTTTTTGAGGTGTACCTGCTTCTTCATTTTAGCTTGGCGGGTCGAACCCTTTTTATCAAGCGATTGATATTACTACAGTACAAGCTTCCGAGAATTTTAAGCCGATCTTAGGTTCCGGTGCTTCCCACTCAACCACAAATTCCTCCTTCAACCCACTTTCTACAAAGAACAAAAGCCCACCCTTCCAACTTCCAACTCTCGCTCATTCCCACGATTCTTTACCAAATATCCAGGCGATTGTCAATGGCCTGCGATAACCGTTAGCTGTTGTGTCACTGGCGTGCTGCGTGGGATCTTTCCCCGCACACCGGGGCACGAGATTGCAAAGAAAAGAAACGGCGACAATAACTGAAGGCCTTCCAATCCATCGGCGGCTTTCCTCCCGCAATTACTTCTGCCTGTCTGCGGCCGAGGTAGCAGAAGCTATCGAATATTTGCGCCAACAACAATTAAAATGTCACATGAACGCAGCACGCCATCATCACCGCGATCTGAGGATTTTGCGACCTCCCAGCCTACTACTCAACAATTCGCATCGACTTTGGCATTTGGAGGAGGCGATTCACCCATTACTAGATTGGAGAGAATAGCTAGATCAAGGGCGGAATGGGAGTTTAATGCATTTGCGGGGGCGGTGGGTGGTTTTGCTTCTGGAGTTGTTACTTGCCCACTAGATGTCATTAAGACGAAATTACAAGCACAAGGAGGTTTCAGAGCAGCACAAGGATTGGGTTCACAATCTGCTGGACAAGCGGTTTACAGTGGTTTACTTGGAACAGGAAGAGTCATATGGCGGGAAGAAGGGTTGAAAGGACTGTACCGGGGCCTTGGTCCGATCATCCTTGGTTATCTACCAACATGGGCAGTTTGGTTTACGGTTTATGGCAGATCAAAACAGTTTTTTGCACAGAAAAGTGGTATGGATATCCCATGGATAAATTCTGATGGTGAAAATGAAAGCTAAGAAAAAACCTTTACAGATAACACGGTAGTGGTAAATTTTTGGTCCTCGATAATGGCTGGAGCCTCATCTACAATGGTTACGAATCCCATCTGGGTTATAAAAACTCGCCTCATGTCGCAAGTCAGTCGAAAGGCAAAGAGCAATGGAGCTAGACCACCTTGGCATTATCGTTCAACTTTCGATGCCGCAAAAGTGATGTACAGGACTGAAGGAATTTTATCATTCTATTCCGGTCTGACTCCTGCATTACTTGGCTTGACACATGTGGCTGTTCAATTTCCAACTTATGAATATTTGAAGAAAAAGTTCACAGGTCAAGGCATGGGAGAATCTGCGGAAGGTGACGAGAGCGCTCATCTATTCGGAGTACTATCCGCTAGTGTGCTCAGCAAGATTATAGCAAGCTCTACCACATATCCCCATGAAGTCATTCGAACAAGACTTCAAACTCAACAAAGATCCATGCCAGCGGCCTCAACAGAATACAGTGCATTTAGGGGAGGTCTAGAAGGACACTCCCATCAACAAGGGATTCCGAACCCCGTGACTCAAGTTAAACAAGCAGTACCAAAATATAGGGGCATTGTGATGACATTTAAAACGATATTACGCGAAGAAGGATGGAGAGCATTTTATGCTGGTATGGGCACGAATATGATGAGAGCTGTACCGGCGGCTACGACCACTATACTCACTTATGAGTATGTTATGAAACATCTGAATCATGCCAGGGCCGAAGGAATACGAAAATCGGGAGAAGAATTGTAAATGCTTGAATTCTTCGGACAGTCCTGGGGAAGATGACCGAACTAGGCCATATCTCTATGAAGTTCAAGGTGGTAAGAGGTCAAGAAATATTTCTGCATTTTACAGCATTTGAAATTTGCTGGCGTTCGGTCATGTACTCGGCGAGGTATCGAGTTAGCATGATGCGGCTTTTGTGTTTATGGAAAATATTAAAGACGCATACTTGGATGGTACTTTTTTTTGTGAACGAAGAGCTTGTATTTATAGATGGCTTTAGCCATCGAGGCAATGATTGTTTAATATTTCAACTTGACGTAAATATACAATTTTGTAAAGATAGCCCCAGAACTCCTACATGCACCTTGAAAGACAAACTTATATGTAGCTTTGCACCTGGCCGTATAATCTCCAAAAACACCACTTCAATTTTCATCATCATCCTCATTTGACATCACTCTGCTTTCCCAACAAAACCACCTTCTCTTCCCTTGGCCGCTCTCTCCTTCAATCTTCTCTCCACCTCGTGACTCTCAGGCGCATCTCCTTTTGCCCTTAATTCCTCCAAATTATCCTTCGCCGTGCCTAATAATTGTTTCACGGTTTTTTGCTCTTGCGGCACATCTAACTGACCATGACGTCTCAAATTTTCGTTGGCCCAATTTATTTGGCCGCCGTCTGCTTCGCGATGTTTCTGCGCATTTTGCTTTGCTGCTCTAATGGAGATGCGAGCATATGTGTACAGGAGTAACGCCATGGTTGCGGCTGCTAGAGGGGCTGTTACGGTCTGGAAGGAGGGGTTGTTAGCTAGCTGTGCTATGGAGTCGCTGGGAGGAAGGGATTGGATTGGATTGGAGAGAATAGGAATAGGAACAGTACCCTGCTATTTAGATTGAATTTGCGAGGAGGCATTTTGTATTGTTTCTATAGATTTATTTTTGAAAGATTGAAAAAATCGCAATTCACATTTCTCTTCCTCCTCGTTTGCGCCTGTACGGTCTCCTCAAATGATATGATCGAACGGTATTGTGAGTGAACATGGGAAAATTAAAAGAAGCCGAGGACGTCATGCGATCTCTGGGGATCGAGCAGGGATCTTTGAACAAGGGACTTGGCGACTTTTTTTTAAATAGGTAATAAGTCCTCAACACTTTTGCATTGAACATTGATGAACCTGTTGCTATTAATGGTGCTATGAATTAATGGATCGTATTCGATAATCCACGGAGACTTGGTGTGGTTTTCGCACAGTACCTACGCGTCTATCATACGCACATAGACAATGAAGGGATTCAATTTCGCATCGGCGTGGGCGAGGTCGAGACCGAGTACGAAGGCGATCCCCTGGACTTGTGGGAGATGTATTCAGAGAGAAAGGAAGACGTCTTGGGTGCAGAATGCGGCGTACTCGACGGGAAAGAGGGGAGGGAATGGTTATGGTTATGGTTATGGAAATGGTTATCAGCAGAATCGAAGGGGAAATAAGGTTATCATGGCTTCTGCCGTCGGAGGCATTGCTGCGACTGGACTTGCTTTCACGGATGATGTAAGGCATGCGTATGAAGCGGTTGAGAGGACGGGGAGAGTGGTCAGTACGCTCTTTGTTTGTATAAATGAGTGAGTGATTTTTTGATATTGTGTAAAGTTGTTTGGGACAAGTGGCTAATTCGAGGTGCGACAGTTATCGAGTTACATTGAACCATAACGAGAAGACCGAGGACGAAGCGGAGAAAGAATAGAATGTTGAAAGATTGTCATCAGAGATGTGCGGATCGGACATTGAGAGTGTTGGAAAAGAATGGGAGCATATTCATTAAACTAGGGCAACATTTGGTATGGTATTTTTGGTTAGGTGTATTTGCAATGGCTAATTGATTTTTGCAGAGTGCTATGAATTACCTTCTGCCTTTAGAATGGACAACGACGTTTATACCTTTGCAGGACAAATGTCCTGTTTCATCAATGGAGTCGATAGAGAATATGTTTAAGATGGATACAGGCGAACAACTTTCGGATTACTTCTCAGAATTCGCACCTCAACCGATAGGGGCAGCATCGCTAGCCCAGGTACATCTGGCGACTGTCAAGGAATCAGGACAAAAGGTTGCTGTTAAGGTGCAACATCCAAATTTGGCGGAATGGGCAGCTCTTGATCTAGCATTAACTAGTTTTACATTCTCGACATTGAAGAAATTCTTCCCGGAATATGATCTAGAATGGTTATCATCGGAAATGGAAGTTTCTTTGCCAATCGAACTGGACTTTACTGAGGAAGGGAAAAATGCTTTGCGGGCAAAAGACTATTTCTCACGGATACCGGAATTACCGTTGATTATACCTGATGTTTTATGGGCAAAGAAACGCATATTGGTTATGGAGAATGTAGCTGGACATCGTCTAGATGACCTAGAATTTCTCGATTCTAATGGTATTGATCGTGACGAGGTCTCCGCTGCTCTCGCTCATATTTTTAACGAAATGATCTTCGGAAAGGATGCCCCTCTACACTGTGATCCACATGGGGGTAATCTCGCTATACGCAAAAATGACAATCGACGTGGCGCCAATTTCGATGTAATCCTCTACGACCACGGTCTCTACCGTGATATTCCTCTCGGACTTCGACGCTCATATGCAAAACTCTGGCTGGCGGTAATTGACGCTAATGAACCCCGCATGCGCAAATACGCTAAAGAGGTAGCTGGTATAACGGATGAACAATTCCCCCTATTCGCCTCGGCTATAACGGGCCGCGATTACACCATTCTAACAAAAGATGTAGCTCTTCAGCGATCGGAAGAAGAGAAGAAACATATTAATGAAGCATTGGGTGAAGGGATGCTTCAACAACTTGTGCAAATGCTAGGACAGGTTCCGAGGATTATTCTGTTAATATTGAAGACAAATGACTTGACGAGAAGCTTGGACGAGAATTTACATACGCGACAGGGGCCTGTGAGAACATTCTTGATCTTGGCCCGATATTGTTCGAGAACGGTATTTCAGGAACAAATGGAGGATATTAGGGCGAGGGGCAGTCTTTTATGGCCAGCCAATGGTTTTAGGTTGTTGGTAGCATGGTTGGGATATGTAAGGGTGGAGTTAAAGCTAGAGGCTTTTGAGGTTTGGCTGAGAGCTAAAAGATTAATGGGTCAAGCGTAAGGGTACCAGTTGGTGAGGAAATCGTCGTTTATACAGGAGTGGTTAAAACGGGTGGATCTTCGTGTTGATTGATTGGTTGATTGATGCGTACATACATAGGTCTGAAAAAAGAGGAAATATCAGACTTTGGACTTTAGGCTTTAGACTGTTGCGCTCGGAACGAAATGGTGGTTTGGCTACTCTTTGGCGTGCATGAATAAATACTTAGATAAATAGCATTATAAGGTTACATATATATATAGATCATAGAAGAAAGAGGTTGAAGATATATTAGCGAGCGATTATGAGAATTATGATTTGAATTTTTATTGTTTGTTGTTTATATTGTATTTTCATTGTATAGCTCTCTAGGTCCTTGTTTGGTATAGAAGAGGTTGCGAAATTATAACTATGACTAATTATGACTATGACTACAATTGATCCCTACGAAATCTAAATCTAAACCTAAATCTAAATAATGAGATTTTTCAAAGCTAGCTTGCTGGCTAGATAGTCTTGCGAAAGGAGAAAGATTCCACGGCCAGAGTCTTACTAATAATAGAAAATATCAGGGTCATCGTGACGCTCTCAAAGGGTACAGAATATATCTCACTCGATGTTATAGACTAGACTAGATTGTATATTCTAGCACCGTATTGCTTTGGCTTCAGATTTTCCCGACGATACTGTGATGCTTTAGTTCTCTAGTTCTTGAGATCGTGTAATTAATATTGCGGGTTGAGATTTTGGTGTATATTGTTGTGTATATAGTTGGTTGTGTCTGGTCTGGGAAGAGGACTCTGAGATAGATTTTTTTCTGGATATTTGGAGGGGGTGATAGGGATTGTGGAGTTGGGTTGTGGGTTGTCTGAGTCGAGGTCTGATGTTAACGTTGTGGAGGACGGCTGTGGCGCTTTTGGGATTTAGTGATATATTGGGTACGATGTTCGTGTAGTGAATGGTGTAGCGGCTGTGCTTAAGCTTAGGAGTGTTACTTTACTTTCATTACGAGTAATGCAGTCTCGGGATCCATCGCGTTTGATCATCTTTCTCTTTTGTCTTTCCGTGGTTGAAGCTGGTGAATAACTAGTTCAATCATTCGTACATATCTCTGAGCACACAGCTGCCAGTATAATAAGGACAATACGATGGCTCGCTACGTTGCAATAAATGAGGAAGATGCAAAAATATATAATACGTATACCATCCAGGTAGTTAAATATTGCTTGCGGAAATATAATTAGTCAAGTAATTCTCCTGATTCACAATGCTATCTTATACGTGTACCACATTTCCCACTTTTGTTGGAAATAAAGAAGCGAATGTTTGTCTGAGAAACATACTATAGCTGATTCCATAGTAATGTGGAAGATGACTTGGTTTGGTAGCTTTAGCTGCTTCATATATTTGTGTAAATGCATCGATAATGCTGAGCATTTCCCTTGTATTAATCGCAGTGCACATGTATGGGCGAATTTCAGTTTTACCTTCAATAATCCTTTCACATTGCTCATCAATTTCCTCACAAATATGAATAGAAAATGGTAAACTTCATCAAATACCCTTTAGACGAATCTCAACACCTAGGATTCAAGAAAATCATGCCTTAGTAAGATCCGAGGGTGAATTTTTCTAAGCGGCAATTTCGCAATTGGGATGGAAGCTCGACTTAGGTTGGAGTTTTGGTAGTTAAGTGGTATGTGGTGAGTTAACTGATATTTGGTATATATAGAGCTACTTGAGAGATGAATGTTGCCTCGAGCCTTGCGCACAAGTAGATGCTGTTGCACGGGACACCTGTGAGTATTTTCAAAAGAATCTCTTCTAATGTGCAAGTTGCTGTGAGAATTGCCAGACAGAGCTTATGAGACCTAATTGGGCGACGAGGTATGGAAGATTCATAAATAAGGGCAAGAAAGGGGGAATGTGCTGATGTTGATCTAGATGTGACTAAGTTTGGGATAAGAATGAATTCGTATCCATTCTTATGTAGCTGAGTTATGATCTTATATACATACATACATGTTTGGGAAGGTGACCTCGGTGGATTTATCCACCCTAGTATAACCAAGGGTATGAAGATCCCCTTTGCTAATCTTAAACATCGTAAGGACAATACAAGCCGCTTGGAATAGGCCCCTTGGAATAGGACTTAGATATCTTGCAAGTATAGAAAGAATTTTCAGGGTAACCAGTATCCAAAGCTGCGCAAATGACAGGATCTTTATGAGCTTCTAATTGTGTGGGTAGAATATATGTTTACCCGTGCTCATGGGCAATATGGTCCTTACGAGAAGGTTATGAAAGCTCATCCCAGATCCCATTTGGTGTCTTACATCTAGTGAAACTAATACAGGCAATGAGACAAACATCGATACCTCGCTTCTCATCTCGAGATGGAGGAACTAATAGGTCTCAGATGGTAAAACTAGATTCTCTAAAGCAAAAGCCCTCACCAACATCCAAGACTTGCGTCTTCCGCTCCGATAGTTCACGGATTGAGCCTAGAGCTATAAGGGCATGATGTACGAACAATTCATGGTTCCCGGTTTGAAGTATAAGTCATTCCCAGAAACTCGAGACTGAAAAACCCGGCTAACTGGAAGCAGGTTCTTTGCATGAAAAATGCAAATGATCGCTTGAATTGTGGGAGCTGAGGATATCAAAATATGGCTGTGTCGTTATGAGAATCTTGTCCCCTATAGATGACAAAGATCAGGACTGGACGTGATGATACCCTGAACATACACGACTGGCTGATGAACACTTTAGACATAAGGCTTTTTTGTCATCGCATTTTATTCTCCGTACTATTTAATTGTTTTGCTCGTAGTCTTCTAGTATTTCCTTCTTTTCCTTACACTTGAAAACTTACTCCTACAAGTTAGGCATCCGGTCTTGGTTTTTCGGCCCGCAGTTTCGCTCGAGCAAGACTGCCTACCGATTGGGAGCTATAAACGAATCTATCCTCACAACATAATTATCGATAAGCTTTGTATTCATCGATGTTTGTTAAATTTAAAACAATTGTATACATTAGATTGACCAGTTGGTGGATTGAAGCAAGAATGTGAGAGACGATATTGAGTAGCAGCTGGTGAATTTTCCCCTGAATCTGAGCTACCTCGACCTAGACAAGTTGAGCCATATAAGTCAACTAAAGATCTTTGTATAATATACTTGCTACTTCTGATTCGAATACGGATAGTATAATCTTTTCGTGTGTCTTTTTCTGGTGTGCTTTTTGTTTTGTTCATGAGAACTTTCCTCGTTTTTAATGATCTCATGCTACTCGAGTAGTTAAGCCTACAATTGATAATAAAAGATGAAAATAGACAACGAAATAAAACTATAAGTCGTTGATATATTAATGAAACAGACAAATAGAGATAACTCAAATTCTTATATACTAGACGTCCAATCTAAACTCATCATTTTGTTCGTAAAATACAGCCCGTACGATTTTGAGAATCTTTATTCTTGTGATAGTTTCGGATCTTTCGATAGTCAAATTGGCAGTAGTTGTAAGTGAACTTGTATCACAGCCCGATTATGGCCATTTACCAAGAGCATCAAGTAGCAAGCATATAAACTGTAATACAATTTGTTAATTCTTGAATTCGACCTGGATTTAATACACGGATAAGAAAGTTTCTTAGGGGTGTTAATTAGCCGGATTTCTCGCTTAAGTATCACATCCTGAGGACGGAGGACTAATGGCCACACATCCATTATTACCAATTGCTGTTTCAAAGATAGAACAGAACTACGTTCGGATTTTAGGGCACCGATAATTTATTCATTGTCATACTGCTTATACTGATAACCTCGTAATATGCTCATATAGCAGAAAGTCTGGTAACTTACTGCCCGCGGCCCAAATGCTTTCAAAATATGTCTCAAATAGGGATATTTTCACAAGTTGGAATAGTGTGCCCTGTATACTAGGGAGCGTGTTTTATTTAACAATCGATACTCAAATATAATGGAGTTTGGCTGTGATACTTTGGTTGGGACTTTGAGAGCTATAACTGATAGCGTTGTTACGAGGTTTGCCGTCTAGATCACGTGGAAGTGCTCTAGGCTCTCGAGGTGGTTTATAACTAGGCGTCAAGCAGGGACTTAAAGTAATGACAATAATGCAATTCGTAACTAATAGTAGAGTATACTAAATGATTGATCTTGATCTTGAGCACGAAGCTCTATACAAGGAAATCCATCTTGATTATATAGTCCTTCATGCTTCTATGATCACTGGTGATCCTTCATGATCACCAGTGATCACCTATATCGTGATCCTTAGTGATCCTTAATGATCACTACTGATCATTTGTGATCACGTGTCTTGGTAGTTGTGTAGCCCGTCGTAACAAGCGTGTGGTAATTGCAGATAATAATGTGGAAATCCCAAAATAAATGCGAATATGCAACTCCCTTCAGCCTGGCGCCATGCTCTGGAACAACGATTATGATAGTATAAATACGAATGTCTTATTACTCAGGATATTCCGCAGCACAAATGTACGATTTCTTAAACATTGGCTTTGATTCGTCTGTATCTCTTTAATATAGTAACCATTTTGAAATAATAGTTCTGATGAATCTTATTTCTGGACTCACGGCAAGTGAATATCTGTCAGACTCTTTCCCCCGCTCAGTGTGAGAATAATATACTTACTATCCCTGGAACATCCTAGCGTTGCGTCTTCCCTGGTCACATAAATTGTGCAGAAACATGGTACAACGCATGAAAGTAGCGATGAAAAGCGAATGATAGGAAATGAAAGAGCTCGATATGAAAGAAAGTACATACTGCTGCACCGAAGATTGCATCGGTAAAGAGAACCCAAAGTTTAGACATGTAACTTAGACACATAATGTAAGAAATTCTTGACAGTGTCATGAGGTACAAAACACGGCTCTCCCAACATTCTCACCATTCTCACCATTCCAAGCATTCACCTCCACCACCCATGCCATCACATTATAGGTAATAGACTGTCATCTACACACATTCCCCAGCCTGTTGCAAGCAGATCAATACACAATCACGATAACCCTAACATTAACTCATGAAACTAATGATGCAGCTCGCTAGACCGCCGCCAAAGAAATTCCTGATGAGTTGATTGCAACCAAAAAAAACGGACAGAAAGCCGAAGTTCTGAGGATAAGCCCAATTCTATTATTTTGATGCTCTATCTTCTCGGACTACGGATTAGTTGGTATATCTAGTCATTGCGCTACAATAATATTTCCGTCATCGTAAGGATATAAAGTGACCGTTGGCCGGGATAAGTTTGTCTGTCGGAGTGCATATGTTCAAAATATTGCCACGCTTTCTACCGTTCCCCTCCTTAACTTCCTTCCTAATATTTACATTGACTGTTTGTATTTAATGTCATATGAAATAAAAAAATGTTTCTTCATTGCTAGATATATTTTGTCATCCATGCTCCAGCTGAGGAAATTAATCCAAATTTCACATTACGCTACTAAATGCAACTCCTGAGTTGATAGACATACGCATACATATACGCAGCAGTCTCTCGATGACGCTGACGTTGAAAATGCAGGCAAACTGCCCCCGTCTAAGCATAAAATAAGTACTTTGCGGTGATTCGCTTGAAAGAGACGGCTACGTCTAGGTTACTTCTCGCCTGTTTTAGTACCACTCATTTGAGTGTTTGGAGAAAAAAAAAAAACTTTACAAATGTTTTGAAATGAAATCACGAACTAACATCAACCATTCAATTGCCTAAGAGGAAAGGCCATTGAAATTTTGCGTATTGAGACCAATGGTTGATTTCATGCAGTTATAAGCAGAGTCTACCGATGTTGAAAATGATGGATGATTTTTGACCTGCAGAGTAGCACATGAAAATGCTATTCGTCATAATTGACTACCATACATTGAAAAATTTATGCTATATGAAACTTTTAACTCTTCTGATAATTTTATTTGAGGCCAAGCATTGGGCCAAAGAAATGCAAGATTCGCTTTTCAGTATGTAAAGCCGACTACATAGAGAGGGCTAGTATATGATACATGTATATCTCTTTAGTCCTTTAGCAAAGACTCGTCCTAGCTATAACATTCAGCTGAAAGGTGGGAGCCAGAATGGATATCCACCGTTCTTGATACGGAAAACGCTGAGCAAAAAGCTGTACATAACGAAGATGACTCCACTCCATACGAGGACCGCGACTTGCTGAATCTTCGGATCTGCAATGCGGGGAACTTTGAGAGCCAAAGAAATTGTTGCAAAGGATAGAAGCCCATCTGGTCGATTCTGTTAGTATTGCAGTAGAAAGCAGTAGGTATCATAAATGGAGTTCTTACACATGGCAGCAATAATTTGTGTTTCCAAACCATATTGATTCGAGAATCCTCCAGCAAAGTAGCTGACACCACCACGTCCATCACCGGCTACGTATGGAACCTTGCGAATATGGTTGAACATATGGCCACTGGTGAATAAAAGGATGGAAATCAAGCTGACTGCGGCCCAAACATTTCGATTTTGAACAATGGGCAAAACATATGGCCATGCAACACTGATGAAGGTTAACGTTCCTAATATGGTAGTGGTTACAGCGATAACACGAATCCAGTTGATGGGTCGTTTAACCGGAGGATGTGGTCGATCGGGAAGATATTTAGCAATCCAGGAGTGGATACTTTCGGCGCTTTGGGGTCCCTTTGTAAAATCAAATCTTACCGGGCCATTGATTGTCGAGGCATGAGGGCCAACGGTAGGTAGAAAGAGTAGAAGTACGGGAGCAGTTTGCAGATTAAGCTATCTCAAGATTAGTTTTGATAGACTGGTAGGTTTGTAGCGCCGAACGTACAGATTGGAAAGTGGCTTTGCCATCCATAAAGTCAAGCGTCCCGAAGAGCAAGCGGGATTCCCCTTGCTTATCCCCTTTTGTCCAACCCTTTGACAATAGATCCCATTCTGGTTGAAATTCACGACATAATTGGCATCCGAATCTAGTTTCCAAAGCCGTCAACAACACGGCTACGGAGTAGTCCCTTGGAGCAGTGGTCAATTTGGCATATACATTATCGTCGAGCTTCAATGGGGTAGAAGAGAGAGATTTGGTATGGTATCGTTCAAAGTTATCGACTGCGGGTTTTTTGGCACCTAGAGCAGCTATAGGTAGCAAGGAGACCACCAGCGTCTTAAGGAAATGCATTTTAGATAAAATGCAAGGCAAATATGCCTTTGAAGAGTGGAATTGACAATGTCGTGGCAAGAAAAGAATCAAAGTATTGTAGCCAGTGGTACTTTATTGAACGAATTGAAGCATTGAAGATTCAAGATTCAAGATATCATCACCAAACACTTACGAAGCTTCGTAGCGTGTCCTCAATTCAACTCGGCAAGTTCCACCTCGCGGGGCTGGCATTTTATGGCCTAGGATTACAGGACGGGTGTGTCAATATAAAGCAATCGTGCCTGAGGTTACAATCTGATCGAGCACAGCGTCGGCCCGGCAACATTGTTAAACACATTACGAGACTTTTGTTGACTTTCGATCGTGGTTGAAGATTTGACCTTAACAGTTATTATATTACATTTTATCCTCACAAATATAAATTCAAAATGGATCAGGTATTGTCATACAACGATGATGAACACATTGAAAGCGTATGTTTACACAATCTCTAATTATTTAAATACATGAGAGATATAGGAGTTTTTATGGCTAACACAATCCATAGCGATTGATGAAATCACAATGTTTAGAGTTGGCATATCAGGAAGCACTGCAGAATACAGAATTAATCGTTAAAGATGAAGCGAGCAGACGACTCAGACTACAGATACTCTTATTGGAAAATGAGAATGATGAATTGCACGTTCAACTGGCCACTGAGGAGGACCGAATCGATGGAGTAGAGGAAGAAAATGAGGATTTGCGAGCACGTCTTGAGCAGGCTCAAGAAGATACGAAGAAGGTTGAAACAGACTTAAGAATGCAGACACGAGAACTTAATAATGTCAAGGTAATACCAGTTCATCGGGCATAATCAAATACCATTCTAATACATGACTACATAGGCGGAGCTAAAATCTATGAGTGGAGTAACAATGGACTCGACGAAGGTTCTTACAGAGAAGCTGGCTCTTACCCGTGAGGTCGCTATATTGAAACCCGAGTTGGAACATTTACGTTCGCAAGTTGCACATCAACAATCAATTCTAGCGGAGAAGTTGGCACTTGAGCGACAAGTTAGCACTCTAGAGGTAGAACTAGAAACGGAGCGTCGTGCTTTGAATCGTGCCACTGAAAAGAACAACGACCACTCAAAGGAGGTTGAGCTTCAACAAAAAATTGAGGCACTGCAGAAAGATATTTCGGAGGAAAAGCGAGAAAGAGAGAAGGTTGAGAAAGAGATGGCGAAAGAAGCATCTGCTGCCCAGAAGGAGTTTGCACAAGAGAAGCGTGAAATTGAGAAGAGCCACAAAGAGACAGAGAAGGAGACAGAGATCCTTCGTAAGGAGCTGGTAATTCTGAAGCGTGAGAACGAGGGGCGGCAAGCTGGAGAGAAGGAGATAGAGGCTCTTAAGAATGAAATCGCACTTTTAAAGAGCAAAAATGAAAAAGGACAGCAATCTGGCGAAAAGGAAATCGAGGCTCTGAGAAAAGAGTTCTCGCAAACGAAGCGAGAAATCGAAAAAGCACACAAGAACACACAGAAGGAGTTGGCCGCTTCTCAAGCTCAGGTGGAAACTTTGGAAAGTGAAATTGATCAGCTTCGTGATAGTGAGAAAGGGCAGAAACGGGGTGAGGAGGAAGTGGAGGTCCTCAGAAAGGAATTTGCCCATACAAAGCGAGACATTGAAAAGGCTCATAAGGACACACAGAAAGAGTTGGCGGCTTCTCGGGTTTTGATCGGATCCCTAGAGAGCAAGGTTGAGCAGCTCCGTACCAAAATGTGCGCCGCAAGAGAACAGTTGAAAGAATGTCAGGCTGAACTGAATGAGGCACGCACTGCAGCTCTGAAGCTCCCCGTTGTGACAAGTCGGGAGGCCATTCCAGTGAAAGATTCACGCAAGAGATCTGCCCGAGAGATGAACATGGATATCACTATTGGAACGCCGGATGGAGTAGCAGGACGCGGAAAGCGAGCTGTGGCAAACAGGGGTAGGGCTGACCAGACGATGTTGGGAGAAAAGTCAACGTTTTCCATCACACCCTACCTGAACAAGACGATCAATATGGCCCCAGATACACCAGAAAGTGGAGAATCGCCCGGAGATATGGATGGAAAAGTAACGGAGACAGAAAGATCTATTGAGGACGACCAGTTACCGGAAGAACAGGAGGAGAGTCCTGAATCACCTGTACAGCAGGTCAAACCCAAGCTTAAGGCAAGGAAGAAGCTAGCCGACAAATCCTCTGGTGACGAAAAGAAAGTGTTGGTCGAAGCGAAGACTGGTACCAAGAATAAGAAGTCTGTAGCCCAAAAACTTAAGGAATCGCGTACGTTGGATAAAGTTACAGAGGAAGATGAAGGGGACGAAAATGAACAACCCAAGAAACCTGCAGCGCGCAAAATCAAGGCACAACGCATGCTAGAGAAGGTTGCCGAGGAAGAGGATGAAGATGAAAACGAACAGCCTGAGGAACCAGAAAATTCCGAAGAGCGAGAAATTGCAAAGCCCATAAAAGCTAAGGCAAAGGCTATGGAGGAGCCAGAGCAAAAGAAGAAGAAACGTAAAGTCCTTGGAGGCGGTGCCAAGACACTATTTGATGACGAGGATGGCGAAGCTCCCAAGAAACCGGCAAAGATAGCACTTGGCCCAGCGAGGTTGCTGGGTAAAGGTGGTCTCGCTGGACCAAGGGGAGGGCTAAAAGGCGGCCTCGCAACTGGTGGTGGGTTCGGAGCATTCTCGCCTTTGAAGAAGGATCGTAGGGGTGCTGGAGCAAGTTTCTTAGCATAAGCTGTCGAGGATTAATGAAGCAATTAGGCGTTTAGGATAGGGAGAGTGCAGGCTCACTTGGCGGCGTTTGTCTTTGATCTAGTAGGTAGTCAAAAACTACATGATTTGTGTTCAGAAATCAATTTTCTTCAAGCTACTCGTAATTGTGTCTTCAAACTCGGCTTTCTGGTTGTGTCACTAAACAATATCATATGCTCTTGTTTGCTCCCATGAAGGATGAAGCCTTTAACTAATCACAAATAATGAGCATAGTCCAATAGATGGCCCCATTTGAGTATCGTAAATTTTGGTTAAAAAAAAATTCGGTTCAGACGATATTAATTCTGTACCCAACCATTAGACCCCCTAAATCTTCCAACCCCCCTCACTAGACGAGACAAAAAATTTCCGTCACAAGCTACCAGGTCCATATGCTATCCCAGCGACTGGCCCCCACAGTCTTTTCCTCCGGACTCGGATTACTCCCACGGCACCAATTATGCATTCCCGCCATCCTCACCTATAAACATGCGGGGTCAATTGTTGCGCGGGGCCATCCCGATATGAAATTTCACAACGGCGCCGTCCGCACATCATCTTCGTCTTCGTCGACGCGATGGAAAACTAGACAGGGAAGAGATTCCTTCTCGAGAGATGCAAAGGTCCAGGGTTTGAAGAGTAGAGCTGCTTTTAAACTTCTTGAAGTGCGTATTCTTTGTTTGGTTTTTTTACCTACCTACCTGCCTACCTACCTGCCTGATGTTTAGTGAGTGAGTGAGTGAGTGAGTGAGTGGGGATTTGGGTGTTGATTTGATTCTGGTGCAGATTGATGCGAAGTATAAAATTTTTAGGAGGGGACAGACGGTGGTTGATTTGGTGAGTTCTTTTTGTGTTTGTAGGAGAGGATGGGGTGGATGGAATAAAGTGGGATTATGAGGGAATATGTTATTAAACTGAGGAATTATAGGGATATGCGCCGGGTAGTTGGTCTCAGGTTCGTTATCTTCAGAGCTCTTTTCTATCTATTTCCATTCATACCCACCTACCTATCCATAAAATAACACACATACTCACACCAAACCCCAACCAAACAGGTAGCAGTCGAGCGCACCAAACCCGGCGGACGAATCCTGGGCATCGATATCATACCCGCACAACCCCCCAAAGGCGTCTCCACCATCCAAGGCAACTTCCTCTCAACCGGCGTCCAAGAATCCGTCAAACAATTCCTATCCGACCCTGATCGCGGCCGACCGCGCAAATCCCTCTTCGCAGACGACGCGGAGGATATCGAGCCGGAACCCAGCTATCTAGAATTAGAACGACATATGGATGATAATAACGCGACGGCAGGGGATCACGTAGGGAAGAAACGGGGACGAGCTCCAGAGGAGCAGGATGAGGGAAAGATAGTCGATGTGGTGCTAAGTGATATGTGCGAACCCTGGAAGCAGACGGCGGGTTTTTGGAAGAGAAGTCTGAGTGACCCTTATTTCAGGATGATGAATACGACCGGTATCAAGTTCTCGGATCATGCGGGTAGTATGGTATGTACTTTGAGCTATTTCTTATGTTTATTTTTATATTGAATTTGATTTACCACTCTAATCTTTACGTATGTATAGGATCTTTGCGCGGCGGCTCTACGATTTGCTTTTGACACGCTGAAGCCTGGAGGACATTTCGTTTGTAAATTTTATCAAGGGTCCGAGGATAAACAGTTGGAGTTACAGCTCAAGAAGTTGTTTAGCGCGGTGCATAGAGAGAAGCCCGAGTCATCTAGAAGTGTGAGTGAGCCCAGGCAATTGCAATGATAGAACATGTGCTCATCGTCAACAGGAATCCAAGGAGGCATTTTTCGTAGCTCTTAGGCGGAAGACGGAGGTTGATGGCGTAGCTTTAGGCTATGTTGATGATGTAAGAGTATGAACAGGAGTACAATCTGTGTGTTCGCACTTGTAGGGTTATGTAGATCAGTGGTATAGTGATAAATGAATCTTCACATATGCAAATGGGAAATTTGAATAAGGGTGGAATCACATTGTTCATGACTGCTACTCCTATATGCATCGATACCACTATTTTCTTGTAGTATTCATATGCTGAAGACTGTACTGCTGACCCAGCTCGCCTTAAATAGCTTGTTGACATCCCTCCATCCTTCTCTGAGGTATCTAGACCAGCAAAGCCAGAAGTTCGTAACTGCACTCCCCAAATTAGGCCATTTAGACCTTGAAACCTCTGGACCTTCTGCGTCCACGAGCCTTCTCGAACTTGCGTCCCTTGGACTCGACATATGGTTTCTATTGTAGACATGTCAGTTTTGCCAACTAAAGACCCTGTTGCGTTTATTACCTTGTGCTTGTGTGGGCCGAAACCGAAATGCTTGAAAGCCTCTCTGGAGTTCTTTGGTCCTCTGAGGAGAACGGTGTTGCTTCCAGTTGGGGATCTGAGAGCTAATTGATCCAAAGTCAAAGCCTCACCACCGGCGGCAAGAATGCGGGCACGGGCCGTAGCGGTAAATCGGAGAGCGGCAACGCTGACCTTTGGGACGGTAAGGAGGCGGTTGTCATCGGTGACAGTGCCAATGATGACAACGGTTCTCTTCTCCTCCTTGTCGGTTTGGGATGCGATTCTGGAGATAGAAACGGGAGGTCTGTTGACGCGGGACATAAAAAGTCTGCGGAGGACAACCTTGTTGAAGGAAGCTTCAGTTCGGCCTGTGTAGAAATCAGAAGTTAGCGCATGTTATTTTGGTCAGAAAGAACGACATGAATAACTTACGAGCCAAGAAGCGGTAGAGCTTTACCAATAACTTAAGGTAAACATTGTCACTCTTTGGCGTCTTACGGTGAGTGTTGCGCACGTGGTGGTTGTCAAGATCGATACCTAGTTAGAATATTCCTCGTCAGCCTATGATCAGGTATGCTCTTCACATCGGTCTTGCAGACACAATGTTGCGCAGATAATTGAGATCTTTTACGATGCGATTTGAGAGTTTAGTCTTTCAACTTCATCTCAATTCATCGTAAAGCCACTCAATTTCCACTTGCACACGATGGCTGGAATGGAACTCGGTGTCACCTACCCATGGTTGGCGATTTTGGGGGGTTTGTCGTCGAGGGTGTCGAGAAGTCGTTGATAGATTCCAGTGAAGGAAAAACAATTTCGAAGAGATTTGAGAATATGGACCCAGTGCGTGAATTCGCTTAAAATTTTCGGTGGAGATAACTGATGCCTTGTGGATTCCTAAGGCATCAATTCTCTTGAAATTTTCATGAGTTTTCTGTCAAGGCTGACCGCCTGGAACCGAAGTATCGGGTACATATGAAGCTAGTTACTTTTACTCGGCTTCGATAAAGTGGTGAAAGGAGTCGAGTGAAATTGGAGTCGGAAAAAGATTCAAGCCCAAAAAACAATAATGGAATTCACATCCTTCATACTTCCCATATTTGGTAGATATATGTGGTGGACAAGAATATAGCTAGATATCTATCTACAAGCAATGAACGGACCTTCCGACTTGCCTATCAGCATATCTACTATCAAAAGTCCATACCAAGCAGTCCAAGTTCGGCATATTCACAATGAAATTCGAACTATAGTAGTGTAGCTCCTCTGTCCATATTCACATTAGATCAGCACTGTAAATTTTGAATGTGAAGTTGATGATACAGCATTCCAGTTGTTGGATTATCTGCTCTTGAGCCTACTAGGCGTTCATTACTCATGAACTTCTTAATGACTAAGTAACAACGGCAAATCCATACCGAAAACTTTCGTTGCTGACGGGAAACTACGGAAGGTCTAGGCAAGTTGACATCACTTCTGCAATTATGGGTTATGGGGTAATTCTGTCTCCATGTATTAAAAGCACGGAAGATTTCCAAACGTTGGCCTTGGGTAAACTCGTGAAGATATCAAAAGTTATTAAGGTTACTCGAGGAGAGTAGTAAGAGAGAATAAAATAACATGTCAGATATTTGCAAGATCTTACTCGTACATGTAAGAGTCTTACAATGAAAAATTCAAGCCAATTTCTTACCAATGACTAATAAATAGAAGCATGGATGGAACTTTCCATCATAACCCTTTATGAATGATTTGCAGAGTAAAGTTTTTCCCGCTTGACTTTTATTAGCTACTGGTCGATTGGTCGAGCTCGAGAATGTCAAAGTTTACCTGCCTACCTCCTCTAATAAAGTTCTCCATTACCCGCAACCCGGCATATCATCAATCCACCCTGGAATCCTGTTAAATTTCAAATACTGGAGTTCAAAGTACAAATTACAATACCACACCCCGTACACATAGACCTATGAAATTATTCTAGACTTCTTTAATTTTCTTGTCTTTTAATTCACTAGGCATTTTGACTAACTTGTTCAGTGTCCTCCTGTTATTGATTCTCTTCTATTTTTTGCATCATTACTCCCTGACTAAATTGAAAATCCCATTTGGTGGCACTGTTCCTTGATCTCTTCCATTCAAGCCCCGTCCGTCTAAAGAAGTCAACCCAGCCAGCCTCGCAACCTCTCCACATCTCTACCTAATTGTACCTGTACGAAATATTCAGCAATTGACCCTCAATTCCTCATTTCTTTCTTAAAAGTCGAGGTTTGCGTATATCCTACCGATATCGAGACTGCCCTTCCATTTCGAAGCATTCTTCTTCGGATTCGTATGCGCGGGTGGGCTTAAGGTGTGCGTTGAGCTTCAAGCCTTTTGGGTGCATAGCTTAGCTACTCTTCCTAGAGATGTCTGCCGTATGTTGTATCCTCTTAATCTTGCCCAAAACCTAGTTTAAACGCTGATTCTTCTTTTGTTATAGTCTAGGAATGACGTTCTCTCGCCCAAATATGGCCCCAAAGTTCTGCAAATCAGGGAGCTTCTCGCACAACCTGTGGTAGCGGCATTCTGCGCCGGTGGAGTGGCAGGTGCTGTATCTAGAACAGTTGTGTCGCCCCTTGAACGACTCAAGATTCTCTTCCAAATACAAAGTGTAGGACGAGAAGAATACAAGATGTCCGTAGGAAAGGGGCTCATGAAGATGTGGAAAGAGGAAGGATGGCGCGGGCTCATGAGGGGTAATGGCACCAATTGCATTCGAATCGTCCCCTATTCCGCTGTCCAGTTTGGAAGTTATAATTTCTACAAAAAGGTGAGAGCCCAAAGATTACTCGACTTTTTACTGTTTCTCTAGCAGTTGGACTTTTCGAGTATTTCTAAAGCAGAAGAAACATTTGCATCAAAAGAAAATTACTGATTGCCTGCGCTTCTATAGTTCTTTGAGACCTCTCCAGGCGCAGACTTAAATTCTTTTAGACGTCTCATTTGCGGCGGGGCCGCTGGAATTACCTCCGTGTTCTTTACATATCCTCTTGACATTGTGCGCACCAGATTATCTATTCAATCTGCGTCTTTCGCGGCTTTGGGTCAACACAGTGCTAAGCTACCAGGCATGTTTGCTACGTTGAAGACGATGTACAGGACAGAAGGGGGCATTCTTGCATTATATAGAGGGATTATACCCACTGTCGCCGGCGTTGCGCCGTACGTAAGTGTGAACCTTTTGGTTGTTTGGTTATTGAAATTGTAGTGCTAACTAAGCAATAAGGTTGGTCTAAACTTCATGACTTATGAGCTTGTACGAAAGCATTTCACTCCGGAGGGAGACAAGAATCCCAATGCAGGACGGAAATTAGCAGCTGGAGCTATATCCGGCGCAGTAGCACAAACATGCACATATCCATTGTGAGTGTTTACATTAATGTCTGACTGAATTTAAAATTAATACTCTTTAGTGATGTTCTTCGACGTCGTTTCCAGATTAACACCATGTCTGGTATGGGATACCAGTACAAATCAATTTTCCATGCTGTCCGAAGTATTATTGCACAAGAAGGCCTCGTCGGCATGTACAAAGGGATTGTACCCAATTTGCTCAAGGTTGCCCCGAGTATGGCGAGTAGTTGGCTCAGTTTCGAGATGACCAGGGATTTCCTACTGACATTGAGAGCCGACGAAGCCGATTTGTGAGCCTGGGAAAAGCCGCCTGGTGATTCTCAAAATTAGGGTGGGTTTTGGATGGGCGTATTAAAGGTCAAGGCTTTGTATATGAAGGCGGCGCAGACCAGGGTCAGTGGATTGCATTTGGTTAGGCATCTGGGTAGGCATATGGGAGCAGGCGTTATTTTGTAAAAAGACACAGACAAGATTCTTCAGACCAAGTCCTATCAATCGACGATAGTAGGAGAATAGATGTGCTAGGAAATTGGGGCGAGTTTACGATAACAATCGGCAAATTCGAATGTGTATGAACATAAAAGTTGTGGCAGATAGTTTCATGAGGTTTTAGACATCTCTACCTCATTGGATTGAGGTGATTACTTTTACAATAGCTATACTGAAATTTTGAATATATAGATATTGATCCATTTATTCGACTAATCATAAACATCTAGCAGATAGTTGTGAATCAAGGAACGCTATATAATATTTCGACTGCAACTCTAGTATCTACTGTGCATTATCTGAGACTTTGAGTTTCGATACATCATGCTCATAATATCCTGTTCATAGAGAAAACTTCCCCATGTGGCCCAAAATAGAACGCCCTTTCTATATATAAATAACTAAAATTAAAATATGAGAATCTGATTTCCCGTCTGAACTTGCAATCTCGGAGATACCTGGAACTGTGTACTGTCACGTGATATTTGTTAAGACGTTTGCACATATAAGGCAGCAACCAGTTTTAGCCGTCCACGTCTGATTCAAAGAACTTTACCTTACCTAATAAAGTAGCCTTCCCAGGTTAACATCTTGTCTCTCGTCTTCCCAAAGCTTGCCCAGTTCTATTCTTTCTTTTCCCACAACCAGATCTATCCGTCAACACTTACACATCAAACTTGATAGCATTTACCTCATTGTCGTGCACCAGGTCTCATAATACGTATCGGTCAACTCTTGTCAACTCTTGAGTAGCAAAGAGGTCATATTTGATTGGTCTTCCTCATCATCTTTCTCATTAACAAAATGTCTCGTGGTGGTACAACACTCTATGTCACCGTATGCGCTCCACCTCCACAACTTCTACGCTCAACACCAAAAGCCACTTTTAGATACTTGTATTAGAGCTCCAACAATGTACTGACATCTTTTCTATAGGGCTTCGGAGCTGGAATCCGTGCTCGCGATCTTGCCTACGAATTCGAACGGTATGTCAGCCAAAAATCGATATCTCGATGATCATCCTTGATTGCGATGATCCATTTTCCCATCCTCGTCCATCCTCGTCCCTTAATCCGTCGAGACTTCGCTGTCATTTTCGTCGCATATACTATCCCCTCTGCCCAATCCTCCACGTTCGATCGAGCGGTCGCACAACGATACGAACAATTTATATTCCCACATTTGTCTCGCGAGAAAAAGTTCGAATTGCGGCGGATCGATTATTATTTACTATACATATCTTATATATCTCTTACTTTCATCCATATATCTGTCCAATATTTCCCTCTTCGATAGTACGTTGAGTCTAACCTTATCCTCGTAGCTATGGCCGTTTGGTCCGCTGTGATATCCCAGCTCCTCGAACCGCCGCATCTCGTCTGTAAGTTAAGCCTAAATCCCGTTGGCAACTACACTAATATAGTTGACACGTAAAGTAGGTTTGCTTTCGTTGAGTATGAGTCCCGTCGCGATGCAGATGATGCCTACCATGAAATGCACAACAAGCGAATTGGTCGGGATGATTTGTTGAAGATTGAAGTAAGTCTTCATGACATCACCTACACACCTCGAATTCTAAAGCATATTTAGTGGGCCCGCACACCTCCCTCGGCTTCTTGGCGATTCGATACTGGTGAGGACCGTCCAGCCCGTCGTGATGGAGGTAGAGATAGCGGGAGAGAACGTGGTGGAGGTAGCCGCCGTTCTCCTCGACGTCGTTCAAACTCTCCCCGACGTGGCCGTGGCGACTACACTCCCCGTAAGGATGACCGAGATCGCCGGGACCGGGACTACGACAGACGAGACCGTGACCGAGCCGATCGCTCACGCAGCCCAGATGATCGGTAAGCAAATGCACAGAGGTTAAAAATCGGGTGGAAGCTTACACTTCATGTTTAGGGACCGTGAGATCAAGGAAGAACGTGATGATACCCGTGAACCCGGAGCCAATGGAGATGACAGGAAAGGTGAATTTACACTTACACTACCAATACGCCTGTTCTAATTCGTCTGATAACCACCAGTTACCATGGATTCTCCTCCACCAGCGCATGATGAACTGGACACCGCCGAGTAAACAGGTCCTTCCCCACTTGAGGCCTTGTATGCGGCAGGGAAAAAGTTTATTATGTCTTTTGGCTGCTGATATTTCCTTCTTTGCCTGAATTTACCATTGTGTTTCTAGATCGATTCCCCGAGACCTCCCAACTTGAGCCAGGATTGGACCGGCCACAGCAACAGAATTTCACCTCCCCCTTTTAGGTCAGCAGCGGCATATTATTGTGGTCATAATTTTGCATGGGTAGTTACTAGTATTAAAAATTCCAAATTGAGCACATAATTCACACAAAAATACATCATCTCATCAACGTTTGAAACAAGAGCGACAACATCGTGATTCTGTCCTTATAACAACTGGGTATATTTTAAGATATGCTCTCTCATGTCTGTGATTTGGACTAACTATAGCAAAATCGGCACCTTAGGGGACAAGACAAGGCCTATTCCATAGGTGCGTGCGTGCGTGCATCCGTTTGTCCTATCTAGAAAGAATGAAAAAAGTTATATTTTCCGACAGTAAGCTTAATCTTGTATTATACATCATATAATATTATATAACATCATCATATCATATCATACCATATTGAATAGTATGCTATGTAAATTCCTAATATATGTTCCTATCTCATGCGCCCTGTTTAGTTATGGATTAGATTAGATGGTGATATCCTATCCTATCCTATCCTATTTCATGTTCACATATCTGTTCCCCCTCCGCTCCCTCCCCACCTTTTCCCGTCTAGGGGTTGAATATGAGTAGGTATCTATAGACTAGATGAGACGCGATACGATGCATTTACTTCGTTTTCACTCTAATCATTCTTTATGTTGTTTTTTTGGTTATTTTTTGCTTTTCCGCTTGCTGCTACTATCGCTTGTATTGTTTAAACGAGCGACCGTTCGATGGCGCGAGAGGAGTTGTCCGATGAGGAAATGTGATACGTCTTCGTCGGCCCTATGTGTTGTTAGAATTTGATAGTTTTCTTTCCTCAAAGCTTTCTCCAACGATAGAAGGGGTAGATAAAAGTTCATGACATACCAATATGAAAGATGGCTAGCAATCGTGTTGATCGGGTTGAAATCAAGTACGCTTCTGTGACTAATTAGCATTGACTTTTTTTTTTATAAAAAAAAGTGCCGGGCGGGGGATTCTTGGAACCTACTCCTGAATACTGAAATCCACCCTGCCATTTTGATTCAATGCCCTAACCTTCATTTCCTCCCTCCTCAATTTCTTCGCTCTCTCCTCCACCTCAGCCCGATCAGAATCCGGCATATCAGTCCTTCTCCTCTTCTGGAATCCCGCATACAACGTCTCGATCTCATCATCGATCAAAGTAGGCGCCGTACCCATTCCATCTCTATCGGCTGCAGCTGTGTCTTCAGCGAGCTGTCTCATCTTTTCAGTTGTGTGTTCTCTTTGCAGCGTAGGATGGTCGGGAATGACTCCTGCTGTTATATTGGTTCCTGCCCCTGCGGATTGTCCCTTGGTGTTTGATGAATTTGACGCTTGCATCCTTTCGACATCTTCGCCTGTGAGTCCGAGACTGCGGTTGAGGAGACTACTTGCAATGCCAGAGCTCAGACTAGACCATAATCCACTAACACTTTGTCCTACTTTTGCACCAATGCCTGTGATTCCTTGGTTCATATTTGCACCAAAGATACCTTTCTTGGTATAAGGTAGTAGCTGAGGCTTCATGGATGACATCGCAGGAGCAATTAAAGGCTCAAGTCTATAACTAATCGGATCTGTTGGATGGAAGATGTTGTACAACCGGGCACATTTAGGGCTAGAAATCGAGTATGGCAATCCTGTCGTGCTAGATATATGTTCTCCTGACGAAAAGCCCGCACCAGAACCAGTCGCCAGGAAAGGATCTTGCATCGAGTCCATATCCATGGGACTTTCTGCCGGCAGCGATTCCGTACGATTTCTAGCAGCAATAGTTCTTCCTTTCAACATCTGGAACAATCCTATAGGACTTCCCAGACAATAGAAATCCTCCACTTCAAAATCAAATTCGAGACTCTTACCATGTGACTTGGTAGATGGAACAGAACGACTTTTGTAATGCGAAGAACTGGCACTGCGTGATTTAGTTTCTCTCTGATGACAAAGGATATCAAACAAAATCGCCGATCCTAAAGAGTGTCCAATCAAGCTAACCTTCCCCGAAAACTCTGGATTGCGTTCTCGGAAAAGATTGTAAATCCGATTTGCCTCGGTAAGAACGATACTGCTGATGTGTTCTCTGTAAGCACTCTGATACAGTAAAATGTCAAGAGCAAGATCGGTGATGAGAGAGCGAACAAATGGCACACCCTCCACTGTAATATCATCAAGGCTTGGATATTCTTCCTCTTCCCCAAAGGCATCACCAAGATCATGCTCTTTACGATTCTGCCTGACGCCTTTGCGAGGAAAGTCAAGCAAGTGACGCCAGCAGATAGGGAGAACTTGAACACGGCAATTCTTGGGAAGTTTATCAATCTCCCCGTTTAGAGCCTGCAAATCGGCCGAGTTTCCGTATACGGTTTTGAGCGTTTGGCGGAGAGCGTTTACGTCATGGACGAAATTAACACTTTCAGTCCTATTGAACATTAACAAATTAAACGACAATTACTCTCATTACCAAAAGACATATCTACAATTGAGAAATTCAGAAATGAAAATCGATTTGCAAACTGTCCCAGCTGATTTCGCATCATTGACTTATCTTCGGAAGCAAACTTTCTTCTAAAGAATGCCACTAAAGCCCACCAATTCTTTGGTATTGACTATTGTAGAAATTATAGGAACTTAAAACAGTGTGCAATATACCTCTGAAGATTGATATTTCCACCACATAGAGCCGATAAGAACGACCAGTCGAGAGACAAATAGTAAATGAAACAAAAATAAGAATTTGACTACATACCTCATACCTAAGCGTTGACCGATACCATGTGTTACCAGAATAAGATGTTGAATATTGCGCCCTTGATTCTCATCATCTCGATCATTATAATCATTTTGGATCTCTTTCTCATCACGTTTCCTCTCAGCTTCAGCTTCTGCATCCGCACCTATAGAGTTTAGCTTATTGTAAGCCGCTTCCCGAAGCTCGCTACTCTTGTCTTCTGGCAAAGCTTCGGAGTTACTTGTGCTGGGAGGTGCAGATCGTCGTTTCAGTAACTTTTGTTGACGCTCGTCAAGCTGCAGATACTCTGGGGTGCTTGAAGTAACGGCAGCAGCACTAGTAGGTGTCTTCGGTCCCTTGTCTTTATCGGTAGCTGATGTGTCTTTCGTTTTGCCTGGCTCCGAATATCCACGAACGACCTTCACACCCCCTAAGTAGCCTCCACCTGCAAACTTTTGATAAACGGTGCTACTGACCCGTGACATGATGTTATCAGTCGAGATCCAGGCCACATGATCATCTTGATAAGTGACAACAGAGTTCATGTGTGTTCCGAATAAACGATGAGTCTGAGGTTGATGAGGTGGCGATGAGTCCTTTAGTACACTGCCATCATCAGATCCATGCTGTGGTATTTTCAAATTTTCGGCTGAGCCTTTCGGAGTCACGGAGGGAGAGCCATTACGGTTCGTCCCTCCGAAAGCACCACTACGCGCTAACGATCTCGGTTCCTCTCCCGGTTTAACAGACAATGGTCTAACAGTATTTTTCTCTGGAGGTTTAGGATAACGAAAAGGTTTAACTTTCAGATATCCTTCCTCTAGCTGTGTGGCCAAATTTTCCTCACAAGGTTTGAGGACTGAACCCTCTTGATAAAACCAGCTACCTCTGCGAACATCAAATATCGCGCCAAGCCAATATACTGGTGAGAGCTCTCTCTTCTCAATATCGACATCAAATAAAAAGTCCTCTTGAACCGGAACTTTGATTCCCCTATCAGCCTCCTCATTATTCCCAGCTTCATTAATACTTGTGTTCGCCTTCTGACCCGCGCTTCCAGAGGTGTGTTCCCAATTGCCACTCTGTGACTTCTGCCGTGGATCTGTACCATTACCATAGTCCTCGACAAGCTTCTGGTATGCAGCTTCTATTGCGCGGGAATCGTGCTCTGAGAAAGTAACAAACTTTTTGGGAGGGGCTGCCGGTTTGGTTTCTTCTTGCTCGGTCTTGAGGAGCTTCGGTTTCCTCTTGGGGATCTATAGCGGTAAGCTTATGAACACCAATGTTCTAGAAAAAGACACCTACATCAACAGCATGAAACCATCTTGGATTCAACGGAGGGCAATCGGGAGGGTAATTTTTAGTGCTCCATCCATGCCAATGATTCGTACTGTGGTCCCCACCATGTTGATTTTTTAATCCTGAGCCTTCTCCAGGAAACGTAGGCGTTGTAGCTTTAGGTGTAGATGCTCGAGAACCTCCCCATGGTGAGATTGATTCTACTGCCGCGGATAGATATGATCTCTCTAGTGGTTTTGGCTTGTTCCCAGGCGCAGACTCCATTTTCTTGTCATTGGCTCGCCATAGGGCGTCAATTACGCCTGAGGATCTGATCCAGTTGAGGGCAGAATATGATAATGGAAGTCGACGGTTCTTGGGAAGGTGCTTGGGTACTATTCTAACTTGGTGAAAGAGATGGTTCATAGAGTAAGCCAATGTATGCCAAATTGTTTGGGAGGGTTGATGCTGTGTTATGCGGTAATTGCCGATCCGGACATATTAAATAGAAATGGGGTATCTGTACATTATATTATTGATATCGCTCGGACCTTAGTATAGAATTTTTGAACGGTATGAAGTGTCCTCTCGATATCCCGTGGGTCGATCTATCTTGTTGATGAAGCATATTATCGCTCGTGGTGAAGCTGTTTTTGAAATGTTAAGTTGGGATAGGTAAGTATGTATAGCATCGTAAATAACGGTGATAAAGATGCATGCAACAGATGCAATTCACAACATGGTTTATTATGACGATGCTTTCGGCTTATCCCGTCAATATGGTTCAGGCTTTGTGACCCCACTACCTGGTGTACCGATCTCAGTACCGGTCTCAGTACCTACTCCGTGCATCTGCATAGGTACTAGCTTGACCCTATCATCTGATATTGAGACACATCAAAACACTCAGACCATGAACTCCTTTACTCTTCTTGAATTTTAGACCCATATTGTATATATACACATGCTGACGTGCGCTCTATAAGGTATAGTCTATGAATCGCCCTTTTACTGCTGTAGCAAAGCTTTCCCCCATGCCGTGATATCAAAGTCGAGAGATTCCTAAAACGCCCGCTAATAACCCACATGCCAAATAGTAAATAGTATCGAACGTACAAAAGCTAAAGCAGGTATCTAGATGATCAAATAGAGACTACACAAAAGACTCGGTCCCGTGAATATACCTATCCAGAACAGCACATTACCCAAAATCTTTTTACCTTTCATCCACTTCGTTTGACTCATTATGGTCAGCGGAATCTGGCACATTTGTAGAACCAGGAGATATCCACGAAGTTTCTTGAAAATACACCACATGACAAGCTCATGTACGCATGAGCTCAAGAAGAAAGTAATGAGGGTGGCCGTCTTCTTGTTGACCTTCAAACTCGAGATTGAGGAGTGGTAAACGTGTCGCAGGAGGAAATTGTGAACTGGCCGATTCCAATCGCGTGCGAATTGATCCCAAGAAACAGAATTCCACCAGGCCTCATAGAAACCTCGGTCGGCGTAGCAGGTTAACTCAGCAAGAAGGTTGAGTATGCATTCCCAAATTACATACCACGTCTGACAGAAGATTAGTGGAGGTAGCTAGAATTTTGATGCGTTACAACTTACTAGAATGTACTCGGCAAGGAAAGGGAAGGCTAGATCGCTAACAATCCCCGGGAAATTAAGGAGGCGTTCGTAAGGTGTCATATCTGATTCTTTCATCCTGATCGTCTGAACTACGATAGGATAGATATAGGTTTGCGAAATTAAATTCATGACAATCAAGAGACCAACCGTCGCAATGGCTTTCTCGGCAACGTTATACCAGTCGATGTTATCGGATCGAGGATATTCCAACTCATAGACCAAAGTTGGGAGAACGATGTACTCGTAATGGTTGGCTAAAGTGAGATTACTTGGGTACTGATTTTTGCTGGCCGTACATTTCCCTTCCAGTTCTTTGCTCAAAAAATCGATTTCCCATTTAAGAATTCGCGCAAACGTCTGGATTTGATCAAGGTCAAGTGGCTCACAGGAATCGACTGCAGCTGCTACTTGATCGATAGTAGATTCCATAATAGAAAGTGTTCGCTGGGAGATTCTCTGATGAACGTCATGAGAGGTTGGCCTGGCGTCTAGATACGAGGTAGATAATGAGGCAACGGCGGGTGTTGTCGCAGAAGGTGTCTGCACTGGCGAAATACTTTCCAGCTGTTTTAATTTACGCTGAAGTTTTAAACGACTCTGATATTCCTCAGATAGGTAACCATTGTAAAAAGCATAAGAATGTTGTTTCATCATCATGACGAGTCCGTGGAGAACGAAAAAGACCTGCCCAAAGAGATGCTGTAAGCGAATCTGAACAGGAATTGCAAGAGAAGATGAGCATTTTTTGGGATAGTCTGAGAGTCTTAGGACCTCAGACCACTTGTAGAAGGATTAGTTTAATATCTTGGTCACTTACGGTGTGTGTCCATGGCCACTCGCGAAACAATGTCCAGCTCACCACTAGAGCGAGGTATAATAGTTCCCATGCCTATAATGAGTCACGTTCAGTAAAGAGATTCTTTTCTTATAGATTAGTCAAGGAGTAGACCTACACTTTGAATAATCCAGCCTTCTCTATTCCAGCTAATATATCCTCGATGTATAAATTTTTGTAGGATAAGTCCAAACCCCGTAGAAAAGCACATTACACCATCGGACAGACCAAGAACTATGACATCCCGGTGGAACATCATTTCCATAATTTCATTCGTTCCAAGTATATTTCCATGAGTTCGCCAATTTGCGAAGGCAAGTTGGAGTACAAAAACGACGAACGCCAGCCAAGCTAATGTTAGAAACCCATGGAAAGGCGATTCAGCAATAATGTTATTGTGCCGATCAAAAGCAGTGAACTTTTTAGTGAATACCACTGTTCAAGTTAATTAGCAATATATTCTCCCTGCACAATTCCCCTCTGAAACACTTTCGGCCTAAAATATTCAAGATTGGGAACAACTTACGGTCACTAAACTTGCTTTTATGCTTTGGCTGTCCTGGCTTTTTGTCTTGAGAATAATGCGCGACAGTATCTTTCAGAAGATCTCGTAGTTCAGCATCATCTGTCTCGAAAGTATAATGCCTTCCCCCGCCCTTTTGGAGCTTCTTGAGAGTCACCGGAATGTTTTTGCGCTTTGCCACGCCCTTCCGCGATTGTTGGAACGGAATCTTCAATTCCGCATACACTGTCTGTGGAATGGTAATCTCTGTCGCCGTTCCGGTATCTGTATCGAGGCCTCCGCCCTTCCCCCCTGTAATGATGGACATCGGATCTGGTTTCAAGGTATCATAGTCTTCCAAACTATCACTCTCCGATACATCCAAAGAATCTCGTCGGTTCCTGGCGACCGTTTCTAACGCTATTTTCAAAGACGATGAATATTTAGGGTCAGTTGAAGGCTTTTGCGTTCGTTTTGAATTCGGTATATTGACGCCATTTTCCTTCGATTTTCCAACTACGGAAGGTCGTACTGGATGTTCTGAATTAGAGGAAGGGACTGTCGTCATGAGAGGTAGCGCAGTCGTGGATGCCATTCTGGTCATCTTGTGAAGCTACTGAGAGAAAGCGTGTTGAAGATGAGTGAAGGTTATCTATTTTGTTCATGTATCGGGGGATCTCAATTGAAGAACAAGAGAGAATTTTTACTGCTATGATAGTGTTAGCCTGAAACCTTCTCCGAATTTCCTGTGGTATGGCATCAAACTCACTCAATCGTCCAAACATGGGACACACAACGACGGCGAACTTCTGGTTAACACTGTTTTCGGGCACTGCTTTTTATTCGTGCCTCAATAGCCGGTATAGACCAGACCTTGGTCGCAATGGTCTATCGCAAGTGTGGGAGCTGGCAATACTGTAGCCGTCTGATACATTAAGACGCTGCGAAGTATATCGTCTTTAAATGAAGGTTAATGCACAGAGTTGAAATGCCTGGTATCTTGAAGAAGGCGATATATGGGGACTGAATATGTGCGATTAAATGCGGTTTCCATGCAGGTACAAAATTTAAATATTGATGAGAAATCAAGGGGAAAAGATGACGAAGGTTGAGTAATATTTTGAAAGAAGGTTTATTGTATCGGTGCCTTTGGAACGATAGCTTTCTTTGGGATTCAGGCACGCAATTTGGCAATAATAACAATCAGGATGGAAATGTCGGAAAGGAAAAGGAACAATCTAAATACCTTATCTGGATTATATATATGATCTGTACGACCATCAATCATATCATGTAAGAAATAACAGTTTTCGCTGTCGCGCGCACTTCCCTGACTCTCCGAATCGTGTGTTTGATTATCACGTCCTACCTCTTACATGAGACCTTTCTACCTACCAGGTACTGCTATGCCTTTTTTGTTTGTATGTACTGCTGGGAACTGAGGGGCACGATATAGCTTGGCATATCGCATTCGCACATTAAGAAGGCCGAAGACCATTTGCTCCCGAGGTCGTTGAACATAATTGTGATAGCCTTTCATGACTGCCGCTATGAAATCGAATCATGTAGGTTCAGATCGTCTGTTCGAATAGGGATTAGGAAGCAGAAACTCAGTCCGTAGAAGGGATTAAGGAATCTTCGGAAGTACTAAGTAAAACTTGAGGCCTAGGTGAGCATGTGGAGTCACAAAATGACGTAGATTTTACTCAGTTCTAAATTCTTAGTGTTGAAATTTATAATTTTTCGTACCTACCGCATGTCCGCATCCGAGCGCATTATTATTCCATTGTCATGTCAAAATTTGAGCCACTACTCTACCGATATTTTGCCGCTTCAGCCCTGTCTAGCCCCCGTCCTGCATCGATGATGTCGGGCAGAAATTATGAGTTCTCAACGATGTCGCATTCGTCACATACCGTAAAATCGGGTACAGTCTCGAAAGATTTCGGCTCACGGCATTTGTCAAATCCCTATGCGGACGAAAGTAATGCCGGTTTGCCTGATATTTTCAATGCAGCAAGTTGTGCTTATGTATGGCCACCTAATCAAGCAAAAATCTGTAGCTGCAATAATACTGCCAATCAATGAATCTATGAGGTAGGCGGTCTAATATTTGTCCGACCGGATTAATTCGAATGCCAAGAGCGCGAGATTATGTGGTTATGTGGTAACACAGTTAACAGCGCAACCCAATCTTACTACTTCTGTAAAGAGTCCATAACATCTATATCCATATCATTGCATTTTGCTATTCATACACCGTACAACACATCAGGGCAGATTCGCCGACAGTAATTCTGTCAAGAGAACATTGCCTGTACTTCTCGCCAAATCGCTTGCCAACCGTCCTTCAGCATCCCGAAGATTCCGGATATCTTTCCCATCGGCAGTATCGCGTTCTACTCCCATTGCCTCTGCCATTTGGCTGATTTGCTCGGGGAAGATGTTTGTTGAAAGAGTCGAAGCGAGCCACAACAAGAGCCAGATGACTTCCTCCTGTCCCTTTTCAACGGCCACGTGCAAACCACTTTTCATTCCATCTAAAGGATCCTGATAACGGAGGATCGGCTTGGCCGATATTCCTTCTCCATCCTCATCATCGTCTACAGCACTCAGTAGGTCGTTAATTCCGAAGATATCTCCTTCCGCACACATTGTCATGAATGCTCGAGCGGGACGTGCTTTCGGGTGTTCGTCGAGATAGGCTTCCTCAGTAATAAGAGGCAAGATGTCAAGGTCTTCTTGAATGCCTCCTTCGTTGTGGTATCTAGTGGGGACCCGAGTTCCAGACACGGATGTTGAGGATGAAGCTATTGAAGATGCAATTGACTTATCACACGACGGGCAATTGAGCTTATTCACAATTTGAGGAGATTCATCCAAAAGACATTGCCTGCGTCAAAATCAGTAAGTTTGATCTGCTTTTTAACTGACGAGATATGTGACAAATCTAGTTAAGCTTGACATGCTCAAATGAAAGCATAGAACGACTCATGAAGTAAGAGATTGTCTCTCAGGGATTAATAGGAAAATCAAAAAGAGTTTGCCTTGGCTAGAAGATATGAGAAAGGCGAATGATGTCTGTTTTGAGAAACATGCCCTTGCCTGTTTCCTAAATCTCTATGGTATAACTGCATCTAATTGATACATAAACCTCGCGAAGAACTATCCTCGAACTGGCGTCCATACAGGCAATTTGTTCGACATAAACACCGGCTCTGAACACTAGAGAATTATTATGCAAGGCAAGTGGAAAATAATCTCAAGTGGTCGTATGGAGAATAACCAATATATATGCTTTCTTACCAATGCATGTGACACCCGCAAATCAACTGAAGGTCGTCTGGAACGCTTCCTAGAGAAGAGCTTCCACCTTCAAACTGGTCCTCATCTGGGTCGAGCTGGACAGTTAAACTTTCCGAGCATAGTTTACAGATATCCATCTTCGTACAAATAAAGGAAAAATAGATTTAACTTGTTATAGCTTTGTTAAGGAATTGTTATGTGGTTGTGTTTTGGGAGAGAAAAGTCTTGAGGAACGGGTTGAAATTCTTATAGCGGGGTGAGAGCAAAAAAAGTCATATCTAAAAATTTTCTTATCGTACGTAGGTAGGTATGGGATGTGTGAATTTGCTCGGCTTTGTAGTCTTCTAAACTACCACCACACAACACAACATCATGTCATAATGGGAAATCTAAATCTCAATAAAAATAAGACAAGCACTGTTTTGCTTTTCAAAAAGGAACAACCATACATAGTGTTTGTATCCCATGTTACCCTCTAACTGTGCAAGAAGATGGCGGCATTAATATTCTATACCCCGAGACCTCTGTCTATGTTCTACCATTCGCATTTTCTACCAATGCTTTCTACTAACCATATGCCCACTCTCCTTACTTGGTACTTAAGTATTTTGTATGTGATGCCGTCGCTACCATGGGTCCCGGCTGGCCATCGACAAGCTTACTGATTTTAATCGTGGTAAAAGCAATTGATCGTCCAACCTTCGACGCGGTTGCCTCAATATTCAAGACATCTCCAACATGAGCGGTTCCAATATAACTAATGTGAATGTCTATGCTTGCGCCAGACTTTTCCAGTCCATGAGAAGCAATAGCAAGACCCCCAGACCAGTCGACCAAACTAGCACTCACAGCGCCGTGGATAGTACCTCGAGAATTGACATGATTGCTTCCCATAGTCAAGCGGGAAACAACTAGACCTTTTGTAGCCGATACAATTTCAACATCTGCGAGAAGGAAGTCGTAGATGGGACTGTTTCCTTTCATGTTATCCCATACTTTTTTGACGTGGATTAATTCTTCTGTTGAATTGTCCATTGCGATGCGATCCATTGTCGATAATCAGTTGCCTTGAATGCGGCGAAGGGTAGTCGTCAGCAATGGCGAAAATGAAATGTGCGTACACGCGTATAGAAAAGTAAAGTCTTTGTGTTTCGCATGGCGTGCATGAATGGTCGTATTAGGATAGATGGATGTACAATTACCTGCTTTAGAACTCAAGGATGCGAAATTGGAAATGTGCAACTGTACCCAAGAATATCAAGGAAGTTGGTAGAAGCCTGAGAACCTTGAAGACCTTGAGATCCAGAATGCACAGAACGGAGGATGGTCAATTATCAGCTGAAAGTCCGAAATTACTAAGGGCCGGTGTACGGTTACGGTGTACGAAGTACAAAGTACAAAGTTACGAGTGCGAGACTGGTGGACGGCCGCCCAAGAAAGCAGAAAAACGTCAGCGGGGTTGGGTTTGGGCTGTGCATCGCATCACATCAGTTTGCATTGAGGCATAATTTGAACTCGAAAATCTCCCATTAAGATAAAAGTTTAAATCTTGAAAGAATCCAACATTTATTTCTTTCTCTTGCTTCTCTTCTCCTTCTTCCCTCTACTCAACTCTGACAAAGAATATCTGCCTTCTTGACATTTCTCACGATTATTCCGTGGTTTACAGCTTCTTGCGCCGGCATCATTATTTATAGTGGCATCACTGGGAGGGGTATCCACAGCTACCTAATACCGATAGGTACCTCAACCTGCCTCCTGAATTACAAAACCAAGAACTCAAGTCTTTTCGACTGCGAAAGTTAAGACCCAAATAACAATTCGCAAATATGAATATTATCAAGTTGCAGAGGTATGTAAATATTCTAATAGTCCTATTAATTAGACAAGCCCACCTTTGTCTAACCTTCTTACTTTATAGGAAGTATCCTCAATTTGCGCAAGATGAGATCTTTGGTCTCCAAGATGCCTTCCGCAAGCTCGACGTGGATGACAAGGGATATATTGATGAGGCTACTGCTATCAAAGCTACACAAGGGAGCGAAAGACAGCCTTACGATGTTGTAAGGCAGGCTTTAAAAGAGGTCGATCTTGACTCGTCTAGAAGAGTTGAGCTAGAGGATTATGTAGGAGTAAGTTTAGGCAAACATCTATTTAGCACATTGACGAATATTGACTAATTACCTTCAAGCTTATCTCCAAGCTACGGGTTTCGTCACCAGCACAGCAGCGCATGTCAACCGGTCCACAGAGTCCTGCTCGTGGAATAGTATCTCAACAAACCGGAGGGGGGGCAAGCGGACATGCCTCAAAGGCAAGCATCAGTGGCCGTATTCAAGTCCAAGGATCTTCATCGAACGTTACCCATACCATCAATGAGGATGAGCGAACAGAATTTACCCGTCATATCAACGCAGTCTTGGCAGGCGACGCAGATATCGGCTCGCGTCTGCCATTTCCCACAGATACCTTTGAGATGTTCGATGAGTGTAAGGATGGTCTAGTATTAGCCAAGTTGATCAACGACAGTGTGCCAGATACTATTGATGAGCGTGTGCTAAACCGCCCCGGAAAGAAGATCAAGACCCTCAACGCATTCCATATGACTGAGAACAATAACATTGTTATCGAATCTGCGAAGGGTATTGGTTGTTCGGTGGTCAACATTGGCAGTGGAGATATCATAGAAGTCCGAGAACATTTGATTTTGGGTCTAATTTGGCAAATTATCCGAAGAGGTCTGTTGAACAAGATCGATATCAAGCTTCACCCAGAGTTGTATAGGCTCTTGGAGGAAGACGAGACATTGGAACAATTCTTGAGATTACCTCCCGAGCAAATCTTACTTAGATGGGTCAACTATCATTTGAAAGCTGCGAATTGGCCACGAAGGTAGGACTAATCTTAAGGTAGTCAGAACTTGCTAACATTCTATCAGAGTTACGAACTTTTCTAGCGATGTGAAGGATGCTGAAAATTACACTGTTCTCCTAGCTCAGATTGCGCCAGAGTGTTGCGATCGTGGACCATTACAAACAGGCGACCTTTTGCAGAGAGCGGAGCAGGTTTTACAGAACGCAGATAAACTTGACTGCCGAAAGTTCCTTACGCCTAGTTCTCTTGTAGCTGGAAACCCCAAATTAAACTTGGCTTTTGTTGCCAATCTCTTCAATACCCGTCCAGCGCTAGATCCGATCACGGAAGAAGAGAAAGCCCAGGTTGATGATTTCGATGCAGAAGGCGAGAGAGAAGCAAGAGTTTTCACTCTCTGGTTGAACAGTCTCGATGTGCAACCTGCTGTGAATTCCTTATACGAAGACCTCAAAGACGGCACCATCATCCTACAGGCATACGACAAAGTTATCAAGGGTTCCGTCAATTGGCGCCATGTGAACAAGGTGCCTGCCGGTGGAGAAATGTCGAGATTCAAGGCCCTAGAGAACACAAACTACGCTATCGAACTTGGGAAACAAAACCGTTTCTCATTAGTCGGTGTTCAAGGAGCTGATATTTACGATGGTCAACGAACTCTTACACTCGGTCTCGTTTGGCAATTGATGCGCAGAGATATTTCCGAGACCCTCACAGCCCTTGCTCAACGTCTCGGAAAGCGTGAAATTTCAGATGCAGAAATGATCAAATGGGCCAATAACATGTCACAGAAGGGAGGCAAGAGCTCTACTATCCGCTCTTTCAAGGATCAATCGATTGGAAGTGGTGTCTTCCTTCTTGATGTTTTGAATGGAATGAAGAGCAGTTACGTAGATTACGATCTCGTGACACCAGGGACAAATGAGGATGATGCTTACATGAACGCCAAGTTGAGTATCAGTATCGCAAGAAAGATGGGTGCGACAATTTGGTTGGTGCCAGAGGATATCTGCCAAGTGAGAAGTCGCTTGGTGACTACTTTCATTGGTAAGTTTAGATTTTCTTTTTCTTTTGCACCTTGTGATACTTCAAAATAAGAGTTCTAACATATTTCTAGGTTCCCTGATGGCTACATATGAGAAGATGCAGTAAATTGGTTGTATGGTTGACGGGTGGGCGGATTGATGCATGACGGCGATGACGGATAGCGTGATGGTTGAAAGTGCGGGCGAGGCGAATCAATGGCTGTAGGACATAGAAAAGCATTGGTATTTTCATTATGTGAGAGAAAGGGGTGGATTATTGACTATTTGATTGAGAAAGCGTTTTCATGAAGAGTACCAAAAACAACAAATACCACATACAGCATTGCATTTCAACAATACAACAAACAGGATGGATCTAATGACTGCGAAATATAACGCGCTTATGCTAATGCTGATGCTAATATAACATATGTACGGAGTACATACACATATATACCACAACCCCGCTGTCATCAATCAATCAATCAACCAAGTACAGTAGTTGTAGTAGTAAGTACCTCACAAACCTAAGCCTGCAAAGCCATCTCCTCCCTACTAGCATAACTACCCCCCTTCCACGCAGCCCTCGGATCCCACCTCTCACCCACCTCCCTCTTCTCACCTACTCTCCCCCATCCCCCACCACCAGGCGTATGAATAATAATCCTCTCGCCCTTCTGCATTGCTGCTGTATTTTTTCCTCCGAGATTGATTCTTCTTTCTTCGTATTGTTTCTCTTCTTCTTCTATCTCTTTTCTATGCTTATCCTTATCCGCAGAGGCACTCTGTAACAATAAATCCGATCTTCCCCTATCAGTACACTCTACCTTCCTCACCCAAATATTAAGACCGCATTTCGCGTCCTCACCGCCCTCAAGTCCATACGGTTTGTACACCCTCCTTTCGCTTAGAATAGAAACTTGCACTGGGATTCTAAACTCGATATCGCGCACGACGCCATCACCACCCCTATGTTTACCATTCCCTCCACTACCAGCCCTGAGCGAGAATTCCCGCAACAGAACCGGATAGCGTCGCTCGAATACTTCCGCGTCTGTGATGCGCGTATTCGTCATGTGGGTGTGAACACCGCTTGTTCCATCCCAATTTCTTCCTGCTCCGCTGCCCCCGGCAATCGTCTCGTAGTATCCAAAACCGCGGACGTGTTTTTGGCCGTCGACGTTGCCGCCGAAGCCGAAGGTGAGGTTGTTGCAGTCGCCTTGGGAGGCGGCGCATGCGCGGAAGGCTTTGAGAATTACGTCTGTGACGCGTTGCGAGGTGAGGACGTTGCCGCCTACGACGGCGGCTTTGTCCGAGGGGGAGAGGAAGGATTTAGGAGGGATGAGGACGGTGATTGGTTTGAGACATCCTTGGTTTAGGGGTATGTCTTCGCTTATTAGGCTGCGGAGACAGTAGATTATTGCGCTGTAGGTTACAGCTTGGGGTGCGTTGGTATTTCCTTGAATTGTGTTAGACAATATGGAAATTATCTAAGGTTTCTGAGGAGTGCTTACCGTATACTTCTGGACCTGTTCCTTCAAAGTCGAAAATAGCTTCTCCTTTATCGGCATCAATGGTGATTTTCAATTGGATCGGGCTACCATCATCCATATAATCGATTGCCGATAAATCTTGACCTTCAAATCGCTTGCTAACATCCTTCAAGAGATTTCTCACGCTGAGTTCTGCATTGTTCTGAATATTAACCATGTAGAAGTTCACCACATCCTCACCATACTCCTCGATCAAAGCACTGATGAGGTTGATTCCCTTCATATTGCTAGAAATCTGAGCTTTGAGATCGGAGATGTTATCTGCTAAGCATCGGGTACCACTGCATCCTTGGTGTTGTGCAGGTTCGTCAAGAAGAAGCTGAGTTATTCTTTCCTCATTGAAGCGACCTGCGCTGACGAGTTTCTCCGACTTGATTGCAGCTCCTTCCTGGTATAATTCTCTTGAATGTGGAGGCATACTACCAGGAAGGATACCACCGATATCAGCATGATGAGCTCTGGCAGCGACGTAGAAAAGAATCTTGTCACCGGCGGTGTTGAAGGCAGGAGTAATGACGGTAATGTCTGGAAGATGCGTTCCTCCATATTCAGGATGATTGGATACTATGACGTCTCCTTTGACAAGCTTTCCTTTCCATATTTCAGCTTGTCGCTTAACACAGGTAGACATTGAACCCAGATGGACTGGAAGATGTGGCGCATTAGCTACCAGTCCTCCAGTAGAGTCAAACAATGCACATGAATAGTCAAGTCTCTCCTTGACATTCGTGCTGACACTAGTTTTTTGAAGAGCTCTACCCATTTGCTCAGCAATGGCCATAAATCTGTGAGCAAAGATACTGAGCATGATAGGATCTACTGATTCTGTTCCATCTTTCGCCGAGGGTCTGGAAATCATTAACAAACAGTTCGATTCGCATAGAACATTGGCCAAAACTTACTTGTCTTTGCCTTGATTTTCACCAATGTTAATGACTACGTGCGTCTCAATTACCAATGCAGTTGCATTTGGAGTGATAACAATGGTTTGTGTTCCATCCGCAAGAATTGCCGGTCCCTTGATTCGATCACCAACATCAAGATCTTCCAGTTTGTAGATAGGGGTATCTTGTCGGCCCCCTTCAAAATAGACTTGAGATCTCTTGTACTCTTTCTTGCCAGTCTCAACATCACTAGGTTTAATCTCCTTTAATTGCTGATCAACAGTCTTTTCAAGTCCCTCAAAACTCTTTCCAATACCACGAACTCGGACATCATCCACAATGATATCTCTGTCGGGTAAAGTGAAGCCGAATTCTTGTTGATGCTGCTTGATAAAAGCTTTTCCGTAAGCCCATTCATCACCACCAAATTCCGCTACATCTTGCTTCTCCGGCTTCACAACCATCAACGCAGATTCAGTTCCGCGGTATCTCATATTCAGATATTCCTCGTGAACAATAGAGTTATCCTGGAAGCCCTGTGCCTTTAGAGCATCGGTTGACTTTTGTTTGAGCTCTTCTATTTTATTTTTCAAGTAAGCGCGTGATTTCCCATCATCACTCCATACCTTGGACTCTGGCTCCTGTTTCTCGTCCACTACATCAGCCAAAGCCATACCATACGCTGATAGTACGGATGAATAGCGATGAACAAGTATTTGACGAATTCCCAAGCTCTCAGCAATGGCAACCGCATGCTGTCCACCAGCACCACCAAAGGTTGCTAGACGGTGCTTGGACGTATCATGACCCTTTGCTTCCGTCATGGATCTAATAGGTCGGGTCATTGCTTCATTCGCAACAGTTAAGAATCCATGAGCAACCTCATCAGCAGTCATGTTCTTGCCCATTTCCCTGTTAATTTGCTCGGCTAATTCCTGAAGTAGCCTCTCACTCGCCGTAACATCAAGGCCTTCATCTTCATTTTTTCCAAAGATCTTTGGAAAGAAATCAGGAACAAGTCTACCCAGGAAGAGATTCGCATCGGTCACTGCAGCTGGACCTCCTTTGCGATAGCATGCAGGCCCTGGGTGTGCACCGGCTGATTCTGGTCCAACAACAAATAAACCATTCTTGAAAAATAAACGAGAACCACCACCCGCAGCTACGGTATTGATGTCGAGTTGAGGAGACTGGATAGTCACACCGGCTGTAGTGGTCTCAAATACATGCTCGTATCTTCCTGAACCATATCGAGAAACATCGGTAGAAGTACCACCCATATCGAAACCAATTACTGGTATTTTAGTCTCAGGATCATATGATGTAAGTGCATATCCAACAACTCCACCAGCTGGTCCGGACAGAATTGCTTTAAGACCAGAGAAATTGTCCACATCTACCAGGCCACCATCGCTTTGCATAAATTCGCACCGGGCCCCTTTAGCTCCCTTTTCATTTTTTACACTTTCCGCTCCAAGACCGCCCTCAAATCCTTTGGAAAAGCCAGCTATATATTTTTTGATTGCTGGTGTTAAGTATGCATCCGCGCATGCTGACGTGGCTCTCGGAACCAATTTAATCATAGGCATCAGTTCATGACTGAGAGATACATGCTCAAATCCGATCTCTTTCGCAATTTTACCAACCAAGGCTTCATGATCAGGGAAGGTATAGCCATGCATCAAACAAACTGCTATACTCTTGATACCTTTATCGAACACCTCCTGCAACTGCGATCGAATAGTTTGCTCTTCCGGACGCTGCAAAATGCGTACCGCTTCGGAAGATAAACCCTGCACCAGATTCTGATCTTGTGCACCGCCGGGTTCAACCTTGGTGATATTTCGTTCCGGATCTTCAGCGTAATCTTCCAAGGTAACCCGTTCATCAATCTCCACTACATGTTCGTACAAAACGTCTGGTTTCTTGATCGCTAGATCAAAAATCTTGGGTCTTGATTGATTGCCAATTCCCAGGCAGTCTTTAAACCCCTTAGTGACCACCATAGCGATCTTTTCACCTTTTCTTTCCAGCAATGCGTTCGTAGCTACCGTGGTTCCCATTCGAATGGATTCAATTTCTGACGTATCTAAAGTTTCTCCACGAGGGATATCTTTGTTGAGAAATTTGGACATGAGCCGCCTGATACCTTCCAGAGGGGCATCATCGTAATTGGAAGGGTCCTCAGATAGAAGCTTGATAATCACATCATCTTCCATCTTCCCTGTGCCTGGATTTCCCACACAGTCGGTGAAGGTTCCACCACGCTGTACTTATTGTTAGTATACTATTGTGGAATTCGAATGTCTAGTATAATTAAGACGATATTCATGCACTTAATGTTCAAATGCCTGAGCCTCCATCTCCGGAAAAGAGTAGGCTGATTGTAATCTTCCTTCTAAAGTACCACAGACTAGTGAAAAACAAAAGTATGATAGAAAAATATTCCACGTACATCAATGGCAATTCTAATTCCCCCTCGCTCATGTTTTTGTTCACCCATCTTAAATGAGTGAGTGTATTGGAAGATTGTGAGAGATGTAAGATCTTACGATTGGATAGAACAAGAGAATGGCAAGAAAGTATATATCACAAATCTCCAGACAGACCGTCAAATGATATAAAAAAGGGTGTCAAAGTATATTCATCCACAAGAACTTGGGTCACTGGTACAGATGAATCATATATATCAAAATCCAGAGCGGCGTTTGCACTCCGCAGTGGGAGACGGTGTTGAGATTCCGATGATGAACAATCAAACATTGTCATTGATTAGTAAATAAATTTCTTATCTCTTATCGGGAATGAGGTGAGGGGCATTGAGGGGCTCTCTTCAATATTTGGATTACATCACAACAATTACACGCAAACCTTTTGTTAATTGCTTCTCCTCGTGTCGACTTGTCTTTTTGGGTGAATGTGTATTAGCTAATATTGTTAGCTGTTAGAGGAAGCGGAGGAAGTTTATCATATGTTAGACACCTCATTGCCAACCAGGACTTGTATGTGTAGGTATGCTGTCCCTTCACCAAATCCACCCCGCACTGTCCTCTCCAGATTATTTTAACACTATGTATCATGGCTCTTTCGGCTTAAATATTGGTACATAGTATTTTATAGAATCTAAAATATAATTTCAATATTCAATCATGGAATAAATGCATCTATCTTCCTGGACGGGACCCGAAGCTGGCTGACTCGAGGTTGTTTATTATGACCATGACCATCATGATAGCTTCAAGCCCAAATCAATGAAAAGGCAAGGAGACTATGCATTTAGTAATGGGAACTGATGCCAATTATTCGCTTGACCAGCTTGCGATATAGGAGTCTCTTAGGGATGGAGGGATGTATGATTGGTGCAGAAGATAGTATTGTCCAAAATGTATTTAGCACTGATGCACATACGCACACACACATATATGTGCACATAGGAGAGTCACCCTGGAAAGCTTCTTTCTGTATATCTGATCTGTAAGCTCATACATAAACAGGCAGGAAGTCTCATGGATTAAAAATCCGTATATCGATCATTGGTTTTCACAAGAAAAGCTTACAATAAACCACCAACATCTGAGAACCTCGTTTGAACCCATGACTCACGAATCAACCACCCTAGTGCTTTTAACGTTCTACTGAATCGATGCTTTACAAGCTTACCCCAAGAGCTTGTTTCAAGATGGCGAACCGGACGGTACAATAAGGCTTAGTTCTATAACGTAGGCCCTTCCATTCTGCGTGTATCATGAAACACTCGAGAAAAAAGCTCTAAAAAAGCAGAACTCGCCACAACCTCACACTGCACCATGTTGGCGGAATACAGTGTCGAGGTTTTTCAAGCCTAATATATATTAGCGTGTTGAATTGATCGTTGCTCAATTCACCCATGGCGTGAGCTCTCCAAAGCTAGAATTTCACACCATTTTCTAGGGTCTTTGCACACTACCTACCGACTGGATACCTACCCCATAAATCAGTATCCCCTTTCAACCGTAATAGCTACCAGCTTCAAAGGTGGACTGATTCATTTTATGCCATGTTCATGCATCGCCGCAGATTGAGCCCGACTTTGGAAAATATGTATCCAAACGAACGGGTAGAAGGAAGCCGATGAGGTAGAAGAAGATGAAACCGGAGAACAGACAATGGGGCCAAAGATATTGTTAATCGTTCGTAAGGATCAACAATCATGGTTAGATCGAGCCTTGCTTTATCTATTAGTACATCCTCATTGAGTAATAGAGTACTACGTCTCTAATGGTCGAATGATCGAGCCTTCTTTTCAAGGGCCGATCAAGAACATTGTGGCGTCCAGAACCCCAAGAAGGAGGTGGAAGATGATTCTTAGATTCTCGTCCGACCCGAGAAAGATCATTAGAAATTTTTAGGTCAAACAGTAATATATTTCCTAAGATCGACTGCGAACGAATCGAGTAATACAATCCGATTACTGTATTGTGGATGACATTTCATGGAAGGAGATACTCCTGTTATGTAGCTAGGTAAGGAACGAATCCTAATGTAACCAACAATCGGGCGAACTCTCCAGATAAGGGCAAGTCGTAAGAAGATTACACAATCCTTCTAGATCACACTAAATCGTAAGCTGTTTAATATATCTGGAGTACAACTGTTAGTAGATGTACCTTAACTTACCGTCATCATACGACATATCCGAAATGGGCCTGCTCCACAGACTTTGATTTTGTGTCCATGGTTTTCAAGAGTGTAACGAGAAACTGGTGATAGCTATGAAGAGCCTGCCTGTGATCAATGTAAATTCTAGAAACAAAAGTCAAGCCGAATAACCGACTGTACAGTAATGGCGTGGTTAAGCATCGGATGCGAACGATGGAAGTAGTATGTTGCGGCATTTGTATTATGTCGTGAGGAGACGTAGGATTCGGATTTGGGGGGAGAGAAGCTTGTTCCGAATTGTTGGTGGTTTCAATGCACTTAAGGAACAAGTTTAGGTGTCCAAAGTAGTATTCGAAACAACCTTCCTGTTAGAGGTGGATGAAAACTGTAGATGCGATTGAAGATAGATATTAATTTGTAAGCAAGTCATAGATCCTTCTTATGAATTTAGAAACGGTCATTGATTGAGTAGATCTCTTTTGTTACTCAGCTCAGCGTTGAGTGATTTAATAAGGCGTCGGAGAATTGCAAATGTCCATCACCAATCACCAATCACCCATCAAGCGGTTTACCCCTGAGATTTTGGGAGATTAGTAATTGTTCAAATTCAAACGACATCAAGCCATTGCCGCGATGAGCGTTATGAATTGGATCTTTTGATGATGAGATGAGCCTCGATAATCTGATATGCGGTATTTTAGTATAATGCGGATATCTACAGTCAATCTCCAAAGATAAGAGAGATTGATTGAGTCCCACCTGTAAGTGATAAATGCATGTAGATGTACAAATAATGTATGGATACATCAATACATATGCACAAAAATGTAGAGCGTAGCAATTTACACTCATGAACACACTCGATACCACGGATTTACATTCTTTGGTCGAGAAGTCCGTACTCTTTCCGGAGTAAAGTGGTACAGGCAAGACAAGACATGCACTGAACACTTTGAACAGAATCATCAGAACCAAGCTTTTATCCCCCAAGCATCTCCGCGAGAATGATCCAATAAGCCAGAGGGACCAAAATAACAAGGTTAGAATGCTAGACATATGAAGCAATTTGAGTGAGAACAGTTGTAAGAATAGTGAAGCTGGGAAATAAGCTGGGAATGGTTACGTCGTGCTGCACGTCTTTTCGAAAAGGGGAAGTTTTGAAAAAAGGTAGAAAGCTTTCAATCACTCACTCAGCCAAGACCTTTTTTGGTCCTCACGATCCCTGATTCGCATGGTGATGGCGATTCATCCTTGTTGTCCACATGCTTTCCCTTTTTCTTCCCTTGTCCATTATTATTCATAACCGTCATGGTCTACTTCCGTACCTTGCACACACATTTGGCACGGGTGAGCCCCAGTCTATCCACTTACTCCGTACTCTGTACTCAAATCATCGTTCGCAAGAGTCAAGATTTATTAATAAGAGTTTTTCCAGCAACTAAGCATTCTTATGAGTAGTCTAAGCAGTCTAAACAGTTTAAGCAGTCCAACCAGTCTAACCAGTCTAACCAGTCCAACCAGTCCAACCAGTCTAACCAGTCTAACCACCATCCGCTACAACCCACCCCAAAAAGAGTAAACCCCTTGCACCATGCACTTTACCATCCCGGGCCTTGTCCTGCACTATTTGGATCGCTTGGTACGATGAGAAACGCTGCGACCACTGCTAACCTCTGCTACCCACCACTGTTACCACCATACAATAATATCCATAATATCCATAATATCCCCATTTCCTTATCCAAATAATCAAAACTATTTCCCCATTTGAAATACGCACCCGCCGGAATGGAAAAGGGTGTGTGTGATGGAATTTAGACCACTTGCAGCTTCACTCTGAATTTTTTTACCAATTTTCTTGACCGACTTTCAACTTTGTTTACTTACTTACCTACTTACTCCAGTATTCACCCATTCAAGGTCAGGCAAGACTTTACGTTTTGGTTTCATGTATTTCTCTGATTCCCATTTTGGCTTCATCCATATCCTTCATTTCTTGCCCATATTTTATTTAAAACCTATTATTGGAATTTGATTTACATTTGGATGACGATATCTATCACTGCATGCGATTCATGTATGATATATGTCAATATTTATTAGGTACATTGCCTTAATTGATGTTACTGCCGCCAACCCGAAGCCGGTACCGGTATATGTACCCCTCCAACGATATCGTACAATAAACGCCTAAGCATATCTGACAGTGTACTGTCTGTCTCAAATAGAAGCATCTTGGAGTCAAGTGGGTTTGATCCAGAGAAACCTTTACAACTTATCAATATCTTATTGATTCCTATCATCATTCAATATACGTCCGAGTTGTGAAGGATAGGTTTTGTGGAAGTCGAACGGCGCGTCGCCATTAATTTGCAACAGCATTTCTTCACGAGAATTTTATTGATCATCTGGAACCGTGGAACCTCTCGTCGATATTGCATGATCAGAATCGAATCCATTCGAACATTGGTGGTAGGGATATAATCCTTTGGTTTTGAAGGTATCATTCCGGAGAACAATGATTTCCAGCAAAGAGATTTGAGCAAGTCTCCATTCAATCTTCTTCCAGGTGGGTTGACCATAACGGCAACGGCTGTTCATCAGGTGGATTTGGAAAGAATAAGAGTACGGAGGAGATGTGCTAATATTGTTTTATTATTCGATTAGACAATTCGAATACCTATACTCCACTTCATTATTTGGTCCGCTACAACGATCGATTAAACAAGTGGCACGTTACGGCCCTAGTCCCAGTCACAGACTCCAATACTATCTATATCTTCTACCTACCATAAAACTTATTTAATTAAGACTTCGCCATTCAAATTCTGCACCTACCACGCGGGATACTACATATAAAACTCGACATTAACAAGTCAAAATCAAAATCATAATTGGATCCAAACACTCTTGATCCTTCCACTCCCACTCCCATTCCCAAAAGAAAGGGAAGGAGCGGGAAAGGAGCGGAAAAGAAAGAGAGAAGAGTAGGAAGGAAACATATTTTTGCTGTTACTCTCTGGGGGAGGAGAAGGTCAAGTTGAAAAGTAAATCGGCAGATAAGAAGATCTCTTCATCGAAACTTGAGAGAGATTCACGATCGAAGTCACAATTTGGAAGTCAAAGTCGAAAAGGCGCCTCAAAAGTTAAAAAGCTCCACGATATTAGTGATTAAAATACAAGGGGTAAAGGAAGGAACTTACCATAACAGATACCATATCAAGCTAGTCTCTTTAAGGTCAAGATCTAACCCAGATAGGCATCCTAGCCACTTTTGATACGGTACAATTACTTACCCACCAAATTTGAACTTCGACTTCTACTCCGACCATGCCATCGTTATCCTACAGTACAACAACGGAGGATCGTCTGCCATATTCACTACCTACGAATAACACCTTGTCGAACCCTCGATCCAATAATTCCACCTTCAATTCGACTTTGAATGCACCAGTCAGCCGTCTCCAACGAAAACCCTCATTTGGGAACACCCGCCAGATTGCGCCCCATCCTCAAAATGAATCCCAAGATGCTATAGGAGAATCGCGAAGACAGCCGAGGCAACCGCATAGCCGCTCTAGTAGTACAAGTGGTGTCAAGGAATCAACGGGAACTCTCAATCGGTGGAGTCAATCGACGGCTTCAAGTGCAGGAGGACATATTCGCAGTCGTTCTAACTCAATTTCGCGTTTGAATTTCGGCGGATCTGGGTTATCTGGGAATGGTGTCGGCCAATCCCCGCCGAGAAAATTACAAAAGAGTCGACCTTCAATTGATAATAGCCCTCAGTGGAGAGGACCGGCAGAACGGTCCACGAACCCCTCTCACCTGCCATCCCTGCCGCCAATTATCACTCTACCAGTTCCACAGCAACCCAGAAGCCATTCCCCATCACAATTGGCAAGTGCGCTGACACCATCTACCGCCGGATTGTTGTCAGCTGCTATTCACTCCACTGTACCCGATTACTACGAAAAAACTTGGGAAGGTTCCAGACCCCGAGACAATTCTCAACGGCGATCGCCTTCAAGGTCAGGAAATCACAGCATTAGCCCTTCGCCCATTTCTGCTTTCTCGACTGAACACGCATTACGTCGGCGTCCCTCCGAGGAAGAGCCAAGTATAGCGAGGGGACATTCAAGAAACCGCTCAAGAGCTGAAAAAAGTAGTAGTTCTTCTCGAAGTTCTAAGCAGCCTTCGCAAAAAGCCATGCTGTCCAAAGCTCTGCAAAAAGCGAACACGGCAGTATTACTCGACAATGCGCAAAATTATGAAGGTGCCATGCAGGCGTATTCTGAGGCATGTAATTTATTGCAGCAGGTTATGTCCCGTAGCTCGGGAGACGAAGATCGGCGCAAATTAGAAGCCATTGTGAGTATTGTATCAGACGTCGATTGTTACTATTAACTAACGTCTCTAGCGTAATACTTACACTAGCCGTATAAATGAATTGGCAAAGATTACGCCCGAGTTAAGTGATGAGAAGGCACTCCCTGCCAGGCCTGTAGACACAGACGTTAGATCGGACGAGCTTCCAATGACCGATGATGATGATGAGCTTGCTACTATAGAGACAGCCACCGTTACGAGGATAGTCAACGATTCTTCTTACACGAACGGATCTCGGCATGATCGATCATATTCGAGGAGTAGGCAATTGCCTTCGCGAGGTGAATCTTTATTGCCTTCAGCCATTGAACCTCAACAGACCCAGGATAGAAACTACTCTGATCAACGATCAAATTATTTCTCCAGATATAATCAATCCCAGGGACGAAATTTTGAATCGAGTTTAGCCGTACCTATGGACAGCCAGTATATGCCACCTCCACTATCTCCGAGACGACCTCCGTCTCCAATGACATATGGGCCATCTGGCTCTGATCATCGAAGACAGAAATCTTCTGAATCGCCCAGATCGAGCTCGAACTCAAATTCGAATTTGGCCGCCCCTGAGGATTCCAAGGGGCATGCACGAGCACCGAGTAATGAATCCATGTCATGGTTAGATACTATAGATGAGTCTGGCGGTTCAGCGGCTTCATCTGTACACTCTAGATCCTCGTCTCTAAATGTAAGGAGGAAGCATATCCGTGCCTCTAGCGGTCAAACTGAAGCCGAATTTGATGCTGCCCTGGATGCCGCCGTTGAAGCCGCTTACGATGATGGTTTCGAGCCCGTAGATTATGATGACGACGAGGGCGACGATGATGAAATTGTAGCGAGTGTTAGGCGAAGAGTCGAACTAGCAAAGGAAAGGGTGCGTCAAAGTGAAAGAGAAGCTATCATAGAGGATGCTCGTGAAAGAGAGCGAAAACGGTTATTCCTGCAAATGCAAGAGCCACATATTGGCCCACATGATGACTATGAGGGAAACGAGTCAGAAGAGGAGGAGAGGATGCTTGAAGAAATGACCAGAGGTTACGTGATGGACGATTTCGAATTCGGGCTCCAGTCGAAGTCTGCACTGCCTCGAGAGTCTGATTCCAGCGGGTCATTTTCTGGTCGGACTTGGCATAGCTCAAATGGTTCAATACCCCCTCTTACCACTGTCACCGCACCATCCACCACATCACCTGTAACTTTATCGCCGCCTCGAAATCAGCCACCCCACCCGCCTCCTTCTCAAGCGTTACCTCCGCCGCCGACGCTCGATGGCAGCCCGCTGAGAAAAGGTAGTCCAGCACAAAGTGTACGAAGCAGAAGACTATCTGGTCAGAATGCTAAGCAGCTAAAAATTGAGACTTCATCAAGGTTGATTGAAGTTCAAAATGCTCCCTTAACTTTGCCTCCATCAATGCCGCCGCCACAGGTTCCCAGCGGCCACACAGGTCCCAAAACTGCCGGGTTACCACAACAGAGACTAGGCTCGATAAGCATGCGACCACCTATTCCCTCACGACAAGGTTCGATTTCAGGACCAAGCTCTTCAGATTTTACTTCACCTCCGACAGCCTTCCTTACTCAGACACTCACAAATGATAGCAGCGATAATTTTAATCCTATACCTCGGTCAGGATCGCCAAACCGTTCTCACTCAAGAGCAGGACTGCGAAAAAACTTTTCGTCGTCGAGTTTGAAGAATCTTCGGGGTCATACTTTGTCGGTTTCCAACATGGACGAATTTGGTGACACTACCACGCCTTTAACTGCCCAAGGAAACAATGCCAATGGTAGAATGCATGCTATGCCCACTCTTCCAACACCAATAGCTGCGGCATTCAAAGAAAGGATGAATGGTGCGCCTACCGGTGGTTTATATCTTTTCAATAGTGATCTTCACTCCCCAGACAGCCTTGGCTCACCCGACGCGATGAGTGCAGGCGCACCAATTCCCTTAGAACCATGTCCAACAGAGTATCTCCTTCGCCCGTTCTGGCTCATGCGCGCTTTATATCAGACTATTGCACATCCGAGAGGTGGCTACCTATCTACTAAACTATTTGTACCTCGAGATGTATGGCGGGTGAAAGGTGTCAAGATTAAGGGAGTTGAAGACAAGATTGCCAATTGTGACTTTCTTACAGCAGCTCTGATGAAGCTGGGTCAAGTTGATACTTACGATGCGGATGCTGTTTTGGAAGAAATGCAATCTCTAGAGGGAATTTTGGAGCAGGTTCAGATCACACTGAGCAAGAAGCTAGGCAGTGAAGTTGGCGTACAAGGTTCAAACGGGATGTTCAAAGATGCAACCATGGGTGAAAACATGGATTTTGCTAATATGAGCTCAAAATCTGGAAGCGTATCTAGCAAGGCCTCTTCCTTTTCGTGGAGACGCCTACGTTCAAAAAATTCCGCCATGAGTCTTGGCAACAATTATTCGAATAAGGTCACCTCTCCTGAGATACCCAAGGAAGGACTAACTATGGGCACTTTACCAATGACCTCTGCGCCTAGGACTCGATTCGCCAAAAGAGATGTAGCTCAAGTGCAATTCTCTGGACCGAATGCAAATTACATGAGTGCTTTGGCGAGACTATTTGACGCTGCACAAGCTATTGGTATGTAGTATCCTTAGTACACTTTTACTTATGAAAAAGCTAACTAAAATAGATCAAATTGCGCGTCAAGTTGAAGATCCTGGTCTTCGCCATGCAGACAAGACTCAAGTCGGTCTTGAACTTTGCACGCGTCACGCAGCCGAGTTTTTCGGATTTTACATCTGTCGTTTTGTGTTAAATGACATCTCATTACTTTTGGACAAATTCATTAAAAGGGGAAGTGAATGGGTTCTTGTGTGAACCTTGGGGTTCTTATTTGTGTTGATATTTTTTGGATTGATATTTAGCCAGGGTGCTGGGAGCTAGGAGCTAGGGTGCACATGACATTACATCAGGTGCATGGTTTCTAATATTAGCACTGGTCAGTTCTGTTATGAGGAGGATGGACATAGACATGATATATTATGGGGTATCATGTCGTATCATTGGCGTCTCGGGATTGTATTATTCTACACTCACCATATATAAATATGGAGTGTAGTTTCGTTTCGTTTGGGATTTGGTGATGGTGGCATGCAAAGTTTTCAATGATACCATTATAACGGGAAAGGAAAGGGCAGGAAAGGGAAGGGAAGGGAAAGGAAGGACATGACAATATAGGGAACAGAGGAAAGGGTACAAGAAGAAGAGAAGGAGTTAAAGATGGAAACAGGAGTAAAAGAGATGGAGATAGTGTTGTTATCCATAAACGGGAAAGAGACATTTGTATAGGTTGCCTTTGCATATCACAGGTACCGTACCGAGGTACTTGTAGGCAAAGATGATGAATGAAGAGAAGAGATGTGGTTTATGTTATCTGAGATTATTAGGAAAGAGTAAAGAAAGTATAGTGGATTTATACACATCAGATATCAGATATCAAATGACTATTACATTATATCACATCATAATATTTTACCTACTCATAAAGATTAAATTGTTGATATTTTTATTACTTAGGTATTTAAATATCTCGTAATCCCTCCATCTCATCTCATCTCACCTTTCCCCTCTCTCCTGAGTCCTTATCCCTCTCCCTCCATCAATTTCTCCACCCACAACTCAAAAATCCAATCTCCTCTCTTCCCCATCATTCTTCCCCCCATTCAAAAAAAACCACATCAAAACCAAACTCCAAAAAAACATACAACAGTAGGGATTCGCTGGTGGTCACCCACCCAACTACTAATCTACCGATCTGAAGCTTGTGTATGGCAGAGCGGACGGGATGCCCAATTCTCTTCAGTCTATGGTCGTATGTGACTGTCTCTGAGAAATTAGATGTTATATTGGGAGAAAAAAGGGGAAAGGGTGTGCAACGATGGTGATGTTGTGGTAAACTACTAGGCTAGTTTTAATAATAAAACTCAATTGCAACATCAAGTTCAAAACTCACAGTCAAACATCAAATAACTCAAAAAAAAAAAAAAACATTATCATTTAAATTTCATATTCTCCTATTACAGTTGCGCGAAACTGATGACAAATAAATCATAAAGTCATAAAGTGAATCGATTCTGAGTCCGAGATAATACAAAGACGATACGGGATACCCCACCCATACGTCAACCCTTCCTTCCTATACCTAACCCCTTTCCCTTATTCCATGCCATATTACATCAAAACCTAATACATTTACTCGAATGGGTTGGTGTGAGTTCCCCACCAAGTGAGGAAAAGAGAGAGACCGACAGTCTCGAAGACGCGAGCAAGAGCTCCGACGGCAACGGTGTCGAGTGGTCGCTTCTCAGTGGTGATTTGTGCGATGAACTAAAGTTTGTTAGTACTTTATTCTCTTACAAGATTTCCGTTTTCATGGTTTATAAGGATGAGTAAAGGGGACATACAGAAGGAGCAGAGGAAGCCATGAAGATCAAAGATCCCAAGTATGCAGCACCCTTATATGAAAGGGTACCAGTAGCATTGATCAAAGCTCCAACACCATATGATTGGACAGCACTACCAATGAGAGAAGTTCCCCATGCAGCAGCAGCGGAAGCGGCTTCCTTTGACTTAACAAACTCTTCTTTGGAGTTGGCAGCTTGAGCTCTGTGGTAGGTATCGCCAAAGACTGGGCCAAGGACAGCAAGGGAGGCGGCGTGGTTGAAGATTGTGCCGAGGGCAATAGCCGATGGCTTGACTGGTGGAAGATCTGTTGGGAATATGTTAGTCGAGGCTAATTGGTGGGGTTGAAGGATATTGAGGGGGGATTGAAGATGGATAGTGATGATTTAATGATGAATTGGGAGAGAGCTTTGATGGCATTCAACTTGGGAAGTGTAATTGATGAACAACTTCTGAGCTTGATGTACATACAAAGCTCTCTCACAATATCTTTAACATCATCGCCCAACCGATCCAGCAGCTCTCAAATCTAAGGAGTCGATAGTAGTAGTATAATACATACAGTGAAGAGACATGATGTGAGTTTGTAGTGGTTGATTGAAAGATTAATTAAAAGTACTTGAAGGACTTGAATTGAATTATTGAGTTATTGAAGAGATTTGAATTGATTTGATTGTGATGATGAGTAGAAGAGAATAGAAATCTGGAAGGGAGGGACAAAGAATAGATTTATGTAGCGGGGTGAAGAGAAGCTAAGGCCATTACGGATAAAGTTGGAAGGCACGTCATGGAAAAAGTTCCAAGGCAGGTGAATACCGGTACTGGGTTTATGAGAGGTTGGCAAAGATACCTAGGTAGGTATGGAATAATGCCAAAATTGGTGAAAATTTATCGGAAAATGGCTTTTTTGGAGATCAACATGGGAGTTTTCATTATTTGCCATGATGGTTGGATGTGGAGCTTTCATGATCCACTATGAATCTAGAATCTGATGGAGAGAAAATACGGAGTACGTCTCTCCTGCAGGTGTATTTATACGGTAATAGTCAATGAATCTATATGTAATTGATGATTTATTATTCAGGCACAAGGTATTTAGATATGTTACCTACGTAGGTGTATAAAGATAATAGCCCTATGAAGATATATAAACATGAGGATATAAACTAATTTGATAATTCACAATTAACCCCAAATGTAAGCTATTGAATTATACTTACCCGACCAAAGAGACAAATAGATCGATCACTCACATTTTAGCGCCACCAATATTTGACCATCGAAAAATAAGTTCCATTCCGTTCGATGTAGTACGTACTTTGTACCTGTACCTAGATTCCATCCCCTCATCTAGTACCTAGTTACAGTTCCAATGTTCCACTATTCCACCCTCCATCCCCACTTCCACCTGTTTTCTCGAGCTCTGAGCTAACTTCCCCACAAGTCTTTCATCGCAACGACGCAACCCGATTTATCCCAGAGTGACATCATAACACGGACCTTCAACTCCAACTTTTGACATTGTGGCGTTGTAGATCATCATATTGATCACGAGCTTTTTGTGGCTTAGTTCCCGCCGCTTTTATTGATTCCCGTCTTTAAATCATAAACCATCGTTCTTGTGTCTTAGTGACTAATTTAACCTTAGGCATTGATTTATCTCGTGCAGTCGCATTATTTTCCCGCGAGCCTGCAATAATCTCATCCCAAAGACGCGCAAGCTTTTCATCCTACCCTGAAAAGCCGAAACACAAGCTTAGACCAATCAAATCTATTTTAAACATGAAACTTTAAACTAAATTTAATTTCTTGGCACGTGATGCTTGTTATTGAATTGGTTATTTTTTCATATTAAAATATAATTTTCATTCAAAGCACTAAAAGCCCCTATTTTGCTAGTTGTCGCCGGTAATACTTCTTTTCTGAGATTTCGTATTATGGTCTTTAAATGCTTGGTTTTACTTTACCTTTTGGACTTGGATGGTTGTGAATATTGAAGGCATAAGATATGGAGGATCAGGAATCTTTATTGGGTGACAGTCGACCTTACTCGAATGGAAGGTTGAGAAATGGTATTGCTAACGCCTACCAATACGCTTATCCAAATAGGCAGCGAGCAGGATTTTGGAGAATATCTTTAATTGTGTAAGTGGGATTTATCCTTTTTTATTTAAAGTACAAAAATGTACCTCTTGTTAGGTACTTGTACTTGATTGCACTTCTCCATATTCTAGTTTTAAGCTTATCAATTAACCAACAAATTATAGGCCTTGCTTATTTTTAGCTACACTCTTCTTAACTCCATTCTATATGATGAATAATAAAGTACAATCAAAGGGTAGACATATGGAGTTTAGAAATGTTGTAGGGTACTTTCTACAAGATGATCAGAATACTGATTCGGAAACCTTTAACTACACGGTGAGTATCTACAATCATAATGTTGGGTAGCATACTAACATAACTTTAGGCGATGAACTTTGGATTGAAGGATCGTGTGTATGATACCGATGCAGAATTTGACCCAGAGAGGCAGAAGACCCAATGGGAAAGATTTGAGAACCATATTGTGAAGCTCAACAATCAAACTCCTGCGAATGTTCAGTATAAGGTTCTTTACTGTATGTATTCACAAATACTTCCATCACATGATATACAACTGACTTTTCGAAGTGGGGCGTCATGGGGAAGGCTATCATAATATAAAAGAGACTGAAGTGGGGAAGGAAGCATGGGATGTATGGTTTATCTGATTATAAAAGTATCTGATTCTCACTAACTCCGATAGTGCTATTGGTCTCATTTGGATGGAGATGCAAACTCGACCTGGGCTGACTCTAACCTTGCCTCCACCGGTGTTGCCCAAGCTCTTGTCGCCAACAACTTTTGGCAAACTCTCATCACCACTCAAAAGATATCTCCACCACAATCTTACTACGTCTCACCTCTGACTCGTTGCCTCGAGACCTGTTCCCTCACATTCAGCAACCTAACACTCCCTCCCTCCTCACCTCCATTCATACCCATCATCAAAGAACTCCTCCGTGAAGGAATATCCTCCCACACTTGCGACAGACGTCGCTCAAAAACCTACATCCATTCTCTCGCTCCCACCTGGCAATTTGAATCCAAATTCCCGGAAGAAGATCCACACTGGCGGGCCAATTACTCCGAAACTCACGACGCAGAAAATCATCGATTTAAAGCCCTCCTCGATGATATATTCACGAATGATAACAATACCTTCATCTCACTGAGTTCCCACTCCGGAGCTATCAACACCATCTTACGAGTAATCGGTCATCGAACCTTTTCCTTAAAGACAGGAGCTGTAATTCCCGTCATAATCAAAGGACAAAGTGTATTAGGAGCAGATCCAAATCCAATCTACAAAGGTCCCGTCTACGCAAAAGATCCAAAAATATGTTCAGCGCCTCCATCTGCGTCCGATACTCCAAAACCAGTAAATGATATTGGTTTACAAAAACCCGCCGAGATTATTCCTCCTTCCTCACAGCCTCTAGCTTCAGAACCCGCCGACCAAATCCCATCTGCTGAACCAAATCCCCCAACCGATTCAATCCCACTCACGGAACCTATAGATCCAGCACCCATGGAAGCGAATCCTCATCCTACCGAACAAAATCCTCCTCCAATCGAAGCAGCTCCATCTACAGATATAGCCGAAAATCCATCTACCGACTCAATTCCAGCTCCAGCTCTACCAACAAACCAAGATTCAAACGCACCACCATCTGCCCGCTAAACCCGTGTCTAAACTCCATAAACACAACTCCCTTTAAACAAGTCCGTCAAGACAAACAAACAAATAAACAAACAAAACTATCCGATCCCAGATTCCAAACTCCATACATACCATACCACTCATCAAACTCCTAGATATCCCAAAGAAATCAATAACAGAAATAGAAATAGAAGTAGAATTAAAAATAAAATAAAACACCTCGCAGTTCATAATTCTCAGATATCTAGATATATTCTTTAAGGTATTCTCTATACCGTCTCTAATGTAGAATGAATGACTTTTGTAGACTCCAGGTATATACGAATATAATATAATAAAATATCCCGTATCCCAAGCCAGCCAGCCAGCCAGCCAATATACCATACTTTTAATAGGTACCTATCCTCATCTCACGCATGCATCCGCATCAAAGCGAAAAGACACCAGAAATGAGAAAAGAGAATCACATCAAACTCTGCCACTCACTCACTCACTCACTCACTCACTTCCCCTCCCTAACAGGCAAAACCTCATTCTTCTCCACCAACTCCCCGACCCCCAAACCACGCCCAACCTTAACCTTTCTCTTCTTCTCTCCCTTCTCCCCCGCTCCATCCTTCCCCTCCTCCAACATCGCCTGAACATCCTTCTTACTCCCCGCACTTCCCACCGCCTCCCCCTCATCTTCATCCACCTCATCTAAAATCTGTTCGCGAATATACGATAAATCCAAATTCATGGAGTACGCATCTTCACCATCCGCATAATATTTTGCTTCGATTTTTTCAGTCTGGAAACCGAGAGTGTCGCGGTAGAGACGGAGGGCTGCTTGGTTGGAGACGCGGACGTGCAGGGAGACGTATTGAGCGGAGAAGGTTTCTACCATTGCTTTTTCTGTTGTTTGGGGGGGAGATGGTTAGCTTTGTTCTTGTTGTATTATATCATATCTCCAAGAATCCCTCTCATCGACCTCAAATTCCCCAAAATCCACTCCATCTTAAAAGAAAAGAAAACAAAACAAAACAAAAACCTACGACTCTGCCTCATCAATTTCTCCGCAATCCCCAACCTCCGATGCGTGCGCATAACGCTCAAACTCGTAATATGACCATGCTGCACGCCATCCTGCGGATCCTCCTCCATTTTCGCAAGCACATAGCCGACGATGCGGGGATAATCGTAGGGGGTTTTGGGCGGCCGCGAGACGTCTACTGCGACGTAGGAGAGTTGTGGCCAGGAGATTGCGTGGTAGAGGTAGTATTTTAGGAAGTAACTTTTTTTTGGAGAGGGGGCATGTTAGTGGGATGATTGGGGGGAGGGAGGGAGAGGGGGGAATGGAGGGGTAGAGAGGGGAGAGAGAGGAGGGGAAACGAACTTTTCGGGAAGATTGGTTATATTTGCATGTTGAACATGTGGAATATCCGAAGGATGTAAGAGTCTAATATCCATTTTTGCAATAGTTGATAGGTGACCAATGTAATATAATTTTTCAAAGGATGGTAGGTAGTCAACAGTTTTCAATCGAACAGCCTAGTTGATTCGTTGTGAATTTCCGAGCTCAGTCAATGTGTGATTGATTAAGGTGCAGCAGAGCTCCCAAAAATCAAAGCAAAGCAAAAACAAGCAATATAACAGGTGCGCTTACCAGAACCCAAAACTAAGGAAATGATAAATGGACCCCGGGGATTTTTATGCCGACAATCGAGGGATACCCCACCATGTGAGTGCAGCGGGTGATGGGTGAGGAAGAAACTAATTAACTCTTTGATATATATAGTGGGAGTTTATTCTTCGTTTACTGTAGGATTACTTAGGTTCCTATATAAGGTTGAGTTGATATCTCGTCTCTCTTGTTTTTCTCTCGTGGTTGCTTCTTTTATTTATTCATCCATTCATTTCCCCCTCCTCCATAATTTGGGAGGATTTATATATATATATACCTACTCAGTCATCACTTTTCTCCCTGTGTGGTATAAAATTACTATTACGACTCACTCACTCCGCAATAAAACCTACACGATGGCTTCTAAAGGTTATAGACCCTTGGAGGGAAAACTTGCTATTATTACTGGTGCTTCAAGAGGTAAGTTGGTGTATGTGTTACTATTATATATATACATATTCACAATCTTCCTCCCATTTGTGTCCTTCCTTCTTTTCTTCCCATATTAATTTATATATATATATATACACTTTACAAGACACAACAACCCAACTAACCAAACCCCAGGAATCGGAGCAGCAATCGCTGAAAACCTCGCATCTAAAGGTGCCAACCTTGTTCTAAATTACACATCCAATTCATCATCCGCTCTCACCAGCGAGCTCTCCAAGAACCTCGAACAAAAACACAACATCAAGACTCTCATTGTCCAAGCCGATGTTTCTGAAAAATCCGGCGCAGAAATTATCATCAGCACCACTAAATCTCACTTCTCAGATGCGCAATCCGGAAAATTCCAAATCGATATTCTGATAAATAATGCTGGTGTATCTCAAAATACACCCATTCCAGATATCACCATCGATGAGTTCCAATGGCAATATAAAATAAATGTTCTCGGTCCACTTCTTCTCTTACAAGCCGCTCTAGACTATCTCCCCCATGATAGATCCGGTCGTATCATCAATCTATCCTCCGTATCCAGTTCTGAGGGCTTCTGGGGACAAACTGTCTATGGTGGTACTAAAGCGGCTGTAGATGCCATGACACGAACCTGGGCACGAGAATTAAACAATCGCGCAACAGTGAATTCAGTTAACCCTGGACCTGTGAAGACGGATATGTGGGCTGGTACTACTGCGGAATTCAAAAAGAATTTAAAACCTTGGATTGAGAGTACTCCAGGGAGTGTGATTAGACCAGAGTTGGATGATCAGGATTTGATAGATGATGCGCCAATTGCTGGAGGAAGACCGGCCTATACATCTGAGATTGCAGGCATTGTGGGCATGTTGTGTACGAGTGATAGTACTTGGTGTACTGGACAGGTTGTGTGTGCAAATGGAGGAATGGTTCTGAGATAGTGTTGCCATATACGACCCTGTGTATTGCTTCTCGGTTTGTCCATAAAGGATAGATTTTGGGCCGAATTCGGATTTATCAATAGGCATAACCGTCCAGATTTTGAAAGCGAACATTGCTTGTACCCTGCAGACCATTTGTCCAATGTGCTGTGAATATCATAAATTGCTGCCAGACCTTCGTTAGCCATCCCTGGCTTTTAGCAGATATATTTGAAAGGAGTGCGCAGGAGTCAGCCAATTCAAGGATGGTTATCGAGATCGAATGATAGGTGCTAGGTCTTTCCTATAGACGTGCAAAATAATTCCTTGGACTAATAAGATGAAAAGTAGATGTGAAGTTGAAGCGCGACGAGAACTCTTAAGACTTTTTGTGAATGAGAGTCGAGTTGATGTTACAACGCTTGCATTATGACGTACGCTATTGATGACGGTGTATAATCTTTGAAGCCATCACTCAATTGCGAATGAAGTCTTACAGTAAATTGGCGGCGAAGAGTACTAATGATATCTTTTAGGTTGTAATGAGTCTCAACTCTTTTGGGGATTGATATGGAGGACCCCACCGACCTGCGGCTTGTCGCGCTGGATATCCGATCTAGAACAAGAGACACAGCATAGTATATGAGTTGGTTTGGTTTGATGTTCAATATGCATTTCGTTCGAAGCCGTGTTATATCTGCCCTTTTCGATAACATAGCTTCTTTTCATAGTGATGTTGTAACCCAGGGCTTCTGATCGCAAATTCTCATGTCGTTGAATTGTACTGGTGCATTAAAGGTACTAGTAAGTCCCCATCTCTTCCTTGCTATGCGTTCGCTCCATGTATTCGAGGCTCTTCTTAGTCTTGTGCCATAAATTTGCCGTCATTTAATCACCATAAATTAGAAAAAGAACTCATGAGATGACAGTACGAGGCTGGTGTTTATAGATGGAACTGGATAATGAACGAAACAAGGCGAGAACGATCAAGTGTTAGATCTCTCCGAGTGCACCACTCCATCGTTGATATGGTAACAGAGCGAATCGTTCTAGATAGTGCCTTCATTCTCAAAAGCTCCAGAGGAAGAATCAAGATGACTTGATTCCGTGAACTATTATATCTCTGGCAGAAACTGGAGACGAGCTACTATGCAAGTATCTAATTGCTTGACGATTCTTGTGAGAGAAATGCGGCTCGTTAAGTTCCTCTACATAAGTTTATGTGTCGACATCAGCACTCCAAGAACTTATTTGATGCGGAACTTGCTGGCTTCGAGTGACGCAAAGCTAAATAAAATGTCAGCATTACAAACGTGTTCTGTATATAGAAGAATTGCAAAACAACAATAATCTTCAAGGTCGATATTGGTAGTAATGACTTACTTGGAGCGATCCATATTTCATAGTACCATTCCTCACCACGAGGCCCATTATTTGGTGATAAAGCAACGAAAGACCCCGCGGATTTCGCGGCAGCCATCATTCCAAGATGAAGTTTTACAATGGCAAGTTCAAACATGGTATCAAATTCTGGCTGACCTGTAATCTTCAAATATTGAAGATTTTCCAATTTGCCTATAAGTAACTGGGAGCGATGGTAATTATCCAAAGCTGCTTGTGAATGGTAATCGATAGACAAATAATGAGGATGAACATTGTAAAAATGCTCTTTTGCTGGTGTTTCCACTTGTAGTCTAGGGATTATATACATCGGCCAGGGATAACTTAAGCTTCCCGGAAAAGTAGGAATAAGATGTAAAGTAAGTGAAGTCAACGGAGCATTGGATGCTAAGATCTCCTCAAAAACTGGTTCCAGTAACGCGGTATCGGAAGATGGTGCAGATATTTCTAGACTCTTCAGAAATCGGACACAATTATGTGTGATAGAAAAAGCAAAAAGACATAGCGAGGGTCGATATAACATAAATCGAGGGTTCGTCCGACACAAGAATTCGGCAGCATCATTCAGGAACCAACGGTTTACGTTGAACAGAACCGCCCCTTCATGGGTAAAAAAGTTGTGACATTCTGCTTCAGAGAATATATCATCTCGACACCTCAAGTGTCTGAAGAGGTATGAATAAATTTCATGCCGAAGCTCGGCTGGTAAATTAAAAAATCCACTACATTGTCGTGAGATTTGAGCTTCATCTTGAGCTTCATCTTGAGCTTGACCTTGACCTTGAGATTGAGCCTGAGCTTGATCTTGATCTTGATCCCGTTCCCGAGAGAAAAGCTTTCGGGCTGTTTCCAATAGTCAGTTGTGTGGCCACAAATTGACCTTATGGTGGATCGTACTTTTAAACTTTGATAGAAGATATTGAATCCTTTTATGTACCCCAGATTTGCAGGTGACCTTGTCGTGAAGACGGTGTAAACGTTGTGGTACGTGCGGCATGGTCAGTGAAAATTGTAGATCACTGCAAAGTCAGATATCGGATGAGGCGGGATGCAGTTGGAAGGAAGCGACAAGATGAAGTCCGAGATAGAACAAAGTAGGATTCAAGGTAAGGCGTGATGTGATGCACGTTGGTGGCTTGATAAATGGATGTTGTAACACATGTTAAGAATGTGCTCGTAACTTTTCCCTTATACAAATTTAACGAACCAAGCAATATCAGCTGTCATCTGCCATCTGCCATCTGCCACTTAATTGAAAAGCGGGATTCAGGGGTAGGGGAAAAAATGGCGAGGTTTACCTCGTGATTACAAACATTCGAGAAAGTCGGAGTGATTGAATTTGGGTGTAATTTAAACTTCCTGATTGAGGCGACGATCAAAAAGCTTAATCCTTGTGGAACGATCAATGAGAGACTCAAAGCGCTGAAATGTCTTGCTCTCTCCCTGGTCAATACGGGAATAAAATAATAAATAGTCGAGTAAAAGACTAGGTAATCTCTAAAGTCAACGTCAAGCGGCTTGTGACAACAGGAATACTGGCCACGACTAGGGACACAGTTTGGTACCGAAAAGAACTCGTCAGCACGAAAATGTGATTGAAGAAAATCGTGCATGAAAATATCATACGAATGCAGGATTTCAGGGATTATAGCCATGGCACATAGCGGCAGATGGTTAAGATGTAACGGTAGTACCGTAGCAGCAACGGCAACGGCAAAAGAAATGGATTCTTAAATAGTACGAAAGCAGGGCTGCAGGAAACGCGGCGTCAGTAGCTGTCTAGGTACGGAGGTAATGACTTGAAATCCGACACAATCTATGGCTTCACTGAAACACGAGAACGATATAACCAACCGTGCACTAAAAAGACGGCTTGAAATTCAATATTAAAGGAAAGAGGGAAGAGGGAAAGAGACCAATGAATCCACGAGATTGCGATAACCTATCTACCTAGGTACGTACGGAGTAGTATATATTGAACGTTGTATAAAAAGCATGACTTTCCGTCGACATCGGAGATTAGAGAGACGGCTTGGGGTATTCGACCGTACAGTAGTTCCGTTCAATTCTGATGCATAATAGTACCTAGAAAAGTACGAATCTAATTGAAACTTGACAAATAACAAAGAGAAGAATAGAAAGAAGCTTCTTGTAGGTACCTAGGTATAATATTAGTTGTATTGTGCCCTTGCCCTCGTGCAACTAGATTTGACGGTTCTTTATTTTTATTATTATTTTGAATTAAAGACTCCGACTCCGAAATTAGCCACTTTATATACCTATTTTCCCTTGAGCACGGTCTAGAAGAGAATCATAAAGCGATATTGGTTATCCATCCGATATATCCCCGATCCGTTTAGACGCAGGAAAACCCTCTCAAGATAAGAAAGAAAGGGAAGGAAACGAATTGCAATCATGCAAAGCAGTAAATAGCAAGAGGTAGAAAAATCGAGGTGTCGGTGATCCTATCCTCTTTTTCCACTCAAAAATTAATCTATTTTCATCAATCATTGTGGAGTTCGCGGAGTATTTTGTCAAAGATCCCTGGATCAAATAATATCGCCTCGAGATAGCTCCCGAAGCCGCATTGGACAGCTAGCATAGCACAGCTCCTTTTTGATTTGCATCTACACCGTAGGTTAATTACTCGACGAAAACAGAGAACTGAAGAGCTATATATCGAATCTCAACATAAAGATAAAGTATAGCAAAAAGATCAAAAGCTAGCTTTATGATAGACTGACTGCTTGGCTACAGATGTGGAAAAAAAGCCTTTCATTCTTATATCCCAAATCCAATATCCCAAACATTGTTAATTACATTCAATAGTTACAGTTTCAGAAAAAGATAACCAAGAAGACTTGAAATACAAGAGATCTGACAGAAATCCATTAGATCCTCCCCAACACCATAAAATTCTGTACTTGAAAACACATATCGAACACCTGGGTACCATATCATAACATCGTCGCAATACAATAATCAAATCACCGACCAAAAAGTCTCTCATATGCGTATTCCACAATCATAAAAAATCCTAATACCAATCAAGAAGTGAAATCACCATATTAATCGAACAATAGAAACTCCGGTATTTTTTATCATGGCCGTTATACATATCATGGTCAACGCTTTTCCGAGGCAAAGACCTTCTTTCCCAATGTCATGAAGCTCTTGAAAGCATTCTTGGGTTTCTCCCCTGCTGCCTCCGCTGTACGAGAGCCTCGAAGTGGTGGCATCTCTGAACGAGGCCCCTTTGAACTATAGGAATTTGAATGGTGCCTCGTCGGCCGTCTTTCGCGATTACTTGGCCTTGAGCTAGGTTTTGGTTCTTGGTTGTCGGCATCTGGCTCCGATAATTTGCCGAATTTTCCTTCGACATCTCGCTCATTGGCCTCTCGTTCCTCGTTTTCTCTTTCCTCTCGCCTTCTTCGTCGCTCCTCACGATGTCGGCGTCTCAACTCGTCATCTTTTTCTCTTTGCAGTTTGTTTTCCACTTCCGCCTCCTCTTTCGCAAGCTTCTCATGCCTCCTCATCTCCCTGCGAGCTCTTCTTGCTTCTTTCTCCTCCTCCGTCTTGTACTTCTCGCTGGTAGATTCTCGTCGACTCGGTTCTTTCATGGTATTATAAGTTCGTTCCGACTCTCGGCGGGAGGAGGAGTGCGAGTGATGCGGATTTGAACGAGAGGATGACTTCCTTGTACCTGAACTCATCTTTGGACGTTCTGGCGCCATGTCATATTGTGGAGATCCCGCCTCATCGACGATAGAATCTCTCCTTGAGCGTGTGATGGGGCTAAGTTTCTCTTTGATTTGTGGTTCATCATTGGCTATAAATGGACTGATAACCTCGCTTTTGACACGCCTCTTGAGACTGAGGAGTCGAGACTTGAGATTGTTGTCATTTTCAGGAGGAATAATCGAAACTGACTTCGAGACGCTCTCTCTCCGTGATCCTGATCGCTTTAGAGCTGCTGGTAACGGATTGGATTCTGTCTTCTTTTGAAGTGCCCCGTTTGCTTTTGCCTCTTCTAATCTCTGGGCTTCTGCTCTGGAGGCTTCTTCTGCTCTGAAAGCTTCTTCAGCCTTAATTGCCGCCTCTCTCTTGGCTGCTCGACGTTCATCCTTTTTCCTGTCATGCTCTTCTTTTTCCTCTCGACTACGATCTTTTCGATGGCGACGGCGCCTTTCACGTTCGTCATCCACACCCTCAATGGCACTATCTCTGCGCTCTGGGGATTGTTTCGCTGGAGAAATTTCACGGCTTGGCTCCCCTTTCTCTTCCTTGTCTTCTTTACGACTAGACCTCCGTCGATATGAGCGCTCTGGATCATCTTCTCTGTAACTAGATCGTCGACGATGGAAACGTTCTGGTCGATCTCTTTCCTCTTCCTTCTGGCTAGATCTGTGGCTCCGATGGATCTCTTTGTCATCTTCTCTATCGCTAGTCAGGCCACTAGCTCTGTGACTGTGAGAATGTCTTCGGCGCCGTGGCTGTTCCTCAGGTTTGCTAGAAGGTGGGTACTCGCCGTATTTAGGTGGATGGTGACTGAATGAGTGGTGTCTTGAGCTCCTATGCCTACGTCTGTCTCTATCCGAGTTATCCGATTTTGAGGGCGATTCGACGTCTTTATCTTCGCGTCTGTCAGCGCGATCTGACTCGTTGACCAAAGGTTGTTTGGCTATCGGTGCAGTCTCTTCTTTACTGTTCAAGGCCTTGACTGCGGATGCACCTGCAAGTCCAGCAAAGGCAACAGCAGCAACATCATCGGCTTCTACTTCAACTGGCTTCTCGTCTTCAGGAGGTTCACCTTGCTCTTCAACTAGGTCTAAAGATGGTGTAGATGTTTGGGGCTCCAGGGGCGTTTCATTCATTGAAGCAGGCTCATCACTTGGCGGTTCGGCCGCTCCAGCAACAGACTCTCCAAGTTCTTCCACATCATCACTGGATTCCTCCACTACCGATTGCGGGGTTGCCTCGATGACAGGTAATTCGGCGATACATTCCTCTTGTGGCGCATCCTCGGCGGGCTCAACTACAGGTTCCTCGATGGTTGGTTTTTGAACGGTCTCACCGGTAGGTTCAACATTGGTATCCTCAAGGCTAGCTTCTTCACTTAGTTCTTGGGAAGTTGGAACTTCTATTCAAAGTTAGTGTGAACTTTTCGAATGAAAGTAAGTACCACGCACCCTCTACCGGCAAACATGCCTCTGCTTTCTCAGCAACCTCAGACTGTTCATCTTCCTCGGCGGATTCAACGACATCAATTTGCGTAGGCTCAGACTCTGAAGATAATTTATCGACGGGTTCCGTTGGTGGTGAAGTTGTTGAGGTCGCGTCGGCTTCTGAAGACATTTGATATTAGTTTATATGTAAGGAAGTTTTCTCTATATGAGTATCCGATATATGAGAGTCGCTCGAATTAATTCGAATCGCGATATTCAAAAACAATTCCAACTTAGGATTTGTCATCTTGTAGGATGGGGTCTGCGAAAATTTTGGACATTTATAATATGTTTTGCGATACTTCTAACGTTGAATTAAACCCAACAGCCATACTTGACTTTCGCCAATAGGATAATTTTGCAACACTCGCGACTAAGCTTTGTGACGTGTTTGCGGGGTTTTAAACTACGAAGCGTTTCAAGTGATCGTGGACATACATATGCAGAGTGGCATATGTATTGATTGGAAACAAAATATTTTGACTTACCCATAGCGGCTGAATTTTCAAAACTTTCAGAATCAGGTTTACTTTCATTTACTGGTTCTTCAACACTATCGGGTGGGCTAGCTTCTAATCACTCGTGCATTAGCATGCTTATCATACCTACTATGGGCGGAAAAAAAAGAGTTTAAAAAGATGGACGCCTACCAAGAGCAGTTACTTCTACAACTACAGGTTCAGGCTCTGGAACGGAATCGTTGGCTGCTAAAGAGATATTGATGAGCTTGACATCTGGGGAGCTCGATCTACGGGATCTAAAGCCCTGTTCGAGAGGAATTCAAATCCTACGGGACACTTACTGGCTTCTGGTTCTAATGGAAGCTCCAGGGAGACTGGTTCTTGGACGGGAACCGGAGTAGTATCAGTTGGTGTGGATTTAGGTTCCGTTCCTATATCTTAAGGTGAGCTTTTTTCTTCTTTCATTTGGGCAAGGTGGTGGGAAAATTGGTCTTGAAAATACTCACCAGCTGGAATGTCTTGGGTTGAATCTGCGGCGGGCTGTTCAGCGACGTAATTTTCTGTAGAGGGCTCTTCCAAGGAAATAGTCTCCGTTGGTTTTGGTGTTGGTTCTGGTTCTGGAAAATTCTTAGTCCCCTTCCAAAAAAGAAATTGCACAGCAAATTCTCAACTCTTACCAGCCTCTTTTTCTGGAACATCCTCCTTTTGGGGTGTTTCTATCGATGGTTCTTCATCTACGACTGCTTCGACAGGTATAGAATCAACCGGTGCAGATTCAGGTTCTGTTGAGTCAATAGTGAGTCTACAGCAAATACTAACGAATATAAAATCTTCCTGTTTGGCGAATACTTACCAGCTGGTGTAGCTTCCACGTTCCCTGCTATTCCATCATCCTCTACTATGGACTGATCATCATCGATAATTTCGGGCTCTTCATCTGTGACTATTGATATCTTGTTATTCGTTTGGACTTATTCACTATTTATAGGAGATAGGCAGGTACACTTACTGGCAGTAACATCCTCAGCAACCTCATCCTGGATTACCTCTTCTCGTGCTACTTATTAATATCTTAGTAATTGTCTTGTAATCAAAGAGAGGGATGCTGAATATTAACTTACCAGCAGGAGCTTCGAGAGACTCAACCGTTTGTTCTTTCGAAACTGGGACGTCGGAATCTTCATCTGAGACAACTTCTTCGGAATAAATAGGCTCATTCCCTTTGATGACCGATTCGGATTCAATTTCCTCTTCGACAGTAACTTCTGGTTCCTCAATTGAGTTTTGCACGGGAACGGGAATATCTGTTGTCTGTGACGAGATGTTTTCTGGAGTCTCGATTGAGGCATCCTCGCCGACAGGTTCGGGAGAACTTTCAATTTCGGCAGTATCCGTGTTCTCGGTGGATTTCTCTAAAGGCATTAGAAGATTGAGTTGTTCGCCGGTAACGACTTCTTCTGATTGAGAATGTTCCTCCTCCTCGGGACCTAGTTCGGAACTGTTTTCTTCAAGAGCCGGTGTTTTTGAGTCCTCGACTAAACCTTGCATTGGAGCGGCACCATCGGTTCCTAAATCTTTGGTAGGTTTGTCTTCCTCGCTTGCTGGTTCTGGATGACTTTCCGCAGCAGGAGTAGCTGGATTTTCGTCGAGTTCTTGCTCTTGCTCTTCCTCGTGCACGGGAACGTGGATTTCTTCGATATTGTTTTCTTCACTCGGTGGAGTATTTTCTTTTTCATCCACTGATTCGGGTGTATTTTCCACAGGAGGTACTTCCGAGGTTTCCATAGGCTTTCCTTCAAGAACGGAAATATCAGGCTCTTGAACGGTGACTATGTCATCTGAATGTGTATTTTCTTTCATGTCCGTGGATTCGGGGAGGTCCTCTGTAGTTTCTTCTTGAAAAATAGAAACATTGGGATTTTCAGCAACAGGTTCATCGACTTGAGTATTTTCCTCCCCAGCCACGGATTCCGGAGGATTTTCTACAACAGGAGCTTCCGGGGCTTCATTCAATTGATTTTCTAGACCTGAAACCTTCGTTTCTGTCTCAGATGTTTCTGTCTCAGATGGATCTTCCCCCCTAGTTGTTCGTTCAAAGTGGTTTTCATTAGCAACAGGCGTTTTATCATTCTCGTGCTCGCTCTCCTCGCCAGAATCCAAATCTTCTTCGCTTGAATCGCCATCCCAGCTCGATGCGTCGTTTTCGGACTCGACTGGATCGGATTCGCTCAATTCCTCTACCTCAATTCCGTCTCCATGCTCGTTAGTAGAGGAATTGGCTTGGAGTTCTCCGATTGGCTCAGGCTCGGTGTTGTCTGCGTGGCTTTCGACGGGATTTTTCTTTGCAGATGGAGGAGAATCATCATGGGAATTCTCAGGTTGCTGCTCTTCTTCTTCGATGGATGACTTCGGAATATCAGTGCTAATTTCTTCTTCTGCAGGTTCAGGCTGCGAATTCTCGCTCAAGGGCTCAGAAGCATTTTCAGTATTGACAGGAATAACTTGACTATCAGTCTCAGGTAGAGGAGCGACTTGTTCAGGAGATTTTTCAGCTTCTTCCATTAATTTTGGATCTTCTTCTCTTGGCCACTCTTCTTGATCTTGTTTGTCTGTTTCCTTAACCACAACGACATCTTGTTCGGGCATGAGTAAATCTGCTATCTCATCACTTTCTGGAGATTCATGGGAATTTTCTGCATCTTCCGCAGGAGAAGTATTTTCCAATCCTGGTCTATCTTCACTCATAGCGGGCAAATCTTCGCTCTTAGGTTGTTCTGCTGTATCCCCGTTTGCTTGGATTTCTTGCGATTCCTCGATTTTGGCGGCAGATTCTTCAGATTCCTGCAATTCCTTGGGACTTTCTACCTCGACGGAAGGTTGATCGGCCATAATTGGAGCTTCTTCGCTTTTAGAATTGTCATTAATTTCTCCCGTTTCGGGTGATGTCTGCTCGATTGACACGGAAGTTTCTGGCTCTGGATTTTCCTCAATTATGACTGGTGAATTTTCCAAGCGATTCTCATCCGATGTTCCCTCGCTCACTGGACTTTCCTGAACATTTCCGCTGTCGGCTGGCAATCCTTTGACTTCTAAGTCCGGTTTCTGTTCATCTACCTCGGGGGCGCCTTTCCCCTGGTTCTGTGTTGAATCCTCGGCTAAAACCGGAACTGGAACATTTGGAATTTCATTGTTTGGCTCAATCGTTTCTGACTCTGTTTCGACATTCGAGTTCTCCAAGACATTTGAGTCTTCACTGGTGTTATATTGAACGACTGGAACTTCATTGGCATCGTCTGCAGCTGCTGATTCCTGAACAATATGGTCCTCGACGTCGGAATCCTCCACGTGATCTTTCATGTCATCAGTCTCGACGTTTTCGGATGGGCCTCCATGAGTTTCAGTATCGTCATCGATATCCCTAGATTTTTCTTCTTTGGCGATATCGTCACTTGGCTCAGAGGGTGATACGTTCAAATCAGCTACTTTGTCCACCTGATCTTCCACAACTTCGAGAGTATCAATGTTTTCGGGTGCAGCTTTTTCGGGACTTGGCATTTCGGCTTCGTTGTCTTCAGAAGGTTCATCTTTCAAGCCCTGTGCATCCTGTTCCTTCACAACAGTGTCCTTTGAAGTTTCTACCGTCCCTTGATTAGCGTCACTAGATCCTTCCTTCTCGTCGACTTGGACGCCGTTCTCAATCGCTACTGGTTCCTCGACAGGTGTAGATGCCAACTCGGTTGAATTGGTGATCTCTTCTTGAATATTAGGTTCTTCGGAAGGACTTTTCTCAATGGATTCCTCGCTCAATTGAACTTCGCTTTCGGGTTCCGAGACAATGCCCTTCTCAGACACATGCTCAGCAAGAGGAGGTGCTTCCTGACTGAGGTTTGTACTTTCTTCCACAACAGCCGGTTCAACGCTAGAGGGAGCATCGCCCTTCGGTTTTGTCTCATCGCTTATTGTAGGTGTCTCTATGTGACTCGGATCTTTTTCGCCGATGGCATTTGTCAGAATGGATTCGGCAGGGTCTGAAGACTCTTCGCTAGGGACCGGAGTCTCGTTCGTTGTGGTTGAAGTATCCTCACTGCTTGAACTCTCATCCGTTACCTCAGATTCTTGTGGATCATGTTCATCCGGAGGAGATACCTCCTCATTAGTGACAGGATTTTCTGCTGTAGCTTCCGAAACAGGCTCGCTGCTAGATTCCTCGGTATTCACGTCCAGCCCATCTGCAGTTGTAGGCTTATCATCAATGATTTCAGGCGCTTCATTTGTAACAGGAATTTCTTCATAAATTTGGACGTTTTGGTTGTCAATGGGAGTTTCTTCCGTGTTCTCATTCTCTTCCGCTTCCCTCTGTACATCTTCCACTGTTGAGACATCACCCGCAGATGCCTCTCCCGTGCTTGGAACGTCTTCGCCTTCCACCTGTGCGTCATCTAAAGCTGGCGCATCGCTCGTTAACCTCTTCTCCGTGGCTGGATGTTCTTCAGGTTGCGTCGGAACGCTCTCTTTTGTGTGAATTAATTCTTCTGTCTCTACGTCCTCGCTTGGATTATCGTCTGATAACGGGGCGGCCTCAGGATCTATTAGGATGACAGTAAGCGTGTGAAATGGACATACGAGTATTAACCGAAAATTGATATTTCAAAGTTCCATCAAGGATTAGTGATACTCACCAGATGCTGGCTGAACAACTTCTGGAGTTTCCTGTGGCTCTTGAGCCGAATCCGCCACCTCATTGCAAGTCGTTATAGGGTTATTACTCCCTGTTATAGGATCCGATGGTATTGATATTGATGCGAGCGGTATTGGTACGAGTGCCGACTCTGAAGCATCTTTTCCTCTGTTCTTACTTTTCTTATTGCCGCTTTTCTCTTTCCCGTCCTTCGCCTTCCTTTTCTTGCCCCTTGATTGTGGATCTGAATCATCGGGGTCGCCCGATGGTGAATTTGGAACTTCCGATGGTACTACTGAGCTTTCCCGAGTAGATATTGAACTTCTCCCGCTACCACTTTTGCTCTTTTTAACAGATAAAGCCTCAGGCTTGAGTGGTACTTCGGGTGGAGCAGTTTTCTTGTCACTACCACTCTTATTGCTCTTGATTTTTGATTTGGAACTTGTCGATTCTATTCCATCGGCGAAATGAACTACATGTTGTGGTGAATGCGATTGATGCGAGTTTACTCTGCTCAGAGCATGCCTGTCGTCCAGTATGTCGCCATGTATGTCATCGTGTATGTCGTCTCCTGGTAGAGTGTCCGGAACGGAAGTGGCTGTGCTATCATTTGTATTCGGGGTAGGATCGGAAGGACTTTCTGTATCGTTATTCGGTGCTGGCTCCAGCTCTATCTCAAAGTTAACCATACAATCCAATGAGTCCGATGAGATCAATTAGGTGCTAAACATGAACACGTGAAGGGGAAGCTCAGCAATTCAAAGACGATAAATAGTTCATACCTGCTTCTGTAATGTCGCTCGCTAGACTTTCTTCCGTATTTGAGCTAGACTCTATCAATTTCGAGTCACTCGACTCTTCAGTCGAGGATGAAGGCTTGTCGCTTTCAGTGGACTGATTTTCTTCTGTTAAACTGGATACGTCATTATTCTCTTCCTCCTTAGAACCATCCCCCTCCTTTAAAGGTGGACCTTCATCCTTGGTATCCGACAGCGGGGTATCGCTTGTTTCTGTCGTTTCTATTGGCTCCTCTGAGATCCCCTCTGATTTGTCCTGGGTTTCATTGTCTTCATCCTCCTCTTCATCCTCATCATCGTCTGTACCTTTGGTCAGCAATGGGATTTTGGAACTATGTGGACATTCGACGTCTCAATTGCAACGGAAGTGGATCATTGAACCATGATTGTACCAATTGATCGGAAAACAGCAAATGTGGAGAAGGTCGTAGAATCTAGAGATGCAGACATGAAACTGGGAAAGCTTACCTGTCTTTCCCTCATAATATCTGGCAATTTTGATTTTTGATGTATCCAATACTAAAGGTTTCGTCCACTGAGTTGTCTGTATTGAGGACCAATTATTACCAATGGCCGCGGTTCTGGCTGGACAAAAAGAAATATTCATACTGATGGTGTGGGTATCTCGTCACAAGCAACAAAAGATGCAGAATCCTCTACGTGAGGAACGAATTGAACGTCCTTCTTATCGTCGTTTTGATTATTTCTTCCCATGGTCTACAGTGACGAGGGGGGTTGCCTCCGGTTGAACGCGGGTGCCCAATCTTTGAGTGACAAAAGTTGTGGTTACCACCCGGAAATCGTTCAACGTGGTTGGAGTGGAAAAGGGTACAATAAATGAAGGCTTCAAGATTACTTAAATCAGCAGATGACAAGGCGAGATAATTCGCCTATAGGAAAATAGAATGAAGAATAAATGCAGGACTAAAAAATGATTCGGAAGCATGAACGGAAATTCAAACGAAATTGGTTTCATTGGTAGGTACAAGAAGGAGGTCATTGACGAAAGGGATCATCGCTTTCCCTCATGGCTCGATATCACAGACGGCCAAAGGTCCCACGGCCATCCTGCGATTTGCCAATGTTTGTCGACAGTATCAAGTAGGACTTTGCCTAAATCATGCTCGTGCTTAAGCATTATTGGCCCAATATGATACATTGCAGCCACGTTGCGGTCAAATGAATGATGGTAATCAATTCTGATTTTCGAGGCAGTTCACGATATTGCAAGGGCCCCGAGTGCAGCCCAACCTGCACATTGATGAGAAAGTGGACAAGACCGTGCAGTAAGAAAATTCAGAAAAAAATTCAAAAAAACTATAGTGTAAGGTTAATAGTTGATATGCAGGAATATATCCGGCAAATGTGCCAAAACCCTTGCTGCTTGTAGCTTTCATACGTCGTGCTAACTGGGTATATCACCAGAAGATGTGGGACACTCAATTATGAGAGAACCCTACTGGTTAAAATCATCCTTTTGAATATGTTGATTGATGTACAAGACTGCTACCCGAAAATGTTTCGCGGTAGTGTGCAGCTTGACCTGGTGAGTGTGCAACGTGGTCGCCTTGTATGCCTTATCTTGGGATACTTGCGATGAACTACCAGTCGATCCATTGAACGAATGGATATCATATATCCAATTTATCCTGATCATGGAATTGAAAAGATTGTGAGGGGGAGGGGAAAGTAAGAATCACAAATCACAAGCACAATCCCTTTCAGACCCCCAATAAATGATAATATCCATGTGATGTGCCACACCAGTGGAACTGTTGGTGCTGATGCCCAGATAGTGTTTGCGACTTTGATGAGTTGTCAATACAGTACATTGCATTGCTTATTAGTAGGCACTGTATCCATCCTTTTGGATGGCCGGGATGTCCGATATGCGATAATCTCCAAGGGGCTAGGGTCTGAACCTTTAGCGACTCCGTTGATGATATGCTATTACATCAAGCCTCAAGAAAATGAGGGGCTAATGTACCATGGAACATATATTTCACGTTGTGTGGGTGTGAGGGACAAATATAAGTGGTTGGAAAAATTCGAGGTGGCTGAGAAAAGAGAATATCTACAATTGTTCTATAATTAAAAGATGATCTGGATGAGCTGGGTAGTGCTGGGATTCGATCTCGACCCAAGTCTTTAAGAAGAACAATATCCCCTCCCAAATTATACTTTGGACATATCTTGCAAGTCATGTCTTCCATTGTTGAAAACCCAATGTCTCAGCTGGGGATTCCTTGAGAGGTAAAAACATGACTCAAAAAGCGAGGCTGACATGATGGATACCTGCTTTAGGTTTGTATGTATCAGCTCCCTCAGATTGGGCGGTGAATAACTAGCATTAGCATGTGAAGGAAAGTACCGGTATCCACAGACATTTTTACATTGTAGGTAGATGCTATTCTTCTAATTTATTGGTAATAGAAGGTATTTGGTGTCTGTTTGACAGATGTACAACAAATCCCAAACGCCGTCGCAGTTAATGGATTCGAAACCCCATATCCTTTCTTGTGCAAACTGAAAATGAAGCTGCCAGTGCCCTCCCAAATAGAACTCGCACGCCCCCGTACACAAAATAAATTAAAAAAACCCAGAAACCCAGAAACCCCAGGGATCCGCTCAATGTTAGATTTACTGTCCTTGAATTACATAGCCATCTCGGCTTGCAGCCTGCGGAGTTCTTCTTCTTCGTCATCCTCTTCAACATGAACAGGTGCTTTGGATTTGACTAAATTCGAAATGTTAGTAATAGTTAGCACAAGAGGATGATAGTTTTCAAAGGCTTACCCTCTCCATTCACAACAGATGGCAATCTATGAACCTCATCGGAGACTGGCACAGAACCAGTCTTCAGCATCTTTTTGTCTAGCTGCTCTTGTTCGAGGTCCGCTAGCTCATCTTCCAGTTCAGCCTCGTCTACAGGCTCGCCGAGAGGCGCGCTAGTAATGGCTTGGGCGATTTCTTCACCCAAGGCATGCTGTTCCCGAAGTTTGTCCCTATAAAATATTAGTTTTAGCTTCCTAATACAAAAGACAAAACATACATCGTCTCATCGACCTTGTTGATATCAAGTTTGCCATGAATAGCTGCCATTGCCTTGCCGGCTTTTTCCATGGCAAGGAGAGTCTCTTTGTTAATGTTGGCCGCTTCGATGGAATATATTTGTTGTTCTAACGTCGATATTTGCGCAATAGTTTGGTCGAGAGTGTGTTCGTGTTGCTTCTTTCGTCGCAATGCGGCCTTCGCAGCTAGAATTAACCATTTGTTAGCCATTGCAATGTATACAGCCCAGGCAGCAGAACATACCATTCTTGTTGGTGCTTACGTTCTTCCTAGCTATCGCATCTTGTTCGTCCATCTGACTTTGTAAATGACGCTCCCGTTTCTGTAACATTTCAAGCTGCGCGCGTAGTCCTAAGATGGCATTCTTCGGGGAGTCCTTCGCCTTCTGGGCACTCCCTCCCCCGAACCAGCCCCAAACACTCGACATATTTCACCAAACTGTGCAGACTCGAGATCGTTCAGTTGGCAGGACTTCGAAGCCCCCAGCGTCTTCTCGCAAGTGATAAGGAGATCGAAGTGGTGACTAGTATTTAGGGTATGGTGATAGGATCTGCTGTCGAGACTTGATAGTGGGGATCTTGGGATTGTCGGACAAAGACGTTAGAGATAAGTTGAATAAGTTGAATGGTAGTGGAAGATAGATAATCTGTGATTTCGAGTATCCTTCACTCGTAATGTTCTATAAATCTTTTTGTGGTTGCCTACGGGTTGTTTCGCATCGAGGTAAATGATTAAAGAGTGGTAAACATGGCGTCGATGATGACGCTAGTCCCCTCGTCAAGCTTAGCTTAGCGCAGTCTTGGAAACATAAGTCACGTGCATTGTTTCGTTCCAAAGGTTATCTCAATATCTGCCGGGCAAGTTACGAAAGCAAACAACAACTACCACATTTTTTGATCTTGTTTCTATTTTATGGTATTTATTTCTCTAGTTGCATTGTGCGAACAATTCAAATGTATAAACAATACTCAGGACCTATTTCTTCAAAGCTTACATTACTTGCCAACCTTCTACAGTTTTCACAGGGGGACAAAGTCCGATTCTTGGGATGGTATGGCTATTCTCTCTTCCGATTTATTCTCCCTTTGCACCATACATACCTCACTGTTGGTACAATTTGTATCAAACACACTCAATAGGAAAAGAAATTCTCCTGATTTTGCCAAAGCTTGGCTGCCCACCAATTCTGCTTAGAGCTACCCAAGTACTCGTTGCGACAATCCAAAATCCCCAGATCAGAAAAAAAGGTGAACTGACACTGCACCGTATATAGTGTGACAAACTATGACAGAACTTCTGCCGTTCTTACTCTGGAACACAACTTCCCTGTTGACAACGGATTCAAAGCCCTTGTCAACATTCAACTTCTGCTGAATAGCGTAAAGTCCCACGAGACTCGAATTGGAGAGTGGGTCAATGTTGTGGGTTATGTAGTCGACATAGGTGAACACCAAGACACCAAAGTTTGTCTATCTGGGTCCGAAATCGCTATTCAAGCAATTGTATTATGGTCATCTGGTCCCATACAGCTCGATGCATATGAAAGAAGCCTTATGCCCTGCCATTGAGAAAGCAAAGCCTGTAACGTGCTAGTACAACGTTGGTAGGTATAGACAGTTCGAATTTTTCCGTGCCCTGGACAAGCTATAAAGCGCATCGCCAGCCATTCTGCAACTCGCTAGAGAAGAGGTGCCTCTCTGTCAAAGGTTCAAGAATCATACAGAAGCTTAGCATGATCTCCAGCTGGATTTTAGTGGTGCATTGCGTAAGATTTTCTGTGCCCGTCATTTTTCTGACAGTCTCAGAGCAGAGAACTGATCTTAACACTAGAGGTCGTGTATCACGAAGTTTCTTGTATCCCTTCTATGATCCAATCACCACCTAAATCATCATAATTTCATAGATCGATCAGTGATCCAATGGCACACACTATCATGAAGCTACGCGGCGCGAAGTATCACCTTTGAGGCTACCGAGACTGAGGATTGAGGCTTGCAACGCTTTGACACACCAGCTCCAGGTATTCGCTCCTTCCATAGTCCCAAATTATCAAGTCATCGATGCAGAATGAATGTCAATGGCTACCTTTGAGTTGCGGCAAGGATTGTATTATCGACATGACCATCACAAAATTTTAGCTATAAGGTCCCGATATTCTCCGCACTAGGATAGAGTGCTGCAATACACGTTTTATCTCGCTTCTTCCTTGGCTGCAGACCAATTCTAACGCGCTATTCGGTTGAACTGGAGAAATAGTCTTACCTCAATGTTGATGTTCGGGGCTGTGAGACCTCAAAGCGTTGCCATTTTTGGCTGCCACAATAAACCAAGACTAGTTTAGCTTCCGGCTATGAGTCTAGTAATGGGCATGATTGAAACAGTCACAGCAAGTTCGATCACCTTACTGGGGTAGCATTTTGGCTTGTCCTTGCTCGCATTATTACAATCATTCACAATAGCCTTTCCGGATACTGATATTATTTAGTGCACGAACACCTCAAGAATAATAGTGGCACGGATAGATTTCGCAATACTCGTCACATTGGCAAGTAGATGTAGAAGTACATACAGGTTTGCGCCACAAATTCGAATCCAGAAGAACCAAAAAAAGGCCCCTCCTTGGGAAATTACAAGATCAACATTGGCGAGGGAATGATAAGTGCGAGTGCTATGCATTTTACCCGGGAGACAGCCTTACTCCTTCTACCCTGTGGCGCGATGTCTACACCTGAAACCTCTTATTTGTTGAGCGAGTACGAGACCACACTCTTCATCTCTTGTTGAAAGATCCACCTACACCAGGCCTGCGTCATTCAGACTATCTCGGTCCATTGAGCTCGGAGCCGAAGTCATTGTCATTCGATTAATCAAGAGCTTTTGTGATCTGGACGTTGAGATCTTGATGAACGCGATTTTGAGCCTCTCGAGATGACGACTGGTTGATGTAGCGGTCGCTTCAGTTGCTTGTCTGACTCTTTCTTTGCTCGAGCCGCCGCCTGCTTTTCCCAGAGTTCTTTTGACTTAATACAGATATCGTCTATCTGCTCCTATATATCAAATTAATGGAGACACCTCAGGCTGTCTCTGGTACATGGTAGGGCTCACATCCGTCAGGCACTCTCCAGGTGTGCTAATCAGATATCCATCTTCTCCCTATGCACCCAATGAGCATAATTATTTGGCAGCGGAAACTATCATCACGTACGTCTCGAGTATATGGCCTCAGCGTAGATTCTGGTCCCAGGTAGTACTGGATTTCCTTGGTGATTACTCTCTTGTTGATGTCAAAATTGGGTATCCAGTATCGATTGAGTTGAGAAGACATTGCATTCGGTGATGGTATGGCAGGAGGTGAGTGCGAAGCAAGGGATTTCTAGAGAATATATTCTGATTGTGTACTACCCTATAAAGCGGTCTAGGACACTTTTATGTAGGAATATTTGAGCAGTCTATAAGAGCCTTATTACGGCCAAGTAGGTGGTAGTAAACATTTGAGAGCTTCCAACACGACTCCTTTTGCGTCTTATTGAAATCGGACGGTTTTATGGATCCATAGACTGTTGCTAAGTTAACTAGCTGAGTCAAAGATCGCAATATCATTACACGTATCCGCATAGAGTTCTGCATACAATATAACATTCCGGGCGGTGGTATTGTTTGGAAGCCAATATCTTAATCGCCTTGTTGAGGCGGACTGGCGAGTTTGTCTCCTGGCACGCAATTGGCTCCGAGAGACTCCCAAGCAATCATAAGATACAAAAAAAGGACTAACCATGCAAATGAAATACAACGCTATAGACCGCCTCCGATGCGTATTTCTCGTGGCATTTCATTGCTGGAATATGAGGATAATTACATTGCAGTAAGATTACGGTCGTGTTACAAAGACCTGCAGCAGGGTGATTTAATGCAAAATCGATATCACGAGGACATCAATTAAATTCCACAAAATGCCTCTCAACTTTTCTACATGCAACCCAAACACTTTGGCTGATAAAGTTGGGTCCCATCGACGATCCAGATTGAGTTTGGTACTTGTTGAGTTTCGATCTTGGGATTCGAAGCGAAATGTTAGAGCTTGGGTAATCGAGTGGGCATGCCTGTTTCAAAAGACTCGATGGAGACAGTATCAAATTTTCAGATCGGCAATTCATGACCCAATTCTCAGAAGGTTCTTTACCTCTTATCACATATTTAATCATCAAGCAAGCACGAGCATTGGTGAAGGGAGTTCACATCTACGAGGATCATTTAACCTCGTATGCATATCTCATGGAGAAAAAGTTGATTTTTCACATCATTCGTGGTTCTCGGAATTCTCCTACAGTCTTGTCTGAGTTGTTGTTTCATGGAAATCGAAAATAGATCTTCTGGTGCCCTCTGATCCATTGCCTGCTCAGAACAAACTCATACCCTTATTTATGTCGCATGCTTGGAGGTCTTTTTAAGACGCTAGTATTTCCACTGCGACGTATCATCAGGCTTGAAGCAATCAAGCTGGACGAAGTTGACCGGATACTATAGTCGAAGAAGGGAATTTTCGTTTCTATTCGTCTACCTGTGGAGTGTTTCTCATGATAGATGTCATATTTGTCAGAAGTATCTGACAACTGTCTAGCTCGAAGTTCGTGGGGGTCCCATAAATATCATCAGAGCTTTCTCCGTGCAATATACACAGAGAGAAGACAGGCACCTACAACCTGTGAATCATGAACACTACCCACGTGATACAATACTCCTTGATCGGCTTTCTGGAACAATTTTTATGTCAAATCATCATCATGACCAACAATCTTACTCAATCTGCATCATTACAAGGAATCTATTTGAACCTTGACATCACTTGGCTGATTTTAAAAATCGTGGCAGATTTTGCTCCGATCATCAGAGTATGTATTTCTCAATCGTCCGATTAGGAAAAACAACTCTTTTACCTCAGATAGCATTTGCATTACATACAGATGATTCGTCTTACAAGATCTGGGGATGTAAAAGATGTTATTTGTCTAGGATTCGAACTCTTTGTGTCCCAACTCTTACCTTCTACGAACTTTTCGTTGTCGTCAAATATTTGAGCATTGGCGAAGGAATCTTTCTACACCTCCGAATACAAAATCGCTCATTGCAGCGCGGGGAATTCACTACTTAACTGGCCTTGCCCGACACTACTATAGTACATCTCGGCAATGCATGTGTGATCCGATTTCCGAAATGCTAGTCACAAATATATGTGGCAGTGGAGTTACATCTATGACGAGCTTTCGCTTGGTGTGATCCGAGAAAGTTCATCAGTTTTTTGTCCCCAAATATTCATGTACGGTATCGTGAGAGAAAATAGAGAATATATGAAACTATGTAATGTGATACCAGAACTTCAAAAGTTTGAGCCGTGTGAGAAAAAAGAGTTTTTTCCGGCGAATATCCAGGGTTCTTAAATCGTGGATAGCGAAAACGAGGTTCTAAGTGCTTGTTTTGGAACTCTTTTAGTAGTATCAAATGAGCATGTAAAGTGACAGCGGGATAAAGTATCAGGGTCAAGTGATCTACTCAGCATCAGTTATACGCTGATTGACCTTCATGATATCTGACTGTGGCCAAAAGAGTAGCGATGCAGGGAGCGGTAGCACGGAATTACATTGTCGATTTCGGGGCCACCGCCTCAAAGCCCTGCAGTCAGCAAAGTCGATGACGTCTAGCGACCACGACATTAATACATACAGAGACATGATATCCTGGATGCCACGCCAAGAATTGCAGTTCATCCGATCTCACTGTGCATGAAACAACTTGACAAGTATATAATAACCGGTACAGGACAACCATACATAGCCAATAATACAGCCAAAATCCCATTCATCTCTATGAACAACCACTCTATCACAAAGCAAAAGAAAGTCATCAATACATACCTTTTATTTAAAACAGGATCTATATATATTATCTTGCACATGTATACTGCATATGCAGATATACATACATATACATACATACATACAATCAAATAAATACCTGCATAAACAAACTCTAAGCTACTCCTATTATATACCATGTGCCAAGCCTTCTATGCATGATATATCTTATCTTATCTTATCTATCTCCATAACTAGGTACATATAATTTATTATATAATATACACGCATTCATAAATGGTATTCAATAAAAGAGCATAGGATGAATACCTATCTATTCATACTAGTACACTGTATATAACCCAATGTAATAGAGCGGTTTCTGCCCCGAAGTAAAGAAACAGTATTGGAGTATGGATGAATATGTACCTAGGGATCGATATTCGATTTTGATGTCTATGGGCTGCGATGTGATGAGATGGTATATTGGGTTGGGTTTGGTCGAGAGAACTTGGAAGTAGGAAAGTTGGGGAGAAAAGCTTGATGGGAAAGTAGAGGTTTGGCTGTAAAATTTGTTTATTATTACTAGAACGGAATATTAAAATTTATTTATATTATTCTTTTATTTGTAATCAATTATATATATCTACATCATTACAATGTACATATATACATACGGACACATTCACATCCAAACTCAAAGTCACAAACAAAAGACCACTGGCATAATTAAACCATGAAATTTTTAAACTACTAACTTGATCTAACAAGTAATTACACTCATCCTCATCTCATCACCTCCTTGCTGATGTGAATATCTCCACATCCATCCATTCATTTCGCCTGATGACGATATTTCGCTGTACACCCGTTCAATTCCCCAATCGAACAAGTTGAGTGAAAATCAGGAGTAATCATCAACATCATGATATAAGTGACATGCATGATCAGATCGATCACTTCCCTCTCATTCAAAGGCACAGGCGAAAACACGCAAAACCCCGCTGCGTGGTACGTCCAAGAATGGCGAAGATAAGTCCGAGTGAAGAAGTGTTTGGTAAGTCTCACGTACGTCCTTGTAAGAATCACCGTATCTTCTATATAAAGGAAAAAGAAAAAAATCAAAACGCCAACCTTATGCCTATGGCTAAGCCCCAATCCCAAATTCCCAAGACGGAACAAACCACCGCTGCTATGCAGAATCGAGTATGTTTTTCATCTCGCAGATGGGATATCAATATCAACGCCTGTTCTCGTCCTCGTATTTGCTATGCCCTGGATCATTTCGTCGTAACATTAAAGCCCATGCACACGCCCAATTCCGATGCCAGATCTGACCAAACCAATTCCAAATCAACCAAAACACAGAAAGGCCCAGACCATCCCGTTTCTCCCAACACCGCATTAATGAATGAAAGAAATGTACCCCACCTCGCATATACATGCTGTCCAAGCGTAATGAATTTTTTTTTCTGAAGTCTAAATATATATTCCGAACGTGGGCATGCTGCCCATTTGAAGCGAATCAAGATAACTTACTTCCCACGAAATGTCTCTATATATCTAATAATATGTTGCATAGAGCACCAAGAAGTCTCATCAAGTGGAAATTTGAGGCTGAGGGAAACTTCGTACAAAACCCGCCTCCGTCAAAGTTTCACCTACTTTGAGTCCGTGGTTCGGCACATTCTGATCAACAGCCTGCGCGATAGTTTGATTGACAGTGTTTACAACAGGTGACGTGGCACCACCAGACTTATTGTTGGTAGATGTAGAAGCCTGTGGTGGTGGGTTTGAAGGATTTGTCGATGCAGGAGAAGATGAGGCTGTATTTGGTCTGGCAGGTCCATTTTGGGCAGACACAGAATTGTTTCGTGGTAAAGCTGGTGTCATCAATGGTGGTCTGGGCACAGAAGGGCCACCAGGTTGATTTTGGTTGTTTCCATAAAATGATGGGCGCATGATCGTCGTCTGTTTTGGAATGTCTGATCCAGAAGCTTTTCCAGGCTGTTGAGATGTGTTGACTTGTGGTTTGTTTTGACTGACCGACGGTTGGAAAGGTTGTTGAGGCGCAGAATGTTGTTGTTGGGTACGGTTAGACGCGTTGGCAGAAGGTTGACGAGGAACGAGTGGTAATTTAAGTACGTTAAGTACACCGTTGATAAGTTTCATTTCATGCTCAGTACTGTCAAGAGAACGATCTTCCTCCGTGCCATCATAAACCCGTTTTATGGCCTTGTCCACAAGCGCTTCAGCATCATTTTGGGGTGCTCTTTGTCGCATTAAGTTGACAACGTGATTGCGGTACCCCGTTACCGCAGCAACTAGGTTAGGAGGGATAACTCTCTTCTGGTGAACGGGGACTGATGCAGCTTGAGGTGCAGCCTGAGGGGCTGTTTGACTTTGGTTGCCAGCTGATGATTGTGGCTGTTGTTGCTGTGGTAGCGTTATTGGTTGAGACGTAATTGGTGGTTGTGATGCTCCTTGTGCTTGGTAGGGAGACCGCTGCGGATTTTGCTGTTGAGGCTGCTGCTGCTGCTGAGCTTGTTGCGGTGGAAGCTGCTGCTGTTGCTGAGTACCATGAGATTGTGTTGTGGAAGCAGGCGGTTTCGGAGCATATGGAGAACTATAAGACACCGGTGCAGTAGGTGCCAACTGGGGTGCCATTGGAGGAATGAAAGGTGGCTGAATAGCGTGAGGTGGAGCATAGCCCTGCGCAGGATAAGGCGTGTAGTGATGACTTGGACCCACGTAAGGCTGACCCTGCAGGTATTGTGGGTACTCATTCTGTGGATGTGGGTGCATCTGGTGATGATATAATTGAGGATTCAACATATATCCAGCCGGGGGCTGCATTTGATTAGGACCGTAGCCCGGAACTGAATGGCCAGCTTGATATATTGGTTGATTAACACCTGCAACTGGAGGTGAAGGTGCTTTCTTCTTCTTCTCCTTTAGGTAGGTCATCCCTGGTCTTATACACCAAGCCCAGCCTTTACCAGCGCGCTTCGTCCGCTCAAAACACTCATGCTGTCCTAAATTGTGCCGGACGCTACTCTGCCATCCTTTTGACTCTTGAAACGCATAATAGGGATACTTGACCTCCATCTCGTTATAAATCTGTGGAAGACACAAAGGTTGATCTGCATCGCGTAGTAGCTCCCAAATAGTCTGCAAATAATTCGTTGGTGGCTTTGTAAGTTGATCTACAGTACAGTCCTCTTTTTTGTGGGTGACTTCCTTCAAAACATAGGCGACCTTCCTTGAGCTTCCACTTTTGGTCTGTATGCAATTACCATCAAAATCAAATTTGTCCTCATCACGATCCTCAGGTTCCTTGGGACCCGATTGTCTCTTGGTGTATTTGCGTTTTTGTCGTGGCGGCCCTTCTTCCGAGACATCTGGTCGGGGATGCTTCCTTGGTCTTCCAACTTTGTTCTTTCCAGGTACAGTTTTTGAGGCTGTTGTTTGATTTGGCACTTGAACTTTCTGCTCTTCCTGGGCCCGTTCTTCCTCTTGAATTCTCTCTCTCTCCAATGCTTCTTTCTTGGCAATTTGTTGTTCGCGTTTAGACATGAAACCATTCTTAGGTGGTCGCCCTGGTCCACGTTTCTTTGCGGGTTTCGGGCTTGTGTCGGTTGGACTGTTAGCCGGAGATTCTGGTTCCTGGGTGCCTTGTTCCTCGTCATTCTGTGATCCATGTGGGACAATATTATCGAGACTTTCAGATCGTAGAGATGTATCGTAATCCGCTCTTTGGTCTTCATTATCGCTATTTTCGTCACCAACAAATAGGTTTCCATCATCTGTAGAGCATTCATCATTGTCGGTGGACATCTGGTCGCCGGCTCGTGGTGGGTCATCAAAGCTAAGACTCATCTCCTTACCCCCTTCCGAGTAAACTGGTCCCAAGTACGTTGGTAGCCCCTCTCCATCTTGGAATAGTTCGGCTCCTTCTGGATACTCGAATCCTGCGTCATCGATTACGACATCTGGTAACATGAACCTGACGTAGATAAAACCCATCTGTAATTTACTACCACTCTTCAACGTTGCTATCTGCTTGTGTTCGTAGAATACACCGTCCACGAATCCTCCGTTCCTGCCAAGAAACTCTACTTGGAAATTATCATGGTGGTTATCATAGAAGATTTTAACATGTTCTCTGGATATAGCTTTAAAGCCTGCAATACCTTTATCGAAAGGGGGGTGTACATAGATGACGGGGCAACTATCGGGATCAAGATTTTGCTTCGGCGTATTTCCGAATTGTAAGGGCAGGAAGGAAGCGGGATTTGAACTATGTACAGAGCCACTGTGTGATAAAGGATTGCCAGACTCTGAGTTCTTGCGCTTCCTTTCTTTGCGGCTTCGCCGGTTTTCTGGTTGCAACGTTATCCAAGGATCCACGATACCAGCAGAACGGTTTTCTATCTTGACCGTTGGTCGAACGCTGAAATCGGATGTATTCCAGGCCTGCTCAATCTGTGCTTGCTCTATCTCGTATCTCCTCATGTTATTATATGCACCCACATCGCGACCAATGATCACTTGATGTGTAGTCATGTAGAATTCGCTATCATCAAAAATCAGTTTTGCATAACCATCTAATCGTACACCAGGATCTGTTGTTGGGTTCGGATCCCACGGTTGACCCCAAGGTTGGTGAATATTTTCATAAGTCTGATCTGCCACAATGGTGCCATGAGGGTGCAGAGTGCTTTCGAAGATGATATCCGAGTATGGCTTCGCAGCCTGATCTAAATATTCCTGATAAGTTGTGGCCATAATGTCTTCTTGATTTGACATGTTGCTAGGCGGGAAGGAGTCGATGGATTTGTTAGGTGGAGACTGTGATTGCTTCTGCGTGGGTTGGGCTGTTGGCTCTTCACCCACATGCCCATCTACTTTGGGTTGGGGCTCAGCAGATTCTTTTTCGTGTGGATGTTCTTCGATTTTCACGTCACATATCTCCATTGCTGAATCGATTGGCGCTTTTGGCAGCGAGGGAATTTCGTTCTCGAGAGGTTCCAATTCTGGTTTCTCCATTTCCTTTGCTGCATCAACTGCCTCTTTTGACGGGGATGGAGATATGTTCTCGGGGAGGATGTCCATTGGTTGGATTGAAATCGAAGGAAGAGTGGTATCCATTGTAGTGGTAGCAGACTTGTCTTGTTCTGCAGAGTACGATCCAATATTGTCGTGGAAATCGAGAGGGTGCGTGTTCAGATTGAACTTATCGGGATTCTTATACATATCGCTCTTATCAAAATCCAAGGCGAAATTGGTTGTGGACATAGTTGCAACGGGCGCAATAGGTTGAGAAACGGCTTCCGCGGTCTGTGATGAAGTCATCGCTGCTAAAAACAACTCGTCCACCTTCTATTGTGAAGTGTGAAAGCGAAATTTCATGCAGGAGGAGTGTGGTCACAGTGTAGTTGTAAGTTACCCCGTGGCTGCGATAGTTGCGACGGTTGCGATAGTTGCGAAGGTTGCGAAGGTTTGAACGTGAGAAGTTAGGAAGCAGTACATCGGTATTCATTTTTCGATTGAGGGCCCGGATAAGATCACGTGATTCTATGATAGTAAAAGTTGATTAAACAACCTTACTAGATCAGGTTAAAGTCGACAAATTAGCAGCCAATCGTTTCATGCTTGAGTCATCAGAAGTACACCATGGTCAAGCTAAAGATTTGCTAAGAATCCAAGATAATCAAAATCGGCCAGATCTACTCATGAAAGCTATTCTATCCTGTTACTCATAAACGGCTTTTGATAGAAATTGCCAAGGTTCATAAGAGTTCTCTTACTCCTCATTTGATACTCTCCACTCTTGGTAGGAAAAGACTTCACACTTGTCTAGAGGGGGATTAGATCCGATCGGAGCGGCGGCCATTGGTTTGTGCATTGACCATTTGGGTCACACCAAATTCTTCATAGACATAATCTAGGTATTCTTACTCGTACTGTCTGGGTAGAAGTAGTACATACATGACTTGGTAGATGACTTTTCATGAGTAGGTACCTAGATCTATCCAATCATCTGTTTCATGGTAATAATATACAGTGATGTGGATGTTCATCATCAAGGATATGCAGTGTAGTTCCTTCTAGCCTCTGTACAGAGTATACTACACAAAACGCGAATCTCCTTTAACCTTGAAACCCCGGATATTTAGACATTCATCCATAAGATACGAAAGTTGCCGGTGCTTTTCTCAACCAATGAACAAGGTTTCCGAACCAGTTTCCGATGCACAACATCTCTATCCAATACATCAATGAATATCAATCCGTCAATCACTACGTCAGTGCTACCAACTAACGAAATTAGTACTCAGTGGTAGCTAAGTTCTTTGGCTGGAAATCTGTCAGTTTGAGTACCTAGGTAGTTAACTAACCTGGATAGCCAAGATACTTTGATCTTGAGCTACTCGAGTATACTTATAATAATACTTACTAAGTTACTACTAGTTACCTAGCATCTAACTTCTTACTTCTCTCTCCCAAGTGTCCTTTTCCATCCCTCATCTGTCCTTTTCATCTCATCCCATTGAATAATATCGCATTTTCCAAAATCCCCACTCGTCCCATCCATATCGGATAATATCCATCAATTAATTCCCCAGAATCGAATCGCATCAGCTCCAGTTCACTACACCGATCCAAGCCCGACCCGTCTCTGCCTCCAAACCCATACCCAAAATGTGCGATGGAATCGGTCTCCCCATCCCATGGGTTTGTATCCAATGTGGCACCGATCAAAACCCGTGTCATGTTAAGGTCGTCGGTCCCACGCTTGGATTTGGAATTGGAGTACTCAGCGCCGTAAGCATCGTGTTCATCAATCATACATACGTCATACAATATATACACTACACAGCATCCGCCTACCGGCTAACGATTTCTTCTCTTGAATTGATTTAAACTAACAAAATGAAACAGTTGGTCTGCTGGCCGGCTTCAATATTCGTGGGTTGCTGCGCTACCGAGACCGGTAAAAAGTATGTTACGGACTTACCACTTACCCCTCACATTTACCATATCCCGACATCCCATTCGCAGTGCCGGCGCGGAAAAATTTCATGACTAACCGAAGTATACAAATTAGGATGTTAGGTGCACCGGTGGATATCAATGGACAAGTCTCGAACGCTATACCGTTTTAAATGGGAATATTTGCTCTCGGAGGAAATCCGAATTGCGCAATTTGAGTGGGGAACAAACTAGAGGGACGACGATAATATGTACGAGCAGGAGGGAAGGAGATGACGATGATATTTTCGATGTAATGGTCAGAATGAAGGATATATGAAATGGGAATATTTAGTTTGGTATGGTTTGATACGTATGTATAATGAGCGCTTGAAGTTTCATACATAATGGAATAGTATACGATTCACCGATTTCGGATGGACTTCGAGGAAAGGGTTTTTAGAAATATACTCTTCTCCGAAAAGTTAGAGCGTCATCGAAGCTTCCAATATGACACCATTCTCTTCAGAATATGTATATTCAGAGCAAGAGGGAACATTAGCTTCCCGGGGTGCATGGAGCACATGTAATCTTACAGAATGCGCCGCAACTTCACGTATGAATTACACTACACCTATTAAGATCAGGACCTACTAATCTAGACAACAATTCGATCTCGAACTTACTCCCCTCTATACGCCCCGAAACTTTTCCTCCCCTCCAACATACAGCCACAAACATATTACCAACCTATGTGGCCACTCTAACAAAAAACCAGCATTAAACCATAACATCCATCCCAACCCAAAACCAAGCAAACCCCCCATAAACCCAAAATCATAACCTCCATCTATCTCAAAAAAAAAGCAGTAACAAACCCAACAAACCTAACCAAAAAAACAAATACTCTATTATTCCCATTACACATCTCATCAACCGGATACACGGCATACCCCATCCATCCGTGTATCCAATAAACCAGGTATCCAACACCCCCACGGAACGCGGCACTTGGAACCGTGATTTCTGATACATATATTTATATAGGTAGGTAGGTAATGTAATAGAAGATAAACTAATCTGTTGCATGTCTAACGGTTGAACGGCATACCTGTTGTAGATATTTGGTGCTGTGTTATAGAGTTGTATTGTTGCATGTCTGACGGTTGAACGGCATTTTTTGTAGATATTTCGTACTAGGTTTTGGTATAATGTGTATTAGGTAGGTATATAGGTATATGGTGTATCGTATATAATGTAACGGTTGAACGGCACTAAGTTGAATTGCTTGGTTAGTTAGGTAAATAGGTATTTATCATTAGTGCTAGATTCGGTGCAGATATAGAACGAGGTATGTACTCGAGGAATAAGTATACATATCATGGAATTATACTGCATTGTATGTATTAGAGTAAAGCACCCGTGAATGCACGGACAGAGACGTCCTTCCAATCCTCGATCCACTTCCACCAGTTCTCCTAATCCAATAATAATATACAAAATCTATATTTAACTACCTACTAGGTATCTGATAACTTATAACTCAATCTTCAATTAGTAACTTAACTAAAGTAAAGTAATTGGTCTCAGAATACACACCTAGTACCTAACATACTGTTACGTTGTAACATTATAAACTATTATCACGTGTTATAGGATCACATGAATAGTCTTGTGAGGGAGCGAGATTCGAATCTCGCTCCCCAGCTCCATCGCTCCAATGTTAGAATACGAAGGTCTATATAATCAAGATGGATTCCCTTTGTATAGAGCTTCGTGCTCAAGATCAAGATCAATCATTTAGTATACTCTACTATTAGTTACGAATTGCATTATTGTCATTACTTAAGTCCCTGCTTGACGCCTAGTTATAAACCACCTCGAGAGCCTAGAGCACTTCCACGTGATCTAGACGGCAAACCTCGTAACACAAGAACAATTATGGAAAGATATCTAGATAGGTAGATATTGAATGAAGGATGGAGATCAAGAATATTGATTTGATAGATATATTTTTCTGTACTACTGTTACTATCTATATACTATACACTATTGCTATATACACAAAGCCCGCCAACTCTTATGACGAAACCAAGTATGTACATAAATAAATCAATAAATCAAAAAGTTGTATATTCCAAGGACTAGAAATGAAGTATGAAGATGAAGATATTGAAATATGTGACGAGGTGATTATATAAAGTATTAATATCGGTTTAACAAGTCTAACTGTACAGACCTTGGGAGGAAGCGTGGGCATTTGCATTTCACGAGACGCATCGCTCTAGCATATCTCTTATAAGGCCCCTGCATGCAAGAGGGGAAAAATTCGTGGACTCAAAGGCACCGGGTAGGAATGGAGGATAGGTTGAAACCCGCAAGCATTGCTCACATACAAGCTCCCTTACTGACAGCATAGAATGAACGATCAAGGTGAAGCATAGCATAACACTGACTTACCGTACGTCTGATGAAAAATATGAAGACCACTACCTATATATTAGTAACGCTCCCAAACTATACTTACCACTGCATCACAAACAGTGTACCAATAAGGGAACACATTTCGTATATCTTCACAAAGACTTTGTCAGCATTGTAATAAAATCTAAGTACAATATAGGAGTCTGCACCTTTGCACCATGATAGATATCTTCAGTTTCCACCCCACCTGATCTGATCAAGCCAATCTCACACCGGCTTGTCTGTTCTTCTTCAACTGTTGTGCTGCCGCTCCAGTCATACCACCAATTTGACTACCATCCAGTGAACTTTGAGCTTCTCTTCGTTTCTCGTCTTCTATCTTCTTCAATAATTTCTCGGTCTTTTGTTTGCCACTGCCTTTGCCGTGGAATTGATGCGATAGGTGTTTGAAGGCCTCCTTTTGGTTCATATTTCTTCCGTGATCATCAATGTACTTTAGTTCTACATTAGGCTTATACTCCTTGTTAAAGTGTTCAGCAAGTTGTCGCGATTCTTGTTGATCTCGTAAAGTATTTTGTTGCCTAGCGTGTTCTTCTCTTTCACGAGCAGACATACGATCCAAACGACCTGTGGCACGGTCTCTCTCTCTTTGCATCTTCGCTCTTCTTTCTGCTTCTGCCTCACGTCGTTGCTTTTCAGCGAGAAACATCTGTTTCTCTCGGAAAATTGTGGCCACATCACCAGACTCGGCAGTCTTGAGGATACCTCTTTCTCTCAGAAGTTTCAAGGTAGAGCCTAGACCTTTCTCGAGAGTGGCTTCCTCTTCTAACCCATTATTGGCGATACCATCTTTCGACTCCTCTTCACGTTTGATTCGAGCAAGTCTGTCCTCATCATCCTCTATATTCGCATACGATTCGTTCATTTGCACATCCCCATCATCATCAGAATCGGCATCCATGGAAGTGACGGCCTCTGCCGTTCGGGATACTGGTCTTCGTTTAGGATCTGGTGCAACTGGCTTTTGGAGATTCGAAACAAACTCGGAAGTTTCATCAATCACAAGTCCTGAATCATTACCTTCCTCGTTGTCTGCGGGAGTTGCCAATGCTTCCTCCCGTAGTCGTTGAGCGAACTCTTCTGGCCGTAACTTTTGACGTTTCTTCAATGCATTCCTTCGTTGGGTAGCAAGTAAAGCTTGTAAATCATCATCATCAACAAAGGACATATCCTCGAAAGTTCGTTTCTTAATGGGCTTAGATCCTTGATCAACATCCATTGCGTCAGCATTGTCACCGTTTGAGACAGCAGGCTCAGGTTCGGGAAATACGTCGTCTTCATCAATCGCCTTTTGTCGTGTTGACTTGGCCTTCTTTTTCTTCGGTTTCTTGACCTTGATATCGGAGATATCAAGGTAATCAGACTTCGGCTCGTCATCTTCTAAATGATATGTTAGTGGCCGAAGTAATTGGATGCTAAGGTATTCTGGGTTCGGATGCTTACTTAGAATGTCAAGGCTAAAGGTTTTGGCTTTTGTCTTGATGGTAGATGCGAGATTTCCTGACGAGGCTTCAGTAGTACTGCCCATACCGTCTAAAGTAAATCTCTTTCCTTTTTTGCCATCAATTTCCTCATCATAGTGCGCCAAAATCTTCTTTTCACCGGTCTCATCATAGTCGTCATTTGGGTTGTACGTAGGCTTTTTCTTCTTGAGCTCTAACTTATCAGACAGCTTCTCACGCTCACGTAGATCCAAATTCTCCAGTTCATCACCTTCTTCTTCATTTTCGTCGATCGTGGTGTCTTTCAATGTGAGAACTTGATCCTCCCCTTCGGCAAATGTATCCAGCTCATGCCCAACTCTAACGCCCGCGAGATCTTTGGCAGTATATTCGGCAGCTGCCGCAGCTTCTGCATCGATACGTTCCTGCTCCTTCTTTCTTGCCTTTTCAATCTCTTTTTGCCGTTTCTTTTGCTTCATCAACCAGGATTTAGCATCCAGATCGCCATCATCGTCAGCTTCTCCCAGACCTTTGCCTTCGAGTTTCGCAAATCGTTTGGCTGTATCACGCGCCTTCTTTATGGCTTCTGCTTTGGCTTCTCGTTTTCTCTTAGTCTCATCAGCCTCTTGTAACCTTCGATAGTTATCATAGCCTTCAGCTTGTCGCGATTCTAATGTACTGCCGACATCTTCTGCCGGTGCAGATGGGGCCTCTTTGAAAACTGGACCTGCAGCTCCTGGTACTGCTAAAGGCTTCATTCCAAGTGAAGCTCGAATCCGGTTTGTCTCCTCGATAGATATAGCGTCCGCCATTGTGATGTGATTTGTCTAGAAAAAAGCAATTGATGTTTACTGTGTCGAGTTTTGGCGAAAGAAACAATATCGAAGTTGAATTGTGAGGCTGACAGGCAAATTTACTCTAACCGAATATATACTAGTGCACTTTAAGATGCACGCTAAATTAGCGCGATTGGTTTCGCTACAAAACTTTTTCCTCGTGCACAATATTTTTACTTTTTTTTCTCACAAAAACATGAGATTTGTGTCCAGCGTCCCTTCATCAAAACTGTTCGCAGTGATGGTGTAAGGTTGCATGCTGAGGCAGTTCGATCGTCTATGGAGCCATCAACCTACCAAGGTAATCTGTGATGTCAATATCCGATCGACAAATCTCAGATTGATCAGTCCTTATGAAACCTGAGTCGCTTCGGCTGATTCGGTGGATGAGTGTACTGAAGACGTCAGATTCCAAATCTGTTTGCCTAGGCTGTTAGCCTTTGAGGTTGCGGAATAACCCTCTCGTCTACATTTCAACTTCGGGGCATTTACGCGTTGAAGCAAGACTTCAATTGCAATTACGACACACTTCCATCCAATCTTTAGGCGGTTTTACGGATGTACCAGCAGCTTGTGAAGGATTTATATGAGTGGGGACTATCTGCAGGAAGGAGTATCATCCTCAAACGGTCAACACTCCGCTCGAATGATCTTCTGTGGTAGACCTGGACGAGCGGTTTGCGCGTCAAGTTGAGTATTATATAGATGTTCACATGTTTTCTAGCTTCTGCTGCCGAGAAAAGGCCCGATACATAATTGATAATTATCTTTCACATCGTCTCTTTTCAATTGCATGACGTGAAGTACTTATGCATCCCACTGTGCAAGCATCGGGATCCCCCACAACCTTACCATACTCTTGCCATACTCCGCGGTACCTTGCGGACAATAACTTTCCTTGGCGCACGAGGCTTTGTCGCTGGATTCATTCCCACTATGCTGAAATTGGAAGCTCGACGTGCTAGACCTGCATTGCTTGCATGATCTGATCTTTAATGCGACTACCATAATAACATCTTGCTCAGTGGCAATGGGCCAGCCTTGCATGCATGTATGTACTATGTACCTAGTATGTGCTACGACCCAAGGAATAGCTGGAGTCTTCGGTCTGAGAAAAGTTTAAATTCCGTGTTCTCAACCTCGGTACTACTCTAATGTTGGCTACTTTTCTTGATGGCCCGGCCCATCCTACAGCATATCAGCAATTCGGCAATCTACTTTACTACCAAGTAGCACAGGTCCACAAGGTAAGGAATGGCCTCATAAATCGGTCTGATAACGGGCCATCTGAGGATCTCCCATTTTTCTGGTCCCCTCATAAAGATAAGGTAATTCAAAGGATCCGTCGGTCCCGAGCTTTCGACGCTCTAGCCATCTTGTAGCTATCCATGTCATTATATCCGGATCCAAGAAGTCTTCGCATTTCTCGAAGGGCGACTGCATACTAAGACTTCAGGCGCTGTAGTTCCTTGCGCGGAGGTTCGGTTTTATTGCCAAGGTCGCATATCCCAAGCGGTACCTTCAAGAACCGTCGAGCCCAACTACCACTTAGTACACGAAACAGGAAAGAAATTGACATATGTGAATTATTATACATCTGGATTCGGCAATGAGAATGTTTACCAAATAACATTCGTCTACCTACATGGTGCTGCTGCGATGCATGCAATAAATGTACGGAATAGACAGCTGCGCGGGGATGTAAACTCAGTCTGGAGCTGCAGACAAAACATGGGACGGCCCGATTAGATGGAAAATGACTTTGTTCAAGTTTTTGTTGTAACTTGTGGGGACCCCAGACTAGCGGGCGGACATGGGGGTTAGTCATGATGATGTATTATATAAGCATATAAATAAATAAAAACCTCAACTTCTCAAGGAAGTTGAGCTAGGTATATGTAGGAAGGTAGTAATATATGTTTTATGTAAGATTTCGAACGCATTTTTTTATTTACCCAGGTGGGTAAGTATTATGTAGGGACCAGGTAGGTAAATAGTATAGCTGAGAATCTGAGATCTTCCAGCAAGCTGAGACCTGAGATCTCCCAAGCTTTGAGCTTTAAGCTTTAATAAATCTTCTCCTATGGTTACTCTAGAGTCTAAGTGTCCGTCCCGTGACTTGTCTTGTCTGAAAGCTTAGTTTTTACTAATGAGGTAGGTAGGTACAATCAATCACATCTAGACACGACCTTTCAGGGGCCACTTTTACAGGTGTACCAAATTGTCCAATGAAAACGGTAAAATGTCGCACTTTAAGCTTGTTCATCATGTAGAGAATATTTAAGGAAAAATCAAGGGATATTTATTATTCATTCAAATTCATTTAGCATTATTCAAATTTCAACAACAGATCAAACGGCATAAGACACATGCAAAAGGCGCAGACACGCATGCAAAAGTCCGCCTAAGTACCTTAAAACCTAAAAAGGCTGTACCTCCGTATCGACGCAACCTTGTGACTGCCTGCCTCCTTACCTTAAGCTAGACATCTAGGTACGTAAAACTTAAAGGCAAAATTCGGGTCCCCGTCGATTAGCTCATCATATCTTCACAATAGTGCTGGTACCTTGGCCCAACTACCTAATCGTCCGCACTATCCTAAAATCCATTGAAAACTCCGGATGCATCAAGCTACCTAGTACCTTAACGGCATCAATCTGACCCACATACTTTCATCCATGAAGAAGGCTAGGCGGGAGGAGTACTCTTATTAATATAAATAGCAATGGCTTCCTCTTTACTTTCCGCCCTCACCTCTCTCAACTCCATCAGCAACTTCAATAGCACACTCGTTCTTCGCGCCGTGCAACCCATCATGCACACCTTTACCCCTCTCCTGCTGGCTGGCAGTCTTGCCCTCCAATCTATTCATGCTTTTCCAAATCCCAGCCGGGTTGAGGAACGGGATGGCGAAATATTGAAACGTTCGGTGGACTCTTTCATCGCCACTGAAAGTCCAATTGCCATGAGAAATCTTTTGTGTAATATTGGATCAAGCGGATCTTGTGCTGCAGGAGCATCTTCCGGCATTGTAATTGCTTCACCTGACAAAGTAAACCCAGACTGTGAGTGTTTCTCCTTTGCCTTGTACTGACTGGACTCCTAATGTTCCAACAGATTTTTACACTTGGACTCGAGACTCTGCATTGGTCTTCAAGAACCTTGTGGATACATTCATCAGCAGCACTTATTCTCCATCACTTCAACAACAGATTGAAGACTACATCAGTGCCCAAGCAGGTCTTCAGACCGTATCAAACCCTTCCGGTGGTTTCTCATCTGGCGGCCTGGGCGAGCCCAAGTTCAATGTCGATAAAACGGCTTTCACAGGTTAGAAATTTCCAAATTCTCCACTTGATGTGTTACTGACATGTGTCTGTTTAGGAGCTTGGGGTCGTCCTCAAAGAGATGGACCAGCCTTACGTGCTACTGCTATGATTGCTTATTCAAAATGGTTGATCGCCAACGGCTATACCTCTACCGTGCAAACCATCGTTTGGCCTATTATCAGAAATGATCTCTCATACGTTACTCAATACTGTAAGTTATTTTTCGGACTTTTGTCAAAAAATCAAAAGAGTCAAGGAGTTTCGAAATACACTTTTGCATAACCTTATACTGAATAAATACACAGGGAACCAAACTGGTTTTGATCTTTGGGAAGAAGTTCAAGGATCAAGTTTCTTCACTATCGCCGCTCAACATCGTGCACTTGTTGAAGGTAGCGCATTAGCCTCCCAAATCGGTCAAAGCTGTACCTATTGTGATTCTCAGTAAGAACAAATGTATGAAAGATTCGAGATTAAAGTGCTGATTCACTCTCTAGAGCCCCACAAGTTCTTTGCTTCCTCCAAAGCTTCTGGAGTTCATCTTCTGGATACATCATTTCCAACATCAATGAAAACAACGGACGATCAGGAAAAGATGCAAACAGTATCTTGAGTACTATCCAGACCTTTGACCCTACTGCTTCATGTGATTCTTCCACATTCCAACCATGCTCAGACCGTGCTTTGGCAAACCACAAAGTTGTCACCGATTCTTTCAGATCAATTTATTCCATCAACTCTGGAATTGCCGAGGGTGTTGCAGTTTCTGTTGGACGTTATCCAGAAGATTCGTACCAAGGTGGTAACCCTTGGTACCTCAATACTCTCGCCGCTGCTGAACAACTTTACGATGCTTTATACACCTGGAATAAGCAAGGTTCCATCACAGTGACCAGCACCTCCCTCGCATTTTTCAGAGACTTCAGCTCTTCTGTCACTGCCGGAACATACTCTTCTTCAACATCAACCTACACTACTCTATACAACGCTATCAAAACATACGCCGACGGCTACATGAACATCGTTGCAACCTATGCCCAAGCCAACGGTTCTCTCTCAGAGCAATTCAACCGAGCCGGAGGAGCCCCACTCTCAGCCTACGACCTCACCTGGTCCTACGCCGCCTTCCTCACCGCCGCCGCTCGTCGCGCAGGCGTCGTCCCATACTCATGGGGTGAGCCATCCGCCAACAGCGTCCCCGGAAGCTGCTACGCAACATCCGCATACGGCACCTACTCCACTGCAACCGCCACCTCGTTCCCCGCATCCCAAACCCCTAATGGAAGCGGAAGCGTCCCGGCTCCCAGCACCACAGCCACCACGACCAAAACCGGCTCCTCAACCACAACCACCGCATCCTCCTGCCCCATCGCCACCTCCGTCGCCGTAACCTTCAACGAACTCAAAACTACAGTTTACGGCCAAACCATCAAAATCGCTGGTTCAATTTCTCAATTAGGTTCCTGGGCTCCCGCTTCCGCTGTCGCTTTGAGCGCTAGCAAATATACCTCCAGTAACCCCTTGTGGAGCGTCACTATCAACTTACCCGCCGGAACAGCCATCCAGTATAAATTTATCAATGTGGCGAGCGATGGAACGGTTACTTGGGAGGCGGATCCAAATAGAAGTTATACCGTTCCAGTTAGTTGTGCAACCAGCGCAACGGTTAGTGGAAGTTGGCAGTCGTAGGTGACTTTTTTTGTTGTTTGATCTTTAATCTTCGATCCTTAATTCTTGAGAAGGATTGAGAGATGGGAATGTGCTAGTGGAAGTTTTCGGGTTAAGGGGTCCTAGATACTTGAGATGGGTGAATGAATGAATGAATGAATGGATGAATATAAAGATATGATGAGTGGGATGTGAGACTCCTGAAACAGAATGGCCAGTATAGATTCATGAACTCTGGTACGTAAATAAAAATTGATCGGTACTATTACATTACCATACTTGGATTTCATCATGGTCGTCATAAAGCGTACGCGTGTTTCCTCCCTATCTATCTATGTAGCTAGCTAGCTAGCTACCTATTTATTCCTTGAATATTGAATATATCACACATCCTATACAGTATAATTCAAACAAGCACCAAATTCCCCACACACATACATCACAACTTTCAAGATTCTCCGGTTCTTCATCATGGTATTATGTATTGTTTTGTATTCTTCATGTTGGATCCACCAGATCTCGCTCATATGTATTAAGAGAACTAAGTAAACTGAGTAAATCAAAAAGCAAAAATCAAAGACACAGGAAAATACCTAAGTAGATTTAATCCACGATGATGTGGAAAGCCCAGCTATGCACTCACTCAGAGCTTTAAAATAACTAGCACCTCCTTGGCTATCCCTCAAAATCAATACACAGGAAAATAAGTAGATTTAATCCACAATGATATGAAAAGTCCAGCTATGGCACGTACTTAGAGCTTTAAAATAACTAGCACCTCCTTGGCTACTCCCCTCAAAATCCAGTATACACCTCTGAAAAAATCTCCATCGAAAACAGAAAACAGAAAACAGAAAAAGTAGAATACTTCACTCATCCTCATCACTCGTAGCTTCAATATTTTCTTTTTTGCTCTTCTTTCCCTTTTGCGCTGTTGCTGCTGCTGATTTGATTTGCTTATTCTTATTCTTATTCTTGTTTTTGTTCTTGGATTTTTTGTCGGCTGATGAGTCTGTTTCTACTGCTTCTTCTTCTTCCTCATCTTCATCTTCTTCTAGATCTTCGTTTTCTTCGACTTTCTCCTCTTCTTCAGGTGTAATTTCAATACCTTTTTTCTTGAGATTGGCGTTTATTTGGGGGATAGATTGGAGGAAGTTTTTGTATTGGTCGATGGTTAGGGAGATGCCCTGGATTTTTTAGATGTTAGCTTTGTTAATTTTCTATGTTTTTCGCTCTTTTGTGTCTTTTCATATTGGAAGGGTAGATAGATATGTGAGAATTTTAAAGAAGGGATATAAAAAAGATGCGAACCTTCTTTCCCGGCAAAAGATTTCCATCTTTCTCGTAGAATTCGCGGATGTTAATGAGGGTTTGACCTTTGAAATCTGAAAGCTCGATTTTACGGGGTGTGCGGCCGGTTGAGAGGTCCCATGAGGGAGTGGTTGAAGAAGAGGAGGAAGAGGTGGCTTTGCTTGTTGTGGTGGGTTTTGTGGTTTTGGATTTTTTGGACTGAAGGGTGTGTTAGTGGGGGGTCGGGTCTCTGAGGGGTTTTGAGGGTGAAGGTAGAATGTGTTAAGATGATCGGGATTAGGGTTGGATTTGAATAATGTTTGAGAGAAGGAGAGGGAATGTGAAGATGCTTTTTTGGGGCTGAATTGAAGGAGGGGCTCACCTTGCGAGCTGTATTATCGTCATCAGATACGAACCCACCATCCGAATCGTAGGTTTCGACAGGTTCTGCGCGACTTCGTTTGGGCATTTTGGAGGAGACTTAGATTATGGGATTGGGATTGAGATTGGAATTGAAATGTGGGAGAGCGGACTAGATGTGGCTTGTGTTGGGTTGGTTTGATACTTTGAGGTAAGAGTGATGGATTGTTGGAAGAGCTGAGATGAGATGGGATGGGATGGATTATTTGGAGAAATCAATGAAATCAATGATGTAATTGAAAACTTTCGTTTAAGTTTCAGATTGGAAGCAAAGATTGTTTGATAGTTTGTATTTTCATTTTCATTGTTATCATTAGCATTTTGTTGTCATCGCGTGATGTGATGTTTTATCTGGTAAACGCGTCTGTAACGAAGAGTTCGCGTTTGCGCGTAAATTGATTTTTTGGTGACTTTTAGGTAGGGATCTTCATCATGGGGAGAGAAAAGAAGCCGATGCTGCTAAAATGACAAAATGAATGAACATTTTCGAATTCAACTGATCTTCATATGATGTTTTGATTTCATTAAAGTCAAAAGCTGTGATTAGCCAAAAGCTATCCTTGGTCCTTTGAAGATCTCATACTGATAATAATGATTGATTAATTTGACATATAATTTTATTTTCACTTAAAGGGTGCTGGTTTGATTTTAGTGCTCGGCATTCTCTACCGGATACCTTACTCAAGCTTTTACCAGCGGGAAGGAGGGAAGTCATCCCTGACGATCTAACGGATCCAACAAATCATCTAGACGTTTTAGGCCTTTCTATTTTTGCTTCAAGAAAAGGTGGCCAGAACTGATATTTGAATGTCTAATTTCAAATGGAACTATTAGATATCTATATTACATGAGGGTAGGTATGAACTGGTAAAGGAATAGCTAGTAAATGCTAAATATGTATTTTTAAAATCTAAGATAAACATGTATAATTGAAGCATTTTGAATGTTCAAAATCCATAGAACAATGAAATAGTGTTATCGCTGATAACGAGCTTCGGTTTCAACTCAGCCTCAACCCTTACGGAAGGAAAAAGAAAGTATCTACCTGGCTGGTAGAAACCAACACTTCATTGTTCAAAATGTAGTTGAACATCTAAAGTATGAGTCTCGAATGCTCTTTTGATATTTGACATTCGATCTAATGTTAGTCCCCCTCCTAGTACATGAAGCTATTCAAATGGGAGACACGCTAATCATCACTAGGCAGGCTATGACGATACAACATTCCTTCGCACTTTCTGATTCTTGCGACAGCAGCTTTGATTCATTACGACAGATTCAGACATCACGATACATTCAAGCGATACAACGGATTCAAACAGCATAGCAACCTGAATGTTCACAATGGATTCATCAAATGAGTCCAAGGTCGCGGAAGGCGCGACCAACGACCACGCAATTACCCGATTACTACGATTTCTTTCTGCGGCTTCAAACGAGCAACTTGTATTGATAGCCCTTGCCTTAGCATTCACCATATACATAATAATAGATGGACTTTTCATTCTCCTCCTAGGAGCTTTAGGCGGTGTCATTTTACATACGGTATGGACAGACAAAAGTGTTACGCCTGTAGTAGATTTGTATGTCAAGCCAGATAACGTTCAAGTGGAATTGGTCGAGAGCACAGGGAACAACTTTGAGAAATTCAGACCTAAGACTGCCATTGCCCTGAACGAATTAGTCGATGCCATTGTTCGAGACTATGTCAAGCATTGGTACAACCCTATACTCCCTAGCGATGAAACCTTCCTCATTGCTACGAGATTGTCCCTTACGAGGTTCATTCTATCCATGTCTCAGCGTCTCTCAAGAAAGCGACCTGCCGACACTTTGCTCAATTTCCTTACCAATTCTTCATCCATTGCTATTGTCGTTCTCAATGAGTTGGCAAATGCAACCTCCGGAACCCAGGGAACCATCGGGCCTGTCGAAGAGATGGTAACTAATTATTTGACTGCAAATCAAGATTGCAATTTGGCCAACATTATGAACGAAAAACAACAGAGGAAGCAATTCCAATTAGCCGCAGATGATATTCTGCAAAATTTCTTGGAAAAGTCGCTTTATGATTCCGGACCGGTCAGGATCTTTTTGAGAGAGATATTAGCTGGAGTCGTCCTAGAGATGACACTAAAAAGTTGTTCCAAGCCAGAATTTATTAATGGATGGATCGTATACCTGCTGGAAGATGGAGAACCCGGATTGGGACAGGCTATCGATGATGCCATGGACCGTAGAAATATTCACGACCCATTTTCCGACATTGATGGAAATGTCGGTAATGTTAGTCTTGCCAGATCCTCCAAGAGTTTAAGGCATCAAAGACGAATATCAGATGAAGAGGCCACGAATGAAGCGTTGGCAGAAACGCAGAGACTCAGCATGTTGATTGCTGAGGAGGAGGCAAAGAAACTTGCACAAATTGATAGTATCAAGGACGAGGAGGACAAAGTCCTCGGTGATAAAAATATCAAAGAAAATATACAACCGGAATCGACCCTTGTATCGCCAACAAATGGCATTCCACCTCACACACCAATCACAAACTCAAGACCTTCAGTATCTGGATCTGATTCGAAAGGCAGATCTCCTGTATCTCCCGATTCGAAAAATCATATGTCACCCATCTCACCTATATCACCTACAACACCTGCAACACCACAAACTACTTCCTCCTTTACGAACTTTGACCAAATTGTACCTCCAACACCTATTGCTTTACAATCAAATCCAGCATCACCTCAACGACAAAAAACAGTATCTTTGACTCTACACAACGCAAACATCATTATTTATGATGATTCAGTCGCATCCGACAAAGGAAAGATCAAAAGTAAACCTACCATGGATTACATGCTTCAAATTGAACCAGAGTCATCAATCCATCCTGGATGGATGATAGTCCGAAGATATTCGGATTTTGAAACACTGCATGAAGTCCTCGGACGAATTGCCAAAGTTTCGGGTGCTAGGGCATTCATTGAGCAACACCAAGATTTGCCAAAGTGGAAATCCAACACCAAACCATTATTACGCGGCGAATTAGAGCGGTATGTGAAAGATGCTCTTGTTCACCAAGCACTTGCTGAAAGTGAGGGCATGAAACGATTCTTGGAAAAGGATCAAGGAACCATGCCAGCGCCAGTTACAAAAGCTGGCTTTGCCTGGCCTACATCATCTCTGGAGAATATGGGTAAAGGCATGATTGATACGCTTAAAAATGCACCAAAGGGAGCTGCTGCTGGTGTTACAGGTGTTTTCAGCAACATCGGATCACTTGCACAAAAAAGATCTAGTCAAAGCAGCTTGCAATCCCAAAATCGTATTTCAGCGCCAGCGCTGTCAAGAGTTGATAGTACGACTTCATCAAATGGTTCTTTCTTTGAAACAAAAAGAGGTAGATTGAGCGAGGATAGTTCAAAAGCAGCTTCTGTCGTTTCACATCCCGGAAAGACCGTATCCCTTGGACGAAAGCTAAGCCGCGGATCTATTCCAGGAGCTGTGGAAGAATCTGGTATTAGAACCAGAGGATCTTCTGTAAGTAGTCACATGAGCGCTACATACAGCCCACTGCACAGTCGAGAGCCTAGCCAAACTTCATGGATAAAACCTGAGGATACGCCACTTTCATCACCAACCACGAAAGATTCCCAAGAATTACGTTTGCCACCACCACCTACTGAGATGCCCGATGACTACACTTCACAAGCTGCAGTCGAAAAACCATCTCAAGCTATAGTGGATAATGAAAACACTGTTACGCCAGCACCATCAAATGAGAAGGAAATCGAAGCTGTGTTGGACAATAGCAGTACGCCTGCGCTGGTAAGTGAGAAGGAAACAAAAGCTGTATTGGAAAATTGCAGTTCGCCTGTTTCGTTAGGTGAGAAGAAAACAAAAGCTGTGTTGAACAATAGCGGTACGCCTGCGCCACTAAATGAAGAGGAAACCAAAGTAGCAATTGAGCTTCTCTTCGCTGTCATAACAGAGCTCTACACCCTCTCTTCGGCTTGGACCATCCGACGCACGCTCCTAACTGCTGCAAAATCCTTACTCCTTCGCCCGGGAAACCCTGCTTTATCCTCTATTCAGGCACTCATACAAGATTCTGTCATTGCAGCTTATACTTCGGATGCTGGAATTGCCTCTTCTGTTCGTAAACTTAGAGAGAATGCCTTACCTACAGAAACCGAGCTGAAAACCTGGCCAGCAGAAATGAGTGCAGAAGATAAGGAGAAGTTGAGGGTTAAGGCGAGAAAGTTATTAATAGAGAGGGGTATGCCGGTTGCTTTGACAGGTGTTATGGGACAGGTTGCCACTGGTGAGGCTCTGGGGAAGTTGTTCGATGCTTTACAATGCGAAAATGTGGCGCGGGGTTTGATTTGCGGAATGCTTCTTCGAGGTGTTAAAGCTATTACTCATTAAGAGACGGGGAATGTAAGAGTGGAAAAGGAGGGAGTGTTAGAGTGGATTGAGATGTTTGGGAAGATGGAGTATGGATAGAACAGGGATGTTGGGGTGGTTGGAAACGTTGAGAAAAGATGGGTTAATGGATAGACGAGAAGCTGGGACGAAGGAAACTTTGAGGATAGATGCGACAATCGAGAGAATAGAAACACTGAGAAAAGATGGGATAATGGATAGATCGAGACATTGGGAAGAAGTGAAGCATTAACAAAAGATGGGATAAAGAAAAGTATAGAGACTTTGAATTGTATTGAGAACTAGAGATACCATTATTATGCTTAGCATTAGTATTATTAGTATTATTAATCACGAGAAATGAAAGATCAAATTATTAAATGGATATTTTTTGCTCCTTTGGCTTTGGTTTCTTATGAATAGATAGGTATTCATGGCGTTGTATCTATTCGTCATTACCCTCCCTTGTCTTTCTATCTTCCATCCCTCTTCTCTCCTCCCCTCTTCCATCCTCTCCTCTTTTTTGATTATTTTCTTTCTTGACAGATCTAATTAATCAAATTAAGTATTTAGATTAAATTGTATCTGCTCGAGTGCAAATGTACTGATTCACGAGTTTATTAATTTGAGATTTTTTCCAATCGATGAGTTAGTAAATGGAAAAATAGAAGTGTGAAAAGAAACTTCAATTTAGATTATGAGATATAGAATGGGATAATGGGATAATGGGATAATGGGATAATGGGATAATGGGATAATGGGATAATGGGAGAAAACTAAGTAATGAGACATCACCTAGGATATAATCTTACAAAAAAAGCCTATCTCCTAAGAGACAGATAGATAGATATCAATATACCTACCTAGATATAGACAGACAACCCCAGAATTTTATAGATTCGAGTCCTCTCTTATATTTAAAATCATAAATAAGAAGATTTTTTTTTATAAGAAATACAACAAAATAAACTCAAAAAAAAACTCAAAAAAAGAGTATATATATATAAATATAACCTCGAGCTCGATCTCATCAAATATAAAAATAGATAACTTATGCACACCACTTACTACTACTACTCACAATAGCTAAGCCCATATATATACCAAATTTTAGAAGAGATCCAGAAAATGATCAACTCCGCAACCCTATCCTTTCTCTTTTCATCATCTTCCATTTCCTCTCTTTACTCTCGTTATAAAAATTATGAGATAGATGGGGTAGTCTACAACTACAAGTCGGGGCACTTTCAATTAACAACAATCAATATCTTTCTTATATCATTTCATTGCAGTGAAATTTAGCGATGCAATCAATCTAGACTCCTAGTTGAGGAGATTGAAATTATAAAAGAATAAAGGAAATGATTTATAAGATCACTAGTGGATGTGTGATAAAAGAGAGATAGGATGGAAAAAGGAAGGTGGGAAGTTATATGGAGGTTTCGGAGTTGATGTTGTGAACACTGATAATGCGATGTAAAATACGATGTCTTGAGAATATTATTGGATACTAGGGATATCTCGAGATATCTCAAGACATCTGCGATATATCTGTGTGGATGTTTCATCTTAAAACTAATGGAACTTGGTCCTCTCAATCCTGTCACCACGTAAAACCATATAAGAAATATCTTGAAAGATTTATTCATTTCATCATACCATAGCCTAATCCCATACATATTCATACATCCGAAAATTCTTTCTCCATTAGCGAAAAAGAAGGAGAATGATAGTCCTTGCTATCCTATATATCATCTCCAAATCATCCATAACTTTACAGATACCTATCATACCACGCAATACCCACAACCGAAATTCGAAGCCTATCACTCCATCCATCCTATCCATCCATCCATTTAACAAACCCAACTCCTTTCCAATCCCTCCAACCATTACTCCAATACTTTATAACTAACCATAGTTCCAACTTTATGATTAGCCGTACTGAAACTCCTCAATTGTACTTTCTCTCCATTTACAATTTCTCTCGCATCACTATCTCCCCATTCCATTGGAACCTCACTATCCGCATCCGCATATACCAGAACATTAAATGTGCATGCTCCATCCAACTCTGGCAAAAATGTCACACTAGCTGTAATTTGTCTGAATATTGATTGAATCTCCAATTGAATCTCTGCTTCTGTTTTTTCGGGTGCGGGTGCTGGTGCTTCTTTCTCGGTGGGTGCATTTTCGGAAGTGGAGGGAGTAGTTGAGGATTTGGATTTGGATGATTTCTTAGAAGGTTTGTTGAAGATTTCTACATCGAATTGCCAACGTTCGACATCTTCGCCTGTTTCTTTTGAGGTGATTACGACGATTAGTTTGGTGATCTTTCCGTTTATCATCCATTTGTCGAGTTGTGACATGATCTTTTTGATGTAAGCTTTGACTTGGTCGTCGGAGGAAACTGGTAAGGATGAGTTAGTTATGATTAAGATATGGCGGGTGAGTGAGGAGTTGGAATGGGATTAGCTTGTACGGAAAACGAACCAAGCATTGTGAGGCCATATTTTTTGACGCTGAGAAGGATAGTTAGTTGGAATGTTTGTGGACTATGAGGTGAACAGGATGAACAAACGCTGAGAAGTCTTCGGCGGGGTATACACCTCGTTGGAAGCTATAGATTTGTTAGTGATTTGTAGACAAGTGGTATATGATTTGTAGACAAGTGGTATATGATTTGATACTTACAGAATTGTGTTTATTGAGTATTGGAACTACGCAAATTAGTATTTCTCTATGACCTAAATAGATCCAGTACTCACGAATTCCGCAACGAGTTTTGAAGAACCTATAAATTATTAACACTGCGTGCGATTTAATTCCCTGAGCTTTTGCATACCCTTGAGCGAGAGCTTATGAGTTTTCGCCTTATCTGATTTATCAGACTTCTCCTTCGACTTGGTGCTTGTCTTCGTAGTTGACTTTGTGGTCGACATATTGACAGTATTTTGAGAATGAATATCGTATGCGATCTTGCGAGTCTATCTGTCTGTCTCATAGATAAACAGAAAGTAAAGAACCCCATCAAATAATTCTTGGTTGCCTCAGCGACCACGAGCCCGGAAGGTTCCGTCACAAGGCAAAGCAACCCCAAAATTAATTTTCCCCAATCCTCACCCCGCGTCTTCAAACTGTGAAGCCCACTCCACAAATGCAGCGATGTCCATTGAACCTGCTTAGGCTTCCCAGCACTCTAAGATCACAATATGCATCGCATTTTCTTCCTTTTTCCCTTCCCCGAACCTTCACCACTTCGGTGACTCGATATGCCATCGCGAAGAAAGTCGTGGGTGATCTAGAACGTCGCATCCAAGCTATTCCCATTGAACGATTTCGGAACTTCTGCATCGTAGCACATGTAGATCATGGGAAAAGTACACTTAGTGATCGATTACTCGAATTGACGGGTACGATTGAACCTGGTGGCGATAAACAAATTTTGGATAAGCTGGAAGTAGAAAGGGCAAGAGGTATTACTGTCAAGGCGCAAACATGTAGTATGTTATGGAATCATGAAGGAGAAGATTACCTGCTTCACTTGGTAGATACGCCGGGACATGTGGATTTTCGAGCTGAGGTATCAAGATCTTATGCTAGTTGTGGAGGGGCTCTATTACTAGTAGATGCAAGTCAAGGAGTACAGGCTCAAACGGTTGCAAACTTCTATTTGGCATTTTCACAGGGGTTGACATTGGTACCGGTGGTTAATAAGGTGGATCTACCAACAGCAGATCCACCAAGGGCATTGGAGCAGATGGAAAGTACATTTGAATTGGCGCCTGAGAATGCGGTTTTGGTCAGCGCGAAGACGGGATTGAATGTTCCAGCTATTCTTCCAAATGTCATCAGACAAATTCCAGCTCCAGTTGGCGACCATACGAAGCCACTAAGGTTATTGTTGGTAGATTCATGGTATGATAATTACAAAGGAGTTATCTTACTAGTCAGGATTTTCGATGGGACAATCAAGGCTGGAGACCAAATCGTGAGTTTTGCAACTGGAATTAAGTATTTCGTTGGTGAAGTAGGTATTATGTATCCAGATCAGACTCCGCAAACTGTGTTGAGAGCTGGGCAGGTTGGATATATCTACTTCAACCCTGGTATGAAGAAGAGTCAGGAGGCCTTGAGTGGAGATACATTTACCACCGTTGGTTCAGAGCATCTAGTAGAAGCATATCCTGGATTCGAAGAGCCAAAGTCTATGGTTTTCGTGGCTGCTTTTCCAGTCGACCAGGGTGACTATCATCATTTAGAAGACTCCATCAATCAAATCGTACTCAACGACAGGAGTGTAACTCTACAAAAAGAGTCTTCAGAGGCGCTCGGTGCGGGATGGCGTTTAGGATTCCTTGGTACTCTACATTGTTCTGTATTTGAGGACCGTTTGCGTCAAGAACATGGTGCAAGTATCATCATTACACCACCCACCGTGCCTTTCAAAGTCATTTGGCGCGATGGTACAGAGTCAATTATCCAAAATCCTGCTCTCTTTCCCGAACACGAAACCACTAATCAACGTGTCCAAGAACTTCAAGAGCCTTATGTCTCTGCTACCATTACTCTTCCCGAAGAATATCTTGGTAAAGTAATTGAACTCTGTGAGGCCAACCGCGGTGAACAAGTCGATCTCACCTTCTTTACCGCGACCCAAGTCATTCTCAAATACGATCTTCCCCTCGCACAACTCGTGGATGATTTCTTCGGAAAACTCAAAGGTGCAACCAAAGGCTACGCAAGTCTCGATTACGAAGATGCCGGATTCCGCAGAAGTAGCATCGTGAAACTACAGCTCCTCGTCAACAAAGGACCAGTCGATGCAGTGGCACGAGTAGTACACACAAGTCAAGTCGAAAAAATCGGGAGACAATGGGTAACGAAATTCAAAGAACATGTTGATAGACAAATGTTCGAGGTGATCATTCAAGCACAAGCAGGAAAGAGAATCGTGGCGAGAGAAACTCTTAAACCGTTTAGAAAAGATGTATTGCAAAAGTTACACGCGAGTGATATTGGAAGAAGAAGAAAGTTATTAGATAGACAGAAAGAAGGAAGGAAGAAGCTGAAGGCCGTGGGCAATATCGCAATTGAACATGAAGCTTTCCAAAAGTTTTTGGCGAAGTAAAGGAGGGGGAAGTTTAATGAATATATATCAATCTGTATATATGTACCAAATACCACGAAGATCTTGAAACAAACTTACATCTTCAACTATTCACTATCATTTGACTCTCTTCTAAATATCCTCTCCTCCTACCTGCCACCTACCCACACTCTATTCCGTAAAATCATATATAATATATGAAACTTCACTCTCCCACCACCCCCTACCCAACTGTCCCGTCCCCGAACAAACAACAGATTACAGCAGAAATACATATAAATAAAACTTACAAACTTGCTCAATGCTTGATATCTCCTCCCTCGTCCCTCCTCACTCCACTCTTACATAAATATTTTTTCTCTTCATTTCTATCCTTAAAAACTATTTCATACCCCACACTCCACTCCATATTATAGATATCATTCCAGAATCCAAATTCTACAATTCTAACTATAAGATTATATTTTATATTTCTATTAATATTTTTATCCCTACCTATATGCCTTTTATTTTATTTGTTCTATAAATACATATGGAGAAAAATTGATAAATATATTATCTAAAATAAAAAAAATTATAAACTACAACTCATTGAATATTCTGTATTATATTAATCAGCTTTAGCACTCAAAAGTTAAAATAAACTATTTATAATTTCATCACATCAATATCAAAATCGACATCAATTAATATTAATATTAATATACTACTCCGCTTTCATTAATTCTACCCTGGGTATCTATACTCTTTCCCTTCCATCCATCCATCCATCCATCCATCCATCCATCCATCCATCCATCCATCCAATATTTCCTTCCCCCTATCCATCTCTTCATCTCCTTACCGCAGTCAAATATACAATTTGCGTATACGACGCAGAGACTATTTAGTACGTACCTATCTACTAAAGAATTATCCAACAACCACCTCATCACAAGCTTATCAAGTTTAACTTAACCCATCCCAACCCCAACCCAAAACCAACCCAAAACCAAACTAAAATAAAAACGCTATGCATCCCATTTCGAACCCCGACTGAACCAAGGTATATCGACAAGATAAGATATAAAAACGCCTTCTCTGATCATCCATCCGTCCTTCATTTCAAGTATTTAACTCGACCCGTCCATATGTATAATTACCCAATTCATGCACACCCTAAAGATAACCCTTTACTCCAAAGCGCGGCCCTTTCCCTTATTAATCTTTTTACCATTACCATCCCCATCAGTCTTCCCACTCTTATTCCCATTTTCTTTCCCTCCAATTCCGCCTCCCTCTTCCCCTCCCTCTTCCCCTCCCATAATTTTCCCATCAAATTTAAAGTCCTTGGGTCCACTGCTGTCCAAGCCCTCCCAATTGCCCTCCCATCCTTTTCTATCATCCACCGCTCCCATCGTCTCCCCTTTCTCCGCCATATGTCGAACGTCACTCCAATATTCCAATCTCTTGACTTCTTCATCTGCAGCTTTGACTGCTGCTTCTAGAAGCTTTGCCCGTTGTTTTCGTTTTATACCGACATTCTTATCCTTCGTCTCATCCGAGCCTCGTTTGCTTTTCACATTTTCTTTTCCTTCTTTTCCCTCCTCAGCCGCTCGGCTAATTTCCTCATACTCCTTCATCAGTCTCCCCAACAAAACACGTCTACTCGCCTGAAAGATAAAATTATTCATAACCTCATGCATCTGTTCCGGTTTCGTCAAATAATGCAGTTCCTCACCACCATGCTTAATAAAACTTTCCACCGCTTCCATCTTCTCCCTATCGATACGACAGATTCTGAGGACTTTCATCAGGGTTGCAATATCACTAATGTCATCGATCTTCCATTCTGTTTCGTAATTGCGGCTATAGACTGCTGAACTGTACCGACTTCGTCCATCTCCATCTAGAGCGGCGGCACCGGAGAGACTTGTCCCGCGGCTTCTGCTACGTGGCTAGTAAATGAAGTTAGTACTGGTGTAGTCAAGATTGAAGCGAATGATGAGGATTGTGATTGCTCGCATAATTTGGCAATGATGGACTACTCACTGGATGTATGGTAAAATAATCTTCATTAAGCATATGAGCATGTCGAGGAATGAATCTCTTCTTGACTCGCTTTCGAATCCATACTCTCCTCCGAACAAATGAGTTATACCATTTAGCATTATGCCATGAAAACATCTTGGAAAATGCGAAAGAATATTCCCATCCTTCATCATCGACCTAAATTCACATTAATGGTTAGCATGCAATTCGCAAATAGCACAGCAGTAGACAATTGACGACCAGATGTCTCAAGTCCAGGCTAGTCTAGATATATTCTTACCCCATCATCATGATTGATAATCCACTCCGGCCAAGCCCATTCCCAACTTGGATCCGGTACTTGAGAATTCGAGGGATCCGTCAGGCTCGGCTTCCCCGTAATCTTGGTCCAAGGCGCCGGATCTAGATTCCCCAAAGCTTTACTAGAAAACATATGCGCTCCGCATAGAACCAAGCCCCGTTCATTCTCATACAAAATATCAATCTCAAAAGGTAATTTATCCTGTTCCTGTTGAGCTTTTGTTCTTTTTCGACTTCGACTTCGGCCTCGGCTGCCTTCATCATCGGGAGTATTTCCATTTTCTGGAGGCAGGGCTCTGCAAATATGTAGTTAGTACTTTTGCCAACAACCACAACAGCAGGTAACTGCATACAGCACCGAACTTATTCTAACAGGACTGCTCTCAATTTCATCGGCAGCAACATGCGCATCCCTGTATTTCTTCCATTTCCTCCTAGTCAACTCTGCCCTTAGCGATCTCTTTCTCCTCGATGGCTCATCAACTCGATCCCTGGAAGATGAATCCGTTACGATTATCGCCGGTAAATCGTCAATCTTGGCCTGCCTACTCCTCGACCGACTCCCACCCCGACTCGCATTTGGGTCTGTATGATCCACCAATTCGATTTCGTGATCGTAATCGGCATCTGTTAATTGAGCAGGTCTTTTATATCTAGACCGCAATGAAAAGGCCATTCTTTCGATTTTACGAGAACTGCATTGCCGTGAGTTGCGCTTCTGTTGGCTGGCTGGTGGCTTCTCCTAGAAATTAAAGCCTGGCTTGGGGTTTGGTTGAGGCTTTTCGTATTGAGAATCTAGACTTTAGATGCTGAATGGCCAGGCCGAGCTACCTCTCTCAATGATATCAATCCAAAAAGTAATTACTTGATCAATTTCCACCTAGGTAATAAAAGTTATGAATAGAAATTTGTTGCACGTCTGTTCCAAGTTATTTTGTTGGAACAATGGATAATTGAAGTAAATTCCTGTAATCGAAGTAATGAGTACAGATACAAAAAGCCATGTCAGTACCGGTGACCGTTCATTGAGAATCCAGTTTCGAGGTCTGCATGTCACTAGTACTAAAGGTAGTAGGTAGGTACAGGTATTAGGTAGTTTGAAGAAGTGAAGATCGAATTGGGATAAGCTGCCTTGATAGCTTGATGATTGCCCCTGCTTGATGACGCGCTAGTAGAAAGTTACTCTGGAACATCCTGGTACAGATCTTCCATAGGTTGATGGGACGAGTGAGACAGTGAGGTTAACCTTAAAGGCGGGTATCGTCGTATGCTACTTTGGTTGTAAGCAGTAAGTAGAATGAAACATTTATATCTTCATTTATTTTATTTCAATATTTCTCAATTTTCAATGTCAGCCTAGTAGTCATGTAAAATCCTATCATCAGCACTAATTAATAATATTAGGAATTCCATGGCTAATAATATCGAAACAAGGCACAATCCCAAAGCACAACCTCATTGCACCGCCACATCTCCCCACTCCCCGCCGCTTTCATACACACTTTCATCCAATTCTTCTACCAGGATATCACAGTAACTATGACGTTACATCTCCTCCCCTCATCCTCTCAGAAACCAAGCAAGAACATCATCATCTCATATCATATCATCGAGAAAAAAAAAAGCCTACCATCACCATCATATCTATTTCGTAATAATTGACCAAACAAGAATTCACCAATCATCATCATTCAGCCTACAAAAACCCCGTGCTACCTTCCTTCTCTTCTCCTCTTCATTCTACATACTTCCTTTGAACAATAAACAAGACATCTATTTACCTGCCTACCCAACAAACTTTCTACCACACAACAAATAAATCATCAATTTTCAATCTCGAATCCTAAAATAAACAATGGCTCAACGCAATTCTCGTACTCCTCTCTACATTGGCCTTGCTGCCGCCGGTGGTGTAGGTTATTATCTGTATAGCGCTGGAGGAAGTCCCAAGGTTGCTGAGAAGCAATTTGAAAGTATGTCTTCTTTTTACCCTATATCCAATATCGCCATCAACTTTCAACATTTCAAATCGCCCCCAATTCATTAACTCGCAACACAACATTACTTTGCATAAAACAATAACTAACCAGAATACCAATAGGTGATATCTCTCGAGCATCCGCAAAAGTAAAATCAGAATTACCAGGTCGCTCAACACAAGCTCAGAAAGAAGCCGAGAAATGGGGTGCAGAGGCTGGCGCTAAGCTTGATTCTGCCGTATGTCTCTCATCTCTACCATTCTAGCCTGTTCACCCCATAATCTATCATCCCTCTTTCCCTTAAACATACCCATCTCCTCTCTCTTCCTACATAATGACTCCAGCTGCCATCTCCTATGAGCATACACTAACTCCCTCGGCCAGACTGACAAAGCCCGCGCCGAACTCGCCAAAGCCGAAGGAAAATTCGACCAATACAAGAAAGACGCCGATCAATACCGCAAAGAAGCTGCTCAAACCACCATGAAGAAGATTGACGAGGCAGACCGAAAAGTCGAAGCCGAGGCCGCCAAAGCTAAGAGTGGTATCTCCAGTTGGTTTGGTGGGAAATAAATTCCATAAATGTTTCTTTGTTGAAGGAGAGGCTAGAAAGCTGAGCATGAGCAAAAGCATCAATCAGAGTGTGTATGCCATTAATAGGTAATGATGATATGGTCCGGATGGAGGACGAAAGAAGTTAATGTTCGGGAATACGGCTGCAGGAATTGTTTTTGGGACAGGACTTCAATGAAGCAAAGGGTCTTTTTTTCGCAAGTTAGTTAATGATGTCGGTATGATGATGGACCTTGTATGATAATGATAAATCAACCTTAAATATCTCGCATTTACTCGAAGTGCCCCTTGAGAATGTATTTTACCACTTGGAAGTACATTCAACCTCAAGACACATGGATGGACGAATGATCCTCGCACTTTCATGATTACCTAGCTTTGCTAGGGGGGAAGCTTTTGATTGCCGACAGAACTCGTGCTCATCTCGAAAGACCAGACGAATCTATAATAACTTTTTTTTAATTTCTTTCTTTAAATTTAACTCGTGTAAATTGGTTGTTGTGAACCAACGTCAGCTCTGCTCTAGAAAACAAAAACCGGATTTGTGAATCTCGCTACTTCGCTATCAAATATCATGAGCTTATAAGATCTAGCCCCTTCTGTTATGGCCCGTGTTTTCTGTTCTACAATTTCTTCAGCAGCACCCATCATACTCCCGCTCCACCGAATCGCTACAACGCCAATCATACCTCGTCAATTCGCTTCATAAACATCTATCGGTAGTCGCTTATGGTGCAGCAGCAGAAGGTGGAGCCTCTTCTTCTGCAACCTTTCCTCTCAATGGAATCTCCGTCTCAACACCAGCAGCTGGTGCCTGAGCCTCAGGCTTAGCCTCTGCTCCTCCAGCAGCCTTGGCCGCTTTCTCTGCTTCCTTCTTAGCCTTCTTCCTTTCCTTGTCTCTCGCCTTATCCGCCTTCTTCTTTGCCTGAGCTTCTTCTTCCGCTAATCTCGAGGCCTGAGTCCCTCCATATTGTTTCCTCCATTCTTCGGCTTTCTTCTCGTCAATACGCGTGAAGAGGTATGCTGGTTTGCCAATCTTATGGCCGCTCTTGAGAACAGCTGGGTTCCATTTATCTGGGATGGAGATGAGTGGCGCGGAGAGTTGAGCAACGATAGATTCGGAGGTAGAGGGCATGAAGGGGGAGGTGATGGATGCGATGAGGTAAGCGAGATTGAGCGCGAGCCCAATGACTGTGTGAGTCCTTTCGGGATGTTCGGCAAGATTTGCGTTGTCTAAACGGTATTGAAGAAGGTTGTTTCCGCTTGTGGAGATCTTCATGACTTGATCTAAACCGGCACGAATCTTGACAGCTTCCATATCATTGTTGTAATCTTTCAACTGTACATTGATCTCTTCAATGAAAGCAGGGAAATCGAACGATTCATCCTTGTATTCTGGAGAAAATTCTGGGATCACTCCGTCCATCTTTGCATTGACAAATTTGATGACTCTGTTGACAAAATTACCCAAATTATTGAGCAAAACAGAGTTGTTCAGTTGAATAAAGTTTGACCACTCAAATTGCGAATCTGCTGTTTCAGGTCGATTCGACAATAGGTAATATCTCCATACGGATGGTGGAACACCAGTATCCTTTGCAGTGTCACCAAAAACACCTACACCTCTCGATTTGGAGAATTTGCCATTCTCATAGTTTAGGTATTCAGTTGTAGAGAGATGGTTGAGTTTAGTCCATTTATCTCCAGTACCCAATTGAGACCCAGGGAAAATGACAGTATGGAATGGCACATTATCCTTGCCCATGAATTGGTAGAGCTTGACGTTCTCAGGATTGCGCCACCACAGCTCCCAATCCTTTGTATAATTTGCGGTAATCGATGGGTATCCAATACAAGCATCGAACCAAACGTAAAGAACCTTTTCCTCAAAACCTGGCAAAGGAATTGGTGTCCCCCATTTCAAGTCTCTAGTAATACTTCGTCCTTGCAATCCCTGCTTGAGCCATGAATTCGTGATACTGATACCATTCTTTGGCCATCCTCCTTCTTCACTCGATTTATTAAACCACTCCTCAATCGCAGGTTGGGCTTTGTCGAGGAGTAAAAAGATGTGCTTCGTCTCGCGAGGAACCGGAGTAGCACCATCGACCTTGCATACAGGGTTGATAAGCTCCAAAGCATCTAGAAGACTACCACATTTATCGCATTGATCACCTCTTGCATCATCGTATTGACACTTAGGACAAGTACCCTCCACAAAACGATCTGCGAGGAATGATTTATGCGCTTCGCAGTAAGGTTGTGTAGTCGTGCGCTCCTCCAAATACCCATTCTTATGAAGTTTCATGAAAATATCTTGTGCGATGACTGTCTGTTGATCCGTGGTCGTCCTTCCGAAGTAATCGAACCCAATCTCAAACCAGTCGTAAACATCCTTATGTTTTTTGTGGAATTCATCACAAAGTTCCTTGGGAGTTTGCTTTGTCTCTAAAGCCTTGACTTCCGTAGCAGTACCATATTCATCAGTACCGCAAATGTAGAGAGTGGGGCGGTCTCTCAGCTTGCTGTAGCGGGAAAACACGTCGGCGCTGAGTACACTGCCAACAATATTTCCAAGATGAGGAACATTGTTCACATATGGTAAGGCACTGGTAATCAAGATATTATTCTTGCCTTTCTCGGGCAAGATGATGTTTGGAGACGCCATTCTTGATTGTTTTGTTGCAAAGAAAGTGTATAAGAAAGAACCCCGCTATGGATTTTGAAGATACTCGGGTGAGTCAGGTCAAAGTCCTTGGAGGGGCTTACAAGGCTGGATTACATAAGCAGGGGACCCCTCTAGAACAAATCGCATTTTCTCTAACATCACAATCACCCAGCAAAATTAACTCAAGGAAATTTCAGTCTATTATAGGAAATAGAAAGGAAAGTTTCATTCTAGCTCCACTGACTCGCAATATCATATCTCAAAACTGATACACAATTGCTGCAAAACTCTTCCTTCATCTACAAGCTTTTTCAAACAAGGATTAAAATCACATCACATACCAAAAATGGCCACTACCGATCCATTTGAAGACATCCTCAACCTCGAGGAAGAGTTCTATTCCGCCGGCTATAATCAAGGTCTCTCTGACGGTATAACCGCCGGACGCATTGAAGGGCGCACTTTCGGACTTGAAAAGGGATTTGAAAAGTACGTTGAAATGGGTCGATTGCACGGGAAATCCATAGTGTGGGCCAACAGAATTCCTTCTCTTCAAAAGCCAAAAATTCCCACAGCCTCAAACTTAGAAATTGAGCAAGAAGGTCTAGAAAGGAAAGAACAAAAATCACATGATGTCAAATTATCCGAGCTGGCCAAAAACGAAAGATTGGCAAAGCATGTAAAAGTGTTTTATGCATTGGCCGAGGCAGAAAGTCTCTCAACGGAAAATTCGGAAGAGGCGGTAGGGGATTTTGATGATAGATATAAAAGGGCGGTGGCGAAAGCGAAGATTATTGAAAAGATGGTTGGAGAGGGGCAGGGACAGGGAGGAGCAAAAAGTAGTGGGGATGGGGCGATTGAGGATGTTAGTGTTATGAAGGCTAGGTGAGGTTCACTTATTTTTCGGCCTTTGGAAAGCTGGTAGCCATGGCATAAGTACTCAGAGTCATCATGCACTTTGTGGATTGTGTGAGAGGGGCGTGGGGTTGAGACGACACTTGAATTTAGGTTCTGTGTAACAGTTGGAGTCTCGAGAGTGGGATGGTTGTAATATTGCCTGGAAAACAGAGGGTCGACAATTAACTATACGACGATGCTACGATTTGAGGTATCCAGAGACTAGGTACATGGAGATGGACGCCTCGTCTACTATCATCTTCCAAACAACTCGAAAACAACCCTGCTTGAACGAGTATTGGAAGATTCACTGCAAACCTCAGGGGTTGAAGAAAGTATCGGACAAACATCATTTAACTTAATATGAGAATTTTCCTGTTGGAAGGAAAAAATGAGATTAAAACCACCAGTGATTAAGGGATTTCAAGAATGAAGGTGCTCGTTTTTACGGTGACGAAGGAGCGGGAAAGGTGAGGATAAAGGACCCGAGTCCCCTGAAATATTTCTAAGAATACAATCTTCAAACTTCACAACATCTTACAGCACTGTCAATCTTTATTGGATGTTGCAATTCAACCACGATATGAAATCACATTTGCTCCATTGTACGCCCTGTTATATTTGTACAAGAGTGACTTTCCGTGCACTAATGTCTCCCATAATTTCCTTGGGCCTTGTACCTATGATGTGGTATCTGATCCCGATATTTTACAAATGCCATACCTCACCATGCCTAAAAAGATATTGGTAAAGTTTGCACCAAATCACAAACCAAAACGCCGTCTGAAACTGTCAAAGTCACCGTGCATACCACCAGACTCCAAAGACATTTAAGTGATGCATTTTTTACTACACATCGCTTTCGTTCTCCGCGGCAACACGTAGATCATAACTAAGCTCAAAGCATTCTGCAAGGAGATCAGTGACGCTGCCCTGACCTTCAGGAATATCTGGCCCGACCATAAATTTACCGTCTACACGCATGTTGTCGATTGAATTCAACTAATTAATAATTAGTACATTTTTGAACGCACAGGAACGTTAAGAAATTCTACCTTCATGCTGTAGGGATATAATTCCCTTGGGGAACTGACACCTCCGGAGTTCTTAACTTCAATGAGACATCGGCGTAGAGTCTGAAGTTGGTTGTAGACTGGAAGAAGTGCCTCGGAAACGGGCTCGGAGGACACCATGAGGAAATAAAGATATGCATAGCTACGTCTGATCAGATAAAGTAGAGTCTGTCCTGATTAGTTGGGGTACAAATGTGAGGATTTTTAAGGCTACATACCCGCTGAACGTATAATTCGGCAAAATTCCCTTCAGCATCAACGAAATTTCCATCTACACGATTTTCGTCGATTTTGTCTAGTTGCCGCTGGAAGTCGTACAAATCTGTTTCCCTCAATGACCAAGCTTGAGTCAAAGATAGCTTCTCAAGTTTATTTCGAATCTCGACCAGGGTGGAGTAAGTCCCATGGAAAGCTTCCGGAAATTGCCCCTTTCTGATTGACCGTCAATTGATGATTGAGTTCAGTGGATACATTCATATAAACTAACCTTTCGAGGACAATTTCCGCCCACTTTAAACATCTTTCTAGATGATCACAAACATCGTCGTTGCCTGAAGGTGTTTCCCCAGAAACGGTTACGAACTTGCCATCAACTCTTTGGGAATCGATCTCTTTTATTTGAGCTTGAAGCTTCGTCACCTCCGTTGTCGAGAACTATTTCCCAGATAATCAGTATGGCCCTCATATGTGACTGCTGATGAAGCAGAAATCAAAGCTGTTATTGCAACTGACTTACCTTGCTTCTAGTATTTGCTAATGATATTGATCTCAATATCGATATGATCTTTTCATGAATAGGTGATATTTCTGGGCTGATTCGTTCTAGTCGTGTGCTCAAATTATTCAATGAGCGCTGGCAGATGTCAATTCTGTTACCAAGAAGAGTGAGAAGCCGAGGCGAGTAAGACGGCTTAGCATTCTTCACAATGCCCTTGAGCCTCTCAAGGGTCTGCGCAATGTGTTCTAAATCTTTTTCGCAATATAGATCAACTTCGGTAAGATGGTCGAGCAGGCGCTTGATCGTAGACGTGAGGGAATAAGCTGCGGGTGCTTCGTTGGTTTTGCCAATGGTCATGAAGAACAAGGAGAGTAGTTGGAAGCATCCATCCAAAACGCGATCCACTGCAATGTTCTCGGTCAGCCAACTAGAATCTATATATCAACAGTTTATCCTCTCAAAACTGACCTCGGTTCTGCTCATGGGGCTTATCTGCCCTTATTTCATTAAGAAGCTGAACTTGTTCATCTACTTTATCCTGCAGATTGAGTACATCTGCGGCCTTGATGTATGTCGTTCTATCTTGCTTTAAAAGTGTCAATTCATTCCGTATTTGAGTGAGAGACTCCAATATAGGCTGCTCGCGAGGATCAAGGGGTAGCGGCTGAGATGGCGTATCAGTCATGGTAAAAGTTGGTTGAAGCTCTGGCTTTCGATGTCCTTTCTTGTGTCTTGTTAGAAGATGGGGAGATAGGAAGATTGTATGTTTGATTTGTATTTAAAAGAGTTGGATAATCGAAGTTCTGATACAAAAATTAGAATGACATGGGCTTACTATTCATTCATTGCTGTTGCATCAATAAATCAGAAATCGATAGAATGGTGTTGATCCCAATAGGCTGTTTCTTAGTAAAGTCGCTCCTGACTATGTCATAGTGCTTCCCTTATTGGATGGCGGGGCATGTCCCACAAAGAGAATCTCAGCCTTGCATAACGCTTTACTACGGTGGACCATTTTAATTCTGTCGGCAGGTAGCATACGATGATAGATGGATTACATAATATCAGTTTCATAGAATTTGGCGATGCTATTGGTCAAAACTACTCCCCGTAAATTATCGCTTGCTGCCCAATTAAACCCTGATAAGGCATTAGTCACGCACACTTTCGAATTTCCCAAAACTATCCCATCATAAACTTTTAACTTCTAATACATCAACGACTTCAAGAACATCAACTTACCGACAAAACAACCACCTGTCGGTATGTCGCATAAACGCAGTCGCATCCTAACTTACTGCGCATCTTGCTAATCAATCAATTCTAGATATTCAAAATGTCTAACGCAGAACTCGCCAGCTCCTACGCCGCGTTGATCCTCGCCGATGACGGTGTTGATATCACTGTACGAATTCCTATACTCTCGAGACCTGAAGAGCTGTAATACTCGATTGGGTGGATAAGTGGCTGACTCGATAATGATAGGCCGACAAATTGCAAACTCTCATCAAGGCCGCCGGTATTGAGGATGTTGAGCCAATCTGGACCTCATTGTTCGCCAAGGTATGCGATTGAAATTCACACAACTGAGATGGGGAACGAGGAAATCGTGGCCCAGTACTGATTGTTGGAAATTGTAGGCTCTCGAGGGAAAGGATGTTAAGGACCTTTTGTTGAACGTCGGATCCGGTGGTGGAGCCGCCCCAGCTGCTGCTGGTGCCGCTGCCAGTGGTGACGCCTCTGCCCCAGCTGAGGAGAAGAAGGAAGAGAAAGAAGAGGGTACGATAATTCTTACAAATTTGCGCACCTCAGCAAGTTCATACACTAATTATTTTTACAGCCAAGGAGGAGTCAGACGAGGATATGGGTTTCGGTCTTTTCGACTAAATATCCATCTCACCTTTTCTCTCTGTACTTTCAAATGCATGGCCACGGTATATCTTCCCTCGGTGCAATATTGGGCTGGTAGGGTAGCTTCCATAAATAAGCAAGCATTCATGGGTTCTTCTGAAAGATAAAACCTGGTTCCGTCTCTACTGCCGAGTGCATGAACACGTCGTGATAATGTGTGATGAAGGTGGATTGAGATGAATTTTTGTGCGGGCCTCCGTGTTGGCTAGATTTTACGAACACTCATACGACGCATTCCATGTCATTCATGTGAACAGATGCGAATCAGATATCTGAATTCAAGAACTTCACCCAGGGCTCTTATCATACTTGTTGGTTATGTTTCCATCTTTCACCTTACATCAAAGGCGTCTAGCTACACATGCCACTAAACGCCCTGGCGCTTCAGCTGGAAATGCTCGGTTCCGACATCCTCCGCCCATGCTAGCCCTTGTTCTTATCCATATGCCTCGCACAGACTGTCAATACATCAAACCAACCATGTTGTCCCTTCACTCTACAATTATCACTTCTTCATTTGACACTACCTCAAATCTGCTTAGCTAAACGTTGTCCTAATCAAGTCACCAGCTTCCATCTGTTGTCGGCGTTTCTTCAATTGGATGCTCAATCACCCTTCCAGTAATCCCTTCTTGATTGTTGTAGGATGTTGATATGAAGTGTATTGTGATTATTGAACAATGTGAAATCTTAATACTGGGATATATAAACAAATCAGAGATTCGCAAAACATCTACCTCATGAACGGCTCTCCTTTGATAAGACGACAATGGTGATTTCCAAGGTAGGTAGGTACTGTACCTGGTATTATGAGGGAGTAAACTAAGTACAAGATCACTTTTGTACTGCAATGGATTCAGTGGTAGTAGGAATAATTGTGTCAGGCTTCTCTGCTTACAGTATCATTGTAACTTTCTTCATACTCATGCGTTTGTGATTTAATTTCTTCCGTAGAAACACATATTAGAAGTGGATAAAAACATCATCAGAGTAAATTGAAACTCTTTTATGAAATCGGTCAATTGATTTGTTTGCTTGTATTGACTGCTTCGAAACTCAAAAAAAGTTGGAATGTTGACATCACCCTTTACCACCATGAACCAAACAACAGAGCTTCAATCCCTCACACTTCCTTTCTGAATGCACATTTGAAGGGATAGATTTGGATCTGTACACACATCAGTAATCAATGCCAAGCAATATAACTTCCATAACCCGTGACCACAAATTTTCGCGGCAGCGATGCCATAACATACCTTACTGAAATCCCAAACGTCATTTTCCGCATAAATATCCTTCTTCAATACCTCGATCACCTCCTCCTTACTGCTAGCAAGAGCAATCATACAGCTCCCTTGAAATTTCAAGGGGGAGTCACCGTTGGGAGGTTCGGAGAGAAAAGCTCCTGTGAAATTTTGTCAGTGAAATGCCTTTGGGGTGTCAATGATTTCTGATCATGACAAGAGAAGTGATAGGAAATCTTACCACCCATCTTCCAAAACCCAGACTCAAGACCCGTCTTCAACCCTTCGAAATGCTTACTATAAATTTCCTTAGCTGCGTTCATCTCAAATTCATACCAATATCACCACTTTCTCCTTCCTATAGCTACAAAAATCCCTCGGAAATATCTCTCGTACGAAATTTCCCCATACAAGCTACAAACATCAAACATCAAACAAACTCACGGTCTAACACTAACTCTCCTCTCCAACGCACCCTCATTATCAGGTAGCACAACCAACCACTCAAATTTCTCCGCTGCCGGCGCCGGCGTCGTGGCTGCTGAAGACATTTTTCTACTATTTACCCTTACAGCTGGATATGAAGAGAAAAATGAACGAGTAGCACAAGAGTTAAATTGTTTGGGGTAGAATTTCCTAGGTATGGGTTTGAGGCGCAAGAAGGACATTTGGGGATAATTGATTGTTGGGATGGAGGATGTGGGCGTGAGGAGAAGAGGGAGGGGTTCGCGCGGAAGTGGGGTTTTGATATTTCCACGATGCGTGTTGATAGAGCTGGAGGGCGTTGATGTATCAATGCACGCCCTTCTCAGGGAAATATCGGGTGTAAGGATGAATTGAGGTGAGGGGTGAGAGGTTCGCTTGGAAAAGGAGGAGTGTTTATCTAAACGATGGATAACCTGCTAGAGGAGCTTAACTTGTCAAAAGACTAGTTATCTATCGTTTGACAAGCTAGAAAAGATCTATCTTTAACAAAATGATTAAAATATTTATTTACCTTATCTTTTTTAAAAACTTTTTACTTTTTCTTATAGATGTGACGGAAATCCCTGCTTTCCTCCCACCCTTATTATATAAGAAACCTCAGGTACATTAACCATGTCCACACATGATACGATTACTCGGGATTAGTATACGATTTAGGTGACCTGAGGATCAGATCCGGACAAGTACTAGGTATCAATGGTTATCGGTAAAGTAAGATCATTGGAGGGATAAACATGAATTCTTTTTGCCTAGCCATTACGGCTAGGCCATTCATTTGTGTATATATAGAGTAGCTATCCCCATCTACAGGTGCTCTTCACCTGTAGATTCTAAGTTAAATACAATTGCTGGTCTATAAACACCCTTTTGGTCACAATAGATAACTAAATCTTTATTTATAATATACAAATTTAACAATAAAATGATTCTATTTCTTATGTGTATTTATAAGAAATTTTAATAACAATATAAACAAAATAAAAAAATTCTTCCAGATTCAAAAAAAAAAAAACTTCTTTAACCATTCAAAAATTATTTCAAAACCATACTAGAAAAGGCTCTCAAAAGATAACCAGTTTCTCAACAAACTAAACTCCTCTACTAGCTACTTTCATCCGGGGCAAAATCTATATCTTCATGCCCATCTTTTGTCAAGCTAGCGAAGTGAAAAAAGAATGACTATCTATGGTTGATGGATAGTAATGCAGCGGGTTATTTCCAGACAAATCGCGATCCTCCTATTCGATCCTTCATTGGAAGCACACTCAGTAGCAGATCACTGGCAGTTGATGTTAATTAGCGGTTAACTGTTTCTTTGCTAATATAACTAGTTATGCTGTAATTCTTTCACATTTTTTACAATATACAGTGATTCTCGCGATGAGATGAAGGTATTCAGAATCACTGTTTGGATCTTGGTTTCTTTATCTTAAATGTTATTCACCTCATATCTCATCGACTTCCTTTGGTGATTAGAAGATCGGAAGAGTATTTACAACTGAGATGAAGTAATTTATCCGTGAATGTTATTTTCCGGTGATTCCATGTATATAAAAAATTGTTTACTTGATTCCAAAGATGAATTCTAACTTGTCATGGTAGTAAGCAGCATAGTAAACACAGCTCAACTAAGTATCAAACAAATTTAATTTTCATTTTCGTACCAGCATCAAAAGAAGTTGAAACATGGCTCATCTAGAAACGGTCCCGATATCAAAACTGAAAACTAAGCTATCCTATTCTCTAAACGCGGATCTAGTAGCATATTAGTCGAAAGATTTCATGCCTATTAACTTGTTATTAGTCGATCAAAATTTGCCAGAAAAAAAAAAGAAAAAAAAAAGAAAGTCGACGAAAAACTTTCTTAAATGACGCCGCTGAATAGCTTAAACTCTGTTCCGACCATACTTGAAGTTTTCGAGAAACCAACGTTACCAACGAGCCCTGTCTTAAGCCACCCCCGCATTCTCAAATATACAGACTCGAATCTTGGGACAGCCGTAACGTTCTTATTCACGAGCTAAAAAAAAAAACCCCCCCATCTTTTAAGTTCCATTGATAGCTAAGCTAGCCAGCCGTACTGAACCAAAAGGGCTGAACACTAAAGTTGGCTGTACCATCGGTCCAAAAAGAAATAAGTCTACTAGACCTTTCATAAATTGTTCTTGAAAATCTCCATCCCTCCCTCCTGTCCTGTATACACAACAACTTTTGCAAGTATCTTGACAACATCTAAGAATCTTCTGCAAACCACTTGCACATTTTGAAGAACACATTACACGGTACATTCAAATCCCTATAATTGACCCTCTTTAACTTCCTTTTAGGAACGTTATCATATTCAATATGGGTCAAGACAGCTCACGTATCTCATACCCAACTCGTGATAATACACCACCTTTGTCACCAACCCACCCAGCCGCCAATATCACTCGTGAGATGGCACAAAATAATAACCGCTTGCCGCCTTACGAGCGCCAGGCACGTCAAGGCACAAGAGCTCCTTCATCTAGAATAAATAGCCCTCTCGATACGACGACGATTGATCGATCTAATGCCTTGGATCGGCAAGAATTCCGAATGGCGGAACGCAGAACAGCCCGTTCAGAGTCAAGAAAGCGCTGGCGGGGCGAAGCCCGGGACCTTCCTTCTGAGGAAGAACGACAAGCCCGAAGGGCTAGAATTGGTTCTTATCGCTACTATCATCAAGGCGGACCAGGTCGTGTCACCACCGTTTACACTTTCCAAGATGCATTAAATAATTGGCGTGCTCGTCGAGGTCCCATGACGCCCATACGTGGTCGCCGGTCTCGATACCTTTCTGGTAGTCGAACCATGCACCGTCAAGAGCAAAAACCAAGAGCGCACTTCTAGCACTTTTGCCAATATGGATCTTCCAGATCGATGGCCCCAAATCAACTCGCGAGCTGGAGCTAACCATAGTGGTCAGCCATCAATCACTCCTTCTTTGCATGAGCCTAACTTGCGAAAGCGTTCACGTGAAGAAGATTCTGATGCCGATTCTGAAGAAAGTGATGGTGATCGCCACAGAGGGGTCAGACGCAGAGGTGAAGAGCGAAATCCATCCGGCAACGTCAGAGCTGCTGCTTCTCGACCTGGAACGTCACACCGCTTCCCGAATCATTCCAGGAGAATGAACTCACAATCTCAGATTGCTCGTGAGGATGGGAGTCAGAGTTTAGACATCACAAATGCTGTCGAGGACCATAACTCAGAACCTGCATCATTACCAGCTCCAGATGAGTTGTCAGCGGCTGAGGCATCACCCAACCAAGATCACTAGTCAATACAGGCCGGGTAGTCATTGACCTCACCTTGGATGACACTGACTTTGAACCAGAAATTCCTTCTGGTCAACAAACCCCTAGATCACCAAGTCCTAGGGGTAGCTCCCCCGAACCTGATGTAACCGAATGGGCATATATTGGCGATACGGTGTTAGCAGCCAAAGAGCGACAACTTCAACCCTTTGAAAAGAAGCCTCACTCTGACTATGGATTCTTTCTGCAGGTCGTCGAAAATCTCAAAATGTACGTGCTTTCGCGCAAGCTTGTTACTCAGGGCAGTCGTCCTATTGCGGAAGAATACTCAATAGTTGGAGCGCACGGCAATCTGCATAAGGTGACCATAGCCAATGAGCCGAGATGTGATTGCTGTAAAGGTACCTATGGCTTACCATGCTGGCACGTCCTTTTCGTAGGTTCCTGTTCTTTGCTTCAAATTGATGATGAATGATAACTGATTTTGATTGCAGATTCTCAAGAAGATCCTGAAGGTGCCAGAACCGCTTTGCTACCAGTTTGTGCTTCTGGACGTTGAGCTTGAGTGGATGCTGACTCGCGATATACCTGATAATTACTGTCAACGCAGGTCTGTCAATGAACAAGAATTATGCTATATCTGTCAGGAAGACCTTAGCACAAATGAAAACATTCTCACGTGGTGCAAGACTCAGTGCGGAGTCAATTTCCATCGGAACTGCGTATTGGAATGGGCGGCAACAAAATGGGAAGACGAAAACTTTCCCAGAGGCCAGTCCAACATTCATTGTGCAGTTTGCCGTCAACCTTGGGTATTCACAGGTGAAGAATTGTTGGAAGCGATTCGAACTGACCAGAACGGGCACATATACAAAGGAGTTGGGGGATACACCAACGTTGCTAAAATCTTTGGGATGAAAGAGCTTCCGATGAGTGAAGAAGGGTTCGCGGAGCTGAAACTAGAGCTATTCCTAGAGGGGGACGAGGTACTGATGTCCACTCTCCGCCAAATGAGCGAAGCAGAATCGCAGGTCTATCGAAGACACGTACTAGAAGTGGACGGCGACAGAATACAGTGTGTAATGATACAACAGTTGAGAAGGAAAGACGAGTCGGATGCCTAGACAGAGGCCTATATTCGTCTTCACCATCCCCTAGACGTAGATGCTTTTCGTAGGGCGATGAATGGTAATCATGTATGGGCAATGGAGAAGTGGCGGAACTTGATGGCGGAGGAGTTACTGTTGGAATTATAAAGTAGCAACTTGACTCTCGTCAACAGGATGCTTTCTATCTCTCAGGGCCTCTAGATGGGAACATTAATTCTCCAAGCTCTCGTTATAATATCGTATGACAAAAGGTCATAGAAGTGGTAGAGAAAATTCAGTAAACAAATACAACAAGCAGGCTCCGTCAAACAATTCCCTAGAGGAAAGTCCTCGATGAGAAAGAATCTCTTCAAAACATTCTAAAGACTCGAGTCCGTTGCCGAAATTATTGATAATAACCTCAGTCTCCTCTACATCCTACTTCCATTTTCGAAATAATCACACCGCACCATCATTGGGATTTTCCAGCGTCATTTCTCTTTTATTTCTCCTTCTCTATCATCGGAGTTCAGGAACGCATGCCTTTTATGGTTTTTCTTGTAGTCATTTGTTTTTTCTAGAGTTTGTTGGACTGCAATGAGATTGGAGTCTTTTGCTGGTGGCAAGGTTGCCCTCGAAGAAAGAACGTTATTGGTGTATATTTTGGCTTTGGAGGGATAATCCATTGTTTGTCTGAATTTGGTGGAGAATTCAAGTTTATTCTAGGATGGAGGAGTTTATGATTCGGTGTTATTGGGCTGAACAAGCGAATTGATTTCGGGAAGTGGAGTAATGAGAACCTTTTGTTTGTATAGCATGGTATAGCATTTTTATGAATGTCCAATAAAAACAATATTACTTTCAAACATAAAACCATTGTGCATAAATGCGAATTCATGATTGCTAAAATTACCCTTCCTTTTGTACTCCAGATAGCGCCCTTGGTATATATATGCGAACTCAAATGCCTTCACACAATCTTGCCCTTGTTGACTACGAATGCTTCCAAAGCAGCTATGCTTAGTTAGTATGTAAACTCCAACCTGTAGGTGATTCGGAAACTTACTAATAGCAGAATATAATCTGTTCTCAGCCTCTGGGAAGACCAAGCTCCTGGGGCCGTAGAATACTGCGTCGTTGACTTCATCTTGATGTCTAGGTAGACAATGCATAAATTTCCATCCGTCTTTAGCACCGCCTCTCTTTGCCATCTCTTCCGTAATTTGATATCCAGTAAATGCCTTAAGCCTCTTAGCTGACTCTTCTTCTTGGCCCATAGATATCCATGTATCAGTCACTAATACATCAGCATCCTTTATAGCCTCTTCAGGCACAGAAACCTCTGTAAGTGTTCCTGGTGTATCTGTTGTGGTTGCAGCAGATTGTATGATCTTACGCATATATTCTGGGATCTTGTAACCCTCCGGTGAAGAAACTGAAATATTGATACCTAATTTCATAGCTCCAATTGCAAGGTCGAAGAGAACATTATTTGAGTCTCCAATCCAAGCGATCTTCATGCCCTCCAGGCCCAAGGTTGGTGTGATTTGTGATGAGCTTCTGGAAGGTTGCGATGGGAATGCTTCGTGGATCGTGAGGTAATCGGCAATAGTTTGTAAGGGGTGGTATTCGTCGGATAAAGCATTAATGACCGGTACACTCGACCACTTTGCCAAACCTGCAACATCCGAATGAGGTCCCACCCTAGCTACGATGCCTGAGGTCATGCTCGAAATCACAACTGAAGTATCGTATAATGATTCATTAACACCCAATTGGATGTCGCCGGAGCCAAGAAACATAGGATGTCCGCCCATTGTGGTAACCGCCGATTCGGTAGAGACACGCGTACGAGTACTGCGTTTGGAGAATGGCATGGCAATTACTTTACCAGTCAATGAATTGAGGAGGGACGTAGGAACGGCGCCAGACTTTAGTGCGACCTTGTGCGAATGTGCGGAGCGAACGAGGGTAGTAAGTTCGGACGGAGTGAGATCTGCGATGGAGAGAAGATGACGGGGCGCGAAAGGTGAGGTGAGAGGTGTTGAGGCATGGCTGTATGAACGCAATTGAGCTCTGCTGAAGTTCTGCAGAGCTCGAGATCCAGGACGCAATGAGTTGAGAGTCATTCTGCTGGTGAGTAAAGAGAAAGGTCAATTGAGTAGAAATTGTTGAGAGATCAGTCAGAGCTCATTGAGTAGGAAGGATGAGTAGAAATATAGATGGATGAATTTTATTAGAATCCAGAGATACTTTATAATAAGTTCACCTACGGATCTCACTTCAAATCTGTTGATTGATGAGTCAATTGATGAGTCGAGTGAGTCAATTATTTATTATACTCCGTAGATATCTTAATTTGCAACTTTTCATTGAGGTGTGCTGAGTGCTCAAAGCTTCATGCATGTCTTCTGGGACCCCGCATGTTTGGCGCTAACCATATATGGCAATATATCAACACACACAGACATCCATGGATTCGATCTCTGTATCTACTAGTCGTAGTGGATGACACGTTTATGAGAATGTAACAGAGTACTCTCGATACTACATTCATATCAGCGCTGGGTTACTTCCTGACATCGATATTCTCAACTACAGATCCTGAATTTACCTTGATTGAAGCGCGACCCCAAATCCAGCATCAACTTACCAATAGACTTTCATAATTATGTCCAGTTGTACGCATTCTTTAAAAAGAGCCCTACATGCTGCAAACACATCTAGCAGTAAACCCAAAATGAAGCGCGCCAAAACATCCGATTCATCACCCAAGCAATATGTGTATGTTGTCATGCATGAAACCTCGCTGGGTTACAAGCAAGGTGATTCTGCCGGTGTGGCTGGAGTCTTCTCAACCATTGAAGATGCCACGAACTGTATAAAGAGAGTCGTCAGTGAGGAGTATGGGGGCTTGGATAGAGAGGACGAAGATACCTTTGAGGTCACAAAGCGTGATGGTCTGTTGAGGTGGTACAGTAATGATACTAGAGAAGGCGACACGGCAAGTGTTTACGTGGAAAAGCATACGCTACGTGCGCCAGGTTCCGAAAAGCAAAGAAGATGGGATGATGACGTAGGCGTGGGGAGCGGGGTGGAGGATGGGGAGGAAGGGGAGGAATAGTTTGAAGATATACTTCGCTGCCGTTGTAAGATGGTATTATCTGTAAATGATTCTAGTGTCAGGGGTCGAAGCAATTATCTATCAAGCGAGGTCATTTTCATCTGAACACGGCCAGCATATCACACTCAGAGCGGAAACCAGCCCTCCTCGTCGATGATTTATTGACCTTATCATTCTATTTTAATCACCCTAGGAAATATGACTTGCAAAAAAGTACTCTGCTATGTGATTACTTCTCCTAAAGTGAGAGCACATTCCGGATTCATTGTATCATTAGATTTTACCTTTGACTTAATTTGAAAGAAATATAAAAGTGGAAAAGAAGGAGCCAGCTGTGAATGACATTGTATCAAAAGAGGAAGGAACCCTATGCTATACTGTTTGTATCTCAGATTTGCTACACTCCCGAACAAAACACAACTCATACAAAACATCAACATAGTACTTCTTCCATAATTTTTTGGTTATCGAAAGTATCAACATGGAGAATTCATTACTTGCACAGCATTTGTACAATACAGCCTATCAAGTCCCCAATAGTGACACCGAGACAGAAAGTTTATATGACGGATTGTATGGAGCAGAAAGTGAGCTCACAAGCTCATCATCATCTTTTTACGATGCAGCATCATCGAAGGAATCCCTCATACCATTATCCGAAAACCAATCTTCAGCTTCATCAAGCCCCTACCCCAGTCTACATTGTCCAGCGAGATTAGACTGGCATTATATTGACCAACCTCTGGGTACGAATTATGCGAACGATTTGTGGCTAAAACCACGGCGTCCGACTGCCGCCAGTGACTCGGACGAAGATACAGAATCACTCAAAAAGCAAAAGGACACACACCACCGGGACACACCCTCAAAGCTCGACCAAGGTTACAATGGGATCTTCGAATACTTGACTCCAGCTAGCTCTCGAAAGCCATTTGACACTCTAGAGCAACCTTCACCAACAACAACAGCAAAAACCTGCACAGAAGTATCCCCATCAGGGACAGTCGAGAACTTAACAGTCACCCCAACCATGTCACCTTTCAATCTCTATCGTGAAATCATTGCTCAAAACCAAAACCAACCGCAATATGCCTACATCGTTCTCCACGACGCCATCCCCGTCGCAGCAGAATCTCTCGCGACAACCACTGTCACTGGTGTTTACATAACGCTTGAAGAAGCAAACAGCTTCGTAGAACGGGTTGCAGATGAAACCTGTAGGGACGTACCAGAGGAACATCTAACTCTACTCGTAGATGAGGGGGCGTGTGCTTTCGATATTTTGGATATGGAGAGGCATGTTCTGCATAGGGTTTATATTGAGAAACAGGCTATTAGGGGAGAGTGGAGTGAGAAGACGGAGATTGAGGAGATGGGTGTTTTGAGAGGTCAAGAAGAGGATGAGGAATTCTTTGATGGAATGGCAAATTTGTCTTTGTGAGTAGTGGTCATTGGTGTGCGTCCTATGCGTTTGAAGTCTTCTAGTTTGGTATATTTATATGATTGAAGTGGTTCAGGAGATCCACACTCGAGGTTTACCAATAAGATAGGGAGGTGAGGGGGAGGGGGCGGGCGGTGGGATTAGGTTTAACACGGTATGGATTACGCATTATTGGCTGGCTGGCTGTATTGTTATTACTAGATATGAAATCAGAGAAAACACATTAATAATCTATACGTATTACTGCAAGGTATCTCCAAAAGTCAATGCTGTTTGACAAAACCATTTATTTTCCATGCGACACTCAAGACACACATATATACTTCATTCATGAAAGTCACATGTGCATTCAATTCCTCCCCGCTAACCAAATCTTTCACGTTACATAACAATCCTCAGTGTAATAATCCTACGATGTAGTTTTTACTTCATTTCATTTCAACTTCCACAAAAAAGTATCATAAAAATCCTTTAAATCCGTATCCATTATCTAGAAATCATATTTTAAATAGATACCTATTATCTAGATATACATCCACCGATTCCCCCCATTAAATTTCTTCCTATAATTATAACACATCTAAAAAGCCCAACCAAGCGTCAATCTATAAATTCTCTCCCACTTAGTTTCCTCATGGCCACCTCTCCTCTCTGCCTCCTGAGCCAAATACTCCTGTTCCTGCGCATCAATCCTTGCCTTTCCACTGAAAAGATCCGCTTCATATGGTGCTAAAACCTTGGTCTTCATGGAATATTTATATCCAAAGTACATGATAATGTACAAGGGAATACCCAAATAAGTCGTGATGAAAGTGGAATGATCAAAGACGGGAGCTTTGCCCTTGGCGGTGGTTTTCTTGTATAAGAAGAGTGCGAAGCCTTTGAAGATGGCAATTAGGATGCAGAAGAAGAGAGCGCCGTAGGAACCCCAGATACCGAGAGGTGCTTCGTAGGCTAATTCGGTGCTTTGAACTCCTTGGGCGCGACGGGCCCGTATGAAGTAAATGTGGGATATGAGGATGGAGATCCAGGTGAGGAGACCAAACATAGTAACTAGGTTGACAAAATAGCCAAACACGGTATAGGAAGCTGTGTTTACACCCAAGAAAGCGAGGAAACAGAATGCTGTGCTCAAACCCAGTGCGTAAATGGGAACACCACGCTTATCGGTGCGTTTGAAGATTTTGAAAGCTTTTCCCTCAGAGGCAAGACCATAGAGAGTGCGAGATGCAATGTAGAGATCAGAGTTTGCAGCTGAGAAGACAAAGATGAGGATGCAGGCATTGAAGATGGCTGGAAGAGCTTGAATACCACTTATTTGAATGGCGACGACGAAGGGTGAGGCAGATGCATTGTTGCTCTTTTTGGTGGCGTCGAGGAGAAGTTTAGAATTATATGGGACGAGCATGCCGAGGAGGAAGACCAGCACGACGTAAAATAGAAGGATTCGGTAAAATGTCAGTTTGATGGCTTTGGGGATAACTTTTCGTGGATTGGCGGCTTCTCCTACTGTTACACCAACGAGTTCTGTACCTAAATAGGCGAAGACGGCAGTGGTGAAAGTAGACCAGACGGCGAGAAATCTACCAGTATGTCCAGCTGTATGATATTAGTATCATCCCAAGTATTGAAATACATAGGATACTTACTTAAGATGTACTCATGAAAGGCTCCAGGGTTTTCCCAATATTTGAATCCGGTTGCCTGTTTATCAGGTCCTCCTCCGCATGCAAGGACTAGACTTAGGAGGATGAGACCTAATATAACAACCACTTTGATACTTGACAACCAGAATTCAAATTCTCCAAAGAATTTCACACCAAAATAATTGATACAGACGATGGCAACCAAGAATATAGCAATAAAGACACCAGGATTAACTTTGTCTCTCGGTACCCAATATTGTATAACTAAAGATGCCGCTGTAAGATTATTAGGTGTGACGATGATATATTTGAACCAATAGTTCCTGGAGTTCGTTAGTATTTGCTTTATTGAGTAGAAAAGTGTGACTTACCATCCTAAACAGAATCCTAGAGCCGGATCAACAAATCTGGTAGCGTAACCTGTAAATCCACTCGCCAAGGGCAACCAAGCAGCCATCTTTCATACGTCAGCAGTCGTTCATTTGAGAAGGTTAAAACAACCACCATACCTCACCGAGAGCCGCCATAACCAAAAAGCACAATAAACCAACAATCGAATAGCCTATCAAGAGTGGTGCTGGACCCGCCTGAGCCAGCGGTTTTCCCCTGTAGCATCATGTCAGCGGAAAAATCCTGCACCTTTTGCGAGACTTGTCATGCAAGGGTGTGATGACGAATCTATGTGTAAAGAAACGAAATACGTACGTTCCAATAATCAATCCCGTTCCAATAGCACCACCAATTGCTATCATAGTAATTTGTCGAGACTTCAAACCACGATGAAGATTATGACTCGGGTCATTATCTTCACCTCCATCTTGCGAGCCTGTTCGCTCTCGCTCGATGGGAAGGGCACCCTCATAAGCTTTCTCCGCGCTCGAGGGCGAGTGATTCCGTGGATTGAGTGCGGCCATTATTGGGAGTGTCTATTGATATCAAAGAAGACAATACCAAAAATGTCGAAGAGAAGGAAGAGGGAAGGGAAAGAGAAGAGCAAGTGGTCCAGAATAAGTTTGGAAACGACCGAAGGACGGGAGGGAGCTGTCAACTATCTATATTACAGCATGGACTGCACTAAGAGGCTCACACTAGCCTTAGTACCTTAGTGAGACTAGAATTACCGTCGGGTATGATAGCGTGATAGGAAACCTTGAAAGCTCCCAGTCCGGACATTTTGTTGAGCGATCGACGGATGAATCTCATTCGCTGATGATATAAGCAAACATTGATAATAAATGGGAATAATCAAGATTACTGTGTTGCCAAGCTCTATGCGAATTCCATAATCCCATTCGAACGCTCCAATTGATTATTCACCATACAGGAAACATGCAGGATAACGCTTATTAGAAGCGGGCGCAGGGTCAAGGCAACCTCACATGTCCACGCAAAAAGAGACTCTGCGTGCAGCTTGGCCACCAGGGATACGATATGGGGTAAAACCGGGCCGTTTTACTGTTTTTTCTCGTTTTTAAGCTGATATCAGCATAACAACGGTGTAGCACGCAACAAGTGCCTGGGCGCCCAGACCTCTGTTATCGTGTAACTCTTGAGTCGTGAAGCTGAGTCGTGAATAGTCGCGATTCGTGAGCCATGATCCCTGCCAAACCTTTTTTTCTCTGCCATGAAAAAATTGGAGCCAAGCGTGGTTCGAACTTCCAAGAGAGATTGTGTTTGTTAGATAGCTTAGGTTATCTTTTCTGTGTGGCCTTGGCATTTGGAGAGACATTGATAAATGCATGATAACATTACATATTGATAAGAAACTTGGCAGCCGAGAATATTTGAATAAATTATAAATAATAGACTCGAGGAAAAGGTGTTTGAAAGAGACAAAAGTCTTTTGTTTACTTTTTGTTTTTTCCTCACTAGTCACAAACCCCAATTGTCCAGATTATGAGTATATGTGATTGATTGGCCGATATAAGAAGTCCGGAGGTGGCCAGTAGTTTGGATGGTGGGTCAGCTCGTGGATTGCGGGGAATAATTTTATTACGTAAAGAGGCTTATAGTGACTATAGTCTTAGTAGACTTATAAGTAGATCAGACGAATCGGGAAGCTATTACCATGGTAGACTAATCCCAAGTCGAAGTACCTTCAACCAGGGACCTTGTTTACGATGGAGGGGAACAGCCAAGGTAAGATTCCAAAACACTTCCGAGATGAACGGCCACATTACAAAACCTTTCACGAACTCATGATCTGAAATGCCAGTCACAAAGTCAGAGAAATAGAACACAACACAATGGTAGCTCAAATGAATATCAATTCCATATACTGTAGTTCACATGGTATTTCTTCCTCGCTTAGAAATATTGCCACGTGCCTCCAAAGCATTACGTTTCCGAGAACCGGTCATGCCGCGCCCCCTACCAGTACGTTCACCACCGAGCCCGTCAAATTCACTTAATATCCAACCGATGCAAACACTCCGCTGATGTCTAAATTCGGTATCATCCCTCCCAGGGCCAAGAGCAAAAGCGCGAGCAACACGACCTAGTTTAACAAAATGGTCGAACAATGCCGAGCTGAACTCTGCTCCATAATGATATTTGTTGATCCAGTTAATCATATTGGCCATTCTAGTGATGAGCCACCGATTTCTCTCCTCCCACAACTGATCGTCGCTGGAATCCGATGGATCGTAAAACAATAGAGCAGAACACCATGATATAGTGTGGTCAAATGTTCTGGCGTTTGACCTCCGAACACAATCACCAAGAATAGCTAGCTTATTAACTAAACCACGGTGTCGGAAAACATCTGGATGTAACCTTAGCGAGCCGTTTATCCACTTCACTAGCTTAGCCCGAAGCATTTCGTGGCGAAGCTGCAGATTCAAATCCCGTAACTGCTCATTAGCCAGAATCTCCTCATCTGAGCAAATGTTGACATCCATTTCGACGAGATTTGAGCTCTGTTCAAAATCGTGCAAGTCAACATCAACATCTGATAGCTCCACATCGCTCCAAGTGATAGAGGCGCCCAACACCGGTTCGCCATTTGACCGCTGTTCAATTCGATTCTGTCTCGTTGCGATTTCCTGTTCAACGGTGTTGAGTGGACCACCTCCGCCATCAAGAGCGACCTGTGGTTCCTGGGGCAGCGACATTTCCAGCGGGTGCTGAGCCGGCGTTGGCGGATGTTGTGGAAATAGTTGACGATCTTTGTACGTAAATCTATTCCATTCGACCAGCATAGAGCCTTGCTGGGCGTACATTTCCAATGTGCTAGGTCTAGGCGTGACGATGCCAGTGTCACCAAGTCGTTTGCAGAGTTCTTTCAAACTCTCCCGGGCGTAGTCACTCGGCCGGATGTAAACATCGAAGACCGCAGTATTAGATAGAGATTCAATGTTGCGGATCAATTGCTCTGATGTAGAGGTTTGGAGCCTAATAAGTGAGTTGGTGTTTTTCATGATGACAAAGCCCTTCGTAGTGAGATTAAATGGAATGCTGATGACGTGTCCTAGCTCGTCGCTTATGTCGGCATCGTGAAGTGCGGAGGCATCGAGAACAGAGTTGCGAGAACTTGTTTCCAGAAGAGCCGGATTGACATTTGGTGGAATAACAAACATTATCTCTATCTGTTTGAACTTGCCACCCATCTTAACCGCCAACATAAGCGAAAAGTCAATATGGATATGACCCTCCTTGTCATAACTTGCGGTCATCAACAATTCTGGACGTTGTCTGTTGTGTGACAATCGAGAACCAAGCGTGGAAGCCGTGCCTTCTGCATTTACCCATTTGACGAGCACCTTTTCGCGCAGAATTGTTACCAGCTGAAGCGCTTCAATTGGAATCGACTTGAGTGACCTGTTCACTTCACATTAGCTCGAAATGGAGAAAAGAATGATCGCTCTTACATTGTGAGAGGTTTTATGTCAATCGATAAAAAGACGTAGTGCAATGAAGCATGAGATAGTGGAACGATGAATGAACGCTCACGGCGAGCGTAACCACTATCACGATGATCACGTCAGCGTGGTTGTTTCTCGTGAAGTGTACCCCAGTACCACAGCCACATAATGACGGGGTTGGACTACACAATGAGAGGAAGTGTACCCCAGTACCACAGCCGCATAATGACGGGGTTGGACTACACAGTGAGGCAACCAAATGTCGGGGTGGTTCGGGTGTCGTGAAAAGTTTGACTTTAGCCCGTGATTGTGATGCTCAACGGCGGATGCCATCGAGCAGACTTTGCGTGAACCACATACCGTAAGAGGCAGTTGTGATGGATGGTGAGGATGAAAATGAAGATGCGAGATAATGGTGGCAATACCGCATGCGCTATTGTTGGTATAAATGATACACGATGGAATGCAGATCGCGATGGAAAATTCCAAAGGTAATGAAATGATTGACTCAGATCATTGTGACGGATGATTTCAACGAAGAAGATGAAGAAGAGAACAAAAAAAAGACAGAGGATTTCGTGTTGTGTATATAGGTAGTATCCGAAAGCCATGTGAGAACCATTTAAGCGGAGTAATTAATCAAAAACCTGCGCTACGAAATAATCCGCTGGTCAGCGGGATATTTAGGCCTAATCAAGCAGTAGATCAGCAGAATCAGACCACCAAATGGTACCTTTCAATTCTCTGAACCCATAATTAGTCCATGTCTCCAGGGCTCAATTGGCAATTGCTGGGGAACGGGAACGGGGTATTTACCTACTTGTGCGGCTACATGCATAAATTCCCGCACGCTAGGGAACAAAATTATCCGCTTTGATCAAAGCGTCTGACGATTAATCGGCTTTCCGGCACCATGATGAAATTATGAAATGCTTCATTACGATACATTACGAACACTACCTAGTGATACTGATTGATACGAGAATCTGATGCTTTTTGATTGTTTTGATGAGATTACTGTCAGTGTGGGAATTGTATGGAGTATTGGTGAGGTGATGTGATGGGGGATGGTTTACTACGAATGTATTTGTTTTTTGATGCTTCGCATACTATTCTTTTTCTCTTCACAATGAGCAGAAAACGGCTGTTAGCAATAATGTGTTACGTGGCAGATGTATCTCCGTGTGAACAATATCCGCAATGCGATAAGTTGCATCCTGAGGTCTCTACAATTGACCAATTAATACCTACCTAGGTATTTGTTTGTTTATTCTAATTTCTCGCCAACATCCAATCCAATTCAATCCAATATGCACCTTGCGCTGTTCCCTGAACCCACTAATCTTTCAAAATTCCCCCGCTTCAATCCATCCCATCATAAGTTCATAAATTCATAACATCTTCACAACATCTTCATAATTATGCGCACTCCGTACCTAAAAAAAGACCATTCATAAACACCACATCACAGATTCACAAAAATAATCACCAGCACCTTGTTGTACAGAGTACTCCATAAACACAAAAGAAGGAAAACAAACCCCTCCATATCAATAAACTTGAACAAAGTAATCATCACCTTATATATCATTACTCCATACTCCGCCCATACAGTGAAGAAGATATCAAAAATCTCTTTCAAACTCCCTTCTGCTCTGTAAATACTCTGTATGTCATCACTGTTCTCCCTCGAGTATAAATGATTATACCTACCTAGTTCTCTAGGTGCTCTAGGTACTCTACCTGTGCGACCAGAGAGTATACCCCGTCGCACAGCGCACAGACTCTAATTCTAGACGGGTGCGTGCACCGTGCAAAAGCTTAAAAGTGCGGACCATTTGACCAATACCATTCATTGATTTTCTATTTTTCCGCTCATCAATTGGCTATGTAAGTAAGTTGAATTTCATCGTCCGAGGGTTTGTAGATCTGTAAATATCTAGGTACCTGGTACCTGGTTCATGATTCGTACTGTACTGCATGTTGAGGTACTAGTAGGTATATATCTCATTTACACTTTCCCGAATATCAAGTGACTACGGAGTACTATTTCAACACTTAGATGTCTATTTTAGACATTGGAAATCCAAGAACCATACCACATAATGAACATACATTCCTCGGGGTATTTAAACTTTTATTTATATCGACAAATTCATCTTGTATATAGTACCTTTTCAAAAATACAGTTTTATCACCTCTTTGCATTTGCCAACAAGTTTAACGCACTTCCTGCCAATACAAATCCAGCTTGATCAGGACTGAATGTGTGCTTGGTCTTGAGAATAATCTCCTCCCCACTCCCATGCTTCTTAACCCGTAGACTGACGTCACCCTTCCCGCCATTCTTCAACATATCGTATAGCCCAATCGTGCTCACTTCATCGAGTGCGTCGATCTTTCCATAATCCTCTCCATTAGCAAATGTGAGAGGTACAACACCTTGCTTCTTTAAGTTCGTTTCGTGTATACGTGCAAATGACTTGCAGAGAATAACTCTGCCTCCCAAGTAACGGGGTTGAAGAGCTGCGTGTTCACGCGCTGAACCTTCTCCATAATTGCTTTCTCCGACGACGAGCCATTCTTTACCCTGATCCTTCCATTTCTGAGCAAGTTCTGGGATACCGGACGTGCTGCCATCGACGTCGTAGGCAACATTTACCTCACCAGTTGCAGCGTTGATAGCTGTAATAAGTGTGTTGGCAGAGATGTTTGGAAGATGTCCTTTGTATTTGAGCCAAGGACCGGCAGCAGAGATGGTATCTGTAGTACACTTTCCAGTGACCTTGTAGAGAACACGAAGTCCTTCCAAATCGCTTTCTGGAAATGGCGCAAATGGTTCCAAAAGGGCTAGGCGATCAGAAGTTGGCGAGACAACAACTTCTGTTTCGGGGGAAGGGGGGCCTGATAATGGCAAAAGTTCTTCCTTTCCTTGTTCGAAACCTTTCTGGGGAAGTTCGGCACCCGTCGGTGGCTCGAAACGGAATTCTTTACCAGATGGAGTTATGATAGAGTCGGTAATTGGATTAAATGAGGTGTTTCCAGCATATGACATAGCTGTAACAATCTCGGGAGAAGCGAGGAAATTCATAGTGTCTGGATTACCATCGTTTCGTCCTCTGAAATTTCGGTTATATGATGTGAAAATCGCGTTGGGCTCACCCTTTGCAATCCCATCGGTTCTGCTCCACATGCCAATACATGGACTTTATCAAGTCAGTAATTTTATCTTAAAATAATTATCAGACGAATGGATAAGTCTGGGCTGACTTGGATCAAAGCATATCTTGGCTCACAAATATGCAAAGCACGTGATCAGTTATCCAAATGATAATTTTGAACAATTAGATCGTACCCGGCACTTCCAAGCAGTGTTGAAAATCCAATGTGAGGAGTTGGCTATCAAAAAACCAATTGGGCTTGAACCTAAGGCTTCGGGCTGTATTCAAGGGAAGTAGGAAAAGGCACATGAAGATGGGATGTAAAAAAAACCGATAGTACTCACCCACAAGCATTAGCAAGTACAATACCTCCAGCTTCAGTGAACGTCGATGAAATCTCATCACGCTCTAAGGTGGCTCTAATCTGTTCACTGCCAGGCGTGATGAAAAAGTCGGTAACTGGCTTAAGACCTGCGGCCGACGCTTGCTTGACCAAGTTTTGTACTCTTGCCATATCTTGATACGAACTGTTTGTGCAGCTACCAATCAAACTCGAGGATACTGTCTCTGGCCAATTATTTTCTATGACAGCCCCCGCAAATTTTGACAATGGAGTGGATAAATCAGGTGTGGCTGGGCCATTGATATGAGGTTCTAATGTAGATAGATTAATGGTAATAAGTTCATCATAGTGAGCACCTTCATCTGCTCTTAGCAAGTTATGGAGCGAAGGACTTTCTGCGATAGCTTGAGCTTGTGATGCGATGGAGGATCGATGTGTTGATTCCAGATATGGAATGTGGCGTTTTGAGAATGGGAACAGAGAAGTTGTAGCACCAACCTCAGCACCCTGTTGAAATTGTCAGTATTAGATCATAAAGAGGAAAAGTAAAGGCCAAAAACCATATTCGTCACGGTTGCCATTCCTGTACAAGTCAGAGAATCGACTCCAGGTCCATGGTATTCAATTATGTATCCAGTTCCACCACGGACAGTCAATTTGCCTGCCAGATGTAGAATAATATCTTTGGGAGATGCCCATCCGCTTAATTCTCCTTCAAGTCTCACTCCAAGAATTTTTGGAGCTTTCAATTCCCATGGTGCATCAACCATTGCGTCAACAGCATCAGCTCCACCAACACCAATAGCAATAGCTCCTAACCCACCAGCGTTAGGGGTGTGACTGTCTGTTCCAAGCATCATCAGACCAGGAGCCGAATAATTTTCCAACACAGTTTGATGAATGATTCCTGCTCCGGGTGGCCAGAACTCGATACCATATTTTTTCGCTGCAGATTCCAAGAAATCAAAAACCTCCTTGTTGCCCTTAATTGACTCTGGAAGATCAACATCTGCTCCTCTTTGTCCAACAATCATATGGTCGCAATGAATACTAGCTGGCACAGCGGTAGAAGGCAGTTTGCAGGTCATGAATTGCAACAATGCCATTTGTGCCGACGCGTCCTGCATAGCAACTCTATCTGGTTTGAGCTTGAGATTTGCATTTCCCCTGATATTAAGTCCATTGTCGGTATTTGATAAAAGTGATTCTTCGGGGTTATCGAGATGGGAATATAAGATCTTTTCGGCAAGGGTCAAACTTCTTGAGGAACCTAATACTCTTCGAACCTCACGGAGACGTTTGAGGAGTTTTGGGTATGGGGGAGTTCGGGCTTCGATGTTAGGTTTGTATGTAGAATTGTTTGTATTCACAGTCGCAAGTGTTCGTCCACTTATCGGTCTTAGGAGGGATTGGATATTAGTCCTCTATATAGTGAGTCAATTGCATGATACTTGGAGAAATAGACAAAGGCTCACTCTAATGGCCAAACCACTGCTCTTGAGAAGCCCGGAGGACTTCATGTTTGCGACTTTCACCGGATTGGGAATACAAATTGAAGCTATTCACACAAAGGCAAAACATTAATTCTTCTACCTACAATTGCGATATCGCTAAGAAATTCTTCCTGACATTCGGAAGGTAACCGATTCGTGGGAACAGGTTCGGGATGCTGCTTTTATCGTACCTGTTTCACGGACCACTCATAGTATTCTTGAACTAAAGCAGCTCCACACTTAGTTAGTGAGACAACCCCGCATGTTCTCCTTTTTGACCTCGCCCAAATCCCCCAAATTTCCTCGTGATCTCTGCTGTCTGTAAAACCACACACCACAACTCGTGATGCAGAATTTGAAGACTCAGGATGTTCCTATTCTCTTCAAAGTAGAGTCCTTTATGATCGTTTGTTTCCTATGGAAGAAGTGCTTGCGATGTTGTCATAAGTCCAAAACCATGTGGTTGTCTTCTATGATCTCACATTATATACCTTTGGCAGTGAGGAGCACGACAGCCGCAATATTAGAGATCTGGTGATATATGCACAGCATGTTCGAGATATCTTTGATCTATGAAAACCTTTCAAGTACTGAAGAAAGCGAAAGCAAAAGCCATCAACCATGAACCATTCTCGGATATCTTGTACATGCAGGTATATGAGTCTCAGGGTAATGATTGTCTAAATGGGAGAACGGAAGCCACCAAGCATGAGCTCTTTCCTCAAATTTTATTCCATACGTCCCAGCTCCGAGTTTTTTATCAAAAAGTTCAATGTAGTGAATTGAAGATGATAGAAAGTCCAGATAAAATTTGATTAATACAAATAAACCTGACTTTTCCACCTCCGCCCGTCAAAAAGAGGGGCTCATCAATGTCAATATCCCTTTGGGATATGCAACCATAGAAGAAGATAAGCGTCACAGATGAGCATATAGCATATACCTATTCATATATTCTTACCCTGATTGAAAAGGTAGTCATAAATAAGTTGTCTTTGACATTATTGAAAATAGGGTAGTAACCTACTAAGTACCTACTTACCTTAGGTATTCAAAGATAAGATTATATGAAAAAGGAATAATAGAAATAAAATATTTTCTTTTCTTCTCCTAATCCCGGTGAATGTCACAAGAGGACCGAATAAGTCAAAGGAGAATGAAGTTGTGAATTATAGAATTTTCTCATACCCCGCGTGAATTCATCACCATCTAACCTTACCTTCGCTCTTTCCTTCTCGTCTCAACTTCACTTCCTCATTGAGTCATCTGGACGAATCGTTTCTCTCCATCTCTCTTAGCTTACTCAGGTAGCTACCGAGTCACATTTTCTAGCAGCTCTACTGAGAGAGAATTCAGAAGAGCGCATTCCATCACAAACAAAACAACTTCCCTCCATTTCTTCCCATCCAACTTCTTTTCTGATCGTTTTTCTCTATTACAATCCAACAACATCTTCACACTCTTACGAACATACTTTTTTTAACGAAAATTCCATCGAGATCCTCATAATCTTGACTTCCGTGATTAGAACAGATCACACCAGCGTTGCGTTTATTGTTTTATTTTCTTTTTCGCTTCTGAGGCTTGCCAAAAGAGCAGACGTCGATCACTAAGATCATTATTAAGGTACGCTCTCACTTTCTACTTATTCCAATATCTCAATCTCAGGTTTTTTGTGTAATTATTTCCTTCATCCTCAATCTATTTCCGCTGGATCCTCTTTACACACTGATCTTGCCTTGACTGTCGCATTGCCGCACTTTCACTCTTGTACTTTTTCATTCTTCAGATCGAGGCTGGGCTTCAGCATCATTATCTGCTCTTACCTTTATCTGAGATTCACTTCTATGTGCATAAATCCTTTCTCCTCTACGTTCTGCAAAGCACATTGCTAACATAACAGCCATTAGTCCCTGATTGGTCGATATTTTCAATTCCATTGATTCTAGTCTTAGGTCAAATTGGAAAAGAATCATCTCATCGCCAACATGGACGAAAACGGTGAGTATAGCCAAGAGCCGACGGAAAGAGAAAGATCAGCGGCCGAAATGGAGGCCCTGCATCAAGCTATGATGGTAAGCCCTGCACACCAGCCCATCTTACTTTACCACACATCGTTTATGGGACTTCTAAAACTCTAATCTTTACATAGGAAGAGCTTGGTATTGGTCGTAGAGATGCCTTACCACTCGAAGATAGAGCTGCAAATGTTTCAGTGGTACCATTGGCAGTAACAAGCAAACGTGTTAGACCAGGAAATCCTGCATCGATGTGGCATAGTAAGTTCAACTGCTATGAATCTGCGCCTTCAGCTACGTGCTAATTTGTTTTGTTTAGACTTTCATCCCGATGATGTTGAGCCTGGCCTTGAAGAACTCGATGATATTGCCGGAGGGCAGCTTTATCGACTTCGCAGAGGTGGAGCTGGGCTAAGCAACGGCGGAAGAGGTGGTCACTCAGCAGGTCGCGGTCGAGGTGGTGGTTCGAACAGAGGCGGCCATGCATCTGCGGGTGGTCGTGGAAACTTCGCTGGTAAAGGCAGAGATGTTGACCACTCTAGATCTGGGTATGTCTATCCTCTAAATGTTACCACCAGCGTAAGTGGTTGGATTTGAAAACTAACAAATTAGCAGTCAGAATCATCACAAGGATGCTAGACGTGGTGGCAAATCTCGCGCTACAATTGATGCTGGCATTGCTCGTTTACAACGTGAGGCTGAATTTAGCAGAATGAATCGAACTGAAGGTCGTTCTGTTAAGATGCCTCCGTTGACACCCAAACCTACCATGCCTGTCCCTCGAGCTGCTGCTCCAGCAGCAAGTCGACATACAACTTCAAAGTTCAAGCTTCAAAGCCCTGCAACATTTCTTTTACACAATAAAATTGTCTCTAGTCCAACTACGAGACCTGAGAACCCTGTTGTTACTCCACCTCAAAACAACATTGAGACTTTGGTACCATCGTCAACGAACAACCTAGCACCACATGGCAGCCTTGCCACTTCAAGATGGGCAGAGACTCCTGTTACACTAGTCGACACGTCCGAGCCAAAACACGCCGATCAACCCGCTACACCCATCATTCCTATGAGCACGTCGATGTCTGTTCATTCCACTCAACTTGCCACAGCTATCAATGGTGTGAAGCCTCCGGCCTCAGATTGTTCTGGCCGAGCGGCAACATCATCTATTCCCACAAATGTTCCCGAGTCGAATCATCCCGTTCAATCTGCTATCAATGCCGCTCCTCTGACTTTAGTCACGAACGGACTAGAAAGAAACCACGCCACACCAGTCGCCATTCGTACTATAGTGGATGAAAGAAATGTCAAGATTTGCAAGAACAACAGTGTAGCCAAGCTCGGAACCGCGAGGCTCGTCAAGTCCCATGAAAGATCTCCTTTGACCCTCGAACTTCAAATTGGTGGCGAGGTTATTCTTAGCGAGTTATTAACAGAAACTACGACACTCAAGGTCGATGCAAATATTGTCACATACCGGGCCAAATCTTTAACAGAAAATGTTCCCACGTGGAAATTCCACTTTCAGCTACCAGGTCCAGCCAAGGGTTTTGTCAATTACCATATCTTCAAAATTGCTGAGCTTAGGCGTAGTGGCTGCTCATCTCAATCCTCAGAAAAAGGAAAGCAGAGTCCGCTCGTGCCTTTATCTCCGGCTCTATCTTCCGCAGTATCCTGTTCTTCAAATACTACACCGCATAGCGATGTAACATATTATGCGAACAGAATCAGCAGTGACATATTTGCTGACCTCAATGAGCTCAATGGCCAGGAGACACTCCTCTCACTCCACGAAGAGGAAGCTAAACCTGAGGATAACCAAGCCGGAGAGTATTCAAATTTCCAAGACCTTTTGAGCTTGATGGAAGGAGATATTGTCGAGGGTACGCTCCAGGTTTTGAATGCAAAGCATGGCGGATCTTTTATTGATCACGTTTCTCAGCTGGCGAAAGATACAGGACTTGAGAATGATGCTGAGTTCATGAAGCATGCCAAGAATGTTTTCATTGGTGGTTTGTCATCCTCTCGTTATTCGAATTCGAAACCTATATTATCAGTCACCGAAGGACTTGTTGCTGACTTTCTCAAAAAGTCTGAAACGTTGTTGCGATTTCCTCAGGAGTTTATTGAAACTTACATCAAGGAAATCTCCAAGAAAATCCTCGACAAGGTACAAAATCCTCAGAATGGTACTCGATCAGCAGCTGTCGGCTCTACTGGGAGCTCCAGTCCTACAGAGGCTGCGATATCGGTTGAAGTGTGTGAAGCTGCCATACCTGAAGGCGCTGTCAAGCCTGTCCAATATGTCCAGGCTTTTGAGGCTGGCGAGTCTACCGAGGCTATTAAACCGGTGGAAGCTCAGCCTATTACAGCCACCAAATTAAATGAGAATTTCACTATTATTCCTAAATACAAGCGGATAACCTATTCAATAGAGGAAATGCTGAAGATGCGGCCAAACGCCACATTCACCAGACAAGTAATTGCTGCAAGAGATTCTCTCGAAAAATACCTTCCTGGTTACAAGAGACAGATAGCACCAACCGACATTATTCAAACTACTGAGTCGGGTGTGAGAATTGTTGCTGGTAGGACTCAAGGACCACGATATAAGGAATCACACAGAGCAACTGCCACAAAACTTCAACCCTCTGAATGGAAGACTCAATACGCCAGCATAACTAGCAACAAAGAAGTTTCACATGCCATTCAACAAGATAGGACTGCTGAACAAGAACGGACGTCAAAACACACCAGTTGCGCACCAACGCCGGGGGATGCCGGTATTCAAGATCATCCTGATACAGGACATGGCACATCATTCTATAAGCTGTCCCCTGCAGAATGGACAGCCACTTTCAATGTTCCTTCCAGTGAAGATACGTCTTCACAAGTCAACAAAGTAAAGAAGATACCCACGGCCCCAGACATCAGGAATGAAAGCATTGAGAATGGCGTACATGAGTCTATTCCTGCTGGAAGTAACGCTAAATCATCAGGTAACAGTCACTATCAAAATATACCTGATGAGACTAGCGCAACAGCCTCTATTACTTCCCAAGTTGCAAGCCACAATGTTCCCAAATGTTCGATGACCACCGAAGAGAGCAAGGCAGAAGTCAAGGCGGAGTCTGAAGACGGTACCAGTACTCTCGTACTTCCATCAAATAGAGGTCTGAGCACTTTCAGGTACGCCACGCTAGAGGTCTGTAGTCAAGCAGCAAGTCTTCGCGCCTCATCTGGTTATAAAAATCCACCATGTCGGGTTGGCAAGGGACAAGACTCCTCCCACGAATCAAGCAACTCTTCGACGACTTTGAAATCCACACAAGTGCATGATTCTCTCTTGTGGGAATCACTTCTGTCAACCAAGCAAAGACAAACTTCAATCAAAGTCGAAAGCCCTGAAGCTTCTATGAACGAATCTAAATATGATACTTTCACTCCCCGGACCAAAAATTCCGTGCCTGTGACCTTTTGCCACAAGTTTGTTTCAGATTCAAACCCTGCAGATCCACCGACTCAAGTAGCATTTGAAATCGAAACTACTTCCAGCGCTAAAGCGGTTGTTGAATCTGGGGTTGTGGAGGAGAGAGAGGCTCACCATGGCGTTGTGGCACCTGCAGCTTGGACCACTTTTGACAGATCGGAAAGCCAAATCACCAAGACTGTCAAATCTCGTCAAGTTTGTCCAATTACCATCAAGGCCACTGGTAATGAGACAACCGTTACCAAGGTCAAATACCAGGATCAGCCCAGAAGTAAGCATACTGCTACAGACTTGGACGTTGATAGACTGGCTCAAGTTCTGAGTGTTCTCGACGTTAAGACCGAGGAGGATAATGGTATTGTAAGTAAGGTTCTAGAGCGCAGTAGTAGCCCCACTGTTGAAGAACTTCCCCAAAAGAAGCGCTCCAGTGGACTGGCGACATCAAGATGGGCGAGCGCTCAAGCACCCGTTTTTAAACCCTTGCCTCGTACTCCACAGTCAAGTACGGCGGACTACAGCCCACCCAATTCAAACATGGCGCAATACAATGGACTGTACTCTCCTCAATATACTAATCACAACCCTCCCATAGAGGCACAGTCGCCAAATGAGAACTTCTCACAGTATGAAAACCAGTATCCTACTCATCGAGGGCAAACTTCACATGAATTCTTCTCTCTAGAAGGCAGCCTACCTCCTGCTCTCTTGTCAACGATCTTAGTTGAAGACGAAAAAACAGGTGGAGTCAAGGAGATAACTGGATACACAGTCCGAACACACATTTCTGTTCCAGTCACTGCGCATATGCCGCCTGTCGATGCAGGGTATTCTCCATTAAGCGCAATAGGCTTCACGCCGCCTGGTTCATTTCCGTTTCCTCCAAGACCTGGAATGTTCGATAAGAGTTTTTCTGATACCGATAGCGAAGAAGTGTTGAAAGCAAATGTGCCTGCTTTTATCCCATCGCATCAAAGAGACGGCAGTACCATGAGCCGACCAGCGTTGTCTCCTGTTCGCAATCGCCAGAATTCGCATCAGGAAGCTGTTCAAGGCAGACTCAATAAGAGCTCGACGGAACAAAGGATGTAGGCTAGGGATAAGATGTGGCGGCTTGATAGTTGTGGAAGGGTTTCGATGAAGAGTTTAGAGAATGAAGGAGTTTATCTGAAACGGCGAAGGCTTTTGAAGAGGTTGCAATTTTGATCAGATATTGGGCGGTGAAGCGGATATCCATGATCATCAAATTGTAAAATTCTCCTCAAAGTGCTTGGTGCACTAATGCCTAGTCTAAAATTGCTATCGGTCATTACAAAAAGCCTTTTCAAGATATATAAAATGGCCAGGTATATTAACCAGATTCATATTCTAATTTCATTGTGGAGTGATTTTCAAAAGTGACATATATCCCCAAACAAATCCCTCTCAGGTTACGGTAGAGTGAATTGATGAATGTTAGTTAGCCGCTGTATGTCCGCTGCTGACTATGTAGGAATATGATCTTTTCGATATGCACAAAAACTATGATGCTGGATGCTTACTAGGTTTTACTTGATTATTTTCTTTGTGGATCTTATATTAGTGATATGAATTATAGTATAGAATAGTGGTAAGTATATCTGAGATGAATTAATAAGATTTATAAAGAATCATACGAAATACAATTCTAAAGTTTCTCAATATGTATATATATGTATGTGATATTGTTCCTATGAATTGACAAAAGAGTTCCGGGGCTCCCACGCTCAAATATCACCTTTTCGATAGAATTTATTTAATATCATATATAAATTCTAGGTTTGACATATGGATGGAATAATGAAGATGGAGATGAAGATGGAGCAAGGAAGGAGTGGAATGAGATAAGCTGTGAAAGAGATTAGCTAATTTTTGGTTAACTGTGACTTTTGCTAATCTTATTGGAAAAGTCATATGCCATTGATCGGTTTTATGATTTCTAAGTAGTATCTCTGTTTCCAGATAGGGTATTAACGGTGGGCGATCACATACCAATTTTGGCGGTTGCTCACATTCATTCTACCATGTAAAGCTGGCGTAGAAGAGGCAGGTGAAGGGATATGTGTCGTCGAAGTCTGAAAGTGATCATCAGGGGTTGATCCAAACCGATCTCTCTTTTCCCGTATAGGAGTAAGAACGAAAATAAGCGAATAAGCGTGCCCTGGAATAAGGAAGTGCTTTGTAGATGAACGGAACTAGTGTGAAAAGCTATCGAATCTATCTAGGCTGGTGGAATCGCATAGTTGGATAGGTGCCTACTTGATCTTGGGCCAATAAGACTCGTATTTTATGGTGCTATATAAGTGACCTATGGGATACACGACAAACAAAGCTCAGTTGATACTTTGTAATTCTGCTTGAGTGCAGATATATGATTTAGGCAATATCAATGAAAGATGTTTCTGTAGACTGGCCCTCATATTTACAGTAGATACAGTGAGACTGTTGGATACTTCTCACAGCCCTAACGCCCCAAAATCAAATGAAGTCAAGAATCATTGCTAGTAAGCTACTGTGGCTAGTTCAGAATTACAAAGTGATGCCAGTTATTGTGAAAGTACGATTTGAGCATCTTATACTTTATGCTTTTTTAAGGCGGAAAACTTCCCTTCGTGGATTATTTGATGGCGAGTAAGAATTTGAGGTGAGATCTTGTGTAGAATAGCGATCCATTAGTCCCTAGGACTCGTGAGGAATTCGATAGTTCTAGAATACTTGAATCGATGATGCGAATCTCTGTATAGTGAGTGTAGTACCTCTATAATGCTAGGGTCATTTCTAAGATGTATATGTAAGTTATGACAATAAAGTGATCAGCAATATGGGTTGTTAATCTTACCGGATCGAAAAAAAAAGAAAAGAAAAAAGCTTACTTGCATTTGCTTGCAGTTTTTCCAGCTGATTTTGTGGAGATCAATCATATGGTTGGTTGCACAGCACGTGTAAATGACGGCTTAAATGCCTACTTGAGTTAACGTTGTCTTCCAAGGTTCTTTATGAAGGGTTTCTTGGAGATTCAAACTGGAACGGCGGCAGGGGAATAGTTGAGCACAACATAACCTCGCTGAAGTATAAAAATATGATGTAAAACCATATAAAATTTCATAAATATCCACAAAAACTATAAATATATATCTCATATAAATTTTTTTACGGAGTAAGGTTATGTTGTGCTGACATTCCATTGCTGCCGTGAATTGTACTAGCGTCGGAGCTACTATAGCGCCTCTTTTAGTAGTCTTGGTTACCCGAATCATCAACAACGAACTTCCGACTGCTTTCTTGCATCTTCAAGAAAGCAATTTTTGCCTCTCATAAAACAAATATCTTTCTCGAAACAACCAGCAGCGAGAGTACTCTGCGACTCAGCTGGAAGCAAAATTATACTAACATCTTTCTGCGGCGAAGATGAACGTTTTGCTTCCAACTCAAGCATCGTTCTTTTCATCACCTCACCGTAACCCCATTCATACTCCAGGTAAAGAAGCTCTACCCCCTTATGTCCTTCCCATTGTCAATGTACTGACAGCTAATTACAGTCTCTCCGCACACAAATCACAGAATGGTCGGTCGAAAACGAAAAGCTGATGATGATGGACTCGATGACAATATGTCTATTTCTCCTACAAATAGCCCCTCCCTAGCTACACGACAAATACCCCGACCCTCCAAAAAAGTTAGAGCAAACGAAATCAGCGGTCGTCCTCTTAGCCTCCCTCGTCTCCTCGAAACCCTTGATGCTCAGTCATTGAGATCGGTCCTCCAAACTATCTGCGAAAGACACCCGGAGATCGGTTCGGAAATTGTCACCTCTGCACCAAGACCATCTGTGGCATCCACTCTTGGCGTTCTTTCCAAATACCAAAACGAACTACAAGGAGCTTTCCCTTACGGAGGAAGTCCCGGATCAGATTATGCCTACGATCGAGTCAAGCAACAGCTCACAAACCTTATTGATGCTCTAGTCGATTTTACACCGCATTACCTCCCACCGAACGAACAACAAACCGCTATATCGCTTAGCTTCCTCGATAGTGCAACCAAAATTGTTCACGATCTTCCGAACTGGGATAGTCAATCTCATAGACATCATAAGGACAATGCATATGATGAGATCTCAAGGGCTTGGGCTTTGGTGATCAGCGAAGCTTCCAAACGTGGAGGAGGATTCCAGCTTCATTCTGGTGGATGGGACCAAACGCTTGCTAGGCATAATGAACAGAGTGGAGGAAAGATGCAAATGGCAGTCAATGCACTGGGATCAAATCTTGGTTGGATGGGAGGTAATTCTGGTGTGGGCTCCGGAGATCCAGATTCTATACGCAACCAGCTGCTCTCGGGTCGCTATGGTACTAACCAGAGTGTACCAGTAGGAGCTCCCTGGTAAATTCAAGGCACATTCTTTGGACCGGATCATTTCATACTGGGAGCGTTCGTACATAAGTGGGGAAAGGAGGTCATGAAGATGATCGATGAGTCTCGAGGAGCACTAGAGGGCATTTTACCGCATAGGCGTCCTGTGTCAATCATGGTACTCGACAAACGGCAAGGTCACGAACATTACGAAGATTCCCCATTTTCTTTTAATCTCAATCTGGAAGCATGCATGGTCGAGGAGTTAGGGCGTTTGAGGGATGTCTTTCATTTGTACATTCGGAGGATACTTTGGAGGTGGCAATAATTCAAGTGGCGTACTTCATTTGTCAATTTCAGTTCAGTAACATAGGGAGGATGGTCAGTATTCTGAGACCATACAATAAAGAATTTGAATTTCTGAAATGCTAGTTCCTAATGTGCCCGTGAAACACCAGTGATAACTAAAATACATTTATATTTATCTACACGTGACATCGTGGATTAGCGCGTTGCTAAGGTCATGACGCGATTGTTGAACACAATTAATTCCCAGCATCAACATTATACGCCGCAATCATTAATTCACCTCCCAATCCTATGAGGTTCGATAAGTGAACAGTTGCTGAGCTTTATATATTAAAATGCCTGCGTATGTATTTTAGAATGAGTGTCTGAAGGGCAGCAACTAACAATCCTCAGTCCAGGCGATCAGCACAATGGACGAGCAATCGCGAACCCATTTGAAGAAGTTAAACCGCGCATATCAGAATATACAGCACAAGAAATCGCCACATTACAAAGTAGACTAGAAAAGCAACTAGGGCCTGAATATATTTCATCGCGATCAGGACCATCGGGTCAAAAGGTTCACTACATTACGGCGGAGAAATGCATTCAACTTGCCAACGAGGTATTCGGATTCAATGGCTGGTCGAGTCAAATCATCGAGACACAAGTGGATTTTGTGGATGAAAATGCCACGACATTTAAAGTCAGTTTGGGACTGTCGGTCATCGTGAGAGTTACATTGAAGGATGGTACTTTCCATGAAGATGTGGGGTATGGACATATCGAGAACTGTAAGGGAAAGGCGGCGGCGTTTGAGAAGGCCAAGAAAGAGGGAACGACGGATGGATTGAAGAGGGCGTTGAGGAATTTTGGGAATGTTTTGGGCAACTGCATTTATGATAAGGATTACCTGAGTAAGGTTACGAAGATTAAGGTGCAGCCTGTGAAGTGGGATGTCGAGAACTTGCATAGACATTCCACATTTACATCGCAGGTGGCTGCGAAGAAGGAAGCTGAGGCATCGAAGATGGCGGAGAAGACTCAAGCTCAGGGTTCTGGACCGGGGAGTACAAGCCCATCTGGTATGTTCTAACGGTGTGGTGGCAAAAACATAACTGACATCGCAGTAGGGGACGATACATTAATTGGAGATGACGAGTTCGGAGGTATGAATTTCCTCAATTCATAAGAAGGAACCTCATTAACAGATGGCAGATTTTGACGATGCCGATTTCAATGTTGCTGATCCGAATGCCCATCCTGATGAAGTTGTTCTTCCTCCACCACGGACTGCTTCACACCATTTAAACAATGTCAGAAATAGTACCAATGCACCATTAACAAATGCAGGCATTCCAAATCAGAGCCGCGCTCCAGGACCTCCAGTTCCGCCAGTCAACCGTGGACCTTTAGTTCAGCCAAATCGACCTCCGGAAGCTGGTAATCAGAACATCACCCGCAATAATCATCCTCCACCTGCACCAAGAACGCCTAATGCAGGTCTATCAAGATCAATCAGTGCAGCAGGACTTAATGCACGCGCACCCCAAGACCTAGTACAACCAAATCGCCCTGTCAACCTCGTCACCACTGTTCCAGGCCGCGTCTTAAATCAACCCAACCGACCTCAGCCTGAGCCACCTTCAGGCCCTCCCTCTCCACCTCGAAATAATGATATAACCGATGAAATGCCTCCACCTGGTGCCGGCTTCTTCTCTGCCCGCATCGCAGAGCTCCTTCCTCAAGACCACCCCCCCTCTGAACTACCTCCCGTAAACCTCAAACTCCCCGCTTTCAACCCCAACCTCGAATCCCCCTCCATCCGTCGTACCCCAGGCATCGATCAAAAATCCTCTAAACCCCTCTCTCGCGAGCTCAAACCTGTTCCTTCCTCTCAATCTCCAGCTCCGACCACCGGTATCCCACCTCAAGCACAACCAGCCTCCCATCCCGTCATCGCGAGCAATCGAAACATAAACCTAGGAAATCCACAACTAGATGCCACGCGAAGAATTGGAGCGCCAATTAGTCCGAGCCCGATGAATATGGGAAATAGGAATAGTTACAAACCACCCACGATGATGAAGAGGCCAATGGGCGAGGCGAATAGAATTCCCTTGACGGATTTGCAGACGAATGGTAGTGGCTTGGCTGGAGATGCGCATGCTGGTGGTGATGCAAAGAGGCAGAGGTTGAATGGGATGTGATGTGATGCGATGTGATTCTGAATGCGGATGCTACTTAAAGTGTGTATAATGCATACTACATAAATAAGGGATGTAAATGAGAAGATGACGATGAAAAGTTTTTAGCCATGGAGGAGATTGTAATTTGAGGCGTTATGATGGGTTCGAGGATGGGATGGAACGGGACAGGACGAAAATGCAAAGGGAATTTACATATGATGGATTTCTTGCTGGAGTCGGTCAATCGACTGTTTGTTTTCTTGTACATACCTAGACAGAGCATACTGTTGCTTTTGGTGGATTTATGGATGGCTGATTATAGCTTAATGAGGGGATCAATAGAGATGTGCTGTTAGCTGAGATATCATCGGGCACGCTATTCTCAAATTTTCATATCACGTTCTAGACTTGTTTATTGATTCCGTTGTGAGGACCTTTATTTTATGCCTACCTTTAAATGCGAATGAATATCAGGACCTTAGTATGTGTAAAGATTTCTCAGTGAGTAAGTTGTCTTTTTGACATACTTTACTACATACGTAATCCACGCCATCACGCCAGAAACACCAACCATGCAACGTATAGCATAGTTTTCCTAAACGCCATCGCCATTTTACTAATGTCCGCCTCCCTCTATTTTGGCATTTTACTTGACGATTAAAACAGCAGAAGGAACTAAGCCTGCCTCCTTCAACGTCTTCCCGAAATCGACTGGACCCTCGAAGGTCTTCTTTGGGAATGTCATTGTGAAACTACTAACGGCACCGAGCTCGGCCTCGAGCTGCTGAGAGATTTCAAAAAGTGTTGTGTCGACTGGGTAAGTCTTGGTCATGGTCCCGGTAGCGGTTTGTAATCTCAATCGCGATTCCGTGTGGACTTTTGGTGCGCCGGTCGAGGAAGCGACAGGAGCGACTACGGGAGCGGCTTGTTGAGCTGGGGGAGCACGACCTTCTCGGAGAGCTTTGGCGGCTTCGGCTTTGAGACGTCGTTCTTCTTTGTCTGCGGCGATTTTCTCTTGGATTCTCTTCTTTGCTTGGATGTCGGCTGCTTTTTCCGCACGCTTGGCTTGTGCTTCTTTGATTTGTTGGTCGCGGGCGAGCTTCTCCTTTGCGTCTGAAACTTCCTTGGTTGACTTCATTCGGATTTGCTGTGGAGAATTATGTGTTAGTTTGATGCGGGGTAGGGGTTGGATGTGGAGGGGTAAATGTGGGAGGTCAGGTTTATATCTGGGGATAGTAACAAACGAACCTCGTTGCGCTTGGCTTCTTCTTTGTCGATAATAGCCTGTCTGGCTCTCTTCTCTTTGGCCTTCTCGCGAAGTTCTGCAATCTTTTGTTTCTTTTCCTCTTCAGTCAAAGGGGCAATTTCCTCGGTAGATTGCTCAAAGTTCTCATGTTGACTGTGTACTAATGTTAGCAGGTGCGTCTTATGAGAATGTGTGATATCTTACGTTCGCTCAGCATGAGCTTGAACCTGTAACATTGAACGGAACTTCTTGCCGCAATCAGTGCAAACCATTGATTTGGCCTCCTCTCCCTCCTTGAGCGGCGCCGGCTCAATGTTGGGGTTGGTCTCATCAGACTCCGGTGCCGCTGCAGCTTCCGCGGCTTGGATTTCTTCAATCGTCTTGTTCTCGTTATCCTCGAGCCATTGTAACGCTCCGTTCACTATATAACATGTAGTCAGTATGTATGCGGGGTTGCATCGATAGCATACAAGGGTTATGCAAGTTGGAATTTATACATACATCCACCCGTCTTCTTTACAGCGATCTGGGCTCTTTCTTGATCGAAACCCATGTCAATGAGTTGTTGGAGGTCACTTGGCGTAGACATGTTTACCGTATGTGATGTAGTAATATGTAAGCTGTGTTATATCTTATCGGTTTGTGCTTCTGATGGGGGCTTGAAGTTGTGGAGGAAATGTTATGTCGAATATTATGACGGGTTCCGGAAGCTCAGGGTTGTGCGGAATATTATAATGATTGTGGGCCGAGCTACTCCGTATAGCGTCAGAATAGTGGTAGTAGAAGGCGCTAAATATGGGGTGAATGTTGTTCGATAGCAATTGATTGATTAGACTTTCAGATGCCGTGTTGTTACTTTTGATGGAGGCTACAAAGTAATCATGTGGTATTAGGTAGGGTAGATGAATTTGGTGAAGAGGCGAAGGGGTGACGTTGTATGTAATTAGGTAGGCAGCTAGCAGGTACTGTGCCTATTTGCCTAGATTTATATTATTATGATTATTATGGTTATTATTATTATCATTATTATTACACTACTTTGATCGTTACAATGGAATATTCGGGTAGCACAAAGAATGGGATGGGATAGGATGGAGTTGATTAGATATGAAAATATGTCTAAATGACGTTAGATTTCTATCTACCTACCTAATCCGACCGTGTACATAATGTAAAACACACTAGAAAATTGATCGAAGTATTCAGAAGTCCATCTCCATCTCTGTAATATTTGCTTGAGTGTGATTTGAGTGAGGATAGATCATTTATTAGTTTTTGTATATATTATAAAGTACTAGATAGATACTTTGTATGATCAACAAGTAATCATGAAATATATAAGAAAATAAATAATATAAAAAGATAGTAAATATATAAAACAATATTTTCATCTCAATTCATAATACTCACTATTACATGGCTTCCGTAATACCACCCCCCCTTTCTCGATATTTCATTTGTTTGTTTTCCGAAAGTTGAAAGGTTTCAAAATAACACACACATCGGAAACTTGTATCAAATTCATTTATTTACTGCCACCATTGGTCGCAAAACCCCAAATCAAACCCACCAGGGAATGAATGACAAACGACCACCATCACCTTTTCTTTGTCAACTCGGACCCTCGTCATTACATATCAACCACCGAACCAAGTCCAGCGAAAACACCACATCCTAATAAATAATTCCTCAAATACAAATAATTCCCTACAATTCTCCCTACTTCACCCACCTCACAATCTCACAAGCACTTTGGAGCAACGGTACACATATCGCCCATCATGTCTGTCGAGATCGATTCGCAAGAGCTTGGCTTTCATCGTACGCTACATAATATTCATTCTACTTCTTCTCGAGCGTCGAAGGACACGAGACAAGGGTTCCTAACATGTGGCAGGTCCATTTACCTCTGAGGTTTCGCAAACATTGAGAATTAGAAATCCTAATCATACTCCTGTTGGTTTCAAGGTAGGGAAATCTTTACTGGTATTTCCTTTGCTTTCGTCACGTACTAATCTGCTTTGCCTTCAACAGGTCAAGACTACTGCGCCCAAACAGTTCGTTTTACCATATCTTATACCTTCAGGCTCCGGAACATCCTTTTAATATTTGCCAATAGATACTGCGTGCGACCAAACTCTGGTAAATTGGAGCCGGGAAGAAGTATAGATGTTACTGGTATGCGCCGTTCTGGAATCGAGAAGTATACATGGCATGGCTGGGGCTAATCATGTTGGTATAGTTCTCTTACAGGCGATGAAGGAGGAGCCACCTCTCGATGCGAAGTGTAGAGATAAATTCCTAGTCCAATCCGTCGAAATTACTCCAGATAAGGAGTTTGTAGACTCACCATCAAACGTACAATACCCGCAACAGCTACATTTTGGGGAACATTCCTCGCATGGACTTACACTAACTGGTTTCATGTAGCATGTCGACCGAGCAGAGAAGAAGGATATTCAAGAGAAGAAGATTCGAGTTGTTTTCCTACCACCAAAGACAGCAGGAGGAGCAACAGTTACACCTTTGAGAAATGGCGTTAGTGCAACAAATAATGCGGTATGTTCTAGTCCTTTGTGTACCATTCCCGAGGGCGGAATTATCTAACATATCCCTAGAATTCAAATCCCGATACTGCCCCTCCAGCATACCGATCCCCATCTCCCGAAGAACACTTCACCCCTGCAACCAACCGTGTGGTATCCGGAGGCTCAGGCCCATCTGCCTCGGTCAGTGTAAGTGACGAGCCAGTTGGCAACCGCCACCTTGGCGATGCCCGCTCCTCTGCTTTCAACCCCGCCACCAACGGCAATGCCGCCACCGCTCCAACAGGAATCCCTGCCTCTGTCGAAGAACTTCAAGCCCAACTCGCCGAAGCAAAGAAAACTATTGCGTCCTATGCCGAGCAAGGTGGTTTGAGAATGAGAAAAGTAGCAAACGGGGAAACTTCAAATGAGACGGTTAATGAAGTGGCTACTAAGTTGCAAGGAGTAGAGGGTGTACCGGTACAAATCGTCGCAGCTTTATGTTTGCTCAGCTTCCTACTCGCGTACCTGTTCTTCTAATCTAAAGTTGGGTTGCTTGTTTGCTCGCATTTGGCTTTTGGGTTGTGGCTTCTGGTTTCTAGCTTCGATGGGTTACAACGTTTTTTCACGTCTTCTTCCATTATTGTATAAGAAGACGGACATGAAGCGAGATGATCAATATTGGTGTCTTTTCCGGTGCTCACAATGCTGTTTCCATAGTTCTGCTACCTACTCTTAGGTACCTAGTTTCTTGGGTGCTAGACTTCATCTCTTGTATCAGAACGAAATGGGTACAAGAAAACTCTTAATTTACGATTCCTCCCAAAACCTTCCATTTCTTCTCACTTGATTTTTCCTCTTTCCTCATCTTGGTCTCATCTTGCCTTGCTCTCTCGCCAAAACTCGGCATTGCAAACAAATACTGCAGCGAGCTCTACTCTGTATCTCTGTACTCTATTGCTTTTTCTTTTTTCTTTTCTTTTTTTTTTTTTTTTTTTTTTGCCTTTCTTTGCGAATTCATTTTTCTTTCTCATTCTTTTTCTTACTTTTTCATTTGTGTGGTGATGGGGTTCGGTAGGGTAGGAGCAGGGTGTTGTTTCGTTTCGTTTGTTGCTTGTTCGTTCGTGGGTATACAATATCATATCTGGTCGCTATTTGAGTTGCTTGCTTACTTGCTTTACTTGCTTATTTTACTTGCCATGTCTGGTTTTCATAATTGTTCGGAGGAAGGGAAAAAGGGGTTGGGGGGAGGATGGGTGGGGTGTGGATGGAAGTGAGGGGAAGGGAGGGAAGGAGACATGGAGAGAGAAGAGGTGTCGAGGCTGCCTGGATTAGCATGGATGGATGGAAAATAATGGAAATGCTGGGTTTATATCATTCATCATACATCATTCATCGTTCGTATATATGCATGGTGTATGTACCTATCTATGTATGTAGCGCAAAAAATGAGAATGAGGATAAGTTGAGTAACTAGGCGATATTGTGAGTGAGTGCTGAGATGATTGGGGCTGGCTGATATGGAGATAGGTAGGTAGGTAGGTAGGCTGGTAGGTAAGTATAATTGCAAGAGTGATATGTGATATTGTTATTATATGTGTGTGGATGTGTGGATGTGTGGATGTGTATATATCTTGGAAAATATGTACGTATAATACGTGATATATTAACGCAGAGTAATATATGTATTCTAAACCCATCTCGTTTTACCTCATCTCATCTTATCTCATATTCATATCCTTATCCATATATACAAATCTATGATCATTATATCCCCCTCCCCAACCATAAAAAGCAACAACACTCAAAACCACACATCTAAAAAGATCTAAAAGCTACAACCCCAACTAAGCCTGCACCTCCTGCTGCGTCCACCCACCTACTTTGCGTCCCCCCTCCTTCCTCTTCACCCTACACGTCATCCCCACCTCCTTATCCCACACAAACTGCCAAATCACATAGATCCAACTCTCATGTCTCGGCAACTCGGCATAGAATTCCTTCGCCATCTCATGAAGCGCGGGTAAACGCGTCCAAGGCACCGCAGGGAAATCATGATGTTCATTATGTAACCCCACATTATAGGTAAAGAAATTTAGAGGTCCGTAGTAGGAAAATGTCTCGGGGATTTCGACGCCGGTTTTGGGATCGCGTGCTTGCGCGGGTTGCCGCTCGAAGACGTAGTGTTCGGCTATGAAGTGCCCGGCGCATGGGTGCAGGGATCCGGCGAAGAAGGCGGAGAGGATGAGGTAGTAGAGGGAATTGTAGGAGTTGGTTGTTTTGACGAGGAGGATGTCGAAGAGGACTTGGGTGAGGATGTTGAGGATGTGGATCGAGGTGAAGGGGACGGCGTAGATGAAGATGGGTCGGATGGCGTAGAAGAGGATTTGGAAGGTGCAGAAGAAGGCTTTTCCGAGGAGGGAATCGAGGAATATGGCTTCGAAGCGCGTGGGGAGATCGGTGTCTAGTCCGTCGACGCCGAGGGATTTGTGGTGCGTTAGGTGGTATGGCTGTGGATTGTTGAGTTAGTTTTTTGATTCAGAAGATTTGTTAGATAGATATGTATTTAAACATACTCTGAAAGAAGCAGAATACGGAATCCCAATAGGCAAATTGGCAAAAATAGCCAATGCCCTATTTAAATTCGCATTTCTGAAAGCTAAATTGTGGGAGATTTCGTGGATGGCTAGGAAGAGATTTTGGTTTGCAGTGGCACCAATGATGTAGGCAGTGAGGAAGAATTTCCAAGAAAAGAACGGCGTGTTGCGGAGGAGATAGGCGCAGAGAATTTGAATTGATACGACAAGAAGCACGACGTATTTTGTGAGGGGTTCCGGACCGCAGAGTTTGGTAACCTGTGAGATGGGGAGAGGGTTAGTGTGTTGTGGATTGAGGGAATAGACATGGGAATTGGAGGTGGATAAATAGATACGTACCTCTGGATGAGCTTTAATAATTGCTAAACGTCTACTTCGATGCGGTTCCTCGGTATAGGTCCAGAAGAAATCGTGTTCCTTGACTTCGATATCTATCTGTGAAGAGGACCCCTCTTCATTCTTTCCGGAAATGCCTCCTGCTTCTCCTCCTCCGTTTACTCTTGATCGTGCATTTTCTGATCCATTGGATGTCGATGTCGTGATTGTAGATGTAGCTACTGGAGGCATGATGAAGAATTGTGAAATTCCAATACCACTCTTCACAATTGTTCAATGTTGTGTTGTGGTTGTGGTGGGAAGTCTAGAGGAGCTTGGTTTATTTTATTTATTATTCACCGATTTACTCGAGGATATAATTGGAGACTTGATAAAAGGTTAGTTTCACATCACCCATGTGGATTTTCAGGGGTCCTGATGTGGCGGAGAAGCTCCAATTAGGTGTCGTGAAGCAGGAATTCTTTTGTTTTTTGGGGGGTTGTTTCAGAGTGCTATCGCGCTTGTGCGCTTATCTTGATACTGTAATCGCTTCGCTACACCTACTGTTTATGTATTTGCCACTTTGATAGGGGTGAAAATGTTAAATTTCTGGGCAGAATTGATTATCAATTTATTTTCGTTATTAGGCAATTTGTTAATTTGGAAGTCCTAGGATTCATTGCAACTTTCTACACCATTCTGATATCTTTTCCTTAATTACCGTGAAAGGATTGTGTTTCAACAGGCAGTGCAGTTTCGTGGAGATTGATGGGTTTTTCTTTAACACAGTTTTGTTGATTTTATAGGTTAATCCTTGGGTTTCCTGAAGGATTTACTGTGGAAGATGAGTTCGTTCAGTTGATTTGACTCATGCCTACTCGAAGATAAGTGTCTCGAGTACCTCTTTCGTAGTATGTTTCTTCGAGAATTTTAAATGAATTTTGTTCAAAATCAAAAACGTTGAGATTGTTTCCCTTTTTACCTTTAGTCAGTTTCTAGTTGTGATAATGAGTACAGAATATTTCACACAATGCTCTGAAAATATCATAATGAATGCTCCTAGCTTTATCATGTGTTTTTGGGTTTCTCTACACTGATATTTCATCCTGAGCTCAATATGGGCCACTTTAAGTCAAGATTTCCGGAACAAACAATGATCATTCCACATGTCATCATTTTGCGTATTGTGTCAATGCTCTGATCTACTCGAGCTGTTTCTCTCTCCTTGTAGTCGAGAAATTACAGATAACCAGTAGACTCAGGCTATTTCATCACTGAGTGCGGTAAGAAACAGCGCTTGTGCGTCATGAACTTTTGAAGTTGCTTTTCTGGGTTTCGAAGTGACAGCTTTGAATAAGTGATTCCAGATTCTAAGTCAGGACAGAATCAGTCTTGTCGTGTCAAGGCATCATCAAGAGAAGCTCTGAGGGCAAGCTTGGAAATCAGTGAAGACAACATAGTCAAAATGATTGGTCATGCAATGAGCTTGATTTGGATGGAGTTGGAGATGAGGCGGAGGAGTCGATGTCAATTTCTTGATGAGTCATCCGTAGTGGTTTTGAAAGTGATCAGGGTTGTGGGCTCGTAATGTGGACTTGAAACTACTGGTGTAGAAAGCAGTAGAGGCGGAGTTATGGGCATTCATTGAATTATCAGAATGTGGAGACAGGAGTAACGGAGGTGTGATTTCGGTTGAATATATATAGAGGGTTGACGAGTGCTCTCACTGTTGCTGCGTATAATCAAAGCTAGTAGATTGAGTCGTTTTGTAGGCATGAAAAAAGTCCCCATAGCTACTAGAAAGCAATATCTGTTGGGTTTCTTGAGACTAGAAAGAGCATCAGATTGAATTGACTTATTTTCTAGCTGAGCAGTTAAGCTGCGAGTATATATTCAAAAAATGAAGGAATAGGTTGGGTATTCGGCCTTCGGAATTAAAGTGCTTTGAAATCAAAATATTGAAAGCAAACAAACAGTATACCAAAAAGGAAAGAATGAATTAAAAGTTGAGTTTTGTTTGCTCCTTATATGCATATGTACTATATATGCATATGCTGCCAAGATCCCAGGAGGTCAACAATATCCTTGCAAGGTCTATAAGACTGAAGAATAGTTTCCTGTTACTTGGTACCAAGGACCGCTACAGCACCTAGTTGAGACATGGCCTAATAAATTACGGCAACCAACCGGTTTATCATCAATTGATATCATGACGAGAAGTAGTCTTGCCAACACGTAGCTCCGCAGAGGACTGCAGCCAGTAGAGAATGGTTTTCGAGAAAATTCCTACCTTTATGAAGTTATGGACAGTTGATTGTAATTTTTGCCCAGTATGTCAAAATACCAGTTCCAGTTTGATCTAGAGTTATGGATGGCTATCCATGGTCTATTACCCACCAGGTGGTCTTTTCTTTTTTCTAAAAAAAGGAATCTAGGCATATTCCATAAATTGACAGCCACAGTGAAACATTTTTTAATTGCATTCGTGTCTTTTAATTCAATATTTAGACAACGTTAACATCCTTGTTTGCAACCGAAGGTAACGCTTCTGTTAATACTATGGAACAACGTCACTATATATTAGAAAACTATTTAAATTTGATGGGAAAAGAAATGTCTGTTTGTCTAGGGATTGGGATATTTGATTTTTACTTTGATTTTCTGATGGATTCCCTAGTTGCTGGTTACCCTGATGGTGCAGACATATATTTGCTGTGAGCTCAGTGAATTATAATTCTAACCTACTCATTCCTGTATCATTTTGGATTGGGGGTTTGCGGTGGGATGGGACATTGGGTGAGTAGTTGCTTTCAATTTAGTAGTAGACAGGGTGGCGCAATGCTTAATTGTGTTCTCTTCTTCGTATCTCTAATAACATAGATGATAGTTGTATTTTGTAGTGTAGGTAGGAAAGGATGACGGAAATCAAAGAGATGTAGGATAGTAGTAAGAATGCCGATTTATGGTTTGATTGGGTCACACTATGCAGTCTCTCGAGATGCACATGGATTCCAAATTCCTACTGTGGAGCAGAGGTGACAGTATTCCAATTCTACCTATCCCCATTTCACTTTTAACACTTTAGATGGTAGTATTATTTGTTATAAAACCCGTAGCACCGAATTTTCATCTGCCCATTTTTATCACCAAAAGTGAGTGGATCTTTTCCGACCACACAATCGAGACCATTCACCTATACTAAGTAGATAATGTAATATACAAAAAACAAAAACAAAACGAATAAAAGAGGATGTGGTCCAGTGGTCAAGAAACATGCTTCAAAGTGTGCTGTGGCAAGGATGCTTCGCCAGACCTTTACCAAGGTCGGAAAAGAGGTAATACCTACCACAGCTACCGTGAGTGCATGGAACGATAGTTCGATTCTATCCATCTTCAGCAGTATTTTTTTTTGGCTGTTGAGGAAATTTGCTTGACGATTGATCTGATGTCTGTTCTAGACTATATGTTTACAGTTTTGCAATTTTAGATTATGCTGTGCAGATGTGTCGATTTCATTATCTACATCTAAGTAGGTATTAAACCACCATAATTGTACTTGTGATACGATGCATATTCTCCTCGCTATGCAGCATATCATGACGCTTACTAATTCATGTCCGACATGCATGCCATGGAAGTATATATCAGCTATTGCTCAAGAGCAAAATCTATTCGCTTGATCACTTTGGTAACCCTATGTACGACGCTCGTTTATTTAGCGAGGCCTTTTCTTGTTGTCCTATTGTGTCTTCATGCTCTCCTTGTTTGTCAATTCCTATTCCAATTCAAAAAGACCAGAGGTTCAATCAAATGTGATCCCCTTCAAATGGATCTAGAAATTCGCATCATGTGTGTTCAGGTGATGCCTCTTTCCTCAAACTTCACAATTCTATTTCTTGAATTGGCATGGTGCATACCCTAAATAACCAACTATCCCAGAACTAAATTAATTCCAATATCATCTATTGCGAACACATTTAAACAGGTTAAGGGCATATTTCAATAGTAGAATAATCATTTTAACTGTGGCCGACTTCTACGATGAGTCTTCGAACTGCGCGGTAAGTCCAGACATATGTACGTTCCGAAAGCCCACAGTGACTTCAACTGATGTGAGTTCGAATCTCACTAAGTCCTTTTTTTTTTTGATATTCTGATCTTCCTTCTGGATCTCTTTTACTCCCGGGGGTTGGGGATTCTTTTGAGAATACATTTGCTTGCTTTGTGTAGTGGGAAGTGGATGATAAAAGGCTCCTTCCTGTTGTGACATCAACTTAAAACTATCCACTTTCCAATGTTTTCGTGAAGATCATTATTTACATATCATAGAGAAAGCTTTCATTGCAGCGTATTCAATAAGGCACATAGCTTAAAGGCAGAATAGCTTTCAAAATCTAGCGAGTCCATGAGCGCGATGCTCCTAGTTATAGGTAGTCACATATACGGCACAGAAAATGATTCTGTTAGACAAGCTCTATCGAGAGTGCAGGGACAAAAGTCCAAGTCTGGCTATACCTATCATATTGGCTCTTTTATTTATGAGGTTTTTGGTTGCCTGGAATCGTTTTTATTAACTTGCTATGCTTATGTAGGTATGCGACGGGCGCTGATTGGAAATGCAGCTAAGTACAACCCGAATGTGAAGAATTTACTTTCAAAAGTATCACTCATTCATTATATCATTGATGTGTACTGATTTTTTTCTCTGTTGCATCTTCATCCCACTGACTAAAATGTGCGCCAACTCACATCGACGTCGGAATAACTCCCTGCAGATTGAGGCTCATAAAATCATACAGGAACGCTCTGCATAATTAGATCTGCACATACATCACGTGTGTATTTACCAATCGACTTGTATCAACATGAAAGTACTCCGTAGAAGAAATTATGTTCTGCTTCTCTCGCATAATTTTGTCTGGAGGAGGGGTAGGCAGGCATATTGCTCCCCCTTTTTATTTTGCGAGGCTGGGCTGGTAACTGTAAATTCGGATAAAGGACCCACCTAAAGTTTTGTTTCAGATACCATATCGATAGCAACTTTCAGCAGACCAGGGATCATGCAACCCTTGAATAAGTATACCGCAACGTCATATCAGTTCATTTCTCCGTATTTTATGGGGTTTTCAGCAAATCAGGGATCATTAAATGGCTGAGTAACTCTTGGAATCTTCGGATAAGTTCATGTCATTTTGGGGATTTTTTTTGGTTTGTGTAACATATATGTCACATCCAGCCGCATACCCGGGCGTTGGAAAGTCTCGGGCCATAAGCTGGTACCCTTGGAAATAGGTAGACGGTTCCTGACCGCTGTAAGGTTACATATGTCGAAAGGCACAAACGACTTCTTTCTCACTGCTCTCTGGTGTACATGTAGATTTTGTCTCAAATGTCACGTAGTATATACAGTCGTCCCAACAAATTTAGGGAAGAGGCACAAAACTATACGTTTATGTTAACGTTTGTTAATGCAATCCCTTGGGGAATATGATTACTGATTAATATCGTCATCACTGTATTGACGTGGAATGAACATACTAAAGATAAAGAGTACGGACGATAAATCCATCCAGTAAGCAATTTTGAGAAGCTCGAGCCAGAAAGCAGATTTTCTAATAACGATTCAAACATGTGATTTCTGTTCCTATCTAATTATTTGTAATTTCATTCGAAAGCAGACATCGAAATGTCAGTTTTTCTTTCGCTGAGATTCTCAACAAATCACTATAACGGTATAACTCTGTTTCAAACGAACTCGAAATCAGGTGCTAATCCGGAAATGATATCTTATATTAACAGGACATCTCCACTAAATGTGTCAGCACTAACGTCCGCTAAGCCTCCTCATACTAGGTACTCACTATACTATTTTAGGTTTAGTCGATTTGAACCCTCCTTTCCTGTGAGAATGGCGGGTACTAATAGAGAACTATTCAGGTACAGAATCTTGAAGTCACACACTGTTTTCTCTTCTTTTAGTTACCATTCATTTTAGACAAGTATCTACTAAGTTAAAATAGTCGCACGATGGCGTACCCTAAAAATGTTGGCATCAAAGCCATGGAAATTTATGTCCCAGCACAGGTAATATCACTTAGAACCCCAAGAGTTTCAGTTCATGTTACTGATTGGAAAAGTGTCTGGATCAAACGCTATTCGAAAAACATCAAGGGGTTTCGGCTGGAAAATATACCATTGGATTGGGTCTCCAATACATGAACTTTTGTACCGACAGAGAGGGTAAGAAGGCTGCTCCATTGAAGCTCTTTAGCCAACCCAGCTCCTTTGGGGGCATTGAAGTAATGGATGCTGATAACCTACAAAGATGTGTGTTCTCTAGCTCTAACAGCTGTCTCTTCACTACTCCGTAAATTCAACATCGATCCTAAATCCATTGGACGTCTAGAAGTGGGTACCGAATCACCCATCGATAAAGCTAAGTCGGTCAAATCAGTTCTCACAACTCTTTTTGCGCCATCCGGAAATACGAGTCTCGAAGGGATCGACACAATTCACGCCTGTTATGGCGGTACCAATGCTCTATTCAATGCCATCAATTGGGTAGAATCTCGTTCGTGGGACGGGAGAGATGCCATTGTCGTTGCTTCAGATATTGCTCTCTATAAAGAGGCTGCTTCTCGACCTACTGGAGGTGCTGGATGCGTCGCTATGCTTATTGGCCCAAATGCCCTGTTATCATTTGATCCAGATTTGAAAGGTGTCTATATGACTCATGCTTATGATTTCTATAAGCCGGATACTAAAGTCGAGTTCCCGATCGTGAATGGTCATGAATCTATTGGCTGTTACATTGGCGCTCTCGATGCATGCCACAAGAACTTGCTTGAGCGCATAGAGACCAGAAGTAAGCTCAGTGGAGATACATCCAAGGCTGTTCCCAAGAAGGTTCTTGATCTTTTCGACTATATGGCGTTCCATACCCCGAACTGCAAATTAGTATCTAAATCGTATGGTCGACTCAAGTACAATGATTGTCTGACATCGACGGATGATGCTGATTGGGAAGGTATTCCTGATGAACTCCGCAAGTTGAGCTATTCAGAATCCTTGAAAGACAAGACGCTGGAGAAAACCCTTGTGGCTATCACGAAAGACGAATTCCAAGAGCGGGTCAAGCCATGTATTGCTGCGCCTTCTTTATGTGGTAATATGTACACGAGCAGTTTATACTGCTCTCTCATTAGCTTGATTAGCAATATTGATCTTACAGCCGCAGAAGGTAAAACCATCGGATTATTCAGCGTGAGTGACTTGAATCCTCCTTTTGACCCCTTTTAAAATCTATTCTCATTAAGCTAAATCCACCGTTCAGTTCGGAAGTGGCATTGCTAGCTCTCTCTTTGGTCTAAAGATCACCGGCGATCTTACCAACTTAGTCCAAAAAATTGATTTGATGGATCGTCTGAAGCAACGACATATCACGACACCCGAGGAGTACGAAGAGGTGAGTTCTGAGAGTGTGATCTATTTAGAAGATATACTGACTTTCCGCAAGGCGTGTGCCCTCAGGAAGAACGCATATGGATGCAAGGATTTCAAACCTGTTGGTGATGTAGCCTCCATGGCACCTGGAACATTCTACTTGGAGAGTATAGATGATGTGTATCGAAGAACTTATGCTATCAAACAGTGATTGGCCAATATTTCAAGGTTCCACCTGGCTGGGTAATGGTAGAGTTGCTTATGTGAGATAGATCTGGATTAGTATGCCTAATAATACTGAAGTAGGAAATAGATCTAGATAGATGCTGTCGTATTTAATAAGAACTAATATCAATAATTCAGCTAGTCCTGGAATTTTCTGAACTCCTTTACACGATGCAATTGCGAGTATTGCTTTAGCTGAAACTGACAAGTCAATTTCATAAACCTGGGATACGGAGGTGAAGTTTGATATAGCAACCGGCAATGTCTTGGATGCCTGTGAGAAATGCAGGAGGAAGAAACCCGACCAATGAATGTTATGTCTGTTCCTGTCCACCATTTGGGAATGTCTCACGTCTAAATCTGTGCCACTTGGTAGACAAAACTAAAATCCCATAACAGCGACAATAAGAGCTACTTTCTAGTTCCGAGGCCCATGGCGGTTGGTTGTTAATTTGTACTTACAACAAATGTGCTATTTTCAGTCGGGGCCTCCTGTTGCAGGTTAGAGCTCTAGTAGCATTGGGCGCTTGTTTGTTGCATATCTGAAAAGTAACTGACGTACGTGAGCAAGGATGGGAAATTCAAAAGCTATACCCTTAGCCTCGTATAGGAACAAGGATAGGAATAAAATTTTCAGACATGCAACAAAACCTTTCGCGAACCCAAAGTAACCTTTTTTAAGAGATCATATTGAGCTAAGGGTTCACTCCGCCTTGTTATGAACTTGTACTTATATATACACCTAAAGCTACTCAGTTGCGTGTTTCGACTCAAAAGCTCTTTCTTTATCAATTTAGGCAAGGAGCAAAAATGAGTGCGAAATATAGATAAGTGATCTCATAAAAGTGAGAGTCCATTTGATGTATTCGTCCATCTCATACCCAGCCGGCTTCAGACTTTAGTCAATCATCATCTTACTTCCGACCATAACGTAAGGATAGGAAACTTAGCGGATACCAGAGCTTGCTGATATGGGAAAGATGGATAACACACTAGTTATACCTGTAGCAGCATCCACAGCATCTCATATAAAGCACAATACTCCAATTTTTAAGACGAGAAATGTAAGGGTTCAGATAATTACTTAATCTCTTCGACCTGAGCCAACATGGCAAACCAACGCCCGAGGCGCAATGGACTGTATACTTCCAAGCATGGCCAAACGTTCCATATAGAGTGCGCAACATCCTGAAGGAATGAAGCACTGATCTAAAAGATGACACCATGTTGGTAGGCTACGTCAAAGTCCTACACTCTAGAACGAAGATATGGATCATGTCTTCATCCACACAAGAAGCCAAGCACATTCGCCCCCCGCAAGCGCTCTATCTCTTCACTCGACCCAATTTCGACCAAGAGCTCTTACTATCGATGTTACTCAATGTTCGGGTGCTTCCATGCTAATTTTGGTAGAGGAATTCATCATTATGACCTGTCTGCGAGGGTAAGTTGGATGATTGTCTTGTTCAGATGACTGGGCAGCGGCATTGATCAGGAAGACTCGGGCAGCATTTTCAGCAGGGCTGAGCTGTTGAACCTTTCCGTAGGTCCGCCAGGAGGACGATTGGTAATAGCAAATAAGTTTCAAATGCTTGGATGTTGGTTAAGACATCTGGTTGTCCAATAGCAGAACGTTGAGGGGAAGACTATCTTTAATTGAATTGACCCAGGCACCAAGTCCTCTTTAGATCATTAAATAAAGGTTGTTGAAATCAGCCTTGGAGAGACAGAGAAACCAGGTACAGCAATAACAGTAATGATTCCAACACAAGTCTGATGTGCATCGCAGTCTCATCGGCCACAAAAACCAACCAAACTTCTAGAACAAGCTCGCTTATCTAATCTCTGCTAATTCCCTCCCCTAATTGGTCACTCAGCCATACATCCCATTTACGCGGGTCGGGTCGCGTCCAACCTGCAGGCGCGTTCTATCTTAGTATATGAATTGGCATGAATGAACATCATCACTTCCATTTTCTTTACCAACCACAAAGCAATCAGTCAAAATGTTCAGTATGTTACAGACACCCGTGAGCGCACACAAGCAATTACGCCATTATACACCCCATGTCCCATCACCATTATCCTCATCACCTCTACGAACCTCGCCGCCCGTGTCGCCTCTCGAGCCCCGCTCTGTAAATTTGCCAACGAGGACCCACGCAGTTGGGGATTATCAAACGGATTTTATGATGTCGCCTGAACAATCTGGTTCTTCTAAATCTTCTAGTCCGGATAAATTTCCTTTGAATTCGAATAAACAGTCGCCCAACCGAGAAGGAGCATTTTCAAAGAGAATTACAAAGACGAATCCGCTGTTACATGGACAAGGTGATGGGAGAGAGACACGTAGGAAGTTGTTCTTGAGGAGGGTTAGAGAGGATTCAGAAGATAAAAGATGGAAGGCTAGAGGGGGTGATGATGAGATAATGAGAACAATTTGGATTGCAGAGCAGAGGCGGAGAGCGGAAAGGCAGGCTAGGGATGCGCAGGGTTGGGCGGTTGATGTTGATGTTGATGCGCAAGATGAGCAGGATATGCTGATGGATTACGGCGCTGGAAAGCTGACTTTGGGTATGTTTATTCTATATGAATACCAGTTTAGGAACCGAGTTGCGGACATTGGGCTAACTGATGTTTCAGATGAGGCCATGGCCGAAGAAGTGGCAAGAAACGAGGAAGAGGAATTAGAGGCTTTATTAGCATCTATGACCGAAGCCGAACGGCGACAAACTCTCGATGAAGCATATGAAAATGTCTCAACACTCGACGAAGAAATCGGCCCGGTTGATGAAAATGAAGCAGCTGCATGGGCACGTGGAGATTTCCAGCAATCCTTAAGCCAACATGATACTAATGTTATGGATATTGAACGAAAATTCAACGCTTCCTCACCCGATACACATTTTGGTAGTGACGATGGCGATTACGATGCCATTTTCATGGATGTCATACAGCAGGAGTCAAGTGTGTTGAGTCAAGTCCATGCCCATATGGATATGCAAGGAGATTACGAGATGATGGACACGGAGATGAGCTGATTGTGGTATATAATGGTACATACTGGTACATGCTGAGATGATATTGATTATAATGAATTGGGTGGCTTCTGTTAGCGTTGGTGTTTCGGACGATGAAGGCATGGGCCGGATTTGACATTGCAAACGGATCAGACTATCTGGTGTTCGACATGTGGATTATTGGTCATGGTATCACTGATTTGTTAATACGCACAAGGTACGATTTTTGGGATATGGGTCTTTCATTGTGTTGGGCAACCTTCTTCTGGTGCCCCGAACGCTTCTTGGGCGGCAGCCATATCTCCAACAAGATCCGCAGGTGGTGATCCTGCCGCTTGCATCTGTAGAATAGTCAGCAGCGCGCTGCGATATAGAATGACACCGAGTACATACCTTTTGCATCCTCTCCACAATATACTCCCGGTCCGCAGCATTCTCATCCTTGTACGTCTTTTGCTCGAATCTAGCCACAATCTCCCTCACAAAAACTTGTTGTTCCTTGTACCGCTTCAAATCATCCGCAGGCGTACTAGCAGAGTTCTTCTCCAACCATGCCGGGAATTTGTCATCCAATTCCTTCATGGGCTCGTATAATATCTCCTTATTAGTCAATTGCTCCATCATACCCAACAGCATTTTCGAGAAATCTTCCTCACTGCCGTCACCATCCATTCCACCAGCCATAGCCTTCATCATCTCTGAAAGTAAATCATCCGAATTATCCTCTGCAGCTGCAGCCGTTGCCTGGTCACCCGAAGCTTGCATCCTTTCCATTGTCTTCTTGATTGTCTCCTGAAACGATTCCTCGCCAGCGGACCCAGCAGTTGTTTTGCTCTTCGACGATCCGGGTTTTGGCGCAGATGGTGGTGGAGGCGCTGGTCCCGTCTCTCCGAGCCCACCCATCTCCTTCAACATACTCTCAAACTGTGCTTGCATTTCTGGCGACGTCTCGAGTTCTCCCATGAGTTCCGCCATACCTGCTTGTAATTGCTTTGCGAAATCATCGTCGGATAGTCCTTCACCACCGCCAAGAAGAGGATCATCTTCAACGGACGGCCTGCCAGGACCGGAGGTTGTTGTTGTGGAGGCTGGCGCTGGTGCTTTCGTTTCTGGTTTCGCAGTGTTGAACTCATCGAGCATATCTAAGTAAGAATTAATTAGAATCACCTTCCCATGACTAGCAGCAGATATATAATCATATACCATCTAAATCATCTAAATCATCCTCGTCCGGATCTGGAACATCCTCCCACCCTGCAGCAGCATCCCCGGCCTGCGTTTCAGAAGCTGTACTTGATTCGTTAAGCGTAGCTTTTGTCAAAGACTCTGCCAGTCCCGCGAGATCACCAGGTTTCGACTCCATGGTTGATATCTTACAGGAAGCTCCAGTAACCTTCTGCTGGGATCTTCAAAGGTGGGTATTCTTTCTGCAAGCCGGAAGGAATATATCGAAAGTGCGGGGTATGTATGATCTGCGCCGGAAACAGTATTGTCCAGATAAGCCGAACTTCAGAGACGTCTCAAACTTTTGTATCTTTGAATAATTAGATTTGGGATTTTAGAAATTCTTGCGACGTGTGTTGGGTATGAAGATCACAGGACAAGAAGGGTGTTAGGCCGAGGCTGTCACATTTACATCGGGCATTGTTTGACAAGGGGGTAAGGGTTTACCCAAGCTAGTGAATCGTGCTTCTTTCTTTTGCCTTGTCTCGATGCTGGATATCCATTCACGAATCGCGAGCCTCGTAGCAACCACCAAACCTTTCCACAGCAACTTGTTCTTGTGCAACTGGGTAGAAGTACAAAACCCGCATTTATTTTCACCCTTCGAAGCTTTTATTCAACAAATCAAAACACTTCTGCAATTCGGAGTTGCGCATTTGTGAAGTAATTCAGCCTCATTTTCAAAATGACGCTCTGTCTAAATCGCCTTGCGGAGGAACGGTACGGTTTTGCATAGCTTAGAGATTGAGGATAGGTACTAATGGGCTTTATAGCAAGCAATGGCGAAAGGACCATCCGTTTGGATTCTCTGCAAAGCCTATTCGCAACCCCGCTACGAACACTATTGATATGAAAATTTGGGACTGCGGCGTACCAGGCAAGGCGGGCACATTATGGGAGGGTGGTCTTTTTAAATTGAACGTTATCTTCCCGGATGGTATGTACTTTTACACATGGTATATTGTTGTGTATTTGCGCTAATAACAATTTGCAGAATACCCAACCAAACCTCCAAAGTGTAAGTAACCCTGCTCTAATATTCAGACTTCGGTCTAGAACTAACAAACAACCAGGCAAATTCACACCACCTCTCTTTCATCCCAACGTCTATCCCTCTGGCACAGTCTGTCTCTCAATCCTCAACGAAGAAGAAGGTTGGAAACCAGCCATCACAATCAAGCAGATCCTCCTCGGCATCCAAGAACTCCTCGATACCCCAAATCCCGATTCTCCCGCCCAAGCCGACGCCTACAATCTCTTCAAGAAGGACAAGACCGCCTACGAGCATAAGATCAAGCGCATTGTAAAAGATAATCCTGCTCCCTAAGGAAGCAAAGTGATTGCATTTGAGATAGTAAGGGCGATGGTTTTATTTGGCGGGAAGTATCGGCGTTGATTGGGCACATAATACTTTTCAATCATAAGGGGATGGATGATATCAATGGGCGTACCAAGCAGAGGAAAGACTTTACTTTTGATGCAGCTGTCTGGTGAAAGAATTACTGAGTGCCCTAGATGAGTTACAGTACCTCCTATTCAATGGGACATATGAAAACAATGGATAAAAGTGATCTTTGCAATTTACACAATGCGTTTTGTCATATCATGACCCCACCTCCTGTTCTATCTTTTTGAGTCATATTGTGAAAGGAGCTATGTGAGCGGTCTATACCCAGCACCAGTAACTCAAAAACGCAGCAGGAAACAAACCCCCACAATCAACCGACGAATACCCATTATCCTTTCGCCAAGCGTGCAGTGCCCAAAACAAAAGATATAAGATATCACAAAATGACAGAACCCTCGACATACAGTTGTTACGCGCCAGCCAGAAAAAGCCATTGAGCATTGAAAATGGTACAATTTAATTGGTTCCTGCGCATCGCTATCAGTAAAACAGGACTCAAGCCACTTTGCGCACTCACCCCTCCCTTTCCCCCCAATGAATCGGTGCCACAGCCTACATCCGACTATCGGCCCTTGAGCTAAGGTAATTTTGTAGTTTGAGAGCCAAGGAGTATGCACATACCATATGCACATACCATAAAATTGTTGATATTGAAACTATTACTCACTACCCTTTTGTCTACTACAAAACAACTCCCTTTCTCTTCTTGACAGGAAACACTTTTCTTTTACATCAAAGGAATTTACATATACGAATTCAAGATGTGTGGTATTTTTGCTTGTCATTGGTATGTACAGTCTCTACAATTGGGAATAAGTTTCTATCATAGTGGGGGCCCCGCGATTTGATGGATTGAGAGAATTGACAAATTTATAGTCACCCAGACATTAAGGCTTTTAAGCCTACGGCCTTGCGCATGGCGAAGCAGTGAGTAATCTGATATAAAGAGAGGAATTGGAAAAGAGAGCTGACTGTAAAAATGCAGAGTTCGTCATCGTGGACCAGATTGGAGTGAGTCACCTATGGGGAAAAGGATATTTGGACTTGAGACTGATGACATTTAGGCGGAAACGTTATCTCCAACAACACAAGTAGGTTGACTCCTGGGTAATTGCTCTCATAGGTAATTTGGCTGATCGATTGACTGCAGTTCTTGCGCATGAGCGTTTGAGTATCGTGGGTGTTGGTAAGTTCTCACCGCTGAAATCTGGATCCAAATTCATAAACTCACAATAGACTAGAAAGTGGAGCGCAGCCAATTACCAACGCAGACGACACTCTTATGCTCGCAGTCAATGGCGAAATTTATAACCACAGACTCATCCGTAAAGGACTCAAGAACCAATACCACTTCAAGACACATTCCGATTGCGAAGTCATAATACCACTGGTGAGGAATTCGAAAGGAAAATTTGGGACCGTGACTGAATATTTGTTAGTATATGGAACATGACATCGATGCGCCAAAACATTTGGACGGAATGTTCTCGTTTGTTTTATACGATAAGAAGCAAGATCGCACAATTGCCGCACGCGACCCAATTGGTATTACCAGTTTTTATCAAGGATGGTCGAGCAAAACACCAGGAGCTGTATACTTTGCTTCCGAGTTGAAAAGTTTACATCCTGTTTGCGACAAGATCATCGCTTTTCCCCCAGGCCACATCTATGACTCGAGAACCGACAAGGCAACCAGATATTTCGAGCCATCTTGGTGGGACCCCACCAACGTCCCATCAACTCCCATTGATTATAAGCTTTTAAGAGAAACACTCGAGATGTCTGTTCGTAAGCGTCTCATGGCTGAAGTACCTTACGGAGTTCTGTTGTCTGGAGGCCTCGACTCGAGTTTGGTTGCTGCCATCGCTCAAAGAGAGTCTCTGCGCCTGAAAGCGGCTGCGCTAGCTGCAATTGAGAACGGAAGTGGAGCCGCGACACCAACTGCAAACGAGGACCAAGGAGAAGGGCTTGTTGGTATTGATGATGAGAACAAATTGTCAACTCTCACTTATCTTCCTCAACTTAACTCCTTCTCAATTGGTCTACCAAACTCTCCTGACACCAAAGCTGCTAAAGAAGTTGCCAAGTTCCTTGGTACTAAACACCATGATATGACTTTCACCATTGACGATGGTTTGAACGCACTCTCTGATGTTATTTACCACTTGGAGACCTATGATGTAACGACCATTCGTGCATCCACTCCTATGTTCCTTCTATCGAGAAAGATCAAGGCTATGGGTGTCAAGATGGTATTGAGTGGAGAAGGTAGTGACGAGATTTTCGGAGGTTACCTTTACTTCCACGCCGCACCAGACAAGGCTGCTCTCCACGAAGAAACTGTCCGCAGAATCAAGAACTTACATTTGTCTGATTGCTTGAGAGCCAACAAATCGACCTCCGCCTGGGGATTGGAGGCTCGTGTTCCTTTCCTTGACAAGGAATTCCTAGAAGTATCCATGAACATTGATCCACAAGAGAAGATGATCACCAAGGATCGTCTTGAGAAGTACATTCTCCGAAAGGCTTTTGACACATCAGATGATCCAAACGAGAAACCATATCTCCCAAAACACATCCTTTACAGACAAAAGGAGCAATTCAGTGATGGTGTCGGTTATGGCTGGATCGATGCTCTCAAGGATAACGCGGAGCTTCACGTTACCGATGAGATGATGAAAAATCCCAAACCGGAATGGGGTTCTGATATTCCAGATACCAAGGAAGCGTAAGTACTCAATTCTAATTATGAAATTTGAAATACTGACAGAAGAACTAGTTACTGGTACCGAACAATGTTCGATGAACACTTCCCACCATCTTGTGCAGAGAGTGTTATGCGATGGACTCCAACTTGGTCGAAACAGACCGACCCCAGTGGAAGAGCTATTGCCATCCATAACGAAAAGTATAATGAGTAATTGTAATGTGAAGACTTGCTTCTTGGAGTGTCGTATTTATTGGAATGTTAAAAAGTTCATGACCACTTATTCATCGAGGATCTTTCGGACCGCAAACCTGGCTACCGCTAAACAAAATGATCGATGCGTTAGATAGAAAGATGAAACCATTTGATAAAGAGATAGTTGACCTTGCATGAAATTCATCTTATGCTTTCACGGTTGGCGTGTGCTTGAGGACATTAATTTGCTGTTGTGGCTTGACATTTCCTTGGCAGTCTTTAGTATCAATGAAGCATTATTCAAGATTCCTTCTCATGCTAGCGACAAGTTGCCAGTTGATCTTGCAAAAGTTCAAAATAAGCCAATTCGATGCCAGTGAGAAACAGCGGAAATTGATCTCGCAAACCCTCCAACTTCGCATTCCCAACACCAGTAAGAGGTTGCGAAATGATATGATCTTGCGAATGTAAACAAATCATGTTAGTCAGGTTATCTTGTTATGTATGTATAAGTTTGATATATATATATAAGTTCATTCCAAGACTGAATGTAATGTTTCAACTTGGGAAAATGGTGATGTGGATTGATTCAACCAGAGGTACATGAAATTGCGTTGTTAATGGGCAGGATTCCAACATTTGGTCCAAGGCATTTATTTACATACAAGGTTATCTAAGATGGGATGGGATACAGGGGGTCGCATATGGAAGGAGACACATGAGCATTTTGGCCAATAGTAAATGCACGTTCCATGTCCGACTTCTGCCGCTTGATTCCTCACGATTCGAAATTCTTTAGGAACAAAAATCCACGTCTTCACAATTTCATCCTCACTCACTTCCTTCGTACTTGTACAACTTCTCAAATTTCTTCTCAAAACTTCAATCAATTCAGCTCCTCCATTTCTACAATCATGTCTGTCCCAGCATTCACTGATATCGCCAAGGCGTCCAACGATGTAACTTTTCCCCCAACTTGCGCATGTTTACAAAATATTTGAAGCTAATCTCAATGTTAATTGATCAGTTGCTCAACAAAGATTTCTACCACCTCACTGCTGCCGCGCTCGAGGTTAAGTCGAATACTCCAAACAATGTCGCATTCAAAGTTACAGGAAAGAGCACCCACGACAATGCCACAAGTGGTCTGGTACGAATATAATAGGAAAGAATTGATTTTTGACAATCGCTGATGGACAGTTTGTGTGCAGTTGGAGGCCAAATTCACAGACAAGCCAACTGGTATATATTTTGAGAAATTTACTCTACAACATCTCCCTTTTGATAGTCCATATGGTTTTGTCATTTATAGACAGCCCGGTTTTGAACAGTTACTAATCCAGTATACCTATGGTACAGGATTGACTCTTACCCAAACATGGAACACCCTCAACGCTCTCGACACCAAAATTGAGATCAACGACTCCATCGCCAAGGGTCTCAAGGCTGAGATTCTCGGCTCTTTCGCTCCTACCACCCAAAAGAAGGGTGCTAAGGTCAATCTTCACTTCAAGCAACCAAACTTCCACGGACGCGCATTCTTCGATCTCCTCAAGGGCCCAACTGCTACCGTTGACGCTGTTATCGGACAAGACGGTTTCTTGGCTGGTGCTACCGCTGGTTATGATGTCCAAAAGGCAGCTATCACCAGCTACTCCGCCGCTGTTGGTTATAGTGCCCCCACTTACAGCGCTGCCATCACTGCCGCTGATAACTTGAGCGTTTTCTCCGCTTCATACTACCATAAGGTCAACACCCAAGTTGAGGCTGGTGCTAAGGCTACTTGGGACTCCAAGAACACCAACTCCGTCGGTCTCGAGGTTGCCAGCAAGTACAGACTTGACCCACTCTCCTTCGCCAAGGTAAGCAATTTGTGCATATTTACCCCGCCAAACTTTTACTGATGCAAAGGAAATTTTAGGTCAAGATTAACGACCGTGGTGTTGCTGCTGTTGCCTACAACGTTGTTCTCAGACCTGGTGCCACTCTTGGTCTCGGTGCCTCTTTCGATACCCAAAAGCTTGACCAAGCTACCCACAAGATCGGCACTAGCTTCACATTCGAGTCATAGGGCAGGATTGTTCGAGATTTGAGACTTTTCCCGTACCAATAGTAGAATAGAGGTGTACTTCTGATATCCTTTTCTGTGGCACACACAGTATAGCATTGCAGCGGGGTGACTTTCTGTAATTTAAATGACCAAAAAGAGTTCTTAAAAGGATAGATAATAATTCTATGGTCTATTTTTTGTGCCAATATTATGCTGATTTCTTCCCTGGTCTTCCTGCACTTGTTATCCTTTCGTATAGATACGATGGTATAGCGACACTCAAAGATATGACTGCGCTAAGAATAACGAAATTGGCGAAAGTGCTCCTTTCCCTGTCAGCCGGTATGAAATGCTCACTCATCCGACGTCGCCTTCTTCTATCCACATTGTCATGTGTTTGCGTGTGTCTTATTTTGTCAAAGTGAGGAATATCTCCTTCTCGGCCCCATGGCATCTGGCCCGTCCCCATTCCACCACCCATTCCTGTATTTGGCGGAGCCTCTGCTCCTGGGGCACCATTGTCTTGCGCAGCTCTCCTCTTCGCACTATGCTCTCCCCATCCCCCACTTCTGTAAAAGCTAGGTGGCGGTCCTCGGAACTGTGTCCGCCGCCTAGACAAACCGCTAGCGGGTCTACCACCTGCTGGACCGCTAGATGAATAGGAACCTTGTGGATGATGATGAGCTGTTACATGCGCGTGAGCATTTAAATGGTGTTCGCGATCATATGCTTGACGTTTCGCTGGGGTGCCGAGAATAGCCCATGCTTCTGATATTTTTACGAAGCGTTTTGATGCCGAGGGGTCAGAGGGGTTATGGTCGGGATGATGGAGTTTACTGAGAGCGTAGAAGGATCTTTAGAAGAGCTTAAATCAGTATATGGGAGTCAATTGAAAATGAATGAAGGAGGAGGTGATCGTACTTTTTGATTTCGGCCGGTGTAGCATTCGGGGCGACTTGCAAAGTCTGGTAGTGATTTTGAACGGCATCTTTGTAGATAGCAGTACTATGGAAAGGAAATCGCTGTGCTTGAATCCATGGAATCCGTGCGATGACAAAGGGTGAAGGGCAAAGACGGAGTGGCATTCCTCATGATTGAATCAGGAAATTATATGGGAGAGATTGATGGATTGAGAAAACTTTCTATGAGAACTTTCCATATGCCATATGAAGCCTTAAAAGCCCAGTGACGGCATAGACTCAGAGCCACTGACAGGGATTAGCCACAAACAAACATGACTAAGCGAGACACCTTATCCCGATGTTAGCCCATCAAACTTGGCGGGGTAAGCAATTGTTAGATTTCTCACTTCCATCGGATTATTATTATTCTGCTCACAGTTGGACTTTTGTTATTGACGCAAAAGTCAATTACATACATTCGTACCATTGGAAACAAGGCCAAAGGCCTTGGCAGGTGATACACCATGGCAGCACAGGTTACCGATGCGTTGAAGAATTTGAAGGGTAGGTAAAATAACCCTTGGCGGAAGTCTCCGCTATTATTTACTCATTCATGGGGATTTTGAACTAAGAAGCTATCTAGTGAAGGACCCTAATTCTGTAATTGAGTCTGCAGCGGAGGCCAAATCAAATGGAAACACGCAAGCCGAAGCCGAAGATTCGGATGATGAAGAAGAGGAGCCCGTGAATGGAGAAGGTGCTGGGGAAGGGGGAGCGAAGAAGAAGAGGAAGAGGAAGAAGAAGCCGAAGAAGAAGGCTGGAGCCAATCCTAAAGTTCAATCGTCACCTCCACGAGTTCTTCTATCGAATTTATTTCCAAGCGGCGAATACCCTGTTGGAGAGGAAGTCGAATATAGAGACGAGAATAATTATCGAACAACTAGTGAAGAGAAACGTTATTTGGATCGCATGAACAATGATTTCTTACAAGAGTATCGACAGGCTGCCGAGATTCACAGACAGGTCAGACAATATGCTAAAGCCAATATTAAACCTGGGCAAACCTTGACCGAAATCGCGGAAGGGATTGAAGATAGTGTGAGAGCTTTGACTGGTCACCCAGGATTGGAGGAGGGAGATAACATTAAGGGAGGTGTCGCTTTCCCAACTGGTGTCAATCTGGATCATATCGCCGCTCATTACAGTCCGAACGCCGGAAACAAGACCGTTTTGGCTTATGAGAATGTTATGAAGGTCGATTTTGGAGTACACGTTAATGGTAGAATTGTGGATAGTGCTTTTACTATTGCTTTTGATCCCATGTATGACAACCTTCTCGAGGCCGTTAAGCAAGCTACCAACACCGGAATTAAGGAAGCTGGAATTGATGCGAGGTTGGGAGAAATAGGCGAGCACATTCAGGAGACAATGGAGAGTTACGAGGTTGAGATTAAGGGTCAAACTTATCAAGTTAAACCAATCAGAAACTTAAACGGTCATGATATTCTACAATGGAAGATCCATGGAGGAAAGAGTGTTCCAATTGTTAAGAGCAATGATCAAACCAAGATGGAAGAAGGGGAGGTTTTCGCTATCGAAACTTTCGGAAGTACCGGAAATGGTTATGTTCGAGACGATGTAAGTTCTTGTATCATACCCCGGGCTACAATTACTGATCATGTATAGCTTGAATGTTCTCATTACGCTAAGGTCGCTGATGCTCCTAACGTTCCATTACGCATCGCTTCAGCAGGCAAACTTCTTAATGTTATCAATAAGAACTTTGGTACATTGCCGTTCTGCAGAAGATACTTGGATCGCTTGGGTCAAGATAAGTACCTACTAGGAGTAAGTCTCGTATCCATCTAAACCTCTGGTATAACATCTAACAAGAAACAGTTAAATGCATTAGTCTCCCATGGCATCGTACAAGATTATCCTCCACTAGTCGACAAAAAGGGTTCATACACTGCACAATTTGAACATGTAAGCCTCTTCCCGCTATCTATAGAATACCCACTAATAACAAATAGACAATCGTGCTCCGACCAAACTGCAAAGAGGTGATTAGTCGCGGTGATGACTACTAGTGATATTAGGCTACTAGAAGATATGATTTCTATGATTTCAGTTTTCGCATTGCATGCATGATGATGAAAAAAATGGAATGGGCATAGATTTTGCGGCGTTGGGGCTAATTTGTATTTTAACTTTGTGCTGGGGATATCTATTTCCCTTCCAAAAATGATTTTTGAGTCATAAATTTGAATCGATGGATGCAGATAGGATTTATCACCAACTTCCAAGATTATGGGTGAAAATTCATACATTTAACATATTATTCTATATGGAATGAGATGCCTGATTTGATGAAAATGCGTACGTGCGTGCGTGCATGCATGTTGGGATATCGAGATATTGGTTGATAAAACTTTTGTATGCGAGTTTTTCGTGATAGCGAAATTCTTGAGATTAGGATTAAGCTTAGTGCGGTAGTTCTGCTTCTTTTTCTGTGTCTATTTTGTTTTTATTTTGTGTCGATTTTGTATATGAAGATGGGTATCGAATGGTTAGTATTATGTTATGACTATGATAGATTAGTATGAGTTTTATGTTATGGATAGATGAGGTGGATGGATGGATGGGTGGGTGGAGAATATGGAGAAGGTGATGATTGAGGATGTAGATGGAGATGTAGTTGAAGATAAAGATATAGATAGAGATAGAGATTTAGATAGAGATTTAGATGTAGATGGAGATGTAGATGTAGATGGAGTGTCATTGGAAGGAGGAGGGGAGAGGATGAATGGATGGATGGTTGAGGATGTGGTGGTTTATGAGTTGGTAGGAATAGAGATAGAGAGTAAAAAGGCGAAGGCGAAGAGTTGGGTTTCGATTTTATGTTATTGTTTGGGGTTTCCTTTTTGTATTTGTCTTTGGGGTTATCTTTAGCTACCTGTGTATTTTTTGTATGACTGTTTATTTTATTTATGGTTTGATTCATGTTTTTGAGGTAAGATTTGTTTTCGCTTCTGTTTCTGCCTCTGTTTGTATCCCTCCTACTTCCAATTATATGTTTATTCCTATTTCAACTCCTACTTCCACTACCCTCCACTTCGCAAACAAGAATAAACCAGAAAAGAGTGCCTGCTACCAAGAACCACGGCAGTAAGCTCATTTCCTCCTTCCATCAACTACTCCCTTTTTCTTCACTTCTTCGTGGATGAGATTCTCGACTTCTTAACCTTGCTAGAATTTACGGTTTGAGTTTTCGAGACCTTCGTAGGGTTCGAGCTCTTGGACTCTGGCTTTAGCGCATCCTTTTTCGATGATGTATCTAGAACCTGCTTTGGAGCCTCCTCTTTCATATTCATCTCTTCCGTCAATAACCTCTCAAATGCTTGAACATCTTCCGGCTTGAAATAAAGCTTAGGTGTTGGTCCTGAGAATTGCTCGTGATGTCGTGTGTTAAAGTTGACGGAATCCACCACATCTATCACCAAATTCTCCATTCCTCGTATTTTTCTCAATGCACCAACACCTTTTGCGGTCATGAGATCCTCTTGCGGTTTTTTACTTCCACACATTGTCTTCCTATTAACTTCTATTCCAAGATGTTTCAGCGCTTTACACTCGCCAAGCAATTGAAAAGCCTCCGCCCTCTGATCTCCCTTAAAACTGCAATAGATTCGTCGAATATATGCTCGTTTCTCTGCACCAATCATATAGAGGTAACAGTATAAACTCCACGTATCGAAGAATACAAATGTGTTTTCACCGTAGAATATCTGGTTTGATTCTTGGTAAAGTTGTTCGCAGGTTCGCCTAAGGATAAGTATGTCTTCATCGTCTGGTCGAAATCGAGCTTCTGGATGTCCTCCCTCTTGCCGTTGGGCCCGTTGGAAAATCGTCAGCACAGAGGGACGAATTTTGTCGTCTGGTTTACCGTTTCTCCGGCTCCATTGTACATATCGATGGATTTCGTCTCGAATCTCGCGCGGAAGTGCGAGGAGGTGGCACTTGAGATATTGAGGAAGATTTTGGGCGTGTGGAGGCATGATTGATGAGGGCTTAATTTTTAATGAGAATAATCGAATATATGTTTTGATTTGGTGTGAATGAAGTTTCGCATACACAAGTCACGAAAGAGGTCGAGCGACCAATCAATGTGTTCCTTGCCCGTTTGCTTAGTGACGCGAGATTGTCACCATGTCACGTTTCACTATGTCACGTTTTTAATAGCTTATTTATACCTCCTTTCTCTTTGATGTCATTCTACTCCGTGCGAAATGGGTTTGAAGTATAATATCTAATACTCACCAAATTTCGATGATATTTCCTCATTATCTTAGCTGTACTTATATCTTCTTTGGTATATATGTCGAATCGAGAAGACGTTAATATTGAACTTTCGATGCTATTTCATCAATCAGAGCACCGCAGGTAAGACTCGGAGTCAAGAAACATCTTTCAATTTTCAAGGCCGTGAGTTGTGATCTAGTATATCAGGAGATTAATTCCTGAAGAATTTTGAAATAAATTGCCCAAGTCAATGATCACCGAGCCGATGCAAAAAAGGGAAGGTCTGATGTGATGTTTACTCTCGGGACGTTTGAACTAGACTGAATCTCATCTCTAATATTCAATATCATGTCGAAAGAAACGATATGATGTCAAAAAAAACCTCTACATATATGTGGAAATTGATTTAGAATATAATTTAACGCAAACAGAGTTGAAAGTTCTGGCGGTCCCAATGGCTGGCTAGCATTGAAGACGCAGTTTTCCAAAATAAACAACATTCGAATATCAGGAACCTATTAACTCCACCCCATACTGTAGCCATTTATCGGGATCAAAATACCATCAATCTTCCTAACCATTCTTTCGTTATGGACGACTCGCCCGAAACGATCACTTGGATTTCCAGCTAGGAAGAGAAGATTTGGACGACGTTCTCGTTTATTCTTGGACGGTGGTAATGATTAAAATTTTGACTGTTTGAGCTCCGCTTAAGTTTTCTCTCGATAGCAAATTCATTCTTCGAAAAGAAAGCTAACAGCAAAGATTACGGGAATCTTTCACTCCATGACATAATACATGCAAGCTATTCAATTTTATATACCGGTTCATAAAATGAATGTCATTAACTACTTAGATACAGATAATCTTACCCGTGTAGTAAGAGAGCCTCTATATCAAGCATTATTTCCTTCCAATTTTACGAGCTTTGTACTTTCGTTCCTTCTGCTACATTGATGGTGCTTTGATGGCGATTAATGAAATGTAAGACCTACAACTGCATATTAACTCTTCCTTAAACGGCAAGTTCCATATATTGCAACATCCCTAATGGCTTAGACTTCCTTCAAGTAACCCCAAATATTTAATATTTATCTATCTATCCATCTCATCACTACCCATCTATTCCTTCCACATATATTCTAAACAATAAATACAAAAGCTAGACTGCTAAACCCCACTCCACTCCTCTCCTCTCTTCCAACCCCATTCTCCCATACCTCAACTTCCCAAGAGCAGATCTGCCATTCCACTCCCACTCCCATTTCTATCCCTATCCCAATCACCTTATCAAGCTCGTTCCATTTTTCATATTATTACAATGATAACTATAATCACAAATCTTAGGGTATCTGTCGGCGGCATACTGGTAGATATGTGCCGGATCTAGTTCATGGATACATGGAAGGCCTGGCAGGTTTAATTGGTGCTATCCAGCGTGGTCTTTTGTTCGGCCACGTAATTGGTGTATATGTCACACGAAGTATCTGGATTTGGATAAATAGTGTAACTCATCATCTTGGTTTAGTTACATTCGTTGCCTTCTGCAGCGCTACTCTCTCAACGAGCAAGGAGCTGCCATTGAATACGAAAATTAGGCTTTGAGAAGCAGGTTTGACGAAGAAAAAATCACCGTGAAAAAAATTGATGCAAGTATATCTTCTTCGAGTATATAGTAATTTTGAATATAGATAATGTTCTTGGAACTGGCAGAATCTTCCATCTTGCAAAAAGGCAGACATTGATGATTATCACTTCATATTATAACTCATTTACAAAATCATCTACTTTCTCTTCAAAGCATACCCAAGCCTCTTTTAATGATAGCGGCCAACGGACTACTGTTCTAGCTCTATCGTCTCTTGCTCCAGTTCCTTATATGCTCCTGGTCTTGCAGTTTGCTTTACCAACACAATAACCATGTTAGCATGAAAAATGCAGCGTAATGATGCCAAGTCATTTTAAAAACTCGACTAATGCTTGATCGTAGTAAGTGTGTGCCAATTGAAATCTTTGGTGCCAGCATGGACTTCAGATTTATCGATTCCATTTATTGCGCAGGCCCCTCCGGGTCACCTACCGACATAGGACTGTTTACAGCCTCCTTCCGAGGTTTCAAGCACATCATAGGTGTATGAATATATATGTCCATCACAAACAGTGCGACTTCGGCTAGCACAATCGTGCAAAGCCCTTTCGCATTTGGAATTCCAATGTTTGCTCAGCAATTTAAGAACAGTGGACCTAGTGCAAATAGGGCAAGTAGCATTCCTTTTCACTATCATTGCGATGATATATATCCCGGTAATCACCCTGCATCTAAGGACTCATAGATCAGGGATATGTCGAGGGCTAAACCAAAGCTGAACCGCTTGATGTTTAGACGAGAGGAGAGATAATGTAGATGCATGGCACCTTGATAGATGTTACATCATACACCCTTCGTGAAGTAAACAACGACGTGTGATCTTATGATATTGAGAGCAATTTGACCAACTGAATAATATCATGCAGTAGGACAAGAAACTAAGAATCCGAGAATGTCGTTAAGTAGATTTTCAACCAGAAACTGGAATACTGGAAATAGGCTTGGTTCTGCCAAGACCTTCCTTGCCATAGTAATCCATAGGATAAATATCATTATTACTCTTCGCCCAATCCTCTTTCTGGCCCAACACAATCAATGCTTCATATGGAGTTAGTAGAGGTCTGGGAAATGCGTATCCCCAATCAATACTGAGTCTTGGACATGCTACTTGCACCCAACACTCAACATCGCTCATCATAGCTAGTTTTCCAGGAAAGATTTCGCTCAAGAGCAAGTTGATGTAAGGTGTTCCTCGCTCTTCAAGCTTTTTCTCAATCATTGTCATTGTGTGAGGATTTCCCTGGCGGCCTAAAGATCCTAGAATAAGCCCCCACTTCTTTGCAGGTTTTGCAGCTTCAATAGCATCTCTTCTCAAGGTGTGCATTTCCTTGTGATCGTACCTTTCACGAGTAAGTTTTCGAGAATAAGGATCATATCGATAAGCCGGTATCGATGGATTGTGTATCATTGCACTTTCAAGGTGGAAACGCCCATCCCCAAGATATAAAATGATATCGACACCATCAGTTGACAGTTGAGGAGATGTGCATCCGAGGATCTCGCCTTTGCTGAGGGGAGCGATTTGTGGAATGAGAACATTATACCCCGCTTTCTCGAGAGGGGCTCGAACGCCATGTAATGTCGCATTGAACTGAATTGTTCCCACCATAGCAATGGTCTTTCCTGAGGCAAAGTTCTTCTCCAGAGTTGCAAGTAAATGTGCCGTGTCTATGCTAATGTCGACGAAAACATAGAGAGTTTTGATCTTTGTGACATCCACAGGAATCAAACATGAATGCGCGTAATGTACCAGTAAGTCGCAACCCAATGCGCGAGCGGTATAATCATCAATGCAACAAGCTCCATATGTAACATCTCCCATTATAAGTGTCTCAATTCCAGGACAAAATTGGGAGAGAATATCAGAAATTGTTGTGGCGAACAACAGAAGACCTTCTGGCATCTGCAGCGCAACCTTTTTCGATCCATTCGATCTAATTCTATGTATTGTCTTGTGTATTTCAAAAGAATAATTTGGTGGAAGTAGGGCGATCGCAGCGTTTATGTCTGGGTCGTTCAAAATTTCGGGAGGAACTTGGTTAAGTGTTCGAATTCTTCTTGGAGTGGCAACTGTGAAAACGTCAGCTTAGGTATTTAATCTGCGAAATGACACTACAGACCTTGAACAGCAGCACTGTCCCCAGGACTCCCATTGATGCCATTCCGTGCAGCTGCTTCGGCAGCTTGTTTTCTTCCTACGAAACGCTTCTTTGGTTGACGTTGTGCCACTGGCTCTTCGGAAGCTTCTTCTACATCAACAGCGACACCTAAGTCAACCTGCGCACGATCATCCTCCATGTCTTCGTTGTTAAAGGGATGCGAATAGAACAGTTTTGAAGAGTACGACCTGGTTGCTATCAGGAAATTTTTGTTCAAAGTTCGAGGTTGAATATATCCAGCGGGGTGAATGCACGGACTTAAGGTTACATAACGAAGCATGAGCATGTACTAGCAATGGCGGTGGAAGTAGCTTTATAATGCACGTTAAACCTTGATATAAAAACAAATAAGTTAATAATTTTTACATCATTAAATATTTTTCGAATAACTGATAAGTATGAATGGCTTTTTTTTTTGAATAGAAAAACTAAAAATTTGAATTTTCCTAAATTATTGAAATCAATGACTTGGGTGTGATTTTCGTGGTTTTCGAGTCCCAAGATTACCCCGCGGCACGACATCACGTGAATCTTCCGACAGACGATCAGAGCCATGATGTTTCCAAGAATGAATTGATTCTCCTCATCTTCCAGTGCATCCAAAATCGCAGTGAACGCTCATCCCCGTTCTTGTCCTCTTGAATTTACTCCTCTTGCAAGGTTTGGAGTAGTTTTGGAAAGCGCCCATAAAAACGAGGTTCTACCCTACTTCGAAATCCACCATCATTCTCGAACGCCGAAGACAAAAGTAGGGAGTGTGGTTGCCGCTCACATTCAGAGTCAAAAATGTCTCGATAAAAGTATCTTTGCCATTTGCCACCGTCTACGATGGATCCCAAATCAGCCCACCTGGTGATGAAAGTTGCTATACCTCGGCCAGCTAAAATTTTCATGGTTATTCGACACTGTGCGGAGCAACGATTGCATTTCATCAAGTTCAAGGTAGTTTCCGGCTTGCTACTATTGAATGGGATACGCTCCGGAGGTACATCATTAGAGCGGATTGAAAGGCCATGGAATTTTGTATAAATGCACCCATTTATGTACGACACCTTCATATGAGCACATGGCTCCATAGATAAACGAAACAACATTGGCCTATTGGTGTCTGAAATCCAAGCCTTCTGTGCATGATGTCTGTCTGGGACTCTCTGATCCAACCGTGCAGACCGCATTCGTCTGTAATTTTGCGTGACATTATGTCTAAAAGTTGCACACAATCCGGGTCGTGGAGCCAGCGCTTTATAGCCATTCGGAAAATGTTCGGACTAAACTCGTCGCCTATCAAGCGCTCAAAATCCATCATAATAAGACATGATGAACAGTTTAATAGACACTGTAGAGCCCTGGGCCTCTGCTGAAATCCCGCCGATACATTTTTTTCGCTTGATAATATCTAACAACGTTCTCCATGTTATGCAGTCGTTTGCAAGAATCGCTTGCGATTTGCTGAGGCAGATCTTTTGCAATGGAACTCATAAGGAGAGATTTTTCGGAAGGGCTTTTCGATAGAGCATTGTATTAATCGTTTCCTAGTGGCTGAAATCCCTTACAGATGAGTAATAGAGCGGTAACCGATGACAGAGGCATGCGTTTTAGTATGAGTATAAAGATTTCGACGGGAATATTTGCTCAAGACCATGTTTGATGTACAGCGGATGTTATGATATCCGATTCGAAAGGACTGCATGTTACAACATGTGATCGAACAGTGCTGTCTGAATGAAGAGCCTTTCGAATTGGCAGGCGAAGTGCTTTTGCACTGTGTAGTTGGGAAGATGCCGAACTGGATGATTGAAGTGGCTCTTCATTGCGAAGTAGTTTAGGTATTCTTCTTTGTCGACTTTCCTGTCCGTAAAGATCTGTACTTTGCTCTTTGCTCTTTAAGAAAGCCCATTGTGGCAAGAGTTTAGCGTGAAGATAAAAAATTTGACGGAGCATGGCTGTTATATACGTATCTAACGTACACTGGATGATTAGGTGCCAGCGTTTCAAATCTCCCATCCTCATCCTCATCCTCTCCCATTCTATCCTAGATCTAGGATGGAGGCTCTATATCCTTATTCTGTCTATCTTTTAAAAAAAGAATATTATGGTTACGAGGTTTGCCGTCTAGATCACGTGGAAGTGCTCTAGGCTCTCGAGGTGGTTTATAACTAGGCGTCAAGCAGGGAGTTAAGTAATGACAATAATGATATGCAATTCGTAACTATAGTAGAGTATACTAAATGATTGATCTTGAGCACGAAGCTCTATCCATAGGAAATTCATCATGATTATATAGACCTTCGTACTATACATCCCATCGCCTCCCATTATGTCCCACTGTTACGATGGTAACAGCTGACTTGTTTTCGTAAGCTTGGGCCATGTGCAAATCGGTTTCGATTCGCTCAATTTACTATGAGATTTCGGTCACCCTAAGAACTCATATGCATGCACCATCAGAGCATATAAACAAGTATACTGGATCACTCAGGATTACTGGTGATCCAAGGTGATCCAAGGAACATGAAGATCTATATATTCAATATGAATTTCCTTTTGTAGAGCTTGGTGCTCAAGATCAATCATTTAGTATACTCTACTATTAGTTACGAATTGCATCATTGCCATTACTTAAGTCCCTACTTGACGCCTAGTTATAAACCACCTCGAGAGCCTAGAGCACTTCCACGTGATCTAGACGGCAAACCTCGTAACAATAATATTATTAAATATATTAAAAAAATAAATTGATCGAAATTTCGATTAAATCATTTTATCGAAAAAATGAAGTTTATCAAAACAAAAAAAAAATTTATTAAAAAATATTAATAAAATAAAATGCTTATTATTTTATTAATCTCAATTATAAAAATTGTAATAATTTTTCAACAATCCTTTCCTTTCTTATTCTGCTCTGAATCCTATAAATCCTACTGTATCATCAATTTTTTTTCTATATCCTTATCCTGCCTATCCTTCAAATTGAAGTTACCCTGCTTATACTTAATTCAAGGATAGGATAGGATGGGAGATTTGAAACACTGCTAAGTGCTAAACTATCCCCCCGCTGTGTCATTAAGCCATTGAGTCTTAAAGCTTAATCTTTGGTGACCTTGCCCCCAAAATTTACCGGTTTGTTGCAAATCCAATGAGAGAAATAAAGTATAAGTAATCTCCTACGTTTTTCTTTTACAAAATTTAGAAAAGACTTGTTTCATTTACCCAATCGCAAAGGATTTTTCATCAAAATCCTGGATGGGAGCTACTAACTCTCTTCCAAGAAACAAGCGTACTATATTGAGAGCTACTAATAGTCACTAAATCCACTGAGAGAATTACTTTCCTCCCAAAGACGTCAAGAACAAGGCTCTCCAATTTGGAGTTAGGGAGATATTCACAGCACAATAGTCCTCTTTTGAAGGTTTCGTTTCAAGATTCATGAATCTAGGGTCTGGCCTTCAACGTTAAAAGATCGACACAACTCCAGCTGTCATGGATAAGCTTCACTGACATCATGATCTTGATACTATGCTCAGCTGGGAAATGGACAGAGGAATTTAGCTTGTCAAGAAACTAGTTGGTGGAGCCTGGTGCAATTTTATAACGATTTTCTAAAGGCAGATCTTTTTTAGTGGGGTAAGAGATGGCTATCTATAATCAAGTCTAGAACTTATAGAAATGAAGCTAGCTATTTCCAAAAAAGGTAAAGTTCCTCCAAAAAGGATTAGCGAAATAATTATCCTAGTCATTTCTGTAAAGACCACCATAGACAGACCAAGGCTAAAATCCTCCAATACGTCGCTAAGCAAAGGTTATCAGGGATTGGCAGAAAAAAAGAAGCGATCAATGAAGACGATGGTCTAAAAGCCGTTTTTGCTTGTCCGTTGAGCTCAAAAGATAGAAGCAACTCGACGTTTTATTAGACATACAAACTGATTTGATAGAACCTCGTCATACCAGACACTGTTGTGCCGGAAACACACTTATACCGACCATTTCTATGAAACCTTACTTCTTATACAAGTACACAAGATCTCCAGTTATACCAAACAGATTTTCACGACGCCGGTATTAAAATTGCAGGGGAAAGAGTCATGTATTTTTTTCCTACCTAGGTAGATAAAGTCGGGGTGGGAATTTGCCATACAAATTTATCAATGCCTTGATACCTGAACCTCGATATACCGGCTTAACGTGGTTCTACTATAGAGCTCATTTTGGCCCATATCATCACATTAAGAGAAGTGAATTTGAAGTCTTTTAATAAATCAAGCAGATTGAATAAGAAAACCCAAAAAAACTTTACCATTTTCACCAATAGATCCGTCCATATATCTATTGATTTACAAAATTGGACAAAATACTCTGTAATTGTGAAGATGTTATAAAATTACGCCACGACGCGTTCCCCCTATGCAGGCTCACACAGACCATCTGCACGCACCAATATTACCCCGCCAGATCTTGTGAATAACCTCAAACCTCATTGTTCACTCTCAAAAATACCACATTCTTCTTTCTACACAACCGCAAATGATTTAGTTCCAAGTATGACTTCAACAGTATACACATAATCTTCCTATCATCAACAACCAATTTCCTGTGACGCGGTAATCATGTCAAAGCAGCACACCATGAAGGCCATCACCGGCTTCACTGTTCAAGTAACAAACCGATCAGGATGATTAGATGCTCCTTTCTAGTAGCCCTACTATGCAGATCAAATTCTAGCCAATATACTGCCAGCTATTTTTGAAGCATTGTAGTATCTACAAACACCTACGTTGGCCCGGCAATTTCGATACCCGTTCGTCGCCGTAAGGTGTCATGTTGCAACTTGGCTCTACCATCAATGGATTCAAGCTAATGTATAATCCAGATTTACTTGCACCAAGCGGTTTCTTCGGCAACCAAGGTCTCATAACAGTGATAGGGATATGAGATCCGTGGCTAAAAGCCCAGCGAATCTATCGAGGAAGAACCCAACATTTAGTTTCGATTCCAGACTCTGTATAGCTTATGCCAAAATCACATGATGGGATTTATTGTTAATGGTATGGGTGCTGGATACCATTTTTCCAAAAGTTTAGAGGTCCTGCGAGTATTTTTCAGGCTTAGTTCCACAGATATCATATCGGAAGCAATTTATAGACTTTGAGTTTTTGTAGATTGGACCTCGGTATTGGAGCTCAGAAAGTTTGTTGCTATACCTGAAACGAGTATTTATTTGCAAGTGCAAACATGAGCCATTTAAGTTCGTATTTTCCAAGCTTGCACATGAAATCTGGGCAGGCTCTATCCTGAAACAATTCACCGATTTTCCACCACCAAATTTGTTGAGCCATGAGCTTCTCGTTCAATTGTTATCACTGCTACATTTTAAACTTATGTGCTTCATGTCGCTTTTAAGAAAAGATAGGCTAGCACGGGACAAAAAGCTATAGTTGCTTTTTTGAGTAAGAAGAAAGGAGAAGGAAAAAAATTGAATATAGGATGATACATGTTAGCGCAACGGTATCCAAAGAGGCTCTGATTGGGGCTGAAGATTAATGAACACATATGTATTGTTTCGGCGCACATCTTGGCCTTAATGGTGTTTAGATGAATACTAGAAAACTCTAGTAAATTTCATTCATCCAATTATCTCTCGCTGCAATCAAATCGCTGAAAAGCTTAGTCTAGACTTCTTTCTAAGACAGACTTTGTTGCATATCTGTAAAGCACTTCTTCAGGCTTAATCCATGTATAGTTTTCATTTACTAGTAATATAGATTATGGTAAATTCGGCGGGAGTGTCAGTAACCAATACCAACATCATCACATTCAAATGATTCTTCCTTCTTGTCTATGAGAGCATATGAATCACATTCGACATTCCTCATTTGTTTATTCATTATTGCTACCTATATGTTCTTTCGTTTTCTAATGCTTTTTAGTTGTAAAATTAATGATCATGATTCTCTGTAGACTTAACACGGACTACTAATTTAGCGTTGAGCTGCAAATGATAGCACTTCCCCTCCTCAAATACAACCGTTGAAGTAACTTGTTTATAAACAGTTTAGTCTCGGCATTCTAACCAACTAGGATATTTAGGATATCAAGTTTTATTTCCTTGCTTCTGGCTTGATACTGAAGATCGAAAATTCCCAGAAATTTTGAATTCTCATAAAATCACACACACCCACAGTCTTCGCACACATATATCTCAAACCATTCTTCAAATATTTTTATCGGCGTAACATACTTTCAAAAGCTAGACCATCATCCATTTCTCTCAATTCAAAGAATATCAGTAGGTCATTACTAAAGAAATCGTGTCTACATCTCTAGGTTATCACAAATTTCATCGCAAACAAAATATTCAAAAATATATCCACACGCAGAACTTATCAGCACTCAACAGTAAAAAGTACCTCAAAATGTATATCCTCAGAGCCCTACACTACTTGATACTTGCCATGGCCTTCTCGAACGCTGTTCAACCACAGGCTCAATTGATTGTCAACCGTCCTTTGTCTGAAGTCGAACTTGAGCAGCAACATAATATTTCCGCACCTCTATCTACTAGCACCATAGATATAGTCAATTGTTCCAGCACATCACTTCCGAATTCAACTCTTCTTGACGATGAATCTAAGAATTCTATGCAACGTCAGTTGGTATGCAATTAACATTTCCAAGGAATTCTAATGCAGATACTGACTGAGAATAGCTGGACGTTCTTTCTAGTATATATAACTACATAACTTCAAATCCCGATACCACTAATCAAGTTCAGAATGCCCGAGACCATCCAAGAGACTTTAAAAATACGACTGCAGACACGATAGCCAAGTCGGTGGGCGGATTACAACCAAGAGGCTTTTCGACCAATACGACGTTACAAAATGGCAATTCCACCAATCGCCTTCCCAGTTTCGATGCCATAAATAATACTTCGGAAGAGGAGTCATCATCTCAAGGGACAAATACAGAAAACGCGGAGACGAAGAAAATATCTATAATCTTATGCTCGCTTGGGGGCCTCGTTTTTTTTCTTGCAGTCATGTTTGTAGTGGTAATCACACGGGATTGGTGCAATGTTGGGAGGCGGGATGAGATATGTAGATGCGGTCTTCAAGAAGAACCAATTCACGAAGAACCAATAAACACCGTTTATCCAGCTCTACAACGCCAAGGAAGTTTGCCACCCGAATATAAATCTGACTGTACATTACCAATGCTCGAAGTTACTTACGAGGAAGCTTTGCGTGATGCTGTACCTGAATATTTACAGGTCATGAGGAAAACTATCTAAATGGGATGATCCATAGGGCAATTGCTGATTTAGCCATAACGTCTCAGCCAGCCCAAATGCCACGGCTCAATGATCTTCATCAGTTAATTGGTCAATCAGTGCCACAAGGAGGATATAGAGCTCGTGTGGAACTCATCCAATCTCTTTATTCATCCATGTTACCACCGCAAAGTGCTCACGTACTTGAGCCTGTTGTTGAGGGGGGTACAGAAGAAAATCCCCCTGAAAACGCCTTGGATCGGGTGCCAACAGAACGGCTTGAAACAGAGCAGCTCGGTCAGGAACAGTGGTTCATCAATCATATGGCAAATGTACAGCTGGCAATGGATACAGCGCAGCGTGGAACAGAGCAGCCTGGATCTGAGCCAGCCTGGATCTGAGGCAGTCTGGATCTGAGCAGCCTGGAACCGGCAACCGAAGAGCTGGCAACCAGAGAGCCTGAAACAGAGCTGTAACAGCTTAAAGGTTGGCTTCTGACAAATTGGAGCACGGTGAAGAAAGTGACTGGGAAAATATTGATGAGATTGGTTGTAACAAATTGGAAATAAAAGAGGTTTATGTTATAATAAGAAAGAAGAGAAGAACTCGCGAAATGAAGATATTGAGAAGCAAGAGGAAGATGTGGAAAAGGCAGAAAGTGGTTGGGTGTAGAGTGACTGGGAAGGTACGGAGGAGAGCGATATAGAGGTTGATTAAGTTGTATAAAAAGGGATAATGATTGGCAGGATCTTTAGATTATCTCTCTAGATTTATTCTATGTAAGCTATTTACGTAAGATTATTTCTTTCTCTTGATAATTTATTTAACGAATTATCTGGAAAGTTTTAAATTTGAAGCCAAGTAGTTTCCCGCATAGTGTCGTGTCAATTATTTGTATTCATAAATCCCTTCATTGTTACTTCATAATCTTACATAACCGAACTCAACTCCAATAGATAGTCTCTATAAGAATAATCAACATATTCTATCCTAATATAAAATTTCCTTCCACAAACAAAAATTCCAAAGGTCATTATTAAAGCATTTGATTTCCGAGGAAGCTACTCTCTACTAAAGAACATCTGGTCATAATAAGCTATCAATAGATAACTTTACTAAGACTTCCAAAAGAAAAAGTCATAATCCTAGACTAAATAAACTATAATATTTCCATTCATTCATCATTCATATCTATTTCGTTATAAAATATTTGAAATAACTAAAGTATCATCTAATTTTCCTTTTGCTCAGGTATTAATTTATCATTATCCGTTATCAAAAAATGATGTTTAAACTCCTTTCTCCTTTTTTATCGTTCGATATATTCAAACCTATATATTTACAAAATCTAGGATCTTACCAGTTATTAGAAAAAGAAGTCATCTGTGAGAATTCCCGAGCCTCCCATGATACCAAATAAATTGAATAGCTGCGATATCTTGGCATCGATATTACAAATTCAGAAACCATGGCCAATCTCCATCACCACCATTCTATCAGGAAGAAATATATCTTCCGCTACAATGAAGTCAGCCTCAACCTCGTCCCCCAATCTTACCCGAAGCGAAATCCAGATATGTATCGAAATCAAAGCTATATTAGGATTTACCTCATCCGATATTTTACTAGATAGATAGCTATAGAGCTAGATCTACAGACACTTGAAAATTTCGGGGAGTAAGAGTTGGGGATTGAACAGATGCATATGCTGCTTTATTTGGACATGTTTGATTCTGTTGTGTACTGTGTGGTCAGGGGGTTTATATATGCTGCGAGGTGCGAGATGGATTTTTAGATGGGTGGGTTTTGAAGGGAAAACGGGCTAAAGGAGTTTGGGAAGGAGTTTGGGAAGGAGTTTGGGAAGGAGTTTGGGAAGGAGTTTGGAAAGGAGTTTGGAAAGGGGGAATGAGGTGGGATTGAAGACGAATCGAACCAAGCAAAGTGAGATATTATAGAGCAAATGACGAAATAGAGTGCATGAAAGACGAGCAAGCGATAGCTGCTTTCAAGACAGGCAGTCCGTGGTATTTTATTTGAATCTGGCTGAAAACCTCACAAAGCCTCAGACCTTTTGAAACTTTAAGGTCTAGGCTATGGCTCCATTTTAGACGCTTAACAAACTACAAGTAGATGAAGAAGGAGATGTAGGAGGTCAAGTTGTAAGGAATTGATTGAATGGAAAAGGATGTGAAAAGGAAGAATTACAGAGATTAAAGAACGTATGACAACAAAAAAAGGACGAAGATTGATAGAATGAGGTCTGATAAACGAGACAAGCTTGGACAAGCGAGGAAACTCCTCCATATTTTGCCTGAATAAGGAAGAAGCTGGAAATGTGCTTGTTGTACAGAATAAATTGAGAGACCAACTGAACAGGTGGAAAATATTTAGTATGAGGAACTCCGAACTCTAGTCGAGGAATGACTTCATCTGGAAGATCTACAGTAGCTCACAAATTGAGGTCTTGAGACCGGGACTGTAGTTTCAGATATTGGAGGCAGAAGGAAAGGCTAAGGGAGTCTGTCTTTATGAATGTAATAATTATATTTATTATGTAGATGTATGTTTGTATAATATCTTTAAATATCTATACTCATACTCATAGTACTTCACTTATAGAATACTTTATATCGAAATTATAATACATTTCTGAGTACTCCTCAGCCTGAAAGAATCAAAACCGAGAATTATAATAGATATAAATATAATTTTATAATATAAATACAAGAGTATTATTCTAATAAATGAGGAAAAAAAAATATTTAGATTTTTGATATAATAATTTCTTCAAAAAAATAATTTTTCTCTCTCTCCGAGTCCTTCAGAAATCTCTTTAAAAAAAAATAGATATTCTTTTCTATTCTCTCCCCCTTCTTGCCCTCTATCCCCTCTTCCTCTTCTTCCCTCCTCTCTCAAAAATACAAAATTCTCACAAAAACAAACAATACAACAAAAACAATTCATCGGAAAACAAAATCCAAACAAATCCTTTTGTGTACGAAGAATTGATAGAAGCAGTGTCCGTGGGTATATGTACAGAGTGGAAGTCATAGTTGAAGCTGGGCTTAAAGATGATGAGTATAAAGATATATCGTATCTGATAATAAAAGACTATGAAAAGTTTCTAGAGTTCGGGGGCTTTAGGGGTTAAAGTAATCTTATAAGTTTGGGGTTGTTAGGGCTTGCGATTATTATATGTGAAGCATTTAACAGATTATAGCATAGCGTAGGGCGTTACAGGCTTGATAAATCTAGAGCCAATAGGTATAAGCTGTATTCCGTATATAAGTATAGGTACTACTTATTAATGGGTTTTATATCAAGGTTAGTAAGATTAGGCTAGTAAAGGAGAAATACTCTGTATTTAATGGACATAGGGAAGCAGCTTGCTCGGTTTGCGGGGTACTGTAGGGATTGTAATTTTATATTATAGGTGTTATGGGTATGGGTTGGAAATATAGACTATCAGGGGCCTATAAGTATAGGTAGTAGTAGGTAAGTATAGGCAGTACTTAGATACCTAGGTACTTATAAATGGTAGGTATAGGCAGGACAGGACCTAAGAAATGAGTTTGTGGTGTTATTAATGAAAACTACCTAGGTATAGGAGTATATATTAGACATTAAGTACAGGCTGTGTGTAAGTATAGTGTAAATATATTGGGGCTTAAGGCTATCTAGTAAGTAGGTATACAAGATATCCTACAGACCCAGTCAGTTATAAGATTCTCCATAATTCATTCAGTACACCACTTAATCAACTTTAAAGATCATATCGATACTCTATATACTATCTGAGATCTATCAAACCCATCCATCCACACATCAATATCATAAAATCATTTCTTAAATATACACCACAAACTCCTTACTTCCTTTCCACTAATATACATTAATATCCCATTCCAAATCCTCAAGACCCATATAACCTTTTATAAAACCACAATAGCAAAAACCAAAGCAACCCATAATCCCAAAACCTCCTTTCCACAACCCATTCCTACACTTCTACTTCTCTCCGCTCCACTTCCCTTCGTCGTACTTCCAGTTGCACTTGCGCTTATCATACTACTAGTAGTAGAAGTAGCAGTGGCACTATATGGTTGGGACATTGTAGCTGTAGCTACAATATTTGCCTCTTGACTATGATAAACAGGTTTCCGTTCATCAGTTATTCCATTACCACCATCGAAAAATTCTCCACTACCATCATAGGGCGTCTTTTTTGATTTAGCACTGACCCATTCCGCTCGTGTATAATCATCAACACCTTTTCCACCTGCACCTATTAATTTGAGGTTTGGAACCGGGACTGGCGCGAATTTAGCCGGGTCATTGTTTAAGAATCCGGGATAACTTAAAGAATTGTTGAGAATCGACATATTGAGATTTATATTCGTGTAGTTCGTCTTTGAGGCGCAAAGGGAAAAAACATTAGCTCCAACATCGTAACGGCCAAGATTAGGAAGACCCCAGTTATTCTCCAAGGTAGAGAGAATACTATAATGTGAATAGACAGTTGTATCTACAGTTCCCCTTTTATCCACTGGTACAGCACCACCTAGAAGGACGGAATAAATTCGATTCGGTTTAGAATAGGTTTCCGATTCATCGTAGGTAAGAAGAATAAGAGTATTATTCATAAAAGCTTCATTTTGAAGAAGTGGCGTAAGGAATGATCGTGTCCAATTAGCAGCAAAGGCTAAAGAGGTATTATGTCCATCATTTAGCATATCCGGGGATATATGCGCGTATTGTGGTAAGGAAGATGGATCGGTTTGAACTGTGGTTGAGAAATCTTTCAAGGAGAGAAGATTTTGGAGTCGTGTACCATTTGTATTTATACTATCATAACTCACGAATGGACTATCAATTCAAGCATTAGTATTCATCTTTCATGGAATATACCTCAAATGAAATGACGCTCCGCTGGCCCTCCGGGGGTCACTGCCGTGGAGGCAGACTATTTGACTAGAAAGCAATTTTGAGAATAACTCACTTATGTTTTCGTACATAATCCCATCCTTTTCCATCCTGCGCCGTACTTCCTTCTCCCATATATCCAGGTCCTGGCATTCCCTCAAAATATCCCTTCCAAGTAATTCCCGCATCCTCAAAAAGATCCACCACTGTTGTCACATTATGCGGTATCCTTACGAATCCATCATGATTGAGACCGAAAAAATCACCTCCGACAGATGCTATGTAATTTGGTTGAGAAGGATGTGTGAGTCCATAGTAGTTTTCTAAGAGAATGCCTTGTTTGGTGAGATTTTGTATATCGGGGTTTGAGTCTACTTTTGTATCGTCCTGTGGAAGAACTTGTTAGTATTCTGAATGGTGTCAAGGAAGAATGAGGTGACGAACTTGATTTTCGAGCCAGATGGTGAAAAATCTATCAAAGGCCGCTCCTGGTACATATGCAGCTTCACATGTTGATCGCATAAGTGTAATTGCGCCTGCTAATAGCAAGAAATTTGACCGCATTTTGGGAATTGTGATGTCTTGATACCTTTATTATCTCAAATGTAATAATAATCAAATAGAGATAAGAGAAGTAGAGAGAGTTGAAAAAGTACGAAAAACAAAAGTAAAATCGAAAAATCACAATATAAGTATAATATGACAGTTAATCAATTTACCTTTATACTTTACCTTTTATTTGGTATCAAACAATCATGTTTCATCGCATTTGTCCAAGCAGTGCCTCAACCACGGATGTATTTGATTGATGCAGTTGGCTCATCGGTGACATTCCAGAAAGGCTGTGTGAGCTTTTGGCGGAGTCTAGAGGTAATGTGGCTAGAAAGGCTGATTTACAGGGATATAAAAACTATTATTAGCATTATATATAAAATCTTATCTCATCCCTCCTTTAGTTGCAGATCGATTGGCGACTTATAACAACATTGGTTTTTGATGATATAACTAAGTACTGTGCTATGTGACTGTAGTTTCGAATGCAAATTCAAGTGATGTGCACAGTTATGCCTCTCCCAACGGTGATGGACAGAAAGGCTCAACTTTTGGTAGTGATGAGTTGATCGATCTGATGATTATTTTGTGCCACGAGTATACATTCGAAGGAGAGTCCAGTTGTAATGCTATTTACAAGTATGGCTGGCGTTAATAGTGATCATACAACTCGAGAGATCTTCATTAATTCGTAAGACCTGAAATATGTCCCTTCATTATATTTAGAATACTAGTGGATATATAAAGTTAAATACAACTTCAACCCCAAAAAAACATTTCATACACAGCTCAGTTATTCCTCACCAACCCTCCTTTCCAACAATTGAAACCAAAAGTCTATCTAATTAAAGAAAGAGACCCCAAATTTTCATATTAATATATAATATTGGCTACAAATCAAATATTTATACATGACTACACCCCATTCATAAAGCCAGATCCCCTTTTTACAACCTATCAAATGAAGATTATATAAAAGTATATATTCTCATGATGATACTGCTGGCTAGGTATACGCATATAACCACAGATTTTACAGTATTTCATTGAAATAACTACCAAAAGAAATTCATCAATCACCCGACAAATTGAGCAAGAGTTTATCCCTATACTCGATCATCCAAGTATAATAATTAAGAACTTGGTTGAGGTTACCTAGTACTACTATCCATATACAGATACACTTCTGCAAAAAACGGCATACTTCCCAAATATCCAATACATACCTACTCAGCACAACCTCCTACAGCATCTCCATATCACCATATCATCACAAGCTACCTACCTACCTACCTAGATAATATAAAAATTATATCTCTCTACCTTCTCAGAATTCACAATCCATAATTCCAAATTCACAATCCACATATCTATCTACTACCTAGTACCTAGTCTATCAATCATCCCTATTCATTCATTCATTCATTCACCCCGCCCAAGTCCCAACCCCCAACGCCCCACCCCCCGTATCTTAAATCCCCTCTCTTCCCCTCCTCCTCTTCTTCTTTTTCTTAACCCCTGATTCCATCCGAGAAGTGAATTCTATTATTTATGTAGGTATCTAGACACCTACCTAGATACTCTTGTAAATACTACTACTAAGGTATCTATCATTCACTCTTTATTATTTTATATCACCTCAAATAATAGGTAATCTCAAATCATCATCTCAAACCATTACATTATCCTCATTCCTTTTATCTAAACCCCTCTAAGTTCCAATTCCAAACCCCCTACTCTACTCTAAATTTTTTTTCACTTTCAAATTCTCAAGAAAGAATCATGATATCCATCTCCATCTCCATCTCAAACTCTAAAATCTTTAAAATCTCCAAGAGAGTTCAAAAAACTTTGACATGGTGAATTAGGTATATACACTTCACCCCCTCTCCCCTCTGCAAAAACCCCTCACCACAACCAAAATTACACCAAACCCCGAACTTCCCTCCTCCCTCCTTCCAAAAAAGAAAGCAAAGAAAATCAAAGAAAACCATCGTTTTTCCACAGTGTGAATATCTGTACTTAGGTATACTTATACACATATAAATAAATGAGTAAACACAGTGAAAGTAGCGGAGAGGAAGGAGGGAAACAAGAGAGAAGGGAGGTGTGGTGGATTTTTAATATAAAATTGGATTTACATATGAATCATTGATTATCATGCTCGATTTTGATAACTGATGTATACAGTTAAAAAATATAGGGTAAATGAGTGCTAGATTTATTGATGGAGAATTGGAATACCACCAGTTTATCACTGTTATATTAAACGTTTTTGATGAGACATTTATTGTATATCAAAAAAGCTAAAAAGCTAAATATCGAAAGGTATCTATATACACAAACAAAAATAAAAAAATCCAAACGCCGTAAACCCCATCATCTAGTCCATATCTTCATATTCTCCCTCTTCTTCTTTCTCTCCCTCTATACCTCATCTCCCACTCCTCTACCTCTACATCTACCTCAACATCTACCAATCTACCCACCACTACCCCGTTCTACACCAACTCCTCCCCCTCTCAACCTGCCACTGACATAATCCCACCTCAAGTACCATACCCAAAAATCCCGCTACACAAATTCCTCCACTATCAGAGACACTCGTAGCTCCCAAACTAAATTCCCTATCCACCTCATCTACTTTCTCCATAATTTCTGCAAAGGTATTTACATAAACCGCTCCTCCTAAAAGTCCCTCCCAAAATATAACTATGAAAATAATATACACGCTAGGTATCCAAAACCATAATGCTTGAGAGATTAAGAGGAATAAATTTGCGATTTGGAGAAAGGAGGGAAGATAAAGATTGTGAATTCGATAAAAAGGGGTAGAGGAGCGAGATATGAAAACGCCAAGTTGATAAATGAAGCCGTAGGTCGGATAGAAAGAACGATATGTGGAAAATGGGTTTCCTGGGGAAGGTGTAAGGAAGAGGAGGGTAGGAGAGACACCTTGATTGATGGTATATTCGGCTATGTAAACGAGAAGGAGAGGGAGCATATAGGGGAAGAAAAGATAAGAAGCACGATGGAGGTTATAAAGAAATGTAGATTTGGATGAATTTTGAGAGAGTGATGGGGAAGAGGGACGCGGAGAGTGTGAAGAGTAAGCTTCTGATGCGATAGCTGGACCAGGAGCAAGTAAAGAGACTGCTGCGGAATCAGCTGGTAAATCTTCAATATCAGAAGCTGTGAGGGGTCCATTAAGCGAATCTTCTCCAGGAAGGGAATTATAATCTTTTCGAATAGATGCTCTTTTCAATGGTCCTCGAGGTAAGATAACGAAGAAAGAGAGAAGCATTATGCAAGGCAAGAATGCAGAAGCCAAAAGACTTGTCTTGACTGATAATCCAATGATAGTAGTCAAAAGAACGTATAATCCGGCTCCCGCTAAACCTGCCCCTCCTGTTCCACTTCCCCATGCTGCAAGACTGAAATGTCCATAGTAATGTGTGAGACCCAAGAAACTTAATTCTCCACCACCACTACTGAAGCTAGCAAGTATGACACCAAATAATTTTGTTGATACGGATTTGTCGGTGGGTGTTAATGCTATTAGGAGCATACCTCCGGATGATAAACCGCAGAATATAAGGATTCGAATCCAGTAGGGAATTTTATGGATGAAATACGGAGCGATGAGTTTAGTTACGAAAGAAGGCATAACATCTGCGAGAAGAACGACGGATTTCGGAATACTTGGACCTAAAGGAAGAAATGTTAGTGATTGGTATTATCATTGCGACTGCAGATGGTACTGTGTACAGAGCGGGTTGCGCATCAAAGGGAAAAGGGGAAGTAACTTGCCGACCAAATCCAGGGCCGCAGACAAGATAATAACATAAAGAACATTATTGATAAGACCTATGAAAGAGTTAACCCTATAAGAATTGTGCGACGCTCCCCACGACGACGATCTGTCGTGGCCATTTCCAAGCGGAGTAGCATACCAAATAACCAAAACGCCATCAAAACCGAAGTATCTGCGCCATGAAAAATAGCCTTAAATCTCGCACGGTACATGGCCCATGAAGACCCTGGAGATCCTGGAAGTGGAAATGCAATGCCGGTAGATGAAGATGATCTATTCATTGCCGTGATGGGTATTGAGGAGTAATCATATCATCTGTAGATGATTTTACTATGGAATCGTGGGGATGTAGGTATGCGTGTACAAGTTGATCAAGTGAATTTTGTGAGGTATGATGCTGATTAAGGTCTCACACCGAAATGTCTTGGTTGTGATGGATGTGATGTGATGTGATGATAAGCTATTTAGTAGCGATAACGTAGTAAGTTCTTACTAGGTAGGTAGTAGATACTATTATGGAGGTTGTTCTGGTCATATCCTTGATGAATTTACAAGGGTAAGCGTGGCAGGTACCGGATCGGGATATAATCGGGATTTTGAAGTCGGGAAGTCGATTCCATTCACCACTTATCTAACTAAGGTCAACAGCTGCGGAAATCCAAGTCACAGTAAAATACTAGGTACCTAGGTATTCAAACAAAAGAACCCTACGGAATTAAGCCCCCAATTTCCGAGGCCGAGGTTGAGTTATATTTCTCAGTGATATCACCACAATGAAAATTCACCTCGAAGAAAATTTGATAGCATACGTCAAATTTGATTCTCAGCGGCTCGAAACTAGACACTAGGTAAATATTCACTCGAATTAAACGAGCCATTCATTCATTATTAAAATTCATGACTATTCAACTCCTGGATTAGGCGATTAAATTCACTGCTCGAGTAGCAAAATGATTTCTTCAAATGAAGAAGTCTTGTGCTTGTTTACTTGTCAGAGTGAGTTTTGGTGGTGGATGTCATGTTCATGTTCATGCAGCATTGTTTGCTTGATGTGTTTCAGAGTTTATGTACAGTAGCATGTAGAAGTTTATGTAGGGGTTTGTGTAGGGGTTTATGTATGGGTATTGAGGAGTAGGTATTTAGGTATGTCGCGCTTATAGGAAATTTCGGCGGCTGGAGAGCGGGTACTTGTTGTCAAGGGACTTGCATGGTAGGTACGGAGTAGTACGTTGCATTTTGGTTGGTGGTGGTTGTCCAATAGCTTGTGATAGCTTGGTTTTTCTTTGACGGTCGATATCAAGTATTAGGTGGCTGGCTTGCAGTTTTATTTGGTAAAGTCAAGGTACGGTACCATTTGCTTGTCGTCTCATATTATAGATCTGCAAGGTAGGTAGCTACAAATCGAGTACAACATCAAAGTAAAGTAACGCAACCCAACCCCAACCTCAAGTAAGCATGAAAGTTGTTTTCTATTTGAAGTATGATATGAAAGTAAGTTGTATGGTACGGTAAGCTCACCAGTGTAAGCTGTAAGGTAGGTAATGTATGCCAACATCGCGGGTATGTGCGCTAAGGAAACATAAGAGAACGGATAAATGTAATGTACCGCAACGCCATCGAAGAGATCGTCTCTTTGTCAGATAAGTAAGTACGTAGTAGCCAGCTTGGGAAAAATCAATTGGTTCAAGTTAAATTAATCCTGGTCATTTTACCCCATTTTACAATATTTAAGCTCATGACTAGATTTGATTGGGTTTAGTCCACGTCTTAGCTTGGTCAACCTGCTTACATAGCTGCAGGTATCAAGTTATCAAATTAGAAGAGATCAAATTCAATTCCATCACCTTCAACCGAAGCTTTTCTAAGCTTCTTCTTGTATTTGCTAGTCTCCATTGGGTACAGTTCTATGAATGGTTATAGCTTTATTACTTACCTAGGTGGTTGATCCATGCACCACCTAGTGACTGTACCTAGCACTTACTACCAGATAACGACTAGGGTAGGTAGCATATTCACCCATGCTCTTCCCCTGTTCATTCGACCTTCTTACCCTTCCTACCCTTCTCTTCCCCCATTTAAAAGTGGAGAATCCGAAAGTGGACCCTCAATTTATCACTTTCCTGTTTCCTGCCTTGGGGCTGCAGATTTGCTTTTCTCCATATTCACTAACTGAGTAAACACGCTAATCAAAACCAAAAAAGTACTAGGTAAGCTAATGATTCACACTAAAATCCATCCATTTACTTTCATCATCAAAGCTTCATGGAAAAGAATCTTGTACACCGAGAACTTTCAATCTCAATCAACACATAGTCGAGAGTGAAGAGTCAAGACTCAAGAGGAACGAACTTCAATCATCAACACCTACAGGAAGATTCGAATCAGTATCGAAAACTTATATTCACACGCTTGCTTGAATATAATGTTTACATTTAATTAACGCCATCCATCCATCCATCGATCAATATCATATTCTATTTGGATTCCTTCATATTGCTACCTACATATTGCATTTCCTTCATTCACTCATCCCTCCGTTCATTCATTCCGGATAACCCCAAAGTCTTTCCTTGAGCTGCCATCAAATCACCGAAAAGTCCCTGCGCCATAAATCTCCTACTACCTACACCGTGCCGTGCCGTGGCACAAGGTCAAACTTTCAACTGGCAGATATCAACAATAGAACTTTGCAGATTCACTACAAAAACTTCATTCAGCGTGAGTGGATATTCTTTTAATTCTTCGATACCTTCGTCATTTTTTCCAAGGCTCAAAGATCGTACGTGGTATATTCACTAGCTCGAACCCTCAAGGAAGAGATTACGGATAGAACTCCGGCACTAACTTTTTAACTTGGTCATTTAGTTCGAACCTAAATCTCTTTCCGACTGTTGAAAACTCCACACCTCGAATCTATCCCAAACTTCCATATCAAACAGACAAATCTCGTTATGGAGGGTGGAAGACCCCCGCCACAATTACCGTTCTCGCGGAATACCAACACGGCTTCTCCATATGGTCGTTCTACGTTTCCACCTGCGCCGAATGGTCAAACATCACAATACCCTACCTCGTCGCATCCACCGAGCGCCCCTCCTCCATACGCGGATCATCAGCGAAGGACTTCTGATGGTCAATATTTTCAAGCGCGTTATCAAGATGGACCACCACAAATACATGGGGGAGGTCATTCAAGGCATCCAAGCTCTTCTTCGATTGGGCATGGTACTCCAGTAGGACGAGGTATGCCACCTCCATCCTCTCCCCAGCAGCAACAGCAACACCAAGGGCCCATTCAACATGCGTATGGACCGCCACACCCTCGAGCACCTCCAGTATCTGTTGGTCCGCCAGCTGGCTTTCCAAGTGGTCGAGAACTACCGCCACCACCTTTGAATAGACCACCGAGCACGGCGGGAAGTAACATGTCCATTTCATCATTGCTTGGAGGTCCAACGCCGGCTACTCGAGATCCAATGCCGGGCCAGTACACTTCCCCTATCAACACCTCGGCACCGCCTCCTATGTACGGTAGCGCGACGCATGCTTCACCACGCGTTAATTCCGCTGCAAATGAATATACCTCTTTTGGACGTCCTCGGACGCCCGACTCACGCTATGAACATCGGGATCATCGCGCAAACTCTGCAGGCTCTCCCCCAGGACAATATGGGACGCCTGACCATCGACATGGTACCCCTCAGCAATATGGTCCAAGACCCGCCCAAAATCCCTTAGCACAATACCCGGAGGATAGGCGAGATTCACAACAAGGAATGAGAATGAATAATATGAACATGCCCCCGCGACCAAGCAGTCAACCAATGACATACAACTCTTCCATTTCTCGTTCTGGAGACCGTCCAGCATTGCATGGCGAACCGCAATTTGGCGGTAGAAGAGTGGATCATGATCCTCGAGGACTGGAGACCTTGACCAGAGGAGAAGCTATCCATCAGAGGCCTCCCGGTGGTTTCAACAATAGGCATGATCCAGCTTTCGAGCACATTGAGAGAGAGCGAGATAGGGAGAGGGAAAGAGAGAGAGAGAGGGATAGGGATAGGGAAGCGGCAGCGGCGGCAATGATGTTGAGTCAGAGGGAGAGGTCGGTTGCAGAGCGCGAACAAGCTTTGGCCATGCACGAACGACCCGGGATGCATGGAGAGTATCCGCACCAAATCCCACAACGAGCTCATGCTCAGATGTATGGTCGGCAACCTGATCCTCGTGAACAAGCAGCTTGGGTTCGCGCTGGACATGATCAGAGAATGGGATATGAACAACCGCCGTATGACCGTCCGCCGCCATCGTATCCACATGGCAATGGTTATGATTACCCACGAAGCGCGGCCCCACAATACCCGAACCACCCCGCTTATGACCCAGTGCCCCATCATGAACAACGTGACCCTCGATACCCCCCTGTTTCTCATCATCAACCCCATCCACAATCACAAACAGCAGCAGGTCCAGGTCCCCATTTCGAGCAATCATATGAAGAGAGAATGGATCGTGGTCCACACCAACAGCAGCAGCAACAGCAACATGTGGCAAGACAACAAGTGGCTGAAGGTCAAGCACGCGTGATGCAGCCTCAACCATTGGCATATGGTGGATCAATGCCACCAAATGCTCAATACCAACAACATGACTCCCCCCAAAGAAGACCAATTGAAGAAGGACCTCAAATGATGCAACAGCAACAAAGCCAGAGGAGCCTTTTAAGCGTTCAAGACAATCGAAGAGGAGGTCGAATTTCACCTATTCCTCAAGCTGTACAAGGTGCACAAGTTCAGCATCCAGGTCCTGCTGGCGAACCCGGTATTAAAAGCGAATTTGGTAAGATATTCCACGGTATTGGAAGTGGAGTAGGTGCAACTATGAGCATGCCCAGTCCTGTTGCAGGTTCTACTGCTGCGGGATTGCCCTTCTCTGGACCACGTCGTGATGACCTTGATTCACCGTCTGCTCATAACTCGCCCATTGAAAACAATGGTTCCATGATGACCCGTCCATTTGGAAGACGCCGGAAGCTCAAAGAAGAAGAAAGAGGTGATGATGAAAGCAGCACAGGCCGACAGACACCTAACGGCAGAGCAAAGCGTACAAAACATGCTGCACATAGACATCAGTATGCCCCTCAACTCCTCATCCTGGTTACTTAGCCTAACATGTTTTAGTCACCATCATCGCCCCGATGCTTTGGATCGAATTCCATCACCTTCGTCACAAACGTTGACACCATTCAAGAGCATCAAGGGCACTAACGGTAATGTATCCCCACCAAATGGCGAGAGATCGGTCGTTCCACATCATCATATCCAACGACATCATCATCATCACCACACAGCAGGACCGAAAATTGCCTCGCCTATGAATACCGTTATCCGCATGCCTAGATACGAAGTTAGGTCGCAAGCGATCATTGATGCAGCTTCGATACATCCCCGTTGCCACCTTGGATACGAGTATTACCAACCTAATCTCAAACTGTTTCGATCAAGCTCTTCTGATCGACTCCCTTATAATCGTGCCTTTGCCAGTACCAACAGAGCTTTCCCCAATTTTGAAGGCAAGGTCAATTGCACGTATACCATCAAAATTTCTCGAGCTCATCTCAGACCAGAAAGTAGAGAAGAAATCACTTATCGGAAAAATCTATGGGGTACTGACGTCTATTCGGATGATTCAGATATCATTGCTGCTTGCATTCATCAAGGTTGGATTTGTGGAAAGTGGGCCAAAGATGTCGATGTTAAGCTTTTGAATCTTTATCCATCAGATGAAGGTGTTTCCGTCGAACCAGAACTTGATATCCCGTACGACGGACCGGATGAGACTTTTGATCACCCTCCTGCCAAAGGTCCTATGCCAATTCGTATGGATCATGATCTCCATGTCACAGTACTTGTTCTGGATTGTCTTGACAAGTACTCTAGCAAAGTTCGTTTCGGTATCAGGAGTCGTGAATGGGGAGGCAAAAACACAACTGCGCATGATGGTTTGAGTTACTTGATCATGAACATAAAGTGGGTTGACGGAGTAGATGGGATGGAAAGTGGAAACTTTGCCAAAAAACGGTTCTTGAACATGCAACATCAGGAGAAATCTACGGATAGGCAGGAACAAGAGGCTGACCGAGAACGCGAATTGTGGTTGGAGACGAAGATGAACGGGAACGGAAAACGAGCCATAGACCATGGAAATGAGGAGGACGTAGTTATGGAGGAGAGTAACATGAGAGGTGATTCGGGTGGACCACAAGTTTTAAATGATGGAGAAATTCGGGGTGTTGGCATGGGAAGTTGGTGGAAGGGAAATCCCCGAGATTCGTCAAAGGATGCTAAGAACGGCAAAAGTGCAACTGCTCAAAAGAGTCAAGAAATGACAGGGAATGGTGCCCTACCAAGCAAGACGCATCAGTTTGGAGCCCACACCGTAAGTGATCATTTCTTTGATCATTGAAACTCTTATTTAACTTTTTGCTGACACGTTGATACTAGCAGGATCTTACTGGAGCAAACATGTCAGGATATATTGCGCAATCTACGAAGAATTCCGAATCCATCCCCGAACTTTCAAAGAAGAATCCGCAAGAATCCGAAGAGGATAGAGAAAATTCTAATCCGACTTTGGAGAGGAGCCATATCAATGTCCCAGCTCTGAGCTCAAATACTTCATCAAACAAAGAAAGCGGTATCCCAGAGGGAGTATCAGTGCCAGAATCCATGGTACTTGATACAGCAGCTTCGGCTCCTCAAAAATCAATGCCTACAGGCACACAAGAGACAGGAATCCTCGCCGCACAATCGACTGAAACTTCATCAGGCCGCCAAGACAAAGTTATCAATGAAGTGGAGCCGGCTAGAGGTCCGAATCACATGACTTCTAAATCAGAAACACAAACACAAATTCCAGCTACCCAGAAGCAGGATGACAAGATTGAAAAATCGTTGGGATTGAAGGACCAGGAAATTATTCCACAAATTGTCCCAGTTGTAGAAGTCCCTACAGCTGCACCTCAGACTCAAGCTCACGCCCAAGCTCTCCACATAGGTGGAGAATCTTCTCCACTTATTGTGGCAGACGCAACGGTGGATACAAACTCTTCTGCATCTGCTCCTGCAAATAACTGATGATGTGTTTGTTGCGACGCCATGCCATAGGCATTGACTTACCTAAGTGACCCTTATTGTATGAATATTCGCCATACTCGCGAGCAAAAGTGCATAGCATTGTTGAACCTCGCCATAGTTGGGGTTGTCGGTTTACCAAATATCCAAGCGTACCTCTACTCAAGTAGGCAACAAACTTGAGTTAGTGCAAGACAGCTTTTGGCTCAGGGTCGAATTCGCGAACTAAGAACAAAGTCCCTGAATCGAGAAGGTTAAGATGTTTTTAGGGGTGAATCGAGGTAGATGCATCAATACTTCGTTATTAGCATCGACTTCATTCTAGGCTAAGAAAGGTCCAGTTATTCGGATGCGATACGATATGAAACAAGAGCATATCTCTCTTCTTTTTATCCAGTGCTGGAAAATTCCTGGAAATTTTACAAATTCAATCTCCACTCTCCGCATAATAATAATACAATGAACGAGATCTATCTGGATATTCCGGATATATAGGAGCAGAACAACAGCCAAACACAACCAACAAGCTCGACTAATGTTGGATGGCTAAGAGCCAACGAAGTTTTTGTATACTCAACGCGTATAAGACTCTATCGGAGTTGATTGAGATAAAATCTTTTTAGAACACTCAAGAAAGAAAAATCATTGGGCTCATTCACTCGATTCATTGCATACCAGATAGAGCCCAGCCCTTCGGGGTCTAGTCTCCTTCAGCTTCACCAATATCCTTCGAATAAGTCAGATTAGCCGATACTATGTTCGATAAGACAGAGCTTAGAACCATTCTGCGGAGTGGTTCTCAAATCCTTGAAAATCCTAGGAGAATTCTCAATACCGAAGAGTCAGCTTTGTTGCTATGTGCAACGAGTCTTTCTATCGAACTCAATACTACTTTACTTTTCTTTCAAAATTTCCTTTATTGAATGTTTTTTCAAGAATACCACCCATCGTTGTTTTTCCAAGTGAGCAAGGTGTCTGGCGTTTACCATTCTAATCACCAAATTTACCAAGGAGACTTGATGATTTGGGAATGCTTATGACTTGCTTGCCTGCTTGACAAGCACTATACATTCCGGGAGTGGGGACTGAGAGGTCGATATGATACACTAGGAGATCAAAGGATAGTTGAGTCTGCTTTTGAGCACAGTGGATGATACTCTGGTACAGTTTTACAGTAGTCAGAGTGAACTGAAGGATAGCATGAAAGTACAGAGACGTAGGAAATTCGTTGGTTTGGCTATATTTCACGGATCAATTGAGCTAAATTAGCTTACCGTATGCAACCATATGCGTTGAGATGGCTAAAATAAAAATTGAAAAAACATATTAAAATTTAAAAATGAAATAACATGTTAGATGTATGAATGTGATTGTATAATGTCTATGAATGTTTGTGTTTATAGTAGTGAAGTATTGATAATTATAAGATTATAATCTTATTTGATTAATTAAACAAATACTTATAAGTCTTATTTAAAGTATATGTCACGATTCACCATTAGGATTGATGGTGTTACGATGGTAGCAAACTGATTAATTAGGAGAGCTTAGGCCTTGTGCAAACACGATCAGATTTCATCGAATTAGTATGTGATCTTGGTCACCTGAAGATCGTATGCGCACGCACCATCAGAAATCACGTGATAAGGAGCCCTAGGAGCCCTCAAAGCTCCTAGAGCTCCAGGAGCCAGAAAGCTCCTAGGGGCTCCCTTTATCGTTCATTATATAATCAGAGTAGTTTCATAGTTTAGGAGCTTCGTGCTCAACTTAGTTATAAATTAGTTTACCTACATTCTACTTGATCTAGTAACGAATTCACTTTCAAGTGAATACCAGTGATAAAGCCTTAACCCATAACTACCAACCGACGAACCTTAGGCAGCCGCTGCCTTTAGTACAGCATCGTTACAGTATACTCATTAATTTAGAATCGTATATATATACCACAAGACAAGATATACTATATTATTAAATAATGAATCAAACTCTTAATCTTTATTTATTTTCACAAGTTTTCAAAATAGAAATTTGAAATTGAGCGAGTTTTTAAATAAACTTTTAAAATAAACCTTTTTTTAAAAAATTCACAAATATAATCTGTTACAACGGCTATCTTCTATGCCGCGTCACATGACTAAACCAAGGTAACGTGATTAAAGTCACGTTATGGACCGCTGAGGAACGCTGGCTGTCCAGGACCGCGCAGCGGTCCTGACTAGCCATAGGCATGAAGGTCTATATAATCAAGATGGATTTCCTTTGTATAGAGCTTCGTGCTCAAGATCAATCATTTAGTATATCCTACTATTAGTTACGAATTGCATTTCATTATTGTCATTACTTAAGTCCCTGCTTGACGCCTAGTTATAAACCACCTCGAGAGCCTAGAGCACTTCCACGTGATCTAGACGGCAAACCTCGTAACAAAGTGGTGCACGAGGTGATATGGTGCACGGGGTGATGAAACACGTTATAAGTTTATAAGTTTATAAGTTTATAAGTTTATAAGTTTATAAGTTTATTTTTCATTTTTGTATTGTGTCTTTTAACTAACGGTGATTTTAAT